AATCTCGAGACAGAAGCAGGGGAGACACGAGGAGAGAGAGAACACTACTGGCAGTTCTTGTGGACTATCAGCGCGTCGTCATGTCGATTGCGCGGTTGCCTCGTGGGCAACGACGAACATCGATTGCGGGTGGCTGGCCGGTAGATTAAGGTTCGGTTTGCCGGGTGACGGCAGGGCTGGGGGACCCTGTCACCGCTTGCAGCAACCAACCACCTCTTTTTTTACCCTGACACTGTGAAACTCCAAGCGCTCTGCTGCAAGCCCCTGTTCCTGACTTGTTCTAGAGTCTTGTGACAGCCGAGTATCATCAGAAGACAGAACGAGACAGACGTTAGCAATGGCACAAGCAGAGGGTGTGCTCCATGTAAGTCTCTCCAGATCTTCCTCGGTGACGACCAACCAGCCAGCCAGTGTGAACGGACGAAACGGTGGCAGTAGGTGGCGCAGGCACGCTAGTAAGTATCAGAATCTGTGCTTCGCTATAATACGAATAGTCCACCTAGTCAATGGCCTTTGGCGCTGGGCTGGAGGTCGAGTACATAATAGAACGCCGTTCCCCCTTGTTACAGCATTCCTCACCTCACATATCGATTCTGTTTGTCTGTGCATAATTTCATACCACATTCCTCTCACTCACAAACAATCACATTCACATCCTCGACCCTAAAAGGCCAAGGCTGAACACAATTCTCTCTCTCTTTCTCATCGAGAGACGTTCCATCGACACCACCGACAACAACAACATGCACCTCGCCAGAAACTCTGCCCTGGCTGGGCTAGCTGTCATTCCCCTTGCCTTTGCACAGACCTACACCACCTGCAACCCTATGGAAAAGACATGCCCCAACGATACTGGACTTAACTCTGCTAGCTTTGCCTGCGACTTCACCCAGGGCAAGTCAGCTCTTGCAAGCTGGAGTATTGCCACCGGCACTGCGCTCACCTACGATGGTTCTAAGGGTGCTCAGTTCATCATCAATGGCAAGAACCAAGCACCAACAATCTCATCTGACTTCTACATCTTCTTCGGACGTGTCGATGTTATGATGCAAGCAGCTCCTGGTGTTGGCATTGTGAGCAGTATGGTTCTCCAGTCCGAGGATCTGGACGAGATTGATTGGGAATGGCTCGGTGGTGACGGCACCCAGGCTCAGACCAACTACTTTGGCAAGGGCAACACCACCTCGTACGATCGCGGTACCTACCAGAGCGTCACATCACCTCAGACAATCATGCACACCTACAGCTTCGACTGGACCAAGGACAAGATTGACTGGCTCATTGACGGTGTGGTCGTTCGCACTCTCAAGTACGCCGATGCCGTTGGCGGTCAAAACTTCNCCCAGACACCTATGCGCCTTAAGTTGGGCAACTGGATCGCTGGCGATCCGGCTACCAACGCAAAGGGCACGATCGAGTGGGCTGGTGGTGAGACTGACTTCTCCAAGGCTCCTTTCACCATGTACGTCAAGTCTGTCAGTGTCACCAATTACAACCCGGCCGCGGAGTACCAGTGGACCGACAAGACCGGTAGCTACGAGAGCATCAAGCTGGTCGGCGGTTCCTCAGGATCTTCTTCCGGCTCTTCTGGATCGTCTTCAGCCTCTGGCAGCAGCGGCTCTGCTTCCAAGAGCGCAAGCAAAGTCAGCCTCAAGTCTACTGCAGTCATTTCCAACAGCATGAACACCGTCGCTCCTACCACTTCCATCAGCGTCATCAGAGCTCAGGCCCAGGGTAGCGCCGCGGTTATCACCACCTCCAACTCTACTTCGACTGCGTCGACTTTGAGCTCTGTCACCAGCAGAATCAGCGCCAGTGCTACCTCGGCTGCTGGATCGGCATCTGCATCGACATCCAAGAGCTCGTCTCACAGCTCTTCTGCTTCTTCCTCTACTTCAAGCCAGCCTGCACAGCAGAGCACTGGCGCCGGTGTGTCAAACACTGTCGCTACTAGCCTTGTCTCTGTTGTCGGAGCTGCCATGGCCTACTTCATCCTCTAAGGTGATTGAGGTCTTTATTGTTTTCAATATTGCATAGCGACGGACACTTTTGTCAACTTCTTTCTGGCAGGACCAGGTATACCCACTTTTTAGTAATTATGGCGACTTTTTTTGTTTGAGATTCAGGAGGGGGGATTCGGGAGGGTTGTAAGAACAGGAAATTGGTTGGCCACTTTGATAGATAATAGAATTGAATATTTTCCAGAGTCTTTTCTCCGATAGCACTTGATGATGCTCATACTGTGAATAGCTGGATAGGATGTGCACATGAGTAGCAAGTCAAGGGAAGTGCTTGGTATGCGGAAGGGACGGAGATTTGGTTGGACACGAGCGGAGATTCGGCAGATGATTCGCCGAACGCCAGACTGAGTTTGTGCCTTCTCATCATCGTGCATGCATGTGAAGATGGTCCCGGCGGTGACATTCTCGTCGCAATCCTTGGTTGCGTGCTCTCTTACCTGAAGAGACGGTTGTTTGGATACTGCCATGGCTAGAGACGACTGATAAACATACAACGACTACCCGAAAAGAATTGTACAGGTTTCGGGACCTCCGGACCTTTGACGCCGTCATGTTGCTCGACTTTCTGCATCTGGGAAACCTGGACAAGATCAACGGTGGATGGTCTTCCATCATAGGCATAACCACTGCAATCATTGGCAATATCCTCATCTCGTTCGCCCTCAACACGCAGCGATATGCCCATATCCGCCTCAACCGCCAATACCAACAAGATGAGGAAGAGAAGAAAAAGAGCAAGCGCAGCCGGAATCGCGACTCTCAGCAGGAGCGTATAGCTGAGGAAAGAGAAGCCCAGAACCTCAATGTACCTTCTGAATCGGATCCGCTGCTCCCTTCGTCTGCCTCGACCTCTTCCGAATCCACAATCCGCCCAAACAAAAAGTCAGAAGCCACGGGACCAAAGTCGTACCTGAAATCCCCTATCTGGTGGCTCGGAATCGCTCTCATGACGGTCGGCGAGGCTGGCAACTTCCTCGCCTACGGTTTTGCGCCTGCTTCGGTCGTGTCTCCTCTCGGTGTCGTGGCCTTGGTCTCGAACTGCTTGATTGCGCCCCTGTTGCTGCACGAGCAATTCAGGATAAGAGATGGATTTGGTGTCATAGTGGCTGTGGGTGGTTGTGTTACCGTCGTCCTCAGCGCCAGCGACAACAACCCAAAGCTGGGCCCCGACAAGATCTGGGAACTCATCTCGACTTGGGAATTCAAGACGTACTTTGCCATAACCGTCTTCTTGATGCTGGCTCTGATGTCGGTGAGCTCGAGATATGGGCACAAGTCTGTTCTTATCGACCTCGGACTTGTTGGCTTGTTTGGTGAGTGCATACTGCTTTCTTCTGAAATGTGCAGTGTCTAATGCTCGTTTGTAGGCGGTTACACGGCCCTCTCGACCAAGGGTGTTGCATCGTTGCTCTCCAACACCATCTGGCATGTCGTTACCTTCCCCATCACATACCTGTTGGTTGCGGTTCTGGTGTCGACCGCCGTCCTGCAGATCAAGTACCTTAACCGTGCTTTGCAGCACTTTGACTCGACCCAGGTCATTCCAGTGCAATTTGTAATCTTCACACTGTCCGTCATCATCGGCAGTGCCATTCTCTACCGCGACTTCGAAAGAACGACAACCGACGACGCCATTAAATTCTTTGCGGGATGTGCCTTGACGTTTTCAGGAGTCTGGCTGATCACTTCGGGACGAGGAAAGAGCAGGGAGCAAGACGAGGAGGAAGGCTCGGAAGATGGAGAAGCAATCGATCTGATCGACGAGGAGCATCAACAACCAGAGATTCGCGAACGCCTAGGTAGCGATGCACGTCGTGCCTCTTTGCGACCAAAGTCATCCCGATCAGAAGCGCCTTCCTTCGTCATCACCTCTGACGATACTCCAACCCAACACTTCAGCTTCGAAGCTTCCTCTCCACTGAACGACAACCCTTGGACACTACCCGCACCCGCCAACATCTCCTCCATCCACCCACGCTCGGACGCCAGCGTAGCCGCCGAGCAAAGACTCNAAAACCCACCTCCCATGCACGCCACAACCTCTGCACCTGTGCTGCCCACCATGTCTTCTCAGAAACTCAGCCCGCGACGACCGACAACACCCAACCGAGGCATTAGTAGTCCCTCGATCCAAGACAGCCCAAACACCTTGTCGCCATCACAGCAACGCTACCGTCAAATTGACCCTAGCGAAGCCACGCCAGGTCGCCTAAACACATTAACTCAGATCCTGCCTGGTCCCCTTACAAACCCGCTTTCATCTTCGTTATCTGCCATTGTAGCGGATAGCCTGCGCAGAGGCATTGTAGACACACCGCCATCCCTCGGCGGTCGTCGAAGGACCTCTGGCAGAGGATCTCGCACAGAAGCCATGGAAGCATTGAACGAAGGCACCAGTGCTCCATTACAGAGGGTGCGGAGCAGACCGGGCTCTTCGAACAAGAGAGACAGGAGTCTGAGCGCTACACTGAGTGACATGTTTCATGGAGGCAGGAGGTCGAGGAGCGGGACCCTGGAAGAGGTGCCCGACGAGGAAGAGGCCGTAGGACGATGATGAGGTGGAAAAAAGGCGTATAGAGACGAGTCTGCATGTTGATTGTACATATTCTTTTTTGGTTTGTTCTGGATACATTAACGAAAGCATGGCGTTTCTCTGGTGTTCAAAAAAGCCTCCTCACTCGAGTCCCAAGAAAAGGTGACCCTGTTCGTATGGTTCGCTTCGTCAAACGGAGTGGTGTACCCTCCATTCAAATCACTAATTGAGGCCTGTTGACACACATGTTTCTATTGCAGTGCGAAAGTTATTCTTATACATCCATTCTCCCCTTCCTACATGTTTCTCGTTCATTTTGAGGGGATCTTGTTTTCCCAAAACCATTCGAGAAAAAAAAAGAGAAAAAACGCCATGTATTTGTACAATAGGTAGGGAGAGGAAGAAAAGCGAGAAGACCGATTTTGATTGTAGTCTTTTTTTCTTTCTTAGTTGATCTGCTTGCCGTAAAAGGGGATACCGAGGGCGCTGAGCAGCAGTCTGCCATCTCTGTCGTTTGTGGCGGTGGTGTGGACGGTGACGTGGAAACCAGGAATCATCTTGGGAGGATANCCTGTTGATCATTGTCTTTTGTCAGTCTTTCTTTCCCTCCTGTCGCATTCATTCTTTCCTTTTCCCGGCCTTGGGGGCCCAGAGATTATTGTAGATAAGAAAACTTACATGTCATAGTTGACTTCGACCTCTGGGAACAGCGCCGTCTCCTCTGGCGTAAATCCAAAGGTCAAGTTACCACTCGAGTCTCCGGAACTACCCTTGACTCCCTTCCACTCCTTGATCTTGGGCATGACGATATCAATCACTTTGGCGAGGAAGTGCTGCATGTCTTCGCCCCTGAGCTCGGCAGTCACAGACACGTATTGGCCCGCTCGGAGTCCAAACCCGGCAACGTTTTTGCGCGTCTTGTGTGTGGTGACGCGGACATTGGAGATGGCCTGCATGACCATGCCCGCAACGTGCAAGTGTGCGGAATCGTCGAGGGCGCCCTTGACCATGGTGTGCACGGTGATCTTTTCCAGCTTGGGCACGTTGCGGAAAGTGATGGGTTTGCGGAGTAGGCGCAAGACGTCGGAACCTCTGGGTCCTCGGAGTGGACGGTTCTTGTAGTAAGGGGATGCGCCCTCCCAAGGCCTCAGACGCGGTGATTTGGCAGGGGCTTTGTAGCCAGGCGGGAAATGCGTGTATGCCAGGGTCATGAGATCGCTCTCAAAGGTGCTCTGATATGTCTGCTCCAGTCTAGGCACAGAAAAGGGTCCGGGGACGAACAATCTCGATGCGGGATCCGAGTTTGGCGGCGGCTGGTGAGGGTGCAGCGGACCGCGGTAGTACTTGGGCGGGCGGAACTTGTATCTACTGGCAGGCAGTTGTCGGTTTCTCTTGCTGGCGCGGCCGACGGGATCGTAGGTGGTGGCCAGGTTGTCAATGTCGGCGTCGAGTGTGCGTAGCGAGGAGCCGCCTTCGAGTTCTGTGATGGTGTCGCCGATGTCTGTCGAGGCGTGGCGGCGGCATTGCGAGGCAAAGGGAGTCGCTCGTGTAACCAGCGGCCTCCAGAGGCGCTCCAGCGAATGTGTTAACGACATGGTGCCGTTGTGGTGTGGGCAAGCCTGTTTGTGCTGCTGCTCGCGCAACGGCAAGGTCGATGTTTCGGCTCGAAGAAAGTTGCTGAGCACAGGCCACAAGAGGGTGATCAAAGTTTCGACAGGGTCACCATTCGAAGTATGCAACGAGGGGAAACTGACATGGAAGAATCAACATGTCACACTCCAACCACAAGAAATGGTCTATGGATGATAACAATAGCCTCATTCTAGCAATGGTAGCGAGCTGGCAAGCCCGTCTTACCCAAACTCTTAGGTTATAAACACAGGCAACATACTTCTCGCATACTCAATTGGCAGAGGTATGCCCGGCTGCACCACATGAAGCCTCTGCCAACACATGGCTCTCAGCATCATCGCCAACCAGGCGTCCTCGGCCTGCATCTCGCTCGGTCTCATCACCCAATTCGTCTTCTCACCAAGCTCTTCGCCCGAAGCTCCAGAGAGTGCTCCCAAAATCTGGCCTGGAACATCCCATTCCGATCTCAAAGCACGCGCCATTTCCGGAAGGGCAGCGAACATACGCTTCATCTTGTCGCCGTCCGTAGCTAGAGCTTCGATGCGAGTCGACAATGTCAGATGTTGCACGACAATAGCATGGTATTTGCCGGCACGGATGATCGGATTCGCATGCAGTATTGACTCGCACTCGCTCATGACATCCCAGATTGCCCTTGCGTCAAATGCCTCGCATGTCGCCAACTCGCCTTTGAAGGTGAGCTTGGGTGTCTCCCAACTGAAGCTCCTGTCTCGTTGAGCTGCTGGATGCTTGAAGCGAGCTTCTAAACTTGTGTACAGACTCAGCAGCCTATGGGACTCTGATGAAACGGTGCTTCCCCTGCAGACCAAGAGTGCAGTGAGCTCATCCCGAAAAGGTCTGAAGATTGTGTGAGTCATGCCACGAGCTGAGGTATTGGGCCATGGTATGACAGGTCGAGTATCGGAAGAGACACCGAGGAAGGGGGTAAGAAACGCGACGATGTCATTGACAGGCTCCATCCAGTCCTTGTCTCCTGACTCACTTCGAGCACGGAGCGTAGCGATGATACTGTCAGAAGCTGGCGTGTCAGAGAAGAGAGCTGGCAGTGTAGAAGTGACATCAGCCAGGGTGCCGACGTGCAGTACCAGATGAGGCAGCTCGCGGTGAAGGTTGAACAGGTCGGTATGTCCGATCCTCCCAAACAGTAATTCATCAGCTTGACTCAAGGGTGAGGTGCTGTATAGATGTTTCTGGCCGAGAGCGTCCGAGTCCAGATCTGGGTCTCGAAGGTAGTGAATGATGACCCCCATGCCTCGAATGACGGTTGAAGTGATGACCTGGTGGTTGCCTTCAGCTTGCAGGGTACCCATGTTCGGCTCAAACTGCTTCCAACTCAGACCCAGCCGGCGAGTGGTTGCGGCCAGACCTGAAAGCGTCGTGATGGCCAGTGGCCGTAGAACGTCGTCTGGCACGAAGTCCCAACTGCGATAGGCCTGCTCCACACGTGCACATCGGATCCAGTCGATATAGGCCATGCGTTTTGTGTCGCGGAGATCGACGGGAGCAATGCGCTGTCTGACGGACTGATCGTGTAGACCCAGGTTGTGCATCAGATGAACCCATCCTGCTAGCTCAGCGTTCCAGTCTCTTTGCTTTTCTGGCGGATTGGGGTTGAAAGTGGTGAGCTCTGGCTGGTCGCAGAAGGGACGAATAGTTCGAAGACCGTCTTGACCTTTGACAGGCAGGCCATATTCGACAAAGGGGACACAGTAGAGGACTTCAAATCTGAACTCTCTCCATCGAAAGCGTAGTCGAGTCTTGCGACCCCAAGGGCCCATGACGCCAGGACCGCAACGTCTGTAGCCGTCTGCTGTACCGATGTACTGTTGCAAGGTCTGAAAGATTGTTGCGAGGAGGGCAAGTATTCCAATGGCTAGAGCAACCACAGTCGATATATCCATCTTCTTGCCGGAAGCTTCGGGNGAGCCCACGTCGCCCCCATGGCGCTTCTCAAGAAGGAATGACGGAAATGTGAAGGGGGCCATGATGGAGTGGACGGTGAGGTATGAATACTGAGATGATTATGATGCGCTGATGGTGGAGAAAGCCATTGTGAAATCAAGCTGGAAGTTTAGTTTTTGATCAGTGTTGCTTTGGATGCGGAAAGGACTTTGCTGATCTCTGAGGAAGTGTCGAACAATGATAACAACGTTCATGGATCGATACTTTCTCAAAAGGCAGCTACGATTCAGCAAGCCTCCTCAACTTCGAGCTTCGATGTCCATGAATTGCGACAAGTCACCTTCAACATGATATGATTGACGAGCTGATGGCAAGCCGTATTCACAAAAGCATCGAAATTTATGTTGTTCTAGATAGACGAACTGCTATACATTATATCCTTTGTATTAAACATCCATCCTAGATCCGTGCATATTACAATTATACAAAAGAGGGATATCCTGCGGAGAAGAGAGAAAGGCGGCGAAGACCACCACAGATCTCAGCAGTGTTTCCAGGGCATGGAGACTTGCACTGCATGTCGACAGTGAGGATAGCAGATGCTGAGCTCACCTCATTACCACACCAGCACTTGGTGGCATCCGACATTCCAGCGACCTTGTAGCCAGCATTCACACAGCCGGATGTGCATGTCTCGATTGTGTTGCTTGAATCATCATACAGAAGAGTCGAGAGTGCCTGTGCTGTGGTAGGAGCCTGGTCGGTCCAGCAGCCCTGGTAAGTCAGACCACCGGCATAAGTGTTATAGTTGGTCGCTCCAGGAGTGTTGACCAGGCTAGGATCTGGGAAAGGATCATCACCCTGCTGCTTGCGAGGGTAACCAAAGTCGTAGGCACGGCTTTTGTCGCCGTAGAAGTTGTCTGTGAAAAGACGGGCAAGACCTGCTGCAGAGTGGAACATTTGACCGTTGTCGTGAGGGGCGTCAACCAGATCCACAGTATCGCAGTTGGTGCCAGAAGGGTCGGGGCAGCTAGGCTGGAACCACTTCATGAAGAAGAAGAACCGTTCGTTTCTGTCCTGACCAGTAGTATCGGGTGCACAGCTCGAAGAGTGGTCACCAAAGTCTTGCAGAGCGCGGGCCCAGGCAATCTGCTTGCTGTCAAAGTTTGCCTTGATAGCGTCAAGACCCTGTGCGACCAAGTTGGCACCATAAGTCATGCCGTACTCGACGAAATTGGCGAAGCCTTCACGGTAGTCGTTGTATGTGGGGCAATCCGGAACGTTCAGAGGGCGGTAATCGCTGAGCCACGCCCAAGAATCTCCATTGGCAACCCACAGGACAACAGGCGACTCAGTTTCAAGTTTGTCACCGACAGCGGCGTAGCGCTGCAACATTTGGCCGCCCAGTGAGTGTCCAGCAAGGACAATCTGCTTCATGTTGGGGAAGAGCGTCTTGTCGTCGAAATAACGGACCAGTTCATCAAGAATGTAGTAGCTTGATGTGTTTCGGCTGTTGTGAGGGTATTGGTTGTTGGCGCCAGCAGACCATTGCGAACCAGACCAGACCAATGCATTCGAAGTGGACCCACGGCCCGCTTTCTGACCATCCGCCCAAGGATAGCCAGAGCCCTTATCATTACCATTGGGGAAGTAAGGTGTCATAACAGCGACGGAGTCACGGTTAACGTTGGTGTCTTGGACCATCGCGAGAGCATTGAGCATCNNTATCGATCTTGTCAGTCTTGGACAATCAATAAGCGCCGGGAAACATACATCGTTCTCATAGTTCCAAGGATCTCTCAAAAGACCGTGAAGAACGATGACAGCTCGCTGGATCTTGCTTTCAACAATACGATTTCCATCCGTACCGTGAGAGTAGTAGTTGATCAAAGTAAGTGCATCGTTCTTGCCGCTTGGGTCATCAATCTTGAAGAATGCGACTTCTGCATTGTTGATAGTAGGAAGATATGCGCTGATAGTGTCTCCAGCGTACTGTTGTGCGAGTACGGAAGTGCTGCTGCACAAGAAAAGGAATGGGGTCAAAAATTGCATAGCTGCAAAACGAATGAACGTGCTTATAAGAAGCACAACGAAAAGAACGAAGAAGACAGACAGGTGAAACAATTCAGAAGACGCAATAGCAAGGGCATCGCTGCCTTATAAGGGAGCACGAGAAAAGCTGGCATTAGGGCCTGTACAACCATGTTGCCGCATCGTCCAGGTTGCGATAATCTCGGGTCGGGATAGGATGCATGGATGATCGAAAAGATCTTCACGCGTTAACATTGGATCACCGGGATAGTGCGTCTATCAATGGCTCCGTTCGACATGTTCCTGGAAGCCCGCAGTGCGCGCGCGTCTTCCAAGGATCGCGCTTCGGGGTCAGGACATGTCTAGCTGGTTTCGAGAAGGGCTACAGCCTCTGGGTGATCAAACCGCGTGGGAATGACGCTGATCTTATATTCTTTGTGGAACCTCGATTTAGACTTTGTTCTCAACAATTTACAGCAGTCGGCACACGACGATGGCAACATCATCTTTACAAAAGTGTGAGGTTTGTTTCCGTTCCCAACGCTCTGATAAGGCAGAAACAGACACCTCCATCCTGACTCGGTCGACGATTGGTGTTCACGCTCAGATGTTTGCTCTTCCTTGTTGTCGCTTGCGTATCTGTTATTCCCACTTTAGTTTCGCGAACCATATAAATCATGAATGTGTCTCGGTATTGCAGAGCTTCTACATTGATCACAGAAACCAAGAGTTTTTTACTGTATAGACAGTGACGGAAGCTCTTGCTTCGCAGACTTGATTTTTCTATCCACGTACCTTGGCTTCGAGCCACTCTGCAATCGCTTGATTGACTTCCTCGTGCTTCTCGACAGGGACAAAGTGACCTGCAGTAATGCTCACATAGGTCAAGTCCTCACAAAGCTCCTTCTGTGGCTCTGCCAAAGTTGATACGACAGTCTCGCAAACAGTGTCGTATTTGGCCTCGATGAACAAAACCGGGAATTTGAGATGGCCCTCGTTCTTGCTGTTCTCGAGGTTGTAAGCACGGTTTGCCTTGTGGTTGAGGTACCAGGCGTCGCCAGGCCAGAAGCCGGTCTTCTCCATTGCGGCCACGAGTTCCTCGAATGTCTCCTTGTCGATGCAGGCGTATGCATCAGGGATCGCGCTAGCAGGCAAGGGTTTTTCAGCACCACCCATCCATCCGCCATCTTCGACAGCTTGTGCCATGGGTGCGGGCTTGCAAACGGCCTCAGGGTTGCCCTTTGTATAAGCCATCCTCAGGAAGCCGCGAATGTCCTTGTCGAACCAATCTGTGGCCTTTTCGAAGTTTTGTTCGTAATAGGCTTGATAACTCCACTGACCGTATTTGTATTGGTCTTCGGGGTAGACGTTGCGATCGACATGTTTAAGGGCTTCCTCCAATCCGAGTTCGAGAATACCGTAAGGCACAGTCATTCCACAAGCTCCCTTGAAAACCTCCGGGTGGGTACGTGCAAGGGTCCAAAGAGTACCGCATCCCCAGTCGTGCGCTACCCAGATGGCTTGGTTGTATCCGAGATGCTTCAGCAGAGCCAACATGGCTTTGACGATTTGTTCTTGGGCATAGTCTTCAGCGACTTTGCGAGCCGTAGATCCACCATAGCCTGGCATATCGGGAGCGACAACTTTGTAGCCCCTCTTTGAGAAGTCTGTGAGCTGGTCGTGCCACGTCTTGCCAATGCCAGGCCAGCCATGCATAAATACCATCAGGTCGCCATCGTCGGGGCCGGCGGAGAGGTAGTGCAGCGTTTTGCTACCATCTTCGTAGACTAGGTCGTGTTCAGAGAATGAAGGCATGTTTGTTTAATAGTATGGTGCAGAGAAGTGAAAGAAACAAGGGGTCACTCGTGCTTATATAAGTAGTAGACGCTATGGTGGCCAAGCTCTGGTAGTCATGCCACGGCCGCATCCTTCTAGTCGCATGAAGCGACAAGGCGAGCAGCCAGTAAGCATCAATCATTAACCACAAGACAATATATCATCCTTTTCCCCCGATAATAACACATTCGTGTAGCAATGCCAAGGAAGATCAAAGTGATTCAGACTGCTACTTCGTGTCAGCACAGGTCAATCAATCAAGCACAGAATGGTCACATACAGTGAACCGGTCAATCAAAGTAGCCCAGCAAGAGCATGCCCATGCCGACTCCTACAGGAACAAAGGACCAGTGCTTCCACTCGCCTCCTCCGGTGCATCTCTTCTGCACAAAGCCGTCGCCAATTGCGACAAGGATGTCGGTCATGAGAACCCAGCCGAGCGTCCGACTGTCAGCGAGAGTTCTGACAGCTAGAATCATGAGTCCAAGTGCAATGTTCCTCACGCCATAGAGTTGCATCAAGGACTCGATGAGAAGCTGCTCTTCGCCAGGTTTCGTGGAGGGCTTGAAGCCCCATACCTGTTGCAGCATCACCCGAGGCTGAAAGACGCCCGTGAGTCCAAGCGTGAGCTGGAACACGCCAGATGCAGCCCCGATGTTGAGCGCAAGAGGAGATTGCGAAGAAAGACCCAGCAATGACATGATGACTTGAATATGAGGTGGTACAGAAGTTGAGATATTAGATTGAGGAATCAGGAAGTCGCGCCAGTCACATTTTTAGTATGATGATTGACCGGTCTTCGACACAAGGAATCCTTCGGGTCAGCCGCATACGCGAGCTAACCAACAGATAACGTCCGACCACGATCTTCACATTCACGATGAGTTTTGCTGATTGGCTTCATTATCGTCTAATAAGTAGGAAACACAGAAAATACTCGCCAAGTCTAGATTAGAAATGGCTGCGTGACATCTACATACACATCGGCGAGTTATGCTTCATACTCATTCCCAAGGATGCTTTACATCGTCTTCGAGTGGTAAGACTCCCTTTCTCTGCATCCAAGTAGCAACAGCATCGGCATCAGCCCAGACTCTCAAGATGTTTCTGCCCACAACTTTACCAGCATTCAGCTCGCTAATACCCTGCTTGAGCATCTCGGTCACGAGATCAGGGAATTTGGACACATCCTCGAAGCCCTTTGGTGTGCTCTCAATGCCGTCAAAGTCGGTACCGATCCCTACATGATCGTAGCCAATCATGTCTCCAATGTACTTGATGTGCTTGACCACCTGCTGCAAAGTCGAGGTCTCGGGCACGAACTCAGGCAGACCAGAGGAGCTATTCGAGGCGCGGCAGCTGATAAAGTCTGGATTGGCGTTGACCATTACAATGCCACGACTGGCTTTGACGTGTGGAAGAATATGGTCAGGGACGTTGCGAGGATGTGGGCAGATGGAGTAGGCGCTTGAATGACTGAAGATTGGTGGTGCAATGCTGCCTTGCCAGCCATCTTCACCTTGACCCAAAACATGGGCCATGGTGTTTTGGCTCACATGACTAAGATCAACCAACATGCCTAGTCTGTTCATCTCCTGGATCAACTTCTTGCCCGCAGGCGAGACACCACCCCATAGTGGGGGTGCGACAACGGTCTCATTGTCGGAGTTTGAGACCAGAGCAGCGTCGGCATATGCATTATGGCAGTTCCAAGTCAGAGTTGCGTAACGGACTCCAAGTTGATGATAAAGGCGAAGAGTCGAGATAGAATTGCCAATCTGGTGTAGACCTTCAATTCCCATAGGAGAGATCAACTGGTGAGCGGCAAAGGCACGCAGAGCCGAGGCTGAGTCTTTAGCCGGAGTGAAGTAGCGCGGGTACATATCTGTAAGGCGGTTGAAGAGATCGATCTGTTCAAGAGTCGTCTTGACATAAGGAGCATAGGCAGCATCAGAGAAGTCAGAGCCATTGGCCGGACAGGGCACAAAGGCACTCCAGAAAGCACCTCCAAGTCTGCCTTGGTTCATGCGAGGAATGTCTGTTTCGCCCTGCAGGCCACCATTTTCCATCTTGTCGGTAAATGCTGGATCATAGATGTGGTTCTTGTAGTCGACTCTCATCCTGATCAAGAGATCATTGTGACCGTCTTGGAACAAATCAGTCGATGGAATCTACAAAGCTATTGCACAGAATGAACGAAACATACCAATCAAAGGGTTCCGGATCAAGACTCTCTCGGCTGGTGAGTAGACAAGATAGTCAAGAGGCCAATTGCCTGTTAAATAATAGCATGTACCAAACGAGGCAGCAAAGGTGATTGCGAGCACGCGTATGGTTTTGAGTAAAGAACGCGATTTGGTTGACTTGGCCTCACGAGGCAGTCCACCAAGTAGAGGCTCCTTCTCCATCTCAGGTGTATAGGCAATAGATGATTGCGAACAGGAAGCAGGTGGGCAAGAGCGATAGATAGTAATTGGTAAGCGCGTCCCGAGTTACCGCCCTGCCGCGATAGGAAAGTGACCCTGGCAGAACAAGCGGCGTCATCATGCCGGGATTAATTCGGCAGGTGCATCCATGAAACAATACTCTTGGAGCCCCTCGGGGACGAGTGCTTGACACGAACTTAACAGCAAGAGCTTGGAAAGATACAGGTCAAGATGGGCTTCAGATTCTCGTCGTATACGCTTATCAAGAGTGTATCGCTGATCCACATCACGGCGGCGTATCTCCTCCTCTACAGGCCGCACGTCCTGGCCGAGCAGAACATTGTTGTCATCTTTGGCGAGTCGATGCAGATTGTAAGCACTGCTAGCCTCTGACTACCACTTCCTACAGCTAACAGTCATTCAGNNCCTGCAACCTCTGCCTTCAGCAAACCCACAGAAATCACTGCCCTCGCCTCCATCTTCCTAGCCTTCCTCGGCGTCAGCGACCTGATCGCAGCCAGCCTTCCCGAACGCTCATGCCTCGAATACTGGTCCAATGTACTGCCTTTCCGTCTTTTCATGCTGTTTGTCGGCACAGGGTACATCTACCTCAACAAGGGTGACGACACCGTCACTTCAACACTCCGAGCTCTCAAGAGCGACTCAAACCCGCTCGACCTTGTCAAAAATTCGTTCGTTTTCACGTTCATGTTCATGGAGACGCTCCATTGGTTCTGGGTCTTTATCGCCATGAAGGAAGACAGACGTGAGTGGATGGTTCGTGAGGCCACTGCACAGCTTCGCGAGGAAGAGGAGAAGAAGTTCAGAATGTAAAGAGCTAGGCATAAGGAAGAGCAACGAAAATGAAGACATCAAACAGTTACATACACTCAAATGGTTTGCACCTGCTTGTACTGGAGCGATCTCGAAGCCTCTCGCCGACATCACCCTGAGCATCATCGTACTGGCTTTTGCCTTCTCGTGTTAGAAGCCATGGTTCGATGGAAAACTAAGGCTGGTTACGGGATGAATACCGATCTCCAATACTCCCGGGAAGGCAAGTGACAAAACGGTACCATGTTTGCAAGCTTTGACAGAGGCTTCACCATACACCTTGTTGAGTCCAGATAACACAAGAATGGTGTCGCAAATGAAGGTCAATTCGTGTATAAATCAATCGTTCTCAATACCAAAAGTAAGGATTCGAAACTTCTACTCCTGACTCGCGATCAACAAAACAGTTCCTGTACATCTCTTTCCACTTTTTTCACTCATCGTGGCTCAGATACCTTGGTTCGCAACCCGAACAAGTCCAAAGACTGTGCTAGCCACCACAAGCTCCACACCGGAGTAGCGAACACGGCCTAGCAACCCTGGCCTCCACCTTTCCAGCAATGCTCTCCGCTCTTTTTTCTTTCCCCTAATCCCACAAACACCAGATATGCTGGCAGTCATCTTTCCAAGGCGTATACAAGGGAGTAGGAAGGTCAGTAGAAGTAGGAGAATCGGTGGGAGTAGGAGAGTCTGTGGGAGATGGGTCAGGAGATCCTAAACAGGACCAGCCCGTAGGTGACCAGTAACAAGCGCCTTGGTCCTTAGGACAGTCCTCAACCACGTCTTCGTAAGCTTTCGGCACAAAACAGTGCTCAGAACTTTTGAGTTGTACAAGTTCACTGAAACACCATGGCCAGGCTGGAGAAAGATCCCCACAGCCATTCGGAGGAGGCCAAATAGTAGCGGCGTGTTTGGTGTCGGCATGATCTTCATCTCTTTTCTTGTTTCCACCTCTCAATGATTTTTCCCATTCCAAAGCCCGTTCCAAGGCATTCTTGGGACTGGGTAGCATCTTGACAAATTCTTTGCCAAAGGGGTTCCAATCGTCGTAGGGATGGGGTCTGTCCTCTGTGTCGAAATCGTCACGAGGTCGGATCGTGATGGAGGGACTTGGTGGAACGGGAAAAGGTGCTGCTGCTGCAGAGCTGATGGCGAGGGCTGCGAGAGCGAAGTGGGAGAGTGGTGCCATGGTGATTAATGGGTTTGATAGATGCTGAGACGAGCTGTGAAGAGCGGTGATTAGTGTTTGATATGATGCAGGGGTATTGTTGATGGTGAGTACCTTGTAATGCTTTGTTTGAGATGGAAAAGAGCGATGGAAAGAAAGGGAAAGAGAAGGAAGGTCCAACATAGGGTGGTGATATACGTTGCTTGAGAGTGCGTGATATTTTTGAGTCGTGAGACACATCGAGAGTTTACTGATGATCGTCTCAAGCTTCTCAGTGGGTTCAATCCATCCAATCGTCTTTCTGTTGATTCTGTGTTCAATGTTGTGTATAGTCGCTCACACCACCCACACAAGATATCGCCATGTAGACCACTTCTGTCACTTTATTGCGACATCACGGGATGATCTGAACAATATAGTTGTACCAGACAATAACTTCTGCCTTTGCCTTCATGTGTGTCCACAGCTATGTATATCGAATACACAAAGAAGCCGGCCACCTCGCTCAAGTATACACTAGCTTTCCAAACCACCATCACTCCATCCCAAAATCTCCACAAGCATCCCACTTTAAACTCAGATGAAACCTCAACCTTAACAGCATCTTTCAAAAGCTTGCGCCATCACAACAACAGCCATTTAACACACGAAAAGTTTCGGAACACAAGAGAGATCATCATTTGAAACAGTCCTCGGTGGTAAAGTCTCTAGCAGGATTGTTTACCGTGCCTTGTTGTAGCTCAGCCATCGCGGTATTTGCAACGCGGGAGAACAACACAGGTGAAGAACGTCAGTGGAGCAGGGGATGATTGCGGGCACTAGGGCGGGTGTATGTCGATTGTACTTCTTGCTCAGCGGTCGATGTAGAGATTTTCGACGCTGTCTACACCTGTGATGACAAGACCTACTGATGCGTGAGTCTTGAAATTTGACAAGGCCTATAACTTTACAATCGGTGACATGAACCGATGGTAGTGGTGATCGAATGACAGATCTCGTCTGGTCTATCATTTATTGAGGATACAGCCATGAATACTTAAACCACACTGTAGCAAGGGCTCATCTTGTTCGAGCAATATCAATCATTGAAGCTTACACCGTTTGAGCATGTACTCATCTCAAACCACCTCTACATCATCTCAAGGCCAGCCATAAGCAACTCGGTATTGGATGACTGGTCGTTTTCGAGGGTGGCAGTGAGTAGTCGCGACAAGTGCGCCATCTTCCGCCTGTTCGCTTCTTCTTCCATCTGCGTGCTTTTGATCGCTGCGACATCAAGCACGTCTTTGGGTAGTCCTGCAAGTCTCGCCACGTTCAAGCCGTAACTGCGATGTGCTACACCTTCTCCAACTTCGTACAGGAAAGTGATATCGGTGTGATCATCACCAGCGACTTCTTCTGTGAAGCGCATATGGACATTTCGAAGTTCTCGTGCTTCGTATCGCTCGGCCATACGCGAGAGTGCTTGATAGTGGGTGATGAACAAGGTAAGTGCTTTGGTCTCGCGTACGACGTAGTCCAACACAGCTTGTGCAATCGCCACACCATCATGTGTACTCGTACCACGACCTAGCTCGTCCAGGATGATCAGAGATCGAGGTGTCGCTTGCTTGAGGATGTCTGATGTTTCAGACAGCTCCACCATGAAAGTACTTTCACCCTTCAGCATGTTGTCAAATGCGCCCATACGAGTGAAGACGGCGTCCAATGGGGTAAGTCTCGCCTGTGATGCAGGCACCCAGCTTCCTATCTGTGCCATAATACTGATCAAGGCTACCGATCTAACATAGGATGACTTGCCGCCCATGTTTGGTCCAGTGATCAGAAGCGCTCTCTCTTTCGAAGACAGTTCTATGTCATTTGGCACATACGAATCAAGAAGGATCTGCTCAACCATCGGATGGCGGCCCTCTCTGACCTCAATACGAACCTCGTCACTGTCGGTGATAAATTCAGGCTTGGTGTAGCCAGGTTGACTCGCAATGTCAGCCAGCGACAGCAGACAGTCCAGAGTCGCCAACGATTGAATGCAATCGCGGAAGGTCTGGTACTTGGTACCAATCTCAGAGAGCAATTCAGCAAATGCTGCGTCACATGCATTGGCAAGAGCTTCCTTGCTTCTATCACGTTCGCGGACCAACTTGACGACTTCTGGTGTATGGAAGCGAGAGACTTTCTTGGTTCCACTGATCTTGATCCAAGATGCGGGTACCCTCTTGAGATGAATGTTCTCAATCTCAATCAGAAACTCGATGCCAGAAACTGTCACATAGTTGACCTTGCCAGTCTTCTTGAGTATGTTTGCGGCTTCAGTACGATGCTCGTCCAGATCATGCTCGACAGCAGCAATCGCGACTTTGTGGTCAGTGATGTCTTCAGTCTCGTACTGCTCACGGAAGAAGGAATATTTGTCGTCATCCTTTGCGGCTTGAAGGTCGATTTTCTCGAGATAAGAGATGACGTCTTCGGAAATCAGTGGCAGGGATGCGATAGCCTCAGCAAGCAATGCAGATTTGAAACCGGAATCTTCTGCAGTTTTGACATGCGAGTACTCGTTTGAGATACTCTGCAACGTCTGAAGTACAGACACCAGCTCTGGACGAGCACACTTCTTGTAATAGATCCTGATCAACGACTTTTCCAAATCACCCCTGACGTGGGCGAGTAGATTTTTTATGCGGTCAGTGGGGATAGCACGGTCAGTGTCGAGGAGTTCTTCGACAGCGCCGATACGCTTCTGGAGTTGTTCTTGGTCGAGAAGTGGACGTCCCACCCACTTGCGTAAAAGACGCTGACCGAAACGAGTCCGTGTCCGGTTCAAGATAAAGAACAGACTGCCCTTCTCAGTGTGGTCTGTCTGGTTCTGGTAGATCTCTAACGAAGATAGTGTGTTTCCATTCAGAAGCATATGTGACCGTGCACTGAAAGACTGGAAGTTTTTGGTGAGATCAAAGACATGCTCGAGTCCATAGTCGGTCAGATGAGTAATCATGGCCGAAAGACACATTGTGACAAGCTCGGAAAGTTGATGAACCTTGTCAAGCATCGCTGATTTCTCTTCTGTCGACTCGTCCGACTGCATCTTGCCAGCGTAGAAATCGGATATGTGAGTGTATGCTTGAGCCGCAAACGCCTTTGACTTATCGGTACGTTCTACACGTGCGCGATCTCCGAAGACATTAGTTCTGCTGCCTGATAGATGTTCGACTAACTTCTCGGTTGCTTTGGACACAGAGCCGACGATCAAAAACTCGCAAGGTGCAATATGAAGCAGGCGGGTTTCGAGCTCGCTTCGCATGAAGCCATCGTGGAAGTCGTCGTAGATTATATCGCCTGTCGTGGGCTGGACTGCGACAATACCAAGACGTACCTTCTCGTCCGTACCCGAGCCTCCGGCGTTTGTCTCGGTCAGACAGAGCAGATGACCAGTTGCAGGAGCGCCTCCAGCTGGTGCAGCGACAGGACCGTCTAGACCTTCTATGTCATCGATATAGGTACCCTTGGTGTAGAGATTTGTAAGTTTGCGGACGAAAGGTGTGTTGCGGTTATCACCAGCCTTCTTCAATGCAGCTGTTTCTAGTTGACGTACAACACCAACCTTGTGTCCGGCAGAGACGAGACGCTTGACATGGACATGCAGACGATGGGTAGGAAAACTTGCTCCAGCAAATTTGTCAAGGTGTGCTTCGGACGGGTGCTCATCAAACCTCATCTTTCCTGGTACACACATGATTTGCAATTCTTTTGCGGCAATGCGAGCGTCCTCACCAAAGAAACGAAACTTGTAACCCACTTCTACGACTAGAAGTGTATCCATGTGCTTCTTTTTGAGATCGACGACTTGTTTCTCCATGGGAGTGAGCTTGCTGGCAGACTTCCGGACTGCAGGGCCCTTTCTACCCTTTGCAGGCTTCTGGACTTCTTCCTCTTCCTCATCGAGATCCTCCTCGCCATCAGGTTGTTCTTCGTCAATGAAGTGATTGCGACGCCTGATGTCAATGAGACTGTCAGGTCTGCCGAGTTTCTTCACGAAGGCTCGGTGCAAACGCTCTTTCTGCCTGCGGACCGTCTCATCGTCTTGAACATCTTGAACAGGTTGATCAGGTTGAGAACTTGAGAAGACATATTTGGAAGTACGGTCCGAGGTAGGTGCAGACGCATTGGTAGTCACAGGTCTGTGTGGTTGTGTCGTACTAGGCAACGGTGCCTCATTCTCCAAGTTGTCTACATCCTGACGCGTCCTCTTTGGATCGGGTAAGTCTTCATCCTCGTCGCTGTACTCTTCAAAGGGACGTTTCGGCTTAGGTGGGCTGCTGTTTACGGACGTTTCTGCGGCATAACTTGTGAGGTCAGGCGCGTTGAGTTTCGATGGTCTCTTGATTGTGGATGGTGTAGGCGCGGTGGTCTTCCTCGCAGCGGGTTGCTTAGGAGTGAAGAAACTGGAGATGGACTGCTGCTTCTTGGCCGAGGATTGAGAGGGCGGCGGACTGCTTCTCCCAAAGGCCATGACTGCGCGACTGGTCGACGAGTCTAGATTGTGGAAGATGGTCGCGATGCAGCACGTCAATGGAATGCATCTAGAAAGTCCGTGCACGAAGCTCGTTTCGCGCTAGAAAATGCACTTTACGCGAAGCGCGTCTGCAATCTACGCGCTTCCTCGAGTCGCTCCTTCCCATTCATTGAACATTGACACATTGATCATATCATTTGCACCTTCTCCAATTCATAATATCATAATCACAGTCGCGACTTCCTCAACCACCTCCCGCAATGTCAGCTTCTGTCCTGGNNGGCAAACGTACCCGGAGTTCAACGAATGGTACGAACTACCAGTACTCTACGCGTGCTCAGACATTGACGATATGAGCAGCATCAGATAGCGGCATACAGACCAGGGCAAAGCGCCGCGAGACACTGGTACTAGGAAACGACGAGAACGACAATCCATTTTTCAAGCCGAATTCTTCCCCTGCAACACAATCGAAGCCCACGCTCTCGAAACGCGTAGTATCGTCACCGAATAAGATCAGTGCCCATTTTTCCGTTTCGAAGACCACCAAATCATCTACCGTCGCCAAGTCAAGCCCTCTGGCCACGCCACAAACACCGCGACATCGCGATGCCCTGGCCTCGAAGGTCACAATTACTCCAAGACATCGCCATCTCATTACTAGCAGCCCGGATACCCCTCGCAGCCCGTACACGCCCTCAGCTGCCGCCAATAATATTTACAATCAAGCCCGTCAAATCTTCTCAAGATGTACAGATCCCGGTGTGCTGGTTGGAAGAGAAGAAGAGAAGGAGCAGTTGTCCACATTCATATCAGAGCGCCTCGACTCCAGCGAAGGCGGATGTCTGTACATCTCAGGGCCCCCAGGAACCGGAAAGAGTGTTTTCGTCGGTCAAGTCTGTCAGGATATCGCTACGGCCTCGGATCGTAAAATGACCATCTCGACTGTCAACTGTATGAGTATCAAAACGGCCAAAGACCTCGCCAACACTTTGTCGAAAGATCTGGACTTGGACAGCCTATCTGGACGCGCTGCGGACTTTGATTTCCTGCGCGCCAATTTCTTCGAACAGGAGAAGAACTACGTGGTCATTCTAGACGAGATCGATCGCCTTGTCGACCTGGACCTCAAACTACTGTACAGCCTTTTCGAATGGTCTATGGAACCTTCATCGAGTCTCATTCTTATCGGCATTGCAAACGCTCTTGATTTGACTGACCGTTTCCTGCCTCGCCTCAAGTCACGCAATCTCAAACCAAATCTGCTGCCATTCATGCCGTATAACGCTCCTCAAATCGCCAGCATCATTACATCAAAACTGAGGGGATTGGATTCTTCTCTGGCCGATTCCAACTTCATCCCATTCCTACACCCTGCAGCCATTCAGTTCTGCTCCAAGAAGGTCGCATCTCAGACTGGTGACCTCAGAAAAGCCTTTGATATCTGTAGAAGAGCTGTCGACATGATCGAGTCAGAGACAAAGGTTGAACAAGCGCGCATCCGTCTACAAGACAGTCCGTCCAAGACACCGCTAAAGGAGAATCTGAATCTTGCATCACCAGCTGTCAAGTTGACAGCCTTCCAAAAGTCGGCTCTCAAGGATCCTCGCCAGACTACTCTCTTCCCTTCGATCAGCCATTTGACGCTCGAGACTGCACCGAGAGCGACCATCGCTCATGTCGCCAAAGTCACAGCCGCTGTCTTCAGCAACGGAGCGTCTCAACGTCTAGCATCTCTAAACCTACAGCAGAAGGCTGTGCTATGCGCCCTATCGGCTCTCGAGAAGAAGAAACGCGAGGCATCCAGCGTAGTCACATTCCCAATGACACCTTCCAAGCATGCGAATGCTGCGCCTACCGTCAAGCAGTTGTATGAAGCCTACTGCACACTATGCAACCAAGAAACCCTTCTGCACGCCCTGACTAGCATCGAGTTCAGGGATGTAGTCAGTGGCCTAGAGACATTATCACTGATTTCTGCTGTTGAGGCCAAGGGCGCTTCATCATTCTCAATGCCTCTGACACCTTCTCGCACACCCAGCAGACGATCAAAGTCTGGATTCACCGGCGCAGCAATGGGCGATGATAGAAGAATGGCTGCTTGTGTTGGCCATGCCGAGCTGGTCTCTGCTCTCAAAGGGCCTGGCAGCGATATTCTCAAGGAGATGATCGAAGGTGATGGCATTGTGGCATGATCATGGTTTGTTTCTGTTTCTGTTTCGACATCTTTGCATGTCTTGTTTTCATCATTGTTGTTTTGTTTTTATTCATTCTTAGCATTAGCGATTGCATGGAGGTGCCTGCGGGCTGGTGGCTTTGTTTTGCTATGGACTGGCTCCAATATGTGTATTTTATGGTTGAAGAAGGAAGGGAAAAGTATCCTAGCTGGCATGGCTTTTTTCTCGATGAGAAGGAGGAGGAACGTAGATAGATAGAGTAGAGCTCTCACGAACTTGAGAAGAACTGAAATACAGAGATCTCCCCACATCACAAACATCTTTTGTGTCTGTCTTCTGTGATACTCAAAATCAAGCACGCTCTTTGAGAAATTGCAGGGACTCGATGCTTCATGACAAGCTCTCGAAGATCTCAATCCAGAACAATATTTGCAACAGTGCAACACTCTGTACATATGATGAGGAGAGGAAACCGTATTGGTGTTGATGACTTGTCCCAAATCCGATGGGTATGGTTGGTATAGAAGAAATCGCTTATGTACGAGAAAAACAGAGAGAAAAGAAGAATAGGAACTCCCCAGACCAGAACCAAAAAAACTAAATATAACCTTCTGGGTTGACGTTCAAAGCAGGCGCCTTCTTCCATTTCGGCACCCTTCTCGCAGCCTTGAGTTCCTTGTCATATGCCTTGTCGTCCTCTGGACTCAGCAATGTACCCTCGATACTCAAGAATCCTCGTTCGCGTTCTGTGCTGGGCGCAGATTCGAAATCCTTGACTGTGAACTTGAGCTTTCCTTCAATCTTCTTGCCGTTTTGATCGACGTAGTGGCCACTGCTTTCGTCGCTCTTGTTGCGCAGACCGCGCATCCAGTCTGTTGCGCTCTTGGTGCCGGCGTTGGCATTGTGGTTAGGTACCCAGCGCCAGTTTGAGGGGATGCGCTTGCGGTCCACGCCTGCGTTGAAGAAGTTCCAGCATACCAGACCGAGATAGGATTCGTTTTGGAGGCTGACGAAGCCTTCGATGACGGCGCCGGGGGAAGGGCGTAGCAGGATGAAGTCGACGGTTAGCCAGACAAAGGAAACCGCGTATTCGTCGATGGACTTTGCGAGGATGGTGGGAGAGGCGTCGGACCCGTCGCGCGAGGAAGGTGCGTTGGCGGGGGTGTTTGAGAGGCGCGGGTTATCGTAGGAGAGGACCACGCCGCGCAGAGGTGGGTGGTAGGTGAGCAGCAGAGGAGAAATGTGTTCGGCGCAGAGGCCGTCGACGGGGAATTGGTGGTAGATTGGCGACAGAGGGAGGTAGAAGGATTCGGTCTGCTTGACAAAGGGCGATGTGCTTGCTGCATCTGGCACTGGCGATGCGATGCGCGGACGCTTTGGTAGGCTCTCGAGTGTCGTCTCTGGTGCTTCTTCCGTTGCTGCTGCCGTGGCTTGCTCCTCGTGTCGTCGTTTCTTTGCCGATTTCTCCTCCTTGGTCTTTTTTGTCTTTGCTGATTTCGGTGTGTTTGCCATCTTGTCTGTTGACATAGTGTGTGTGTGTGTGTTGTGGTTATGTGATGTGAGAAAGATCAATCAATTGGGAAAGATCAAAAAAATCGCGGGCTTACACAGCTATGAAAGTTTATGCATGCGCGCTTCGAGTCCGTGCCCTGCGAGTCGAGGATCCCACGCGGAGATATCGGGGCTAAGAGCAAGCCTCCTGTCCAGAACCTTGTTTGACCAGTTGCGTTCGTTTCACCTCGAAGGACACACGTCTCCGTACCAACCTCGCTCGTAAACCAACTCAGACTGGGAAAATGTCTGATAACTTGCTCTCTCTAGCTGGTTGGTATATCCTGCCCAACGTGAGTCCTCTCTCGTAGTTCCGTCTCTCTCAATATCAAATCCACGAAACCTCAATATGGACGAGTATCCCTTCGAAGACATCGAGTCATTGGGTGTAACCATAGCATATTCGTTGTTCTCAAGATTCGGATTCTATCTCTTTGACATTGTCAGACTTTTTGTTCGTGTGAATTGGGCATGAGAACAAATGACTGACTTGACATCAACAGCTAGTGACAGGATGGGCCCAATCAATCTTCTATGCCGTGTGGATACGCGCAGGTGATCCCAGGCCTCAACCCGGAACCAGGACATTCGTGCAGCACCGTAGGAGAATCAACATTATAGTCATTATGGCCTACCTCCTCTACACAATCTACGAAGCCGATTTCCAACTCCGCACGGCAGGAAACTTGTACCAAGACCTCGGTGTGGGACTGGGAGTTGACGACAGAGGAATCAACAGTCGCTTCAGAAGACTGTACGAGACTTCCAACACTCGTGAATCACATTGAGAACAGGCAAAGCTGACGGTAGACCAAAGAACACTCCTCCATCACCCAGACAAAGTATCCCCAGACACCGACCGCAGCGCCGCAGAATCCTACTACGTGCACCTCAAACTCTGCCGCGACATTCTCATCGACCCAACAAAGCGTTTCGCCTACGACCGCCTCGGCCCCGAAACCCTCTTCTGGCAAAAAGCAACCACAATTCCCGATTACCTTTCTATCGGCCTACGCAACCTTTTGATGTACTACACCGGCACTGCTGGCGTATTGACTCTTCTCGGTTTCCTCGGCTACATCAAGCAAGCCGCCTTTTGGAGATTTATGGCCTTGGCGTCGTTGGGTGTGTTTGAAGTGTATTGTTTGACCAGCACACAGTTTCCTCGCTTGTTGACACGGCTGGCAAACCCAGTGTTTGCGATCATACCCACTCATCCCCCATTCTTACCCTTTCAACTCGTGTCGCTGCTCAGAAAATTGGTCTTGACGGCTTTCATCGCATTCTCGCAGATTGGGCCTTTGTTGGCTTCTCCAGAGGCGGCTGCTGCTGCTGCTGAGCAGAATGATCAGGTTTCCCAGCAGCAGTTGCAGAGATTGGGTGCTTTGGGCCAGGCGCTGGAGAATGAGGCTAATATGCTCATGGGATTGGAGATGACGCCATTTGCGAATGATGAGGCTGCGATGAGGGAGATGAGAGGGAGGATGAAGAGGTTTTTGGTCGACAATACCGTGAGGAGTAATGTCGAGGTGAGGAATGCCATGGGTGAGGCAATTGCCAGGAGGAGGCAGGGTGTGCCGCATGGTGCTGTCGGTGCTAGATAGATTTTTGCTGTTACAGGAGCAGCACAAGTAACATTTGGACCATAACAATACGTGCATGGCAATCCTTCAGAACATCACATAAACTGCACATTTTGGTGGAACTGTCATCTGATACATGTAAAGATGGAAACGGCGAGATTTTATAGATCTTCTATGCTAGAGGAAAAAATGCTACTCTACAACTCTTCATGCTCAATAGGCTTCTCCTGCTCCTCAACCGCAACAGAAGGGCTAGCAGCAGAAGAAACAGACTCTGACGCCGTAGACGTCTCACTGCTGCTCGACTTTGCCTTCTTGCTCTTGGTGGCCTTGGGCTTCTTGGAGCTGCTGCTACTGGTGCTGCGCTTGGGCATCTGCATCTTCTTGGTTACCATGTCCATGAGTGCCTTGTTGAGCTCCTTGGCCTTGACTTCGACTTCCTTGACGGTAAAGGCGGGGTCTTCAAAGGCTTGGAGCTTGTCTTGCTCGGCCATCTTGGTCTTGACCCACTCGGCAACACTCTCGTAGGCCTTGGTAATGGAAGTGAGGTCTTCCTCGGTGTAGGGCATCAAGCTGGCTGATTCGCTGGGCTTGGCCGACGAGGAAGTAGATGAAGCATCAGGCTCGTCGAGGTCGTCCAAGTCATCGGCAGAGCTGGGACTTGGGCTAGCTTCGGCAGTCGTACTGCTCGACAAAGCAGCCTCAGAGGCAGACGAAATCGAGGCAGCAATCTGCTTGCCAATGGCATCAACCATTGACTTGGTCTGGTCGAGAGAGCTCTGCAGTGACTTGAGGATCTCGGGACGTGCTGAGGCTTCTTCTCTACGCTTCTGGACGGGGTCGACGATGGCCTTGAGAGCAGCAAGCTTGCTCTTGAAAGCTTCGGCCTTTGCGGAAGAGCCTTCGCCGTACAGCCATTCACTAGTGCTGCTGAGCAGAGAAGTTAACTGAGATCTGATGGCCTCGGTAGAGGCACCAATGAAGTCAGTGTTCTCAAGGAGATCTCTAGTGCGGTAGGTGTATGCCTCAAGAACATTCAAAGCCTCTTCTCTCTGGGTGCGAGACATGTCTGAACGGTCGAAAGCAGCGAGACGCTCCTTCATGCGCTTGACGTCTTCGGGTGCGGGTTGAGGAAGACCCTTGGCAACAGTGGTGAGCTTGATAGAGATGGTCTCGGTACGCTTCTTGTTCTTCTCGGCCTCGGGAGTGGCAGAACCACTTGACTTGGCGTTGGCAGTACTGGAAGAAGAGCTGGATGAGGAGCTAGACTCCTTCACGGTCTCCACCTCCTCGTCCTCGATGAGGGGCTCTTGATCGCCCTTCTTGGAACCAAATCCGAAGAGGCCCTTGACAGAGTCTCCAATACCAGCAGCCTTGCCTCCCTCGACTTCACAGCTGACGGAAGCAGCCACAATCTCGGGTATGCTGTCAACAGGGCTGATACGAAGCTTGAGCTTGGTCGAGATCTCATCCTTGGAGCAGCCGAACTTGGTGGTCAAAGCCTCAACAGAAGCGGTCAAGTTCTGGGTGTGGACCTCGGTGACTGGACGATCAACACTGTTGACCGTTTGGAAGATGCCAAAGGTGAAATCGTCAAGGTTCTTGATGGTGATTTCCTTGGCAGATCCAGCCTGAGAAGTAGGGACGAACAGTTTCTGCGATCTCTCCTTGCCATCTGAGGGGTACTTGATGCCTGCAGGGTAGACGGCGGCCTCGAGGTCCCTGATCTCCTTGACACGGAAGCTAGGGCTCAGACCAGCGGCCTTGAAAGCAGCACCGAAAGCGGCAGATTCGTCAGAGTTGACGTTGCTGCGAACCTCAGTGTTCTTGCCAGTCATGGACTCGAGCTTCTTCTGAATAAATGGTGTTCTGATGGCACCGCCGTGGAGAATGACCGAGTCAAGATCCTTGAAAGACAGCTTGGCAGCATCCAGAGCCTGTTGGACAGGGGCCTGGATGCGGTCGGCATGAGAAGCGGCCATCTTCTCGAAGTCGGTTCTAGTGAGCTTGGTAGCGAAGTCAATGTCGTTGTACAAACCCTCGAAGCTCGATCTGACTTCGGAGTTGGCACTCAGAACCTGTCTCGCGCGTTCGGCTTCACGCCAAATCTTGGAAGCGGTTCTACCGTGACTCTTGACCTCTTCGGCGGTGATGCCAGCCTTTACGGCCTGGGGCTTGGCGACAAAACTGTCGACGAGGTAGTCGACGATAAGAGCGTTGAGTTCATCTCCTCCCAGAGTCTTGTCCCAGCCAGAACCGACTACGGCAACCTCCTGGATAGTCTTGTTGAAGCGACCAATGTCCTTGACGTCCTTGGACTGGAATCTGAGGACAGTGGCGGTTGTTGATCCAGCACCCATGTCAAAGACCAGATGGTACTCGGGCTTCTCACCCTTGGTGACACTAGGGAAGGTGCGCTTGACGGCGTAGTCGATACCGACAGCCAGTCCGTCGCTGACGAGGCTCATGATGTTGATGCCAGCCAGATCAGCGGCACGCTCGATGGCACGTCTCTCGTCGGCAGTCCAGTGGACGGGTACGGTGATGACGGCGTCTGTGACTTCTCCTCCCTTGCCGCCAGACATGGCTTCGGCGTTTGTGCGAATGTTCTTGAGCTCCATGGCCAGCAACTCGTCGAGGTTCCATCGCGCTTCTTCCAAGCTGAAAGCAGTGGGCACAAACGAGACAGCTCCCTTCTCTTGCTCAAAGTTGGACTTGATTGCGGGATGGCGGGCGTGGTAGTTCTTGATCATCAAGTCGGCGTGTCCGCCAGGAACGAGGCCGAGGAGGGTCTTGAGGTTGGTGAAGACATCGGCAGGGAAACGACCACCGAGGGCCAGGGCATCTCCGCCGTAGAGTCTCTCCGGGTAGGAGCCAAAGTCGAGAGCGGAGCCAGTTACGGGCTTGAAGCCAACGACAGCGGCCTCTTTGCGTTTCGAATCCTTGGTGGGGACGATATCGAGGGGGACTCCAGGCTTTACGATCGCTGCTTTGATGTATGCACCGCCGAGATCAATTCCAAGGACTGCTGATGCTGCAGATGCCGTCGAGGCAAATGCGATGAACAAGAGTGCAAACAGACTAAAGGGGTGAGTGATTCCTCCCATCTTGGCCATGTTTGTGAGGCTGAAGGGGATACTCGTATGAAATAGTCGAAAGCTCCTTGTAGTGATCTAGAAGCTCGGCCGACAGGTTAAAAGAAAGGGACTTGATTTGAAGTCTAGTTTAGGACAGCATTCGACATGACTGTTCGCTTTGGACAAGTGTTGGATTGAGTCTGCTATCACCAACTTTTTTTGAAACGCGAGTCCGCTACTGCCACTTGTCTTCCCCGAGCTGTCGCTGCTTCGCCGCAACTGCCCTCCGTCACTGCCAAGCTTGGCGCCAACCGCGATTTGTGCACTAGCCGCGAGCGCGGAAAGACGTCGGCTGAATCAAGCACGCACGCGTCGAATTTGGCAGCGGCCCCCAGACTCACGCAGCGCCTGAAGATTCCCGATCCCAGTCGACGCCTTTTTTCCTTCGCCCTCGCCCATTTCACAGAAGAAGCTATCTCAGCTCATCACACAAGACTTCAAAATGGAATCCGCCAAGGTCCCCGTCAAGCTCGTCAAGGTCACCCGCGTCCTCGGCCGTACCGGTACGTTCATCTAGAAGAACATCGACAAGCCTCCATCGCCCGCCGAGAGAAAGAGTCTGCTGGAAAGAGGAGGATTGCGCATCGGTGGAAAGACATTCTGGACAACTCGGACATGGCCATGGAGGATTACCCACGCTGCAGAACAAATTGCTGACGGTTTTTTGCGACATAGGCTCTCGCGGTGGTGTTACCCAGGTCCGCGTTGAGTTCATGGACGACACTACCCGTTCCATCATCCGCAACGTCAAGNGGTCCCGGTACGATTCTCTCGCCTTACGATTCACTCGCCCTATCTCGAATACTAACACCGCATCTCCAGTCCGTGAGGACGACATCCTCTGCCTGCTCGAGTCCGAGCGTGAGGCCCGCCGTCTCCGATAAGCGACCAGCGCATGCCTTCCTTCCACTACCCTCAACCGCAACACTTTCTATCCCGAAGATCGACCGACTGTTTCACCCTCTCGTCGATATTTACCTCTCTCACCTCAATCCCTCTCTATGATACCGCTGGTTTGGGGGAGACGTTGAAGGGGAGTTTCGTTGCGGGCGCAAAAGTGCAAAGTTCTCTGATTACGATGATGTCGCCTGGGGGTCTTTTCTGATGGGTCGGGAGCTGCTGCGTAGTTTCTTCTAGCAAGGAGCCGGACAAGAAAAAAAGGAAATACGAAACAAAAAGCTTCGACGACAATTCATATCTTCCTCTTTTTCCAGTCGTGTTCTGCGCGTTTGTTGTGCTGACAGGCAAGGATGATTTTATGCGACACTCAAAAGTTATGGGCGTTCTGGTCTGGTCTGGGCCTGGTAGGCAATTTTACACTTGTTCATCCCTAACATAGTTCGTTTTGCTTTGCCAACATTCACTCGGATACTTGTCAGCCACGAACACAATCAAACGATCTGGACAAGGATTTGGAGCAACAGCTTCACGACTGGAGACACTCACATCACCACGCTCAGACTGTGACTGGAATCCAACCACCTATTTGCGACGGCTATAACACCAAACGATCCAACTGTGATATTCTGCCGCTTTGTTATAGCTTCTTCAAACTGAATCTGACAATTATGGCTACCTTACAAACGTGTAATGTGCCCATCAAGGTAGGTCAGGTGGTGGCTCCACTATGGAGTAACTGGACGGTATACGTTTGCAGTATCTAGGCGCACTCCTAGTATGTACAGGTCGACCTCCCAACCTATAGTTTGCTGTCGCGCGCGACAAAGCTCTGCCCTATCTTCAGCATATCGACAGCCTCTCTGACCATGTCTTCAACGATGTCCTTTGCGGGCTTGATGTTATCGATCACGCCAGCGACGGTCCCCATCAGATATGGAAGGTCGACGTCTTTGTCGTCATCCATGTCCTTTTGCATCGGCACAATGCCTTGCTCGGTCAACCGCTTGATGTCTTCGGGTCTGTCTTCCCAAGATTGGATATAGTCGTTCATGCGAACGCGAAGAGGTCGACCACTGACAACTAAAGTGCGCAGTGTGTCCTCAAATCTGGCTGATACCACCGCCTCTTTATGCAGCTTCGAGCACCCAGCTTCGACACTCGCAACAAATCTGTCACCATACGGTCAGCCCCCGAAACTTATAATGAGTGGAAGAACTTCATACCTTGTTCCGACCCATACACCGGCAGCTCCTTGCATCAAACTGGCTGCCAAACTACGTCCGTTGTATATACCGCCTGCTGCCACTACCAAGGCAGGTTCACCAGTCAGTGGACTCTTGTACTTCTTAGCTGCATCCACAACAGCTGGAATAAGAATGTTTCCAGGGATATCGCCTGTGTGACCTCCACCCTCGCCGCCTTGGGCGCATACGCAGTCCACACCAGCCTCGAGTGCCTTGATCGCATGCTTAGGATGACCAACCATGTTCATCACCAAGATGCCATTTTCATGCAAGCGATCGATGACTCCCTTCGGCGGCACACCCACAGCACTGATAAACAGTTTCGCGCCTTCTTCAATCACCACATCAATAAGCTGATCCAGTTGTCCATGGGTATAATCGTGGTTTGTCTTTCTTGCTGAGCCGCCTACTTGTGGCAAGGCCAAGTCGACACCAAAAGGTAGGTCTGGAGACGAGAGATGCGATTTCAATTCCGTGATTATATCGCGGAGCTGTTGAGGGTTGTATCCCAATCCTCCGATTGTGCCTAGGCCGCCTGCATTTGAGACTGCAGCAGCCAGAGGACCGGATGATGTGCGAGCCATGCCTGCAAGTAAGATTGGGTATTTGATCCCAAGCAGGGTGGTCAGAGGTGTGCTGAGCGTGGGCATGGCCATGGTGGTATGTGGTGTTGCCGGTGATGAAATTGGAATGAATCAATCGAGTACCTACCACATTGTCTTCTACTTTATTCAAGATAATATATGGCGGCTACGGCAGTATGGAATAAGGTCAAGTAATGCGGAGAGAGGTTCGGGCGAGGGGTTGTGCCGAGGCTCACCAGCGACGATCATTGACCGGTTTGGCTGCTCTTTCCTCCTTCACGTCCTTTCACGTCTTGCCCAGTTGATGATATTCTACAGATCCCTGACTGTATACCAAGCTTCCTGGAGGAATGCTCGACCGTGGTCATCCAGACTCTTACACCGCTTTGATGCGGACTGGGACTTCTTTGAGAGCCGCTGGTGCAGCCGACAAACCAATCCCTTTAACGGATAGTCAGCATTACGGGTAGGTGCCTTGGGTTTTGTAAGCAGGATGGCAAGTGTTCTCTGCGAAAGCTATAGACACGACCAAAGGCCTTTAAGGTCAACGAGCAGCATTGACTTCTCACCCGAGCTCGAAGATGGCAGCAGTACAGGACCGCACCTTTCCAATGCCAGTGATTTCTAGCAACCAGCTCAAGGGTAAGCTTGCCCAGCGTCACGATCGACGAAGACGTCGACTGCGCTGCGATAGTTACCTCGTGCATTGCTCGTCTTGAGAACCTACAGCGAGGCGATCTGAGTGACGATGCGATATGGAGAGACTCCCTCAGTATCACTGGACATCAACGGGCTTTCAACAGCGCAGCATCCATATCCGCTGTTTTGAACGAGCTGAAGGCCGAATGCAAACCTCACCACTTCCGCCTTGTACCAAATACGGCAAGAGTGGGACGTCGGTCAACTTTGGTGACTGCTGCTTTTCGATTCGAGACCGACGAAGGCCATCCTGCTGAATGCTCGGGTCTGTAGAACATAGTCCCTGTTGAAGCCGGCGACTATAAGATCTGGGTCTTTTGTACAACCATCGAGGCTCTCCAAGATCATGACGGCCATGGAAACCCAGACAGCTTCCCCGATCCAAAGTTCGCACCAGCTGCCGACCTCGTTGACCGTGATCGATACCAGGGTACTGTGCTCCACTCAGTCGACTGGAAGAACGCAGACGCTTTCGCCGACAAAAGGGCCATCATCATCGGCGCCGCCAACAGTGCCATGAATATTGCTCAAAACATGGTCGACAGCAAACTGTCAGAGATAACCATTGTGCAACGCAGCACAACCCATGTCATATCAACCAAAATCTTTTTTCCTTTGATCGATCCCCTCTACGATCCTCAAACCGACGTGGGGCTATCGGACAGATTGATATTGACACCGCCATACGCAGTGGGTAGACTGTTAACCATCGCAGGCGCAATAGCCTTAGAATCTCAAAAACACGATCAACACCGCTATGACTTTCTTCGAAAAGCAGGATCGAAGTTGCATCAAAGCCCAGATTTGCTCGCCAACCCCATCGAAAAGTTTGGCGGTCATATTCTCGATGACAGCTCTGCGTCTTCAAATATTTTGAGTGTGGAAGGGTATCTATACTGACCTCCTTCTCGTCTTCCTTCCTGATCAACAAAAACTGACACCCCTGCAAAGGTCAAAGTAAAATCCGGCATCCTACCCACCTCCTTCACACCCATTGGCCTCCACTTCCAAGACAATACCGAGCTAGAAGTAGACCTCATAGTCTACGCCACAGGCTTTAGATCCAACCTCCGCGAAAGCGTTGCCAGTTTAGTCAGTTCCGCCACCGCCTCCACACTCGACGACTTTTTCGGTCTCGATGGCCGAGGGCGAGATCAGAGGTCTAGCAAAACCAATCAGCCACCCAGGAATCTGGTGTTCTCGGCGGCAGTACGGCTAATGTGAGGTTTTGTTCTCGAGTGCTGGCGTTGCGTATTCGAGAAGATGTGAGAGGGAGGCCGTTGGTGCTTTATACTGCCACGCCTTGACATCTTTGTGACAATATAGGGCGATGAGTGTACTATATAAATGCATGGTGGCTTCCAGGAAACAAAGATGACCACGGAAAGCAGTCATTCATCCAAGCCCTCCTTGGACACATGTCTGAATCCTGAAACAACTCTGCATTTTGACAGTCTACTCAACAGATACCTTTGTGTACTGGAAACAAAAGACATGGTAGAGACAGCAAATCATGGGGTTACAAAGCAGACACTACTCGACAAAGATCTTCTTTAGCTTACTCCATTCCAAAGGATACTGTCAAAATACACAAATCAATAGTTGCATGATTCATTGTTTTGCTGGGAGGTGGGTTATGACATAGACAGGGTCGTACCCCTGACAATACCTTTTGATGCTCTCTCGTGCATATAGAGGGGGCTAGGATAAGCTTTTGCAAGTCAGAAAGGTATCTGGAATACTTTTGATGTCCATGGAAGCTCATGGATCTTATAAGCTGCTCGTGTGTCGACTAAATCTGTTGTTGATCTCCAAGGCAGGTTTACATAGTTTGATTGACCACTCAGGCACACGAACATCAACAACCCCAGAGCCGTTCAGTTTAGGGGACGGGACAAGGAAGACAGCAGCGTCGTTTTGATCGTTATTTAGGTTAGGGAAACAGCAAGAAACTCCCGCCTCGTTTTGCGGGTTCATCTAATTTACACTTTTGGTAGCATCGCCGTCTCCGTGAGCAATTCAAGATCTCCCTCTTGCCTCCACTCAGTTCTCCATGCTCAAACGCAACATCTCAGTCTCTGGAACCATTGTAAAATATGGCTTCATCGACCTGGTAATCGTGTTCGCCGGACGGTACTCGGTGGCTGAGCTGACCCTCTTGCGGCCTCTTGGGGCCTGAGTGGGAACTGCGATGGTCTTGCGAGGTGCATGCAGCACGTCTTGTCCATTAGGAGCATCCATAACGCATGAAGGATACTGTTCGCAAGCTGTGTGCATGCTGATGTCCGATGTGTTTCTCATGAAGCCTTGACCAGGTTGTTGGGTGTCTGAGGAGCCGTCAAGCATGGCAACACCACGTTCGATCAGTTCGGGGACAATAGCGCTGACAATCTCTCTGACTTGATCGCTGGGAAGTCTTGTCGTCTGAGTATGCTTGAAGTCAGACTGAGGTGCGTGGATAGAGTCCGATAGAGGTGCTCCAAAGGTATAGCCGGATGAGAAGTCGGAAGATGCAGCCAGGTCAGTAAAGTCAAGATGGTCGCTACCAGTGAAGACTTGATCATAGTTCTGCAGAGGAGCTGTGCTCGATGGGTAAGAGAATGGTCCATCAACACCAGAAGTAGACATGGAGGGTGGGTCAATGGATCCACTACCCTGGGAGCTGTTGGCCTGATAGTCAACAGGATAAGACATGTATGGCACGTTGTTGCCAAAGGAGTCCTCTTGCTTCGTGAAGAGTTGAGGATTAGGCCAGGCAATGCCAGCCCTACGAAGAATACCNTGATAAGTTTACATTAGCATGACGAAATTAGGAGGAGTGTGTGACTTACTGCGAGGGGCATGTATCCATTTGAAGGTGATGACGTCTTTGACAGGACAGAAGTGAGGTTTGCCAGTGCCAACTGCTTCGTAGAAGTAACCCTCGGATATGCAGACTGTGATGCGACCAACGTTATCGGCAATGTGGAGCTGGAGCTGATCGCGCATGGCTCCGTTGAAGTGCGGAAAGAGCATCCTGCTGGTTGGAGAGTGGTTGACCTGGATAGGAAAGTCGGCATCAAGGTTGATCTTTCGAACTCTGTCCTCGTATTGTTAGCTCAGCCTATGGTAGTGGACTCTCAAGGTGTTGACTAACGAAACTGTCTTACCGTCGACGGCGACGTGCAGTGCCAGAATGACGCGATTGCCTTTCACGAACTGAGGGGATGATACGACTGGTCTGGTCCACGAGTGCAGAGAGAGCTTGAAGGGAGTTCCGGGATTCAACGAAGGAATGTACGTGTTGAGAGTTGGAGAGGCGCCAATTGCNTAGATATACATCTTAGTAATGATTTATGAACAGCGAACGTGGTCAGACTCACGAGTAACAATACCAAAGCACTCGGTGCGGAACTCTTGGATGGGTGTGTTGGTCACCTGCGGGAAGAGGATAATGTCCCAATTTTCGAAGCGCATGATGAAAGAATCAAAATAATACGCTATCGATGCTATGAAGCTTGTCGAAAAAGCAGATTCGTCACGCGGACCGATACGACAAAGTGGGTTGTCGAGAGTGTGATGGTTAGAACGAGAAAGAAAGAGTAACTGGGGTCAACAAAGATGTGTCCCAGAATGTCTGTCAAGGAAGGAACAACCCACGATAGATGCCAAAGCTTCAACGTCGGTGTAGCAAAGACGGTCAACCACGAACCTGACAGCCATCTTTATTCCTGGATTCTGCTTAGTCGTTCGTCGGGGAGCTTTCGAGTCTGTTGGGATCGACGAAACACCTGATCGACGAAGCCTCGATGTCAATGTGATTTTTGTATCATACCTAACTGGACTGTCTGTTGGCTTGCGCATTCTCTTCACTACTTACACTCTGTTCACTCACGCTCTTCACTATCTACACTTCCTTCACTGCAAACGCTCAATCTTCACTTGACTGCAAAGAGATGCTCTCCACTATTGGTCGAAATCGTCTCGGGTTTGTTGGGCCGAACGAGTCGTCTCGACGTTTTTGTGATGAATCTGGCTTAATCGTCCATCGGAGACTGTGTCGAATTTGTTGGGCTCGACGGAATCGCTTCGACAAAATGGCTCGACAAGGATGTATGTTGTCGTTCGTCGAGGACGCTGTCGATATGAAGGCGTCGACGAGGATGTACTCTCCTGTGCTTGGACTTACTTGTCTTACACTACCTTGTCACTCTCGTCACCAGTTCCTGCGTCTGAGCTTCAAACACGACCAAAAAAAAAAAAGTTAGCCATGGATCTTTGCAACATGGTCTTACCGGCTGTAAGTGACGGCATTGCAGAGTCGTCAGACAGAGCAGTGATAGTTCGCTCATAGTAGAAATTGGTTTCAGCCGGTACGTTACCACCAAATCGATACGGACACGTCTGATATCGAAACCGAAGCCTGTCGGTGCTTTCGAAAAGCCTGTTACGCGCTTGTCAAGGTACACACAGAAGACAGTGGCTTACTCGAGTGAACGTCAAGCAAGATGATCGGTTCGTTGACATTGGCTATGTGCTTGAGCTATCTGTCTAACAGACGGATTCCAGCTACATAGATCGACCAGATCCTGTCTACCGAATGTAAGCAGAAATACCTGACAAGCTTCTTCGATGACCGCATATACCTCAGGCGCCTCTTAGGAGTGCACCTAACGCCTTAAAAGAGTCGCTACCATCTCAAAAGATGCTGACCACATTGGAGAGATTGTACTCAAACATTTAAAAAAATCAAAACTGATACCATTTTCGCCCTCCTTTTGGGTAGTAAAAAATTGGAAACGCAAGGGTAATAGTAAAGCAGCAAATAACTACATTGGTGTTTGTCATGACGGAAAGCATAGGCGTTCCTATGCTTGCACGATCGATGAACCAAGAGAAGAATAAGAGAGATAAGAAATAGAGAAAAAGACTGAACAAGGCCAACGTCGAGTTCAGAGAAGCGTGCAACTTTTGAAAAAGAGCCCCATCCATCCTTCGCCGCATGACTGTGTTGGTTTCGTGTGATTGCTGAAAGGACTGACGCCGAGAGGGGAAAAAGAACAAGGAGGTCGTGAGGGGGCATGCAATAAGCAGGATAGATTCGTCGAAGTTAAAGCCAGTCACATGAACCTGTCCAACTCCCGCTAAAAAACCACTCAAGGCTCAAGGAAAAACTGCTTACTGTTGATGGTTAGAGGCATCTGGGGACCAGAACTGCTGCTGCTGCTGCTGCTGTTGTTGCTGTCCACCCACCTTCATGGGGGCGAAGCCACCGTAAGGATGTTGAGGAGGCATGCCCATGGAAGGGTAGACTGGTGGTGGGGGAGCAGGGCGGTAAGGAGTGCCGGCAGGGCCAGAGTTGTTCTGGCTGCGACCCCAGCTGAGGCGGACACGCGAGTTACCGATGGGGTAGCCCTGCATTTGGTTGATGGCCATCTCAGCAGCATGGCGCTGAACGAACTGGACGAAACCGCAGCCCTTGCCGGGAGGGATCTTGACGTATGTGATTTCGCCAAAGCCCTGGAAGAAAGAGCGGAGCTCGTCCTCGGTGACGTAACCACTGAGACCGCCAACAAAAACGGTGGTGTTGTTGGGGTCGGTGAACTGGTTCATTGGCTGAGGAGCACCGTAGAAACCGAGAGGAGGGGCACCCATGCCGTACATGCCAACGGGACCACCGGGCATACCACCCATGCCACCAGGACCGGCGTGCTGGTTCTTGTTCTTGGGGGTAGCAGTGCTGATGCGCATGGGTCTGTTGCCGCAGTAAACGCCCTGCATCTCGGTAAGGGCACGCTGTTGGTCTGCCTCGTCGGAGAAGCGGACGAAACCGTAACCGCGAGAGAGGCCGCTGATTGGGTCCGACATGATCTTGGCCGACTTGCAGCTGGGGAAGCGGTTCTGGAAGATGCTGACGAGGACGTATTCGTTAACCTCGGGACCGAGATCGCCAACGAAGATGGAGTACTCGGGACCACGGTCGTCACGGCTACGGTCAGCAAGACCACCACCAGAAGCCCAGTTGAGCTTGAAGGGGCGGTTTGAGTTGGGGATGAGAGTGCCGTTGAGCTGGAGAGCCTTGGTGGCAGCGTCGGGAGATTCAAAGTCGACGAAGCAGTATCCAGCATTACTTCTAGCCGAGTATGGTTAGAAATCCATCCTTTTTCAAGTATGTTCAGGCTACTCACCCNNGGAGAATTTGTCGCGGATCATCTTGACGTTGACCTGGTAGCCCATGCCGAACCAGACACTTCTGACGAAGTTCTCGTCAATCCAGGGTTCAAGCTCACCCATNCCTGTATCTTGTCTTAGCTTATGCTCACGCTTTGTTCATCTCGTTGATTCGACATACCACAAAGTGGTCTTGGGCTCGCCGCCAGACTGGGAGCCAGGACCAGGTGCAGATCCAGGTGCGCCGGAAGGAGTAGGAGGGAACTGGCCCTGTTGGGATTCGATGGGTTGGCCCATAGAGGGCTGCTGGGGCTGAGCGGCGGGAGCGCCGGATTCCTCAGGTTGTTGACCCTGGAAAGAGTCGCCGAATTGTTGGAAACTCATTTTCGAAGATGGATGTTATCGCAAAGTCGAGATGGATTAGGAACGCCGAGATCTGGGGCATCAGTGTCAGTAAAAGGACTCGACACAATAGTGAGAGCAGACTGTCGCGTACTCACAAATCTTGCGGCGTAGTAGGTAAGAGATGCTTGTCGCGATTGTTTATCGTCGCAAGTTATGAGAAGCTTGGTTAAAGCTGTAGGTGTGTGGTGTGGGAAAGACAGGCGAAGAATCAAAGACGTTCGGTATTGTTCGATGCAATTCCTGAATGTGAACGTGAAAGTTCAGACGAGTCGTACTTGCGCCGAAGGAATGTCCGATGACAATAATTCACTCGCGAATCTATCACTGAGGTTAGCGCGAATTAGGCGAGGTGTGCGACAATGGGCTGAAGCAAGGTGAAGTGCAGTGGTGGTGGCAATGGGAGGTGGTTGTGACTGAAGTGTGGTGAAAAGCCAGCTCGGCAGCCTCGGCGGGGTCGAGGATTCGCGGCATCGACGCGAAAGCNTCCAAAGTGCTCACGAGCTCAATAGCGACAGTGCTGAGAGCGTGGCTCGGGAACCCGAACGAGGCGGCCGAGATGGGGNNTTGGATAATGGGATGCGGAATTGGTCAGATGTAGCTCGTCATGGCGACGCCAATGAGGATGGCGAAACCAAGGTGGTCGTAGAGATCGGCTACCAGGGTATCGGGAGGAAAGTGACTGTGGACGAATAAAATGGAGAGCGACATACCGGCAGCACGGGTGCGAATAGGAGCGGGAGCGGGAAGCAAAGGACGAGACGAAAGACGACGAAAGAACCGCGGGAATAGCACAAGGAGAAAAGATGCTGTTTGCGCGCGCGAAAGGGAGAGGAGCTTTCGAGCAACGTCGAGACACAGAGAACTGCCAAGTTGACCGTTGTTGCCCCGTCACGTGCAAACCGGATCGCTCCTGCCTGACGCAACTTCGAAGATCGTGGGGGTTGATGCTCAGGGATAGGGGCGGCGCCGGCAGTCGGGTTCGTCAATCTCGAATCTTTCCACCATTCCAGTCTTTATATTGCTCTTGGCAGCTATTGCGCATTCAGGAGGAGAGACAAGTCCAGTCCATCGGGCGCGGTTTTCGAGCACGGGGCTTCTCGCACGCCAACGGCAGCAGCAAGGTGACAGTGACATCTCAGCTCAGGAGCTTCAAGCATGGACATTTTGAAAACTGATATTTATTCATTCATTCGCTAAATTGACAATCGACCCTGGCCCAGCCGGGCTCATGCATAAGGTGTAACCACTCAAAATGATATCTTTCAACGCAAAATCTATGCCTGTTCAGGGATGCCTGTTGCGAGCAATATTAGTAAATGGGTCGTGGAGAGAAGCATGTTAACTCACCAGCAGCCTGCTTGGCTTCGCCGAAAGAGTCTCTGCCGCTGGCAAAGACCTTGTCAAAGTCGTACTCGAACCAACGGATATCGGGGCTCAGTCCAGCAAACTTCCACTCGCCATCGACCTTCTTGTACCAGTGCTTGTTGGTGCTGTGGGCGTGGCCCTTGACAGCAACCTTCGATCTGGACTCGTCGGTGTACTTCTGGTGAGGTACACGAAGTTGGTGCCAGCCAATGATCTCAGTGTCCGAGACCTTCTCCCATCTGGTACCACCGATGAAGTGCTGAGTCTTGAGGAGAGGGTCGCCGAGGACGTTGGGGTCAGATGCCATCTTGACGAACTCCTCGGCGGGCATAGCCTCCCAGATCTTGTCGAGGAACGAACGGTAATCGATGATGAGCTCGGGTGCAATAACAGTCTCGAGTCTCTTCCAGTCCTGCGGCATATTGTCAGCCCGTGTGACCCTCAAGTTGATCAAGACTCGCGTGTGCTCACCTTGGTGTCGTAGCTGTCTGCCCAGTTGAAGCAGGCGGCCATGCAGCCAAGCATTTCTACAGGTTGTTAGCATTCTTGATCCGATCAAGAGGCCACTTGCTCGGAAGACTGGCTGTACCCTGAAGATCTTGTGCTTCAGAGCATGCGCATGTCTGCAAGGGCTTGCGATGTTTGGATCTACATACCCTCGTGCGATGGGTAGTTGGTCATGGTGATAGTAGCGAATGTGAATGTGAGATGAATAGGAACTCTGGAATCACAACTACAGCGAGTAACTCTACATCTATATACCTACCTGCGTCAAGGCATATTTGTCTCGGGAGTCTCAAACATTGGATATTTTGTTGCCCCGCCATGTCCGAACGGAGTTGTTTGAGGGCCGAAGGGCTGTACCTGATGCGAGCAATCCTCAGGTACCAGCCAGGCCAACCAACTCTGTCAATGCTGTCCACCATCGAGCTTCTCAAGGTGTTCTCAAGCTCCACGTGCCAGTTGCAAAGGGCTCACCTTGATAGAGACTGCCTCCCATTCTCTCTCCAGAGCAACATAAGCTTTGGGAGATAGACAAGACAAACAGATGTAGGACAATAGAGTGCCAAGATGGAGAAGATCAAGGTGCCGCAGGGCTCGAGCCGGACGGCATTTTTAGCATCCCCCACTTTACGCTTCGGACATTTTATCGAATCGCACGCGTCATGGTTGGTGAGCGCGAAGGCCGAGCAGCGAGACGTGAGATGTCGCAGAGTGCCTTGACCACAGATAGTTCGGAGAATTCATGTCTGTCCTGAGTTTGAGCTAGTCGGCATGCTTTTCTGTAGAAACAAGAGTAGAAGTTGCTTGCTTGTTGCAGAGAAGGATGGATGCTTGCATCGAGTCGAGGGTAGAGATCATGATGGTGCAACGGTATCTTCCCAATTAGGCAATCTGTTGATGGACGGCGTCGCAACCAAACAGCAAATTCAGACAACCAAGTCAATCAAGTCCATGCAAAGCGTCCAGCATCTTATCAACCATCAACGTGCACAATGGATCATGACACGCTTAACACGGCGTCAACTTATCTGAACAATCTCCTCCTAGCTCGAGGCCTGCTCCGTGACAGCAAGGCTCTCGACTTTGCCAAACCAACTCGAGAAACACGAGCTCAGATCATCAACCTTGTCCACGACCTCCTCTTACGACGCGACCGAGACCAAGAAAACCGCGAGCACATTGCCTTGACCCTTCGAACTCTCCGTACCGACCAGACCCGCAAAGATGGCGATGTCGAACGACTACAGACTCGTCTCGACACCCAGGAGCGCTCCCTGCTGCAAGCCCAAACCGAAGCCAGAAACGCCAAGATCGAAATGCGCAAACTCGAATCAACTACGAAAGCACTGAACGATCAGCTCGGACGACTGAAAGCGTCTGTCTCGCAGATCAAAACACAATGTGCCAACGACGTACGGAAGCGGGACATGCACATCGAGCGCCTTAAATCACATCTCCAAGGCCAGCAGAGGGGAAACAAAGGTGGTCTTGTTGCTCCGTCTATATCTGTCGGCGGAAGAGGTCCCCACTCGTTCAACACGTCAGTAAGAGACATCTCGGATCCAGAGTACAACTTGAAGCAAGAGACTACCGACTTTCTCACACAACTGAGCTCTGGACTTAGCGACGAGAACGATGCTCTGATCGAGATGATCCGCGGAACTCTGGTCACGCTGAGGGAGTTACTGGGCGTGCCGGAACAGAACTTGGACAACACAGTTGACGGCATCGAAAACGAAGATGGCACCCTCGGCTTCGCACACGGATCCCTCGCCGAGGAGCTTGAATCAATGCTCGACACGCTCAAGACCGTTTTGACCAATCCAAACTTTGTCTCAATGGACGAAGTGGAAGCAAGAGACGACGAGATAGCACGACTGAGAGAAGGCTGGGACCAGATGGAGGCAAGGTGGAGAGACCTGCTCTTCATGATGAATGGATGGTGCACAAGACTAGAGAAGAGCGGCGACACCATCAACCTCGAGGAACTTAAGAAGGGTCTCGGCTTGGGTGTCGGCCTGGAAGCCCCTCCGACTGCTCAGAAGCTCCGCGCCAGTCAACATGCTCGCTCCGACAGTGATCACGACAGCGACATCCATACATTGAGCCCCACTCCCTCAGAGGGTCGTCCAGTTCCACCGAGCACTGCAAAGTCGCAGAGAAGCATAGATCCACCAGAGTTCTTCAACCTCAATCCTCGAGGACAGCGTACGCTCAACAAGATGAGCCACAACGTCCAGTCGCCTCGTAAAGTCGCATTCGCCATGGACACCTCCGAGAACACTGATCCTGCCGAATCAACTCCAGGCAGGCTCGACTCGTCCGCCTTCGTCAAGGCTTCTGCAAACAGATCCTCGCTTCCCACACGCCGTCAGCTGAACCTTACCCCGTCCGCTGGCTCACATGACAGACTCGTAAGTACTATTACCTAGTCGCATTTGCACTTCAATCTAACGAAGATATAGCCTTCTCGATCACGCGGCTCTTCACCGCCACGAAGGCTTGCAGATTCTCCATCTGAGAACTTGCCGCAACAGGAAGACGAAGATGTGCAGGAAGAAGAAGACCCTGAGATGTCGGTCGAGGAAAAGCTGCGCCTTGCACAAGCTGAAGCCGAAGCTGCAGGCGGCGCTCAGGACAGAGGGCCAGACGAGGACTCACAACTCAATATCGACCTCGATGAGGAGATGAGTAAGGTGCGAAGTCCAGCGAAGAAGACCAAGATCCAAGGCAGACTGAAGCGCAGGAAGAGCACCCTCAGTCCGGAAGAATTGGAAGATCTTCTGGGACTAGAATAACGAAGGGGATAACGAAGAGACGACCCATCACATCCTTAGTTGAAAGCTTACGGACTGTTCACGACCCACGAGATACTATCATCACATCCATCACATCCATCACTCTTAGCTTACTGGTCTTGACAGGTCGCTCTGATATGATGGTGCACATGCCAGTTCTCCCAGCCTCACCGTTCATGGTTCGAGGATCAAAAGTTCTGCTGGGTGCCGGACGGCAAACTATCATTTGTCGAGAGTCAGCGAACGATAAGCGGTAGGCTGAAGAGAACCATGGCGGTGTCATGCAACTCGATTGTGCGTGTTCCTGCCCGCATGGTGCACTGGTGAAGTCGTGAGGCTTGATTGGAGCGTCGCGTGAACCCTTGAATCCAATCAGCTTCACCAGAGAACCGCCTTCGACTCTGCTTCCATTCACCATCTTCTTGCAAGCGCTGCGACCGAGTAACCTCGCCCAAGGATGTGCAGTCACACATGCAGCTTGCCAATAGTGCCAGGACGATGATTATGCGAGCACCCGCCCCGCCTTTATGATTTTCCCTGTTCGGTGCACATTGAAGCCATGTTTTTCGCGATTCGGCATGGCGTGCGTATCTGGTGTGCCTTGTGTGCCTTGGTGCAAGGAGAGGACCGGTGATTGGCATAAGTACAATCGTATGCGCTTCCTCGACTTCTCTTCCTTCTTTCTTTCAGCGAGACCTGTCAAGCCCGGAGCTGACTATTAGTTTGTTTTATTTTACTCCCTTTTCTTTCCGCTTTATTCTCCACTAATCGAGCCTGGTGCTCCTAATTCACAAAACTCATACTATCAATTATTCTTGCCCATACCACAGCCCCCTCCAATAATCACCTTGTTTACAATTTACGTTTTTACTTCTATTCATCAACTCTTGATCTTTTCTTGTCGCTGGTCGGCTAGGAAATCAACAAACTAATATCAGCTCTTCTTGCTCAACACTGTCAATTTTCGACCGGTACTCTCACGTTTACCGACCATATATTCCAAAAAGAAAGAACAGTAATCAGAAAGACTTCAACAATGGCAGCCGTACAATTGAACTTCACACTCAGGACCTCGTCCAACTGCAAGACAGTCCACCTCATCGGTTCATGGGACAGCTACAAGAGTCAACTTCCTCTTTCCAAGGACTCTGCGAAACAAGGTGGCTGGAAAGGTACATTCAGATTCCAGGGCTCGACACTGAAGCCTGGCTCGAGATATTGGTACTACGTATGTCATCTCATCACGCTTACTCACAGTTCAAGTCCTGACAGAAACAAAACAGNNTACATCATCGACGGCTACCACGTTTCCCACGACCCAGCCCGCGAATCCACCACCGAGCCCACCACAGGTCGCAAACTCAACATCCTCGACATTCCCTCTGCAAAGTCGTCAACAGCGCCCTCTGCCCCAGCACCATCTTCAAAGTCCCACAGCCACAGCAAGCACACCCGCCGCACCAGCGAACACATCCCCAAAGGCCGCTCCTTGTCGCCCTCGCAAATCAAGTGTCCGCGCCCCAATCGCCCCCACGAGACCCGCACCATCACTCGCGAACAGTACAATGCGTCTTCTGTGGATCGCCTTGCCAGCCGTCTCGGCAACACGCAACTCGACTCTGATTCCGACAGCGAGAGTGACTCCGACAGCGATGTGCCGTCGCTTACTTCGTCGCGCAGCAGTGCTTCCTCTTCGCCGTCGTCTGCGAGCGCGACATCGAGGTCTTCGTCTACGAGTGCTTGCACCTGCAATCGCTTCGGCATCACCAGATCTGGTGCGAGAGTCAAGCTCGACTGTGGCGGTGACGTTTGCGGATATGGTGAAGGCAGTGATTGTTCCTCTGAGAGCGAAGACGAAAAGAAATACCGTACCCGCACGACCAGACGCCAGGGTATGATTGTGCGTCGTTGAAACCCACAATTTTCTTGCCAACAAACGTTCCTTCAATGTCCTTTTACGACGATTCTACGCCTGATGTGCATACACATTCATTTATGACTTTTGGCTCCTATGCCATTCTGCCAAACAACCTATTCTGGTTTCTTACTTTCTTCTTTTTCTGGGAGATGCGCAGAGGTCAGAGGCTGTGTTACATAAGCTGGCCTTTTGTGACACTGCACTCCTCTGGTGTTCCTGAAACTCCCTATGGTGTCGCCCTGTTCTAGGTGCGACACTCATGACTTACTGATGCATCGCGACACAAAAGACATTTTCTGAGTCGCGACCAGCACTGAGGTGGAAGAGGAAAGGAGAGGGAGGGGGAAGAAAGAGGAAGGGGGGAAGAAAGAACAAGAAGCAAAGGAGAAGCTCCTTGGGTCAAATGTATGGACACAAAGCAACAGTTCTTGAGACTTGCTTTTGACCCGTCCTGTCACGATCTTACGAGACAGATGTTTATAGCTTGCAACTAGACAATGCCGAAAAGCTAATCATTCATCCTTATCACAATCGCCCATTGCCTCCCATGATCAAAGTAGAGACCGTGATTGCCAATACGAAATCCATACTCATAAGATCATAATCTCAGAACCTGTCAAACATCAAATAGTGAAAGCCCCAAACTCACCTTCTCTGAGCCTCAATTCTCAAGCTCTACTGCAAACTCCCCTTGGCATAAACCAAATAATCATTCCCGTATTCATCCACGTTCGCCAATCCCTCGACCCCATCCCAGAGCATGACACCGCCAAGATTGCTTGTATAGAGTTGTCTTGCAAGACTGATCTGATGTCCCAATGCAGCACCCTCAACATACCCACTTCCCGCACCCTCGAAAGCACCAGCGCCGATAAAGAGCTTGGTTTTGTTGTTGGCCGCATACAACTCATCACTCCAACCACCAAACGAGGCAGCATAGCCGTCAGAGGATAGATCGCAAGAAGGACTGTTGTAGAATTGTACAAAGACAAAGTCGCAGAGCGCCATTGCAGAGATTGGAATACTGGCGTCTGGGCGGGGGCATTGCGGAGCAGCAGAGAGATAGTACTTCTTGCTCGTGTCGGAAGCAAATAGCGTGCGGAGGGCTTGCGCGAAAGTGGTATATGAGGTAGAATCTTTAGACTCGTTGTCGAGGTCAAAGCCATCAATGATAATGTCGCCAAAGGGTCGTAAGGAGGCATCCAAGCCATCTCCTCCGCCAAACAGATCCCACAGGTTTTTAGCCAGTTGGATGGCTTCTGTATCGGAAGCAAAGGTTACATTAGAGTAGTAGCCGCCTAAAGAGACGAGTACGGGCTTGCCCAGCTGTTGGCAGCTTACAATTTCGGGCGCGAGGTCGGTGCAGTCTTCTAATCCGGGAGCGTGAAGTTGTTGGGCTGTTGTGCTGCCTTTGCAGCTAGGGCCGAAGTTGGCAGAAGGGAAGCCGCCGTTTGTGAAGAAAGATGTGACAAAGGCTAGGACTACGATGTCGACATTGCTGTTTTGGCAGAGTTGCAATAGGTCGCCGGTTCCGGTATCGGGCGTTTGGCCATAGTAGACAGCGACATTGTTCTGTCGGCTGGTCTTGAAGATGTAGTTGGTGCTTGTGGGAGATGGGACAGAGTTGTAGGGTGCCATGGCTTGTGAATCCGCAGATGTTGCAGTCGTATTGATGCTCGGGCCATTAGTGTCTGGGGGACTGTAGACGGATGGTATGGGCAGCACAGGTATTGAAGATGCGGATGATGTCTCTTGAACTGTCTCTCCAGAGTTCGTGGTGTTTGAGAATGGTAGAGGTTGGACAAAGGGGGTGACCGACACTGGTATGTGCGTTGTTCTGGTCAAAGTTCGAGTGACGCGAGATCTTGGTGTTGATGAGGTGGTAGTCGAGATTGATGGAGAAACCTGGTCGGACGAGGAAGAGCAGGGAACGAGTGGGTCTGCTCCACCACGACGGCACGCAGTCGCTATGGTCAGAGAAGAGGTATCAACGGTCGTAGGGCTTGAGATCTTGAAGCTTGTACTAGAAGACACAAGCAGTTGGGTCGATGTTGCATTGGCGATGGCCAACGTTGTCGATAGTGGTGCTGCCTCTGACGCAGTCGCAAAGACAGCTAGCAGGCTTGCTAGTAGAGCCTCTTGTTCGTGCAGACGATCATCAATTGCCTTGAGAAACTCTAGTACATCTTGCGGTAGGTCGGATAAGCCTTCCTGTATAGAAGTGACAGTCTCCAGCAACTCAGCAGCTTGCGTCGCTGGTGCTGAGCTGGGTTCGCGCTGTAATGAGATGGTTGTATTGTCACGTCGGATGATTTCATGTTTATGAGGACGGTGTATGTGCAGGGACTGTACAGTGCCAACGAGATATATGAGTGAGACAAAGACGCCAGAAGTGCTTAACGAGAGCATGATAGCGAGTGACTTGGAGTCTTTGACCTACCTCATGATGGCCATAGCAACAGGTATATATCCATCACGCCGAGACAACAAGCCAGAGACAGGAGGCTGTCGAAGAATGAAACTCACCTACCTGGGACCAAGGAGAACAGACATGGTCACGCAAAAATGCAGTATACTGTGAGAGCTTGGGCGTGAAGAAAAGAGATGGTCGACATTCCTGAACCGCGTCGCGTGGAATCGCGTAGAGGCTGGATCATGCCATGACAAAAACTGGACAGCTGACAGAAGGAATTTGCGTTGCTGACCCGAAAACGGGGAGGCTGTTGATCGTGTGCATTCCCAAAAGCGCCCGTCGAGAGCCGAGCATGTATACCTATCTTGGCGCCTGCATAGAGCGTTGTGTGACAGGTTGCATCCGGCGAAACATGTTTGGAAAAGCTGGACGGTGGAGGCCTGTATGACGAGAATGTCGAGGTGAATCGAGGACAGATGGCGCCCCTTGGTTCTCGGAAGCGCGGATGTCAAATTGGAGGAAGCTATCAAAGGGTGTGTGATTCGCGTACCGTAGCCGTAACGGAGAAAGTTCGCTTGCGTCAGAAGTTAGAACAAAGACGCGCGGGTGCAGCGCGAGGGACGAAGGAGCTCATGTACAAGTGGCCAAGTGGAGCAAAGGATCAGAACACTGCAGACACTGTGGTGACTGTTACATTATATGATAACTTTGGATGGAATATTGAAAGTGGAAAAAAGTGTTGGTGAGGAAGGAGGATGTACGGATTGGAGGGTGTTTCCTGATTGGGCGCAGGTCGAGAACCACGGCTGTCCTTTCTCACGAGAACGAGCGCGACCTTCACTCAAGACCAAGAAAATGGGACCAACGCCTCACACACGGCCGGCAAAATGCTCAGCGCACAACAGAGTCAAAGTGCCTTGCACTCTATCCCTTTCCCTAACATCCCATCATCCTCATCACACAACCATCACCACCCACAGATTTCTTGATATACCACCGCCAATAACCAGAAGCTCCCACATTTCCTGAAGCCTTGCTCTCTGAAGCCCTCAAGCTGCCACTGTGACTGATCCACCACACAAATCCCACGAGACAAAGCCAGCCGCACGACCGACCACGGGCGCAATCCAAGTCGTCGCCCTCAACCCATCGACCACATCGACCACCATGGCAACCACACCGTCGCAAAAACCCTCAGCCAAATCGGCCGCCAAGCCTAGCAAGATGGTCATCCTCCGTCTGCCTCCCCTTCGGCTCAAGAAGTTCGGCCTACTGTCCGAAGATGCCTCTGAAGCATCACCTACAGCTTCCCCTGCACCAGTCTCGACACCCATCATCAACGCCCCGACAATAGACGCCTCGGAGACGAATGGAACTCCTGCCCCCGGCACCGATGCCGCTGCCACAGACAACAACTCGCTAGCTCCTCCCCCAGCAGCTAACGGCAAGAAGAAGGGCGTTCCTGGTCCCAAGCCTGGCACAAAGAGAACTGCTGCTCAAACTGAGGCGGGCCCGAATGCAAAGCCCAGAGGCNAAGCCTGGTCCCAAGAAGAAGCCTCGTTTGTACGTGACTCGCACACCAACCCCACTTCCTCTTTCTTTTGTGTACTGACACTCAAGTCCAGGGCTGACGGAACCATTGACAGGACTGCCGAGGGCACAAAGAAGGGACCGTTTGGCGGCGTGGCTCCCATCGCTACACACAAACTAGGCCCCAAGGCCAACACAGGTGCCATCAATGCTGGTCTCCGCGCACTGGACAGATCCGGCAAGCCTTGCCGCAGGTGGGAACGTAAGGGCCTCCAACTCAAGAGCATATCTGGTGTTGCATGGACAGTAGGATCATGGGCTGCACCGCTCAAGGACAATTCGTCCTTCAGTGGTGACGTAAAGAGTGAGAACTCGTCCAGCAGTCAAGCAGACAACGCCAGATTGGCGAGCAGCGCGCTCCCCAGCGAAAGAAGCAATAGTGGTGAAGGAGCCAAGGCAGAGAATGCTCTTGAGAGCTCACCCGCACCAGCGTTGCCCGTCGAGGCATGAGCGACATATATCACAAATTTGTAAGTTGACATGGACATGGATAGTTTTGGTTGTAATCACTAACACATGCTAGTCCTTTTTTTCTCTCTCTACAAAACATCACTCTCGATACCCAATACGATGATGTACCTCGTTCTACAGCGTTTTGGTAGCAGATCACAAGCATTTGAGCAATGCATCTCCTTTGTCGGTTGGTCGGAGGTTCGGTATGGCGTTATCAAGGTCAGAAGATAGCGTGATCTTTGGGCGGTAAGCTTGGTCAAGGTTTAGAAGGAACAGACTGGCGACGGGGCTATAAGTTTTGGTCGAAGCACAGAGTATTTGATGATACGATAGCTATGGATACCCTTTGACATACGCAACGAGGAGATTGTATTCTTATGGCATATGGTAATGGTCGGTTGATGGCATGTGATTGATGGCTGATAGGAGCTTTGACTATCAATCTTGGCATTTTGGCGGAGATCAACAGTCGTCATCGGCAAGACGGTCATATGAGGGCACTTACGAGCTGCATCAAGAAACAAGAGATCGATTGATCTTGCCATCTCCCGAGCTCGCAAGACACGCGAACGAGAGAGCTGTGTCCGGATTCGTAGACATCTGCGTGATACGTCGTGCGTGCAGCCAAACGTTGTGGACAGAATGCCAGCAAGAGCGTCATGATTGCTGGCTCCATCTTTCTACCTTGATCACCTCGACCGACAGCTGCCACTTCGACTTGGCCCCGGTCCACCAAGTCACACAATACTCGTCCACATACCACTATGACCGATCCTTATCCACATGCTCAATCTTATCGTCGCTTAAACCAACCTCTGACATCGTCGTCGTACGCTTCGGTCGCTGCGGGCGCGGGCTCCAACTCGTCGACCGCCCGCTTCGGCGCTCTCTCACACCTCCTCCACCCCGAAGACGACTCTCCGACGCGTTCCAACATGGCACAGCCCAAAGTTCAAGACNCCTGGCCCGCCAGACCTTATCTCTCCACCAAGATGCCCGACCAGGACTCCCCACCATCGCCCCCACTATTCATCCGCCCTTCTTACCTTCGCAACTCGCGTCACGTCGAGAGGCTCGAAACACATCACAATCTGGAGCTCGCCGAGTTTGACGACTTGCGGCGACATCCTCAGACCGCCTCGTCTTCTCAGGATCTCTCTGCGAACATTGGCAGTGCGACCATCCACAGATCGAGGAAGGATATCATTCAAGATTATATGGCTCGCAACCCCCTTAGAAGTGGTGGCCCGAGGAAATTACCTACATCTTGGAGTGACATAGACAAGTGGCCTGGGCTCGAGCTGTCGGCTGGAGGCACCGAGGTCAAGTTCACTGGCTCTACCAAGACCAGTGATGAGGCTGCTTCTATACGCAGTGATCACCCCATGCCGGAAGAGGTTGGCATCTACTATTTTGAGGTTACAGTCTTGTCTAGAGGGAAAGAAGNNGGTATGTCCCCTCGTCGCTTTCGTACACAACTTACTAACCAACTGTCTCTTAGCTTAATAGGGATTGGTTTCTCTGGTCCAAAGGCTAGCCTGAATCGCTTACCAGGATGGGAGCCCGAGTCATGGGCCTACCATGGCGATGATGGCTTCAGCTTCTCTTGCACCGCTAGTGGAAAGCCCTATGGTCCCAAGTTTGCAGCCTGGGACGTCGTAGGCTGTGGTGTCAATTTCGAGGCAGGAAGCGCCTTCTTCACCAAGAACGGTGTCTTTTTAGGTGCGTAGTCTGCCCATCGCCGTTGGCTTGCTGCTAACATATCGTTGCAGNGCGAAGCCTTTCATAACGTAAGAGGTGACAAGCTGTACCCTTCAGTGGGTATGAAGAAGAATAACGAACATCTTCGAGTAAATTTTGGTAGTGCTCCGTTCGTGTTCGATATTGACTCTATGATGGAGGTGAGGATTCTGCTTCACTCTGATGTTGGCAAATTTGCTAATTCAGTCCAGAATCAAAGGAACAGGGTAAAAGCAGACATCAACAAGACCTCGGCAGACACGCTGGAGACCGCTCGCGATGAGACAATGTTGGTACAGGAGCTCGTGGCGCAATACCTCGCTCATGACGGCTATGTCGAAACCGCTCGAGCGTTTAACAGGGAAGTTCGAGACGAAAGGAAGCCTCTACACATGGACCTCGATGGCGTTGAGTTGTTTGATCCTTCACAAGATCTACACGCCATCAGGCGACAAAGTAATTCCTCCCTATCTCATACTACACCAACCTTTGTTTTACTGACAATGCTTCAGGCANTACGCTCCGCCATCCTAGAAGGCGAGATCGACAAGGCGCTGAAATACATCAACACCTACTACCCACATGTACTGGAGCGGGTAGAGAACAAAGACGTATACTTCAAACTTCGTTGTCGCAAATTTATTGAGATGATCTGTCGAGTCAACGATCTCTCGGCCACGGATTTACCAGCGGTCGCTCCAAAAGCAGCTGGCAAGCTTCCTNCAAAGCTGTCGAGCTCAAACGGTACAACGTTCGACCAACAGATGGAGCTCGACGATCAACTGCATCGGGAATCGCATGCACCAATCATTCCGCCAATGCCCGTTCCGTCGCCCTTCAACCCCGGCCTACGCTTCGGTGATGGCGCGAACGGTGATGAAGGGAAAGAAGACTCGATGGATACGGCACCCGACGACTTTCGTTTGGTAACCTCATCGGCGGATAGCGAACAGCTACTTGTGGATGCACTTGAGTTTGGTCAAGAGCTGAAGGCTGAATTCAGCGATGATCCTCGTCCTGCTGTCAGAAAGGCATTGGACGACACCTTTGCCTTGATTGCCTATCAAGACGCCCGAGAATCTGTTGTAGGAGGGCTCATGGAAGGCAAAGGTCGAGTCGAGATTGCCGAGGAGGTCAACAGCGCAATACTAGGCAAGTCATTTGACCTTCTCCAACGTCGAGATTGAGCTAATCAAATATAGNTGTCACTCGGCAAGCCGTCTTCTGCCGCTTTGGAAAAGGTCGTGGCTCAAGCAGAAGTTCTGATAGACATGCTGAGTTCGGATGGCGGACCTGGAGCTTTTGTCAATGTGAGAAGGGACTGTCTACAATGAGACGCGACTGGAGTGAAGAGAATTGCATTCTTTCGATTTCATCGATTTCATCGGGCGTAAGCGAGGCCATGCATTGGCTGGAGTTAAGGCAGGAGGAGTGGATCGTTCTTTCTCTTTTCTTTTCCAAGGACACTGCATCGGTCCTTCTTTGTACATGTCAGGACATCACACACAGCTCCGACCCGATCAACCAATTCATCTCCAATCTGGTATGTTGTTCTCAGGGCTCGACGTTCTGTTGTCATCTTTCTTGCCTTGGTTCTTAGGATATGTGGAAGATTTCTCACTTTCGGAGTCATATTCAGGATGAATCACGAACGTGTGAGCAAATTGGTTTGCTCGCAAGTATGGCTGAATTTTGAGGATAGGATCGAGACAAGGCCAACGTCGAGCAGCAGGTTTCTACAATGTGGCTAACTCTCTCTACAACGCAAGTAGGTCCGATCGAGTAATGGCTGTAGTACAGGAAGAGTCGATGTAACCTTCCTGGTATTGCACGCCGATGATTTACCACCACATGCGCAATTAACTCACTCAAGCGACTTATACTAAGCCATAGTCATGGTAGAAGGAAAAAGAAAGAGATTCTTGACTCATTCTTGTGAGTCTTTCTTCGCTGAGGAGAGAGTATATAATAGCGACAGACCTCCTCTCGAACACGGATTTCTATTCTCCAGATACAACTGACTTTGTCGAGAAAACGGACCTGCTCAACTACTGAACTACTCCAACACACTTACCAACCACCCTCTACCAACACACCAACACCCACCTTCACGATGAAGACCACAAGCTTCTTGCTCAGCACCCTTAGCCTTGGCCTCCTGGCCACCGCCGCGCCAACTCCTGCCATCAACGCTGCCACTCTTGTGTCAACAGATTATACCGTGCCAACACCTCTGAGTGCAGACGAGATCACGTGTGGTGGATACTCGCTCGACAAAAATGTCACTCTACATTCGACGACCTCTTTGCAGTGGAGGAGGCTCGCACTTCAATCGCGTCAACTGTATCCAGGGCTGCCGCCATCGCCAGGGTCTCCGAAGATACATTTATGACGGAGGAAACAGGTATTACGACATGTCTCAGCAGGACTACGACAACTGGGTGCGTGAGAGGGGTTCTGGTTCCACCACACCTTCTGCTTCAGCAGAGGTTCTCGAGCGTTCACTACAGGAGTCTGGACCCGGATATGACAACCACTGTCAGAGATGGACCCACACCTCCAAGTGCAGAGCCAAGTGCGAGTAAGTTTTACTTACATATGACTCTGATACATATATCAAGACTAACGCAAAAACAAGCTGGCACATCACCACAAAGGGAAAGAAAAAGTGCCAAACCAAGTGCATCAAAAGTGCCTCAAGAAGCACCCTCTCCACCCTGATGGCGAGGCTACTGTCGTGGTCAAGAGATCCGCAGACGAGACAGCAACACAACACTATCCTCCCAGCAGAGCCGATCTCGGATACTGCTACACACATGAACACGTGCACACCAAGTGCATCGGCTACGCCACGTAAGTTTTTTTTTTTTTTTTTTTTGCTTCCTTTTTACCACGTTTGCAATGATTGAGAGAAGACTGACACAATCACAGTCTTGTGCCATGGCACTTTGATGACAGATTCGACCTCTGCATGGCGAGATGTGAGGCCGAACATCCCATGAACTACGACGACGGTGCGATTGAGTAGATATATCGCCAAGTGCACTCACAAGCACAATGGTGATTACTCACACACCTCTTGATGAGTCTTGATAGAAGCAGATTGGATTGCTTTTGCTTGGAAAGGATGTTTTGTCTGCAGCGATGTTTTGGAGATGTATTCGAAGAAAAGAAAAGAAAGAAAAAAAAGATGAAAATGATAGAGTTTAACCAAAAAAAAAAAGGAGGAAGAAGCAGAGAAACAAGATTGAAATTGGAATGAAGACAGAGAATGGGACAGATAGATATTGGGTCAAGGACAGGTATAAACAGAGGCAGAGCAAGTTGCAGTTTTATCTGGTAAATGTTTTTCGAAGAAAAATTGAAACCTCACAAAAAGACCGTTTTCTCTTAACTCGAGTCGATCACTCAGTTGCGACCTTGAAAAGTTGATTACCTTGAAAAGAGTATAAGCAGACTATGGGTCGCAAAGGTGCACGACTGCTTCCCGACCCAGACTCTTGGCCATTGTGATTGACCTGAGATGATGTCTCTCCATGGAGAGCAATCCGTTTTGGAAAGTAATGTGCGTTTTCACAGCCAAGTGTATGACAGCCCTTAGGGTACGCAGAAGCAGGATCGAGCAGTCTAGTTGGCGTGACAAAAGAAACCAATAGCTCACTGTCAGCCATTCACCGTACGGCGGCATGGCCAACGTGGAGATGAAATAGTTATTCTTGACCACAAGCTCTCTAGAATCAACGATGCGTTCTCTAGAAGACCACCTTATACATTGTTAAACTTTTTGTTCTAGTAAGGGTTGAATCTATCCTTCTTCTTCTTGTCCTTGCGCTTCTTTTTCTTGTCAATGTCCATGGCATCTGCTGAGGCTGCTTGAGACTGTGCCTCTTGTGCCCACAGACGGACTTGTCCGTCTTCTCCGCAGGTAATCACACGTTGATTCTGTTTGACTACGAGTCAGTATTGTATTCTCTCAAAATCGCCGGAATGTCATACGTGGTTATCAATCAGGAAGTCACGGACGATTTCGTCTCCGTGTGCGCCAGGGAAATCCATTGTGCCTGCCATGTCGAAAGACCAGCTGGGGTTCAGCGGAACCAGAGTGAGGTGAGAGGAACTNGTGGGATGGTCAGTAATGGTTCTTGCATGACATGCTACTGCTAGCACTTACGAGGTGTCTCCGGTCGCGATGTAAGCAGAAGGCGAGTTTGGGAAAACGTCAATCACATAGCTGCTCTTCAGCTGTTCTCTGACATCTCCGAATGTAGTGACTGGCAAAGTGGCATCTTCAGGATCGGTGGGCTTGCTCAGTGTGTATACTGAAAGCTGTTCATCCGTGCTGACAGCATAGACTTCTTCGGCAGTCAGGAAACCAGCACAGTGCACGGCGCCATAATGGTTGAGAACCTGAACAAGGGCGTCGTCCTCGTCTGAGATGGTCGTGTCGAAGATTGATACCAGACCATCGGTGGCCCCTGAGAGTAGAGTGTTTTGTTGTGTTGGGTGGAAAGCGACTTGAGTGACAGTATCGGTGTGGCTCTCGGTGTATGCCTGCAATGGCTGGGAGGTATTCCGTGTATCNCCTAGAAGTGAGATCTCAACAAAACTCCATCATGTATATTGGAGAACAGGCAGCACCTACCACAACAGCACGCTAACGTCTCCCAATCCCTCCTTGGTGCTTTCTGTGCCGGCAGCAATAAACGTATCACGGCAAGCCAATGCAGAGATACCAGCTCCACGAGCTGTCGCACAGTCATCAGGAAATTGCACAACCACAAAAACTTGCTAGGCAGCAACAAGAGAAAAGGAAACAGGAAACATACGATCAGCCATTTGCACACCAGCAGACTTTGCTCTTTCATCCAAACATCTGACTGTACCATCTCTTCCCGCTGTCACCAGCCCTTTGCCATCGGAAGTTGCCTTTAGACATGTGATGCCCTCGTGAGCTTTGGATACGGTATGCACAAGCGAGAGGTTTGCAGGATCGAAATAGCGAAGTGAATCATCCGAGGAAATGGCAGCACAGAGTGACGTTGTGCGGGCCAATGAGTAAATGTATGTATCACTAGGCAGTGACAGCCCCGATGAGGCGAGTTGTTTTGCAGTCATTTTCCGTTGGTGTGGTTTTAATTGTGAGATAAATCTAGTTGCAACTTTTTCGGATGTTGGAGATGCTGGAGAAGTCATCGTCAAAAGTCTTGGGACTGATGGAAGCGACCCTGCTCGCCCTTTTGCCATGCCAACACATTGTTTCGAAAAGCAGTTACAGCCTGGTCTCATACTATTGGCATGCTCCTCCCATCTTTGAGTTTACTGATGGCACGTGTATATGGTAGACAACAATGCTGGCAGTCGTACAATATGACTCGATGAGCATAGGAGGCAGCAACGACGGTGTCACCTTCTTTAGCCAGCAAGCGACAACCCGACAAACGCCGCAGCCACTGCCGATAGTCGCTGTCCACGATGACTCTATCATTGGTATACCACATCCAGGCAACAGCACGATAAACCCATCCCCAGACATTGCGGTGGTCAGAGAAATCGCCAGAATGCTCTAGGGTGGTCTGTGCAGAAATTCCCGGAGACGACTCCAGAATTCCCGAAAATGAGTCACTGCCACTTGCGTGCTATCTCGCGACATGTAAGCGTGACAAAGTGGTTACTTGCGGCCCAAGACTTCTCCAGGCTTCCATCTAGGTGGCGATCCAAGCGATTTCGGCATGACTGTTGAGAAGAAAACCTCTGGATACGTACTCGAGTATAAAGACCAAGGTAGGAGTCATGAGTGAATCACTACCTTTTCCTCAAGGTCCCTGTCATTTGTGTCTACTGTTCCTTTCCTTCTCATCACGTTTTTAATCACAACTACTCTTTGAGGATGGGGAAACTACATAATAGACGTCGAACCAGATTGAGGGCGAACAAGAAGGCTCACCATCAGGCCATTGCTATGCCACCGCTTTCCGCTGCACTCATGCCCGTGCAGGCTACGCTTAACGACGACATGAATATCAACCACCAGCAATGTTTCACTCATCAACCCAACCACATCAACTCACTCAACTATGCAAACAAGCAACACGAGGCTCGCCAAACTCAGTATTATGGCGTCGGCGAAGGCGATGAGTCTGGAGATCTCTGTCCTCTTATGCTTCAAGTCGTCTTGGATCTGTTTGATGGAGTTGACTACGAAGACCCCTGAACGATTATGGATAACGAGATTCCATGGCCTTTACCTGCTTGTGTAAAACAACCACTTTTCGATGGACCTATACGGTTGAAGCAAAGTCAAGTCGACGTTCAAAAGCGTGCCCGCAACGTTGCAGCAAGGACGTTCACGCATCACACGAGATCACAACACATGGAATCAGGTTTTCCACTCCATCATGTCGGTTTCAACGTCTACTCTCGTATCGCAAGTCTGTCCAGCATCACGAGTTGCGAGTCTTTTGAGCTCGGACGGGGAAATTGAAAGAAAGTGGCTGTGAGGTGCGAGAATGCCGAAGCTGCTAGTCACACGACAACTGGCCTTCTTGCCACCAGCGAAGTGTCTGCCTACTATTTGCCACTGCTGGACACGATTCCTTATTCTTGGCTGCAAGGCCCACCTCACTACTCTTTACGATGTTGCACTTGAACGCCTCCGAGGGACATGACGAGTTCACCTTGTGGCCTGCAGATCAAACTGTGCAGAGACAACGATTGTCGCCGCTGTAGCCGCCGCAATGCTTGTTTGCATAACGGAGAAAGACGGGTGTATATGAGGTGCCGGGATCGCGGACAGTTACATGTTTAACGGTTGATCTGGTTGCCGTGGGAATCACCCTGTTCAAAGAAAGGAAAGGAGAGATTGACAGCTCAGCTGTGATCGTTAAGGAAGTTGGGAAGATTCCAGAGCTCACGTGCTCTAATGCTCTGCATTGTTATTATGTGCCATATGGCTGGATGACTGTGGTTCTTTAGTATTCTGATGCCGTGTTTTCTGTAATTAGTGTTATAAATAGTAACAGGTTATGCTTAGCATGGCACATCTTTCATATCTACCTTGCTGGATATCTTGCTTCGCTTACTTGTCCCTACCATTGTACGTATCTTTCATCAATCGTCTGTCAATGGGGTATAAGTGTCGTACGGTGATTCGGCGACTATGTTGCGGGTTGCAATGTTGTTCGTGCGGCCGACATCCCGACTTCGTATCTCAAAGAGTGAACAGCCACACCCGAAATGGAAGCTTTCGAGATGGACGCTTCTCCATGGGACAGAACGGAAGTAGAAGTCTACGCGTTTGTCCCTCTTCCAGATATCCCACCCACCGTTCTTGGAACACGATCGGGATCCCGGCTTTGTTTCAGGGGGGTTATTCCAAGGATGGGAGATTTGATCGTGATTTCGAATTCGCTCGTGCAGAAAGACTGCGCCATCAAGCATGACGAAAAGCCGGGGTATGCAATTTGCTGACGCTGTTGTTGGAAATATTCGCGATGGCAAGTCCCTACCATGCCACTTGCTCCTAATAGTACCTTGCCAGGAAATGCCGCTCCGCGGACTCGACTATCACGCAACGATGCTGTTGCTTGTGCTTCTTGACTATTTTCGCATCGACGTTTGTCTTGTGGGGCGAAGCTGTGATGGACTTGTTGTTTCCGGTGCGGCTTTGTATTGAAATCGTACACGGTCCTCGTCACGGAGCATTTGTCTGGGGGAGACCACGCTTGCTTCAGCCACATCTGGATCGTGCGAGTGCTTGTGCGTCGGCCAGCGGCTTCAGCCGTAGCCAGTAGGGTTGTTACAAGATGGTCTTCCTGTCAAACTTAGGCGGTCAACACCACAGATACAGATCTCGATCAGGTGCAACAGAAGTTGGCAGGATGGAATTGGCAAATGTCCGTAACAAGGAAGCATGTATTATCAAGTTCACGGTCGCCTGATTTCAGGTCCTTGAAAGCTGAAGAGCAGAGTCTAGGGTTCTTCGGCTGAGCACCTCGGAGCTGAAGCCTTTGCTTCCAAATAGCGGACGGCATAGATAACGGGCATACTGAATGTCGACATCATCTGGCGAGCTCTGGCCTCGAGAAGGCGCAATGATTGCACTTGAAGTGAATAATCGTCCGTGGGGAAGGATTGGAAGAACACAATGCTCTAAGATGGTGTCTTCTGTGCCATTGCTGTGGTTGATCATACCTGACAAATTTAGACTCCCGCCATGGCCGGATCAAGGCTTCACCACCCCAGGACTTGTCATTGATGACGATTACCACCACCTTTGTGCTCTGGTTTGACAGCAGAAGTTTGACGTGAGATTGTCATAGCGAAGGTCTGTCGCAAAGAAGAGGCTGAAAGCCACTGTCGCAAGTCTGTCTCGGTTGACAGCCTCGATACTCACGATGGAAAAGCATGGCAACCGTTTGAATCTGGATTTGAACGGTCACGAGCCGGCTGCGGCGCGCGCGTGCGTTTCCATGACATCTTATCGTACTTGCTTGACCGTTTAACATTCTGGAATACTGCCTTGATAGTCGTTGTTGTCTCGACGACTGGGAAATTGGCAAGGGCTGTCATGATCCTGTTCGATCATGTGGAAGACTACTCGCCTGACGAACATGACATTGAACAGTCAACCAAGGTTTAACACCCCTGAATCTGAGCGGGCAAGGTCGGTGGTCGGATGCGAAGTCCGATTTGAGTTCACCCTACCCCGTCGAAAACAGGTGTTCGCTGCTTCACAGATGAAGATCAACAAGAGGGGAGGAGAAAGTTTTTCGGCGGGCAAGCAACTCCGATATGATGGAGCAGCGGTGAAAAGTGACAAGGAGAATCGACATTCGAGTCATGTCTACAAGCGCTCACTTCGGCGCGAAACGGAGGCACGCGGCGAAAACGCGGAGCGCATCAAGACCAAAATGAAGCCTTGTGAGGAGTGATCGACATGGACAAACCTGAACGAAGAACGTCGTTGCAGGTGAGCTTGTGACAGACAGAGAGATGGAAGCTTGGCCTACGTTTGAGAGAGTGAGAAGACAGTTTGGCCGAAAAGATGTGATGGTAGAAAAGGTTGTTGGTCGACTCGGCTTAATGACGATATGTCAATATACTTAGAAGCGCCGTTGGTGAGAGGCTGTGAACAGGGTCCTGTTGAACTTGTTAAAGACCACTTTGCAACATACAAGTGAGACCACATGTCTAGCCAGGAAGCAGAGTTGATTGGACCAATCTCGGGGCTCGCATGTGTCAATATCTGTGTGGATGCAAAGAGGGTACAGCCAAGCCGGCAGCACACAATTCGAGTCTGTAAAGAGTGGAGTTGTATGAACGAGGGCAAGGAGAGAGACGGTCCGAGGACTCAGAAGTCGCGGGTCAGTGACAGACACGATGGACGATCCTGTGTCGTGGCCTCTTGTTCACGCGCATGATTTGGGGCAAAAACACAACATGAGGTTGGCACAAATTCAGGTTCAGCAAAACCCTTCTGTAGAGGATAGGCAAGGCCGCGGGGAGCATGAATCAGCCGACGGCAGGCAGGTTGGGGTGGTGTTGCAATTGGCGTGTTCAGGAGGGCAGATCTTTATCGGATGCTACTGCTTGGAGGCAGATCAGCATTACAATGCATGTAAGCTCTCTCTCCTTCAAGAGGCAATCGCGTTATACAAAGCTGCGCGGTGAGCGAGTCGGGAACTGGAATTGTTGGCAGGGGCTGCGGATTTCTCAGCTGACGGAGAGCCGTTAATGTGTTCATCTGACAAAGCCAGATGGCCTGGTCGGCGGTGGATAGCAGGCAGGGAGAATGGGATTTGAGGCTAAGGGTTCACGGACCCGCACATATGACGAGGTCTTGAGGGTCTTGGTCGTTGGTAGCCGAGCTTGGGCGCCCATCGCTCTTGGTCCCGCGACTCGTCCAATTGTCTTTTCAACGCAGCGCCGTCCTTTGACAGATCCAGTCCCGCTTCCTCTCCTTGTTCGCTTTTCGGCCTCTACCGACCGCTCGCTGCTCGTCCACTACATCTCTCCCAGCTGCCACCCTCAAGGAAGACATGGTGTTTCACGCGCTGCGAACCCTCTCTTAGCGCCGCCGTCTCTCCGAAACCCGCCATCTCACTCTCATCTAATCAAACAATACACACCGCCGCAAACACCACCACTCAGCGTCACTTGTGTCATCTCGACCTATTGTCTGCACTTCGCTCGCCCTTGAGCATCAAGAGTCAGACACCCTCTACCATACTCAACTCTTCCACCACAATATGACATCGCTCGCATACCCACACTATACCGTCGACTCTGCACCCATCGAGGCCCTCAGCGAGCCTCCGTCGAATCCCTCTTACTCCCCACCTCTCTCAACTACGTCATCCGACAACGACATACCTACTCGCGGTCGCCTAGACGCCACCAGACCTAGACTCGGAAGCCGTAAAAGCAGCGGCACCATGATCATCCCGAGAGATAGCCCACGTGTCGAGATGGCACCCGGCGAAGAAGAATATGAACCCGATGATGTCCGCAGCATGAGCCCCAGACGCACGAGCGAGGTCATTGAGAAATTGGGAGAGGATGCCCGTCGGAATCTCATCGAGTATGTTCTGAATCGAGCCATGCCCTGTCTAGCTTCGTCGTACTAACAATGTCTCTCTCAGANNCAAGCACAAGCTCTCAGAGCAAGTCTCTTGGCAATCGTCGACCGTGTCGAGGCTGTCAAAATTGAGCACGAAAAGCTCGAAGGCGGCAACAAGTTTCTCCAATCGTAAGCATCAACCTCGTTGTACATCACCATAAATTTCTTGCTAACATTCGATCAGANNTATATTGGCGAATTAATACAGACCAGCAAAATCACATCAGCAGCTCCATCCAAGAAGGGCAAGAGTCGCAATGTGAAATAACGACAACGACCTTTCACTTTTTACACATTTGTCTTCAGTTAGCGGCATTCGACACACGGCGTATCGGCAAATCTGGATCACCATCGGCATGGCAGGAGTTTACTCGGATGGGCAATTGCAGGATCATCGGCGCATGGTCGGTTTCACGGCGTACGCCATCGGTTTTCGATGTGGTTTCTTCACTATTCTTATTATCATTGTATTGCTGCATTTCGGAAGATACCAAGGGCAAAGCAAGGGCTCAGAGCTGGCAAGAATGCATACCACGCACACCATTCATTCGCAGAGGTTGGCCAAAAAGACCTACGGGTCGGCCACTCCTCGCATGACCTTTCTTTATTAACTTCTTGTATCACCAATTTCAGAACATCCTTAATACTCGGCTATAGATCCAGATGTGTTTAGCAATTGTCCGCTTGCCCCTTGATCGTGGTCAGATTCTATTGTCTGCATTCCCAGTGCGACTATCGAAAGTTGTACAAGACGAAGGATGCGTGCTGTGGGTCGATCCACTTGTATACTTCTAGAGAATTACCAAAGTAGGCATCAGAAAAGATTAGGTTCAGGGGGGCTCAGGAGTGGTTCCGCACAACTGAATAGGTCTCTTCAGCCAGCCCACTCGTCTTCAGCCTTAAAGTACCCCCCACGAGGTTGACAGCTTTCGAACACAGAAGCGTTGCCAAGGCCTGAAGGGGAGCTCGATAGGGGCGACGGTTTGACGAAAATGATTGCCGAAAGATGTTCTCTGTGTCTGTTTGTCAAAAGTGCTGTGACACGCAAACAGGGAAGGAGAGATCCATCGACCTCGTCGTCGTAATACTTCCTACACTTCATCCATCGAGGTTCTGATCGCAAGAAACATACTTCTTGCATAGTTCGCAGTCATGCCGCAAGCACGGACGATGGCTGGACGCGTGGGAGCTCAGGGTAAGCATCCATCGCCTTGATTACCATATTCCATATTGAGAATTTTCATCACACGGCATTGCTGACAGCAGAGACAGTATGCGATCCAATGGAGACAATCTGGTTCTTGGAGACCGTCGACTAATCATATGCAATAGTGTCGCTTAATATTTCTGGTCGTTCTGATCTCACTCGGTGTAGTGACCTTGCTGCAATCACTACAGACAACACACAGCATCCATGACATTCCACTATCAATCAAAGGACACAAATTCGGAAGTGCCAAAGGAACGAAACACCGTCCAGCTCAATCAATCCGCATCAAGAAAGTGTCGGCACTTTTCGGCGAGCCGAACTATCTCTATGAAGCGGCCATTGCAACTCACGAACGACACAATGCTTTGCATGGCTACAAGATGCAGGTTCTACGAGAGCGTATCCATGCAAGCTTTTTGGCCAAGCCAGCGTATCTCATGTCTGTTCTCGTGGAAGAATTGGCCAAGCCATGGGACCAGCGCATGCAGTGGCTCGCGTAAGTCGTGTCGGCTTTATTCATGCGTGCGAGAACGTGGACTAACTCGAGCAGCTGGGTTGACCCGGACACTGTTGTGCTGAACCAGCAAATCCCATTGGAGCTCTTCATGCNNCCCCCTCCGGATGAGGAAATCAATCTGATCGCGACCCATGATGATGACGGCTACTTTAATGGTGGTGTTTTCTTCTTGAGAGTCGACACCTGGTCGCTGGAGTTTCTGGTACAAGTACTTGCGGTGCCTCTCACGGACAGAAAGCATCACGTCTCACTGAACAAGGATCATGCTGCGCTCGAACAGATTATGGAGAACCAGAGATACCGCAACAGAGTGACCTACCAACCGCGACTCTGGTACAATGCCTTCGACTACAACAAGACATACGAAGGTGACTCTGGAGACCTGATGGTGCACCTCACCGACCTTGGCGGAGACAAATGGGCCAGGATGGACAAGTACCTGGGCAACGTGACGAGCAAAGTCAACCCGCACGAGGTACCACTGGAGCAGACGATGTACGAGACGCAAGTGCAAGGATTCTGGAAGAGAATGGCAGACTCACGCAAGATCCTTCAGGAGGCAAAGGCGAAGGAGAAGGGTCATGATGGCATCAAAGAAGCAGCGAGAAGACTGCGATTCGCGTTGGACTTTGAGACGGACAATGAAGTGGTGATGAGAGGAGCATACGACTCGTTGCTCAAGGCATTGTACGAGAACAAGTAAGGGGCTGGTTTTGATGGTGATGTAATTTCCTAAGCGCAGGCGTGACGGAGGAGAAGTGCTGAGATAGCCACGATACCTAAACAATAGACATAATCCTGGAACCTGGAACACGAACGATAGCTTGAGATGTGACTCTTGACGGATGGCAATAGATTGAGATAGAGGGTTGTGGAAAATCATGGGCGCCAAGGATGATGCGGGCGTTGGTGAGTTTCGAGTGGGCAAGAAGACACGAATCGCAATTGCATGTGCTCTTGCTGTCTCCAGCTTCGAGTCAACTCTGAGAACCCTCCTTTATTTTTTTGTTCTAAGCACGACCTGTCAAGACGCAGCGCGTTTGACTTTGCATCCCGACCACTCTTTTCACTTCGGACCTTTGTCCTCAGCTTGACTGGCTTGGACCCGCGTACAATAGAAAGGCGCCGCCGCCATGTCGACCGAATACAACTATGACGAACAGGGCCAGTTCTTCCCCTTCTTCTTCGTCACAGTAGCTGGACTAGTCACACTACCAGTGACATACTCTCTCCTCAAGCCCAGCAAAGGTAACCCTCAATCCGACCTCCCAAATCTAGCTTCGTACTTATTCAGTGTCCAGNACCTTGAAAACACAGCGACGCGAATCGAGTCGTCCTACACGCCCGAACATGCAGATCTCATCGATGGACACAGGAGACGGCAAAAGAGGAGGGAGCGCAAGATCAAGCGCATGATTGTGGCTGGTGTCGGATGGACCACAATCGTCCTGATGGTCTACCTCATGGCTGTAACACAGCGCAGCACACCCAAGATCTGGGACCCTTATGAGATTTTGGGTGTCCCCATGTCGTCAACCGAGAAGCAAATCCAGAGCCGCTACCGCAGACTGTCAGTCACTATGCACCCGGACAAGGCCGTGCCCGACCCGGCAAAGAACGAGACTCTCGAAACCGTCAATGAGCGCTGGGTTGAGGTCATCAAGGCCTACAAGGCTCTCACCGACGAGGATGTGCGCAGAAACTTTATCGAATACGGAAACCCAGACGGCAAGCAGAGCACTAGCTTCGGTATTGCTCTTCCTCAGTTCCTGATCACCGAGGGCAATGGAAAGTACATCCTGCTCGTCTACGGCGCCTTGTTANGAATTCTGCTGCCATACTTTGTGGGCAGCTGGTGGTACGGATCGCAAAAGGTGACGCGCGAGAAGATCTTGGTCAACAGCGCTGGCAACATGTTCAAGGAGTTCTCTGAGCGCGTCGACGATCACGGTGTTGTCAACTTGCTCAGCTCGGGTGCCGAGTTCGAGGCACTTCTCCACGGCCACAAAGCTGACGCTGGAACTGGACAGCTTGAGAAGCGTCTGCTTCAAGAAGCTCGTGTTCTGACCGAGAAGGACCGTCGCTTCTTGCAGGACATGGACGACACTGTGCGTCGTAAGACTCTTGCGCTGCTCTGGGCCTACCTGGCTCGTGTTGAGCTCGACGACCAGACCCTGAACGACGAAAAGTACCAGCTTGCCCCCACCGCTCTCACCCTGAACGAGGCCTTTGTCTCTGTCTGTCTGGCCTATGGCTTCACCAATCCCGTCCTCGCATCCTACCGCACCTCGCAAAACTTGATTCAAGCTGTTGCTCCCGAATCACCTCCTCTTCTGCAACTGCCCCACTTCAACGAGCACGCTGTCAAGGCTATCGAGGACCAACTTGACCAGCGCAGCCATCTGAACATCCAGACCTTCATGAACTTCCCTGACGCCCGTCGCCGTGAACTTGCATCCTCTGCCGGTCTCTCGACGTCTCAGCTAGACACTGCTATCGGCGTCGCCTCTCAACTTCCCCGTCTGGTCATCGAGCGTACGTTCTTCAAGGTCACTGGCGAGAAGCACATTATCCCCAACTCCCTCGTCCAATTCGTTGTCAAGGCCCGTTTCATCCCTCCTGGTACCCGCAACATCCCTGATGTTCACCCCTCGGACCTCGAAGATGTTGACCCCGACGAGACCGACACCAAAGCCAACGCCCGCCCCGACCCTGCCGAGCAGAAGCAATACCAACCCCCTCTCGCCCACGCCNCCCACTTCTCTCGCGATCACTCTCCCCGCTGGCACCTCTTCCTCGCCGACGCCCGTCAGGGCAAGGTCGCCGTGCCGCCATTCACCTTTACCACCTTTGACAAGCCCATCCTCGATGAGTCTGGCAAGCCCACTTTTGCTGTCCAAACACTCAAGATGCAGTTCCAAGCTCCTCCCCAACCCGCCCACTACAAGTTCCAAATGCACCTTGCATGTGACAGTTACATTGGCTTTGACGACAAGAGAGATGTTATCCTTTCTGTCGAGGACCCGAGTTCGATTGAAGAGGCCGAGTGGGAGGACGAGGATATTTCCGAGCCCGAGGAGGGTGAGTTGTTTCCAATTCCCAGCATAAAAGGCACCAGAACTAACACAATGGCAACAGACTCAATTGCAGGACAAATGGCCACTCTACGTGGTAGTGCTACAAAGAAGCCTACAAGCCCCAAGATCAAGCAAGCCAATGACGATAGCGATGAAGAGAGCGGCACAGATGAAGAGGAAGAGACGGAAAGTGAGACGGACACGGACACTGATACCGATGAAGAGTAGATGAGAAAAAGTGACAGGCATTGTGTGTGAAACTTTTCATGTTGTTTGATAGCATTTATCCCCATTCCTCCTAAATGGACGATTTTTTTCCCTTGCCTTTACTGAGTTCTTTCCTTTGGAGTCCAATTAATACCAATTGTATCAAAGGTTGTCATATAACTCTTGACATCTTCTTTGGCGCGAGAGTGTGGTGGCATTTTGTTTGGGCCTGCTGTATTGGAATTTATGTTGATGGAGTAAGTGGTCGTACTATGGTGCGGAATAGTAATGTTGTAGTCAATGTCGTGCTTGTGTTTTTTTTCTTTTTTCCTCTCGATATACATATCTTTCTGCTTTCTTGCACTGCTGTTTTCTGCTTCTCGTTGCATGTTGGCTCCCCTCTATCCTTTCCCCTTTAGTGCTCGTTCTGTGGTTACGCCTGCCTTATTCCTTCCATGAACTACCCGCTGGTCGCTCCTTCTGTTCTTTTGTCCCTCTTGCCTTTCGTATCTCTTGATTGCTCCTCCGGATCTTGATGACACGATCTGGAGATATCAGAGAATAGGTCAGCGGGTTCTTTGAACAGCGTGTTGCTCATTCATGTATGGATCAAGGAAGAAGATGGGTATATGTTATATCTTTGAAATGCTGGGGTCTTGAGTCATCAAGTGTTGTTCATTACTCGTCATGTCTATCGTGCGGTCTATATACTTTTATTTTCGCTCTCATTAAACGTGAAACATTCCAACAAACAGCAGTCTAGCACTTTACCTTGCCCCAACCGAAAGCGTAGATTCTCGCAGCAAGGACAAGAGCTGTTCCTACAGCAGCAGAGGCACCAGACCAAGCTTGCGCATAGGTATAGATACCTCCGTCTGCAGAAAGCAAAGCACCTCCAATAGGTGGCCCCACCAAAGAAGCAAAGGACAAGAATGTAAAGACCATACCCATCCTCGTACCCACTTTACTGATATCCTTGGTCATTCTGGCGACTGTGGTGGGGATAAGGGATTGGAAAGCCGCTAGTCCGAGACCGTAGAACGAGACGAAAATGTAGAGAGAGGTTTGGGAGGAGACGCCCATCCAGCAAAAGGCAAGGACGTTGACGTAGAGGAGAACGGGGATAAGAGTATTGAGGGCGCCGAGGTAGCGGTCTGCGACGTGGCCTGCTAGAACGCGAGCAGGAATACCCACACCATTGAGAATGATAAGCAGAATGACCGAGTTTGAGTAAGAGAATCCGAGCATGTCGCGGCCATAAGATGCAATGTACCAGTTTGTAAAGTACAAGCTCGACATGTGGAAGCATAAGCCGATGCTGACGAGCATATAGTCAATCTCCTTGAACGCCGAGAAGTCCACCAAAGGTCCAGACTTGCGAGGTGGAAGTCTGGGTTTCATGACAAGGCCGGCGGTGCACAGGAAAACTAGGTTGATCAAACCTAGCACGCGGATGGTCCATCCGAAGCCGATCTGAGGCAGAAGCTGGCGAGCGATGAGCGGGTATAGAGCACCACCAGCAGAGTTGCCAGTAGTGGCCAGCGCCACGGCAAGACCTTTGTGACTGGAAAAGTAGGTGCTTAGAAGTGCCATGGAAGGTGTGAACAAGATTCCAGAACCGATTCCAGTGCAGACACCTTGAGCGAGAAATAGTTGCCAATATTTGGTGGAGAGCGATGTCATGAAGATTCCGACGAGCTGGAAAACAGTGCCCACAGCGAAAGTAGGCACGAAATACCCAGCGTCCATTGCACGGCCAGCAAAAGTCCCGAGGAAAAAGAGCACCCATACTTGGATTGATCCAATCCATGAGATGGTGGCAGGACTCTCNCCAAGGCTTTGAGTGTAGTACGTTTGGAAAGTTCCAAAGGAGTTGCAGAAGCCCCACGTGTTGAAGACGACCAGCCATGCCATAGCACATTGTAACCATGCCCTGTAGCCGCCATCGGGTGGTGGACCAGGTTCCTTCAGAGAATGTGTCGTTACTCGCGATGCGATTCTGTTGAGAACATTTGTTGGCGTCCTCTCCAAGTCGGTAGATTGTGGGCGTGTCTCTGATTCGTAGACTTCTTCCTCGAGAGGCTCTCGTATGCTCTTCTCCGACCATGATGAAGGTGTAGGTGTAAGATCCGGACTCGACGAAGCAGAACTCTTCTCAGTCTCCTCGTAAACAGATTCTCTCATCTTCTTTTTCTCGTCGAGTTGAGACATGTTTGCTCTGATGAATACACAAGTCGACCAAGTGTTCAAGCTGCAGAACAAAGTTTTTGTTGTATTTCGAGATTATAGACTCCTACTTGAGATATTCCCGGGACGAGCATGGGTTTTGTGCATTGCACGGAAGCATGACTGGCAAAAGACTCTGATACAGAGACTCCCTAGGGCGCAGGGCGTGTATGGGTTGGGCGTGTAGCGTCTGTGTTCTAGGGCGTGCACAAAATAAGAAAAATTCACGATAAGAAAGGCGGGTATTCACGGGCCTCTATCCGCCATGGGGGATTGGCTCATGCTGATAGCAAGATTTTGGTTCGGAAGACATGCCGTGTATAAAGAACCTGTCAAGATGGTGAAAGGGCCAAGGCCATGGTGCCGATATCCAGGAAATTTTTGCCAGAGGTCTAGAAATTCAATGCAGGAGGTAAAGGCGTGGTCCGGATGAACATGGTCGATTGGCAGGTAGATATGCCAAGACGAGTATACAACCCGCACCTGAATTGCTCAGACTTGGAAATTCAAGTCTGGTATATCACGGAAGACTCGACTCGTTTTGGTAGGAAAGCAGGAGTGTTGGTCATGGGTGATCAAGGCACGAGTGGTAGTTGCCAAATCATGCAGCATCAAAAGTCTCTCGGCAGTCGCCCTTGTCGATCCCGAATTCCGACTTCACTCGACGTGTCGACGCTTCCTCCTCTCCACCTCAATGTCGGAGCAAATAACTCAGTGCGTGCCAATTTCCGTCACGAGTCTCGTAGACTCTCAGTAGTACCTTTTTCACGAGCAGCTCTGTCGGTCTCTCACAGTCGTCTGCCAACCAAAGCCATAAGTACTTCCCTCACCTTCGCCTGCTCATGTGATCACGTGTGACTTTCTTGCCACCAGGCAGTCATTCCTCTATCTATCCGGCAGTCTGTACCGTAGAGACTTTGATTCATTCAGATCGTCGTCATGTCTTTCAGCGCAACTGGCGTACCGAAACCACTCCAATCACGACCCAAGAAGTCGCCCATCCAACTACTCCGCTCGGCCTCGTCACCTTTCGGCAATCACCCGCGACGCAAAGCAGCCACTACACCACAAGCCGGAGTCAAGAGAAGCCAGTCCGAGATTACCACCAGTAATGAACAGCCTCTCGATAACACAGGCATTGTCAATGCTTTGCCGCCGCCGAAGACACCACGAGATACCGTCGCCCTCTTCCGATATATCCAACACCGCACATGGATCGAGATACCAGAAAGAGCTGCCGGAATGAACAGCACTCGAATAGCCGAAGTCCTCAATTTTCGAAAGAACATGCCTCCGATAGTCTCGATAGCACATCTCCACGCAGTCTCCATGTCAACCACAGAGATTGAACGCCAACTCGCAGCCCTGATCCACTCTGGAATCGCCAAAAAGATAAACATACCAGGTAGAGGAAAAGGCGGCTTCGCGATAGGTGAAGGTGTTGTTTTGGTCGAGGACTGGATCAACACAATACAACAACATCCAGCTCTTTCCCAAGAACTAAAAGAAAAATACGCAAAAGTGCTGGAGGAAAACACATCTTCGTTCACAGTACCAGCAAGCCTGTTTTTCCCAGACGAAGTTCAAGAACTCATAGCAGCTGGGTTCATGACCTCGACAAGCGCACTAAGTGATAACCTCTACTCATTACCCGGCCAAGCCTCCTCACCTGGTTCCTCTTCACTAGCCAACTCATGGAACACAGCAGCCACCGGCACCCTAGCAGCTACAGGCGGCTCATCAGCCGTACACCTCAACGGCGGCGGCGGCCGTGGTCTGAACCTACAATCCAAACCAAAATCATCGGCCCAACAACCACAAACCCTGACTTTTTCCCTTCCGAACACAGGAGCATACCTCCGGCTAGTCACAGAAGCACGCCAACACCTTCTCGCCCTCCTCGTCAAGTCTTCCCCGAAATACAAAGAAAGTACAAAAGATATGCTAAGGGAACGATGGGATGGAGGTATACCTTTAGAAGATGCGCAAAGCAGAGCCAAAAGGGCGAGGGGCGAGTGGAATGGTGTCTTGCCTGGCAAAACCAAGAAATGGAAGACGTTCTATGGGTTGAGCTTTGAATGGGCATTGGAGGAGTGTTTAGGGTGCGGAGGGGTCGAGTGTTTCAGGACGGGTAGTGTTGGGCTGGGGGTCAGGGTTACTTAGTCTTGATCACAAACATCTGTGTGCTTCGCTCCTAGACAGTGTTGAAAAATTGTTTACAGCAATTGTGGTATCATGTAACAGAAGAGAGTGATTCTTGACGTTCTACAGTCGATTATTGATCGTTTGCGTTTCTTGGAACATAGCAGGTTTGGTAGGTGGAAGGGTTTGAACACGTATATTGCTGTATCCTCTGTTGCATTAGGTACTTTTCCAAGCTCTCCAATCTCCGTGTCCTTTCTACATCATGTTGATGCTGGAATTCGTCTGACGCTGCCTCTTCAGCTGCGGCGTGACAAAGTTCGGGTTCTTGGACATCTTCTTTGCCTGTGCCTCCTCTCCATCTTGCTCCTCCTCATCTTCGTCTTCCAACCTCTGAGAAAGATCCCAACCCACAAGCCCTCCGTGCTGCGAGATTTCTAACATTTGCCCTCTATCCTCCAAACTCATATTGCAGGTCGTCTTGTGCACCGGCCAATCCAACTTCTGATGCAACGCACAGCAATAAGCCGCCGTCCCACATCTCCCACACCGCTGCAATGGCTTGACACCCTGGTAAACATCGCAAGTAGTGCAGTGCCCCACATTAGGCGCATCATACAACCAGTGCGGATTCATGGGTATGCCATCGCTAAACGGATCCATCAAGGCATATTCCACAAACAACTCGTGCTTGCGTCCTTTACTCGTAAACCACACCTCCTGCAAACACAAATCTTTGACAAAGTTTTTGCCCAAGGTGTCGATTTGGGTAGCGGAGGTCAGGTCGGTAGTGCCCAGCATGCTTTCTGCGGTATTGGGGATCCATTTGCCTCTGTTGTTGTTGTCGTCGTCTTCTTGAATGCCGATATTGTACGTCAACATCAATTCCCACTTTTCACCCTCGGCATCAAGTTTCCCGATTGTGATTTGGTTTTGCACGCGCCCGATTTCGTATTTGCAGACGGAGGAAATGGTCAGTTGCCATGTAAACGAGAACCAAGCGTCGATGTCCAAAAACGCGTGTAAAGCGTCTGGAGACCAGCGAAAGAGAATTGTGGTGATGCCGACTGCGGTGGTCAAGTTGCTGGTGTCGGTGTGTTTGGTAAACTCTGCACCATTGTCGTCGATCATTTTGATGGGTGCTCTGTCTAGATGTACTGGCGCGTCGGGGAATCCTGGGATCCTGGTGTGGTCCAGAGGGACGAATTTTGTGATTGCCATGGTGTTTTTTTTTTGTGTGTGTGAGAGGCGTGTGTGTGATTTGTAGTGGCAGAAGAACGTGCAAAAGAGACAAGTCAGAGATAGATGTGGTTGCTGCTCAAGAGTTGAAATGCAGAATTTGAGTCGGTGGTTGCGTCCCAGTCACTGCCGCGTTTTGGTTTTGGTGTTTTTGGTGTTTGTGGTTTTTTTTTGCTCAAACATGCGTTTCCCTTTCAGCAGACTTGGCTCGACCACGGGGAGTTTGGTGTGTATGCGAATATCGTCCTCTGGTCACTTGCCGATGGTTCACGTCACGCTCGGATCCAAAACGAAGGTCAAGCAAAGAAGAGTCGTCTTCCATACAAATAGCGAGCGATTCACATCATGTACCGAAGTAGTAGGCATGTTGATTCTCATTGGTCTCCGTATTTACAAAATAATATAGACGGTCATTTGTACAAGAGTAGACTAGAAGCGAAAGTGAAACATTGAAGGAAAAGAAGAGGTAGTAAGAAGAAAGGGAAGAACGCACAAACAGGGACATCTTGTCAACACTTGCGCAAGAGCCCACAAGAGGAGAAGCGAAGGTAAGAAAAAGGGACATAAAAGAAGAACATCTAGTAGACAGTGCATTGACTCTCTGCCCGGCGGAAAGCGTCTCCAAGNAAGCTCTGCATTGCGCTGTAGTGGAACAAGATACCACCAAGAACAGCGAAATGCCAGATGTTGTGGCTGCCACCAAAGTAGTCGAAGAAGCCTGGAGCGAATCGTTCGGGGACCTTGGCAGCATATAGTATTGCGCCGGTGAGGTAAACAAACAAGCTCTTGAAGATGGGCGTGTAGAAGTATACTGCCCAGCTCACACCACGAGTGTAGATAAGCTGAATAACAGGCAGACCGCCAGTACCAGCAAGAGTAACGTAGAAGGCGACGCGGGCCCATGCGAGGTCGTTACGGTTGAAAGTTGGATGCCAGGGGAGAATGACACCTCCAAAACCCAAGGCGGCTGTCAAAGACATGTAGATCCAGCGACTGATGGGTTCGCAATAGAAAGCTGTGTACTCTGTAGTCATGATCGACGCGGCTACCAATAAGGAGATGCCGGTGTAGTCGATGCAAGCAAATCTCTCCATAAGAGTTTGGTTGGAAATAGAGTTCATGGTGTGCCACACGGTACTGCAGACCAGACACTTTGACGCAGCAAAGAAGAAGACGGCGGCAATGAAGATGTCCGACTTTGTCGACATGGAGAAGTGGGCCGAGGTAGGGTAAAAGTAGAATGCGATAGAAAGAACGATCAGCAGACCTAGGAAATGGGAATAAATGTTGACCGTCTCGTTGGAGAAGGACAGACAGGAGCGTAAGCAGTCGACCTTGGTCTCGCAGAAGCGGTAGCCACGAGTGATATGCGGGTTGATCCTCCACGGGTCCGGTAGGTCGTGGTAGGTAATGAGGCCTTGCTCCTTTGCGCGTTTGACGGCTTCGTCGATCTTGGCCTTGACAGCGTCTTTGACGGCTTCCTTTGCACGGCGAGCCTTGTCCATACCCTCATCCACCAGCTCAGTAGCAATGTGAATGCCCTCGTCCATCTTTNNTCTCCTTCCAGAGTCCATGAGGTCCGAGGCGACTGCTCCTAGACCGGCATCGCGCATGGCATAGGCACGAGTCTCGAATTCACGAAGTATCTCTTCCATCAAACGAACACCCTCGCGGACCTTGTTCTCCAATGTCTCTTTCTTTGCCAACGCGCCCCGATATCGGTCATCGAGAACGTCAACCATGATTTTGGCACGCCGTCTGCCTGCATCCATAACCTCGTCCGACACCTTGCTGCAAGACTCGTGGACGGCATGAAGAGTGCTGTACGCGCGATCGATGCCAGAGTCGATTTTGAGGTGGCCGTACGAGTCAAGGAACTCCAGACGATGGCCCAGTTCTTTGAGGAAACGGTCGACCAGTAGTTGAATGTCGTCGTGATCGGCGGACCAGGATTGAGGGACGTAGGAAGAATGGCGACGCTTCTTAAGGCCGTCTCTAACGCGTAGACCAGGGCGAGCGCTTGAGGTTGAGCAAAGGGTGGGCTCCTCGTGAGAGTCGGTCATGGTGGTGGTGCAAGTGGCCGTAGCCATTTTGGATAGGAATGGGTGCAGAGCAGAAGAGACAGCAGAACTTGTTGTGTAAAGACTACAAAGGGAGGGCGAAGAGATTGTGGTTGGTGATCTTGATCTTTGGTGAGCGATTCAAGTAATCAGACTTTCGCCGGGGCAACCGAGTTTGGGGAAGAAATGAAATGTCAAGCGTGGCAAACGGGAGCGGGCGGAGAAGAGTTTAGATGACAGATGGAGCGTGGATGCATAAGAAGGAAGGCAAGAGAGAGACGGGTTCTAGTAGGTCACAGTCGTACATGCGGGAAAACGAGGGCACGGCATAGCGAGGCAGAGTAGAGGCGTAGAGGCCCACGTAGGTGGAAAGCGAGACCTGAGTGGCATAAAATGGCTGGGTGACGACGTCTTGGCTTTGGGTCCCACCTTCCCAAAGGGTACAGCTTATTGCTAATCAACTGCATGCCTGCCTTAGGCTTCAGCGCTCATCGAGATGCATTGCTCGTGCTGAAAGGCTGCTTGACCGGTAAACGATTGCTTCTCTTGCCCTATCTTCTCAGAGATGCCTTAAAAGCCTTTCTTCTTTGTGATGACCTTCAGACGATGATGCAGCGCGAATTGAGTTTTATGAAATAGTCGCTTGGCTATCGCCGGATACGAAAGCTCCGACGCTTGGTATCGATGTCTCGCAGGGTCTTGAGATCGATTCACCTGCTGAGCGAGCCATCTCCGACAAGCGACCCTGTCTCTCTTCATGTGACCATCCGAACCATCGACTCTCCACATTCGCAAATCACATTCTACAATCCACAACACGCGCACCCATCGTCCATCATGGCCGACCAATCACCCATGGACGCCGGCGCCTTCGTGACCGACGCCTTCCTCCAGTCCGTCTTGCAGGCCGCCGCCGAGGCTCGCCGACAATGCCTGCAGATGCTCGACTTTATCGACCAGAACCGCGCCGCCCAGCCTGACCCTGATGCTGAGATGCAGCTCAGTCGTCAGCAAAAGATCCTTCACGCCAACCTGGCCAAGCTGCGCGGTCTCAATCGCCGCGCTGTTCTCGACACGCGCAACACCAAACAGCAAACCCAGGAAGCAAAGTCCGAGATTGATTCTCTGCACCTCCACCTGCAGAACCTGTACTACGAACAGCGTCATCTCATCGGCGACATTGCCGCTTGCCAGGGGTACAAGTACGTGTCTGTCTAAACGATCGCCTAGAATGCTATCTGACACTTTCACAGTCACAAATACCAAACTCTACCTCTGATTCCCGTCGACGAAATTCTTGCCATAGACCCTGAGCTTGCCGGCACAGACGAACACGATCTCATGGTGGCCCGCATCAACCATGAATACGCTGAACGTCAGGCCTTGGAAGAACAGCGCCAAGGGCTTCTCAAGAAGAAGCAAAGCCTGATCGCTGTGAACAACAAGAAGAAAGACAATCTGGCTGCTCTGGATAAGGAGATCGAAAAGTTCATCGGCTCTGCCACCCCTGTCCAGCAAAAATTCGACCAACACGATCAACAAAACCAAGAGGCTACAGCTTCCGCTTGAGCGCATGACCATCGTTTCATTCGTCTAGATTATTAAGATACCCCATACAGTTTGTTATGCCAGGTGCTTGTTGAACCAGTCGATGCCCTGCTTGCACGACTCATCCATGGCCTTCTTGTCCTTTTCCGAGTTCCAATCTCCGCGCAGTGCGAATCCATGGACCTGGTCCTCGTAGACACGTACCTCGGTGTCAATTCCCTCGCTCTTCTTCTTGGTCATGAGCTCCTTGATCTGGTCGACCTCCTTGTTTCCGAGCAAGCTGTCCGAATCGCCGAGCGCAAACGATGCGGGAACAGCGAGACCTTCAAAGTCGGAAGGAATGGCAACAAGCGAAGGGTGACAGCTGTAGATGGCGTCGACACCCATGCCCTCGGCGCCGCTAAAGTCTCTGTCTCCAGCCAGGACGACATATCTGCCACCCCAGCAGAAGCCAATTGCACCGACCTTGTTGGTGCCAGGGATCATGCGAACTTGCTTGATGAAGTTCTCGATCAAGGGACGAGCGACACTCTCGCGGTGCTTGAGCAGCCAGGGGCCGAGTGTTGCGCCAGTCTTTGCAGTGGCAGTGGCCTTTTCTGTCAGCGAGCGAGAGTCGCGCTCGGTCTTTTGGGGCTCGACAGTCTGGAGGAACTCGATGTCGAGCGAGTCACCCTCGTGTACATCAGGAATGTAGGCAGTGAAGCCGTTGGCGGCGTACTGGTCGGCGAGCAGGCGAGTGTTCTTGAACTCCCATCCGAAGACTNNGTTTTTCGTTAGTGTGTGGGACTTTCGAGGTTGAGAGGGCGTTGACTTGCTGTCGACGAGGAAGATGACGGTCTTCCACTTTGAGCCGTCCTTGGGCTCGGCAACGTAGGTCTGAAGACCAGCGATTGTCTCGACATGGCCCTTGGGAGTTCCCTCTTGGACCTTGCCGGTCAAGCAGCACGAAGACATTCCAACTCCGGTAGACATTTTGAATGTGTGAATCTGCTTTGGTTTGATGATTTGCGTAGAGTGTGAAGAGAACAGAAGCAATTGAGTACTGCAAAACGAAATGAAGAGCTATTCAACGTTCAAGACATCCGTTCGACCATCATAAAAGAGAAGCTTGGACTTGAGAGTTGATGCGGGGCTGTCATGACATCATGCCAAATGACAAATTTGCACTCGGCTCGACCACTGGAGTTCACGAAGTAATGAAACATGTTTATGCTATCTGGACAGACATCTCCTCGGCCTGCATAGCATATCCTTTTGGACATTGGAACGTACAACGTAGGTCGAGATCTGCTCAGTAATAGACCGCTGCTGGCGAAAAAGTCCGCACAGACCACCTCGAACTGTCTTCCAGACGACTTTGCGCAATTCCTCGACCATCAACCACCACAATGTGAAGAATAAACATTTGCTCGTTGCATCAAGCACGCGCAGCACAGCACATCAATCATTGTTGACAAAGGCCACTCACCGCCATAATGTCACTCTCCTTTGGCCTCAACACCAAGTCCAAGGCGTCTGCCTCACCTCCAAAGCCCAAGAGACGTCCAGTCGCCATGGACGTGCTAGGCGACGACTCGGACGACGATACGCCAGCAGCAACAGCAGCAGCTCCAAAGTCCAATGTCTTTGAAGAAGAGCTCACAGAGTTTGACGCCTCGAAGCCATCACGACCCTCTGCTGCAACCCCAGCACCCAAGAAGAAGCCTCTGAACAAGTCAAAACCCGGATCCATCCCCACCAAACCTCCAACAAGAAAACCTCAAGGCGTGAATCCAGAGGAATACAGCGACCTCTCCGCGCAGCGCGAAAGCGCCGCCTACGCCGCCAAAGCCAAAGAACTAGACCCGACAATCTACGACTACGACTCCTTCCACTCGGCCGCCACATCGNGCAGCCTCGGCGCGCAAAGCAGCCGCAAAGCAAGAAACCGTCAACCAAGGCCCAAAATACATGAACGCACTGCTCACAGCAGCCGCCCAACGAAAGNNCAAGACCAACAGGTCGCCCGCGAAAAGTTCCTGCAGAAAGAACGTGAAAACGAAGGCGAAGAATTCGCAGACAAGGAGAGTTTCGTCACGGGAGCATACAAAGCCCAACAAGAAGAGAACCAACGCTTGCGCGAAGAGGAAGAGAAGACAGCTGCTGCAGAGGAAGAAAGGAAGAGAAAAATGGGTGGAGGGATGCAAGGGTTCTACCGCAATGTCATGGCAGACAGCGAGCGCAGACACGCCGAAGCCCTCGAAGCAGCCGCCGAGATGGAAAAGCGAAAACTCGCCGGCGATAACAACATCGCAGACGATCCAGAAACAAAGCAAGAAAAAGACCGTGTGGCGGAATTGGCTGCCAAGGGCGTCAACATTACCCTCAACGATGAAGGTCAAGTGGCAGATAAACGCCAACTCCTCACTGCAGGCCTCAACGTTCTCGCCTCGCCCGCCGCACCGCCAAACCCTTCTGCTGCAATCCAGAAACAAGACGACACGGCGCAATGGAACAAAAAGCGCGACAATGGCGTCAGAGAACGACAGACGAGAATGATGGAGCAACAACTAGAGGAAAGCAGAAAGAGAGCCTTGGACGCAGACAAAGAAGAACAAGAACGCTTGGCCAAGGCCAGCAAGAGCAAGAAGACAGACACGGACATCAGTTCAGCGAGAGAGCGGTTCTTGGCCAGAAAGAGAGAAAAGGAAGAGGCGGCCAAGAAGAAGAAAGTCATATAGACATTTTCTTATTCGGACATATGTTCAAGATCTGGAAAGAAAAAAAAAGAGCAATGCTACACCTTGGACTGGCAATGTGCCAAAACACCTTTTAGCAATGCATCTTATATCTACAGGTTTCTAAAGCACATGTCTTGCTCCAAAACCTCACACCACACCATCACGGCGAGAAAAGAGTCCAGCGACATCTGATAAGAGCAAAAAAAAAAGAAAAAAAAAGAAAGATGATCCTACTCCATCCCATCTACACGATATTATCCACAGTTGTCCGACATTTTCTCGCCGACGATCTTGGAAGTCATATGCTGGGTACAGACAGAAAACACACCTTTTTGGGAGCCTGAAGGACAGAATAAACAAAATATATGTTTGATACACTTTGAGTCCTTTGCGATTTTGTCATATCGAGTCACGATGTGCGAGAGATAGGTAACACAGAGTTGGAAATGGCAGGGCCAAGTTCAGGTTGACGTAAAGACCAAAGCCTTTGCTGTAGCTAGATTTTGGAAATTTTCCCATGACTGCTTGCTCATCCAGGCGATAAGATCACTAGACTCCACTACCATGCAAATGAGCCATCCGAATCAAACCAGATGATGTCGAAATGTTGCGCAGATATGCCAATCCCTTACATACCGCCATTGAGATGTACACCTCATTATGCCAAGAGAGGATTGAGCATCCTACAGCCTACGACCAATGTTTCCAAAAGCGACAGCGCTGACAAAAAGAACACTAGCAATCCAAGTAGCAACACCTACACTTTCCATGGTGAAGGTTCCGAGCACCAAATCCTGTCCTCTGATGGCATCTGCCGTTGCGTTGGCTACGCTGGAGAAGGAGTGGATGTTTGCCGTATGGGGTGAGGGTATCAGGTCGGGGTTGATAGAGAGAAGAAGGCCAGTACCGGTGAGAGCGACAGTGGTAGCGAGGATGAAGCAGGGACCTGTGCGGTCGAGGAGGTACCAGATGGCTGGATTTGCGAGAGCGAGAGTAAGGCTGAGTTGGAGAGGTGATTGCCAGGGAAGACGACGCNNTGTGGAGGTGTTAGCAATTGATGTCAAGTAGGAGAAACGAACAACGCAAGAGCGACTTACGATAGCAAAAACAATGCCCACGGCGGCGCCAATGAATCTGACAACTTCGTTCCAGCCGGGAGTCCAGCTCTGGCTGCGAGTATGCGAGTCCTGAGCACTACGCAAGTTTCCAGAAGTTCTGTACTCCCTGTCGGCCTCGGTCTCACCACTGCCATCGCTCATCCAGATCGAGTCGACCCAGGGCAGAGCCTGGCCCAGAGCAACACCACTGAAACACCAGTAGGCAATATATGCCCACGAATCCGAGGGCATACCTTCGACCTGCACAGGCACCAGAGTCTGTCTGTCATGCAAATGCGCAATCAATTGACCATATGCAATGCCAGCGAGACCCAAGACGACATTCTTGCCGACCATGGGCAGGAACCAGTTGGTGAATGTCTTCTTCTTGGGCCGTTGAACACGCCGTGTCGAGGCTTCGAGCATGCTGCCCCTTCTCTTCTTGCTTCTCATCATCAGAGCGTCGTCGACGTTGCCATCGATATCAGCCATGTTCATGCCCTTGCTGTCGATGGGTGTCTGAGCACCCGTGCCCCAGGGAGTCTCGTCGCGATCGGGTGCATAGCCAGCCGGAGAGTAGATGCCAAAGAGGGTGGAGGTGGTCAGATTGAGGAAGGAGCGGGTACGAGAGGGCGGAAGGCCTGACTCGTCGGCTCCGGGAGATTGGGGGTCCGGAGTGCCACAGCCATTGGGCGAGTTGTCAGCCGTCGACGACATGGGGGTGAGTTCGAACGGACGACGAGGACGCGGACGAAGGAGAGGAGGTGATTGGTCGGCCATGTTGTCTTGAGCGTGTCTCGTGTGCTGACGGGGTGGTGGACGGATTCTTGCAGATGCACGTGCGTGTTGTTTTTTTGGTATTGTTCAGCCTTTGACAGAATATCCGAGATGTGACGCGGTGCGGATGGCTGCGAGGAAACAGAAGTTGCAGTCAATTGTCGTCAGAGGTGCTATTAAGGGAAGGAGCGAGACACAAGTACAAGAGGGAGAGATGAGGGAAGCAATCAGCGAATGTGGAACTGTGGGCCGATGATGATGATGCTGCTGGCATTGCTTCAGCTTGTGCATGTGCTCGTGCTTGTGCTTGTGCGCGACTCCGCTAGCATGTGACAGTCGATCACTCAATGCCCTGTGCCCCACCGCCGCCGCCGCCGCCTACCACGCATAACCACACCCGCAACAGTTACCACATCCAGAGAGCATCAAAGACTTGTATAAACAATCCAAAGAAATTCATTCGCATCAAACTAAGAGTACATGCAGTGACGCCGCTCCATAACTGCCTTTTGTCTGTGACTTGTGTGCAACAAAGTCCCTCCTAGAGGCCTGCAACTTGTCTACAAGCACGCCCCTCATCCTCAACAATGCGCTGGGGCTACAACCACACGCCGCTGCCCTGCATATGCACCCCATCCATTGTTTCGTCCCCGCTTCTATATTATTCTCCTCAAATCAATCATCTGAAGCCTCCGAATCCTGTGGGCTGGAATCCAGTAGGTTGCGCCATCACGCCGTTGGAGTAAGGTGCCGGGCTCGCCGCGCTTGCAGCCGGGCCCTGAGTCAGCATCAGTCGTGATCCTCCAAGAATCGGTGTGTTGTCCTGCTCCGTCTTCTGCGTTGTCTCCTTTGACTTGCGTTCCTCGTTGTCCTTCTTGAGCTGATCAATCGCCATGGCCTGTTGTGACATGTAGTTGATCATGAAGGGCATGGTGAAGTCGTTCAACCCGTGACGCCATGAGAGCTCCATGACAACGTGGAGAGGGATGAGGTCGTAGCAAGCATAAAGCATACCGACGAAGCACTCGCGGCTGCCAATGTCGACAAAGTAGCGAAGAAGCTCCTCGACGACCTCGCCCTTGCCCGACATGGCCGCAGTCTCGATGGCATCCTTGAAGAGCTTGTCTTGCTTTGAGAGGGCAATCGATTTGTCCCATCTCTTGCTCTTGCGGTAGATGTTGGCAGCGATCTGTCTGAAGAAGACCAGGTCGTGCTTCTCGAGACGCTGAGCAAGAGCCACCGCCTCGTAGTTGTCGTAGTTCTCGACCGAATCACGGAGGGTCTTGTAGTCCTCCTCCTCGATGAGCAGATCGTTGATTGCATCGTTGACAGCGCGCTTGTTCTGCGATTGGACGTTGAGAAGGAAAGGCTTGATGAGAGGAATGTTGTCAGACTTCTCGAACATGCGCACGACACGGTTGACATCGATGCGAGGAGTCAAAGCCTGGAGGAGGTCGGTAAGAAGCGAGGGTTGCTCCTGAAGGTAGAAGTTGAGAGCCTTGTAGTAGATTTCCAAGTTGGCAACCTTGACCACGGTGTCCTTGAAAGAGTGGTGCTCCCAAGCATCGGCAGCACGCTCCATCATGGCAAGAGCAGCGTTGTCGAACTCGTCGTAGTGGACACTGAAGGTATAGTTGTCAGTACGTGGTGCATCCAGATATAAACAGAAAAAATCCCCGTGTGCAAAAGTATGTAACACGTGTAACTATAAAAATGCATGATGGTGTAAAGAAACAGGGCAGTGTCCGTCGAAGAGTGACACTTGATTATCTCTCTCTGGTCATATCCCAGAGTTCGAAAACCATCGTGCAATTTTATAGTTGACAAATTCCTCTCTGATGATAGGGGAGGAGGGCAGGAGTTACCAACCTCCGCACACGGAAAGGGTATAAGGGGGTGGGTTTGAGGGTAGAAGAGGGGAGGTGCAACTTACTATAAGAATACGAGTTCAGGCCACAAGTGAGCCTCCTCGCAACCACGAATCATCTTGGGAATGTTGATACGGCCCCAGAAGATACGGAGGTGCTCCATGACACGCTCGGGGTGGTACTTGGAGAGGGCAATACCCAACTCAGTGAACATGCCCATGTGAGCGCGCTCGAGACCAAGACCAGCCTCCAAAAGTGAGATGAGCTCGTCGAAGTAGCCGTTGTGCTCGTATTGCTTGATCAGATCCTGGAGCTCTTCGGCGTGAACGATCAAGTTGAGACCACAAATCTGGGCGAGACGGAACTCCTTCTTGGCAACACAAGCCTCGTTGACTTGCTTCCAGACCTTGACGCTGTTGGCCTTGCGGGCACACTCGACAGCAGCTTGGTAATCCTCGAGGTGAACAAGAGTAGTGGCGAGCTTGGCCCAGTTGGAGATGCTGGTGAAGAAGATCTTGGCAGCCTCATGGAAGCCCTCCTCATAAGCCTTGTCACCAGAAGCCTCAATGTCGGCAACGTTGGATGTGCGTAGGAAGTCCTCCAACTCACTAAGCTGGTTGGTACGGGCGAAGCTGAAGGCAAGAGCAGTGTCGACGGGGGTCTCACGCAAAGTCTTGCGTGCCATACGCAGGTACTTGATGAGGTCCTCATCCTTGCCAGCGTGAGTGGCAATCTCGATAACCTCGTTGTAGTTGGAGGGGTCTTGAGCGCGAACGTAAGACTCAACAGAGTCGCTGATACGAAGACCGTCGAGCTGGGCCTTTGCAACCTTGCTCCAGACCTCGGGAGTATCAACCTGGTCAGCCCACTCTTGCGCTCTATCTATGGAGACAATCTGATGAAACGAGTTAGCAATATGTTTAGTGATGAGATAAATGCATGAGAGTTTAGACAGTCATCTTCAGGAGAGCACTCTCAAGACATGGAATACCATCGGAACGCGCGAAACCATTCGAGTAGATACCGTTCTCCAATGAGAGCGCAACCATTGGCTAGGACAATGCTGGCTTTCACTGGAGACGGCTGTCGTTCGTTTCGCTTCGTGCATTTCGATGGCCGTCGCTCTTGCGCTTGCGCTTCCTGAGATGTCGTAAGCTGAGGAAATGGTACTTACGTGGTCAACGAGAACATCAGTAGCAGCAGTGTGGTTGTTGTGCTTCTTGTAGATCTCAAATGCCTCCTCGTACATGCCAACCTCGATACATTGGGTGGCAATGTCTTCGGGGCTGTATTCGGAAAGGTTCTGGATGTAGTTACCGACGCGAGCACGGTCGGACTTGCAAGCAGTGAGCATGAGCAAGTTCTGAAGGTTAGCATTGTCACTGAAAGCGGAAGGCTCAAGAATGATCTTCTCGAGCAGCTCGATCAGCTCAGTAGGCATATCGGCATCGATGAAGGCCTTGACGGCAATCGAAACACGCTCGGGGTCTTGAGACTCAGGAACGGCAGTAGCAATAACCTGGTCGACGAGAGAACGGCGGTGCATGTTGTTCGAGCTAAGAACGTAGTTCCAGATCTCGAGGTCTTCACGCTCAAGCAAGTAACGAGCCTGAGCTCTGAACATGGCATTGTCGTTGGTGATTTCGATAAGCTCAAGGTCGTTCTGGCCCTTGCGGTAGGCAATGTATGCGAGGTTGGGGTCACGCTTCTCGCAGTATTTACCGACGGTCAAAGTGTCGTACATGTCGTTCTCCTTGAGGAACTTCTCAGGATCGTTGTTGCTGTCGATGTAGATCTTGGCAAGCGCATTGTAAACAGCTTGTTGTTGGTTACCGGCCTGGAGGGTAGCCTCCAAGAAAGGCAGCAGGAGCTTCAGGCGGTTTCTCGACTCGACCTCTGAGACAAGCTCGTCGATGGGGACAACAGTCGAGTCGACCGAGCTCAGAAGGTTCTTGATAATGTTCTCGTCGCAATCGACGTCAAGAAGACCGCCAACAACACCAGGAGTTCTACCAGGGTTGACACGCTGGACGTAAACTTCAATAGACTTGAAGTGCTGGTTCTTGTAGAGGTACAAAACAAGGTCGTGAACAAAGTTGAAGCGGTCGCAAACAATAATAAGAGGAAGCTGCTCGGTGAGCTTGGCCTCCTTGAGGAAATCGCGCACCTTGGTTGCGTTGTAGTGGTTAGACTCTCGGCAGACACGCTCCACCTCTTGAATTTGGCCCATAGTGGTAGCGGCCTCAATGTACTTGAAGGTGACTTCCTCGTCTTCGCTCAAGTTGACAATACCGCCAAGGTAGTAATAGAGACCCTCGGCAGTTCTGTACTTCTCGAGCAGGGCAATGATGCGGTGGGGACCGAACAAGTCAGAGTACTTCTTTGAGATGTTGATAACGGCGGCGAGGTTTTGGCGGATATTGACCTTGAGCATCTCGTCCAAGCACTCCATCGACAGTTCAAGAGTGAGCTTGCCGAAGAAATTGACCAAGAACTCCTCAGGAATCTTGTCAGACTGGACAATGACACGCTTGATAGCAGCAGGATCCTCGTAGTGTTCCAGAGCTCTTGTGTACAGGCCAGCCTGCTCGCAAAGTGTGGCAATGCGAGGACGATCGTAGTGGGTGAACATCTCGTTGCCGAGGATAGCATCAGCAACCTGGGGAGCGTTCATCAAGTTCATCTCGATCAGGCGAGTCTGGAGGGGCCCGTCCTCTTCTCTGTTTGCCGAGAGAACGTCAAGACCGAATGCAGTAGCCTGCTGGATCATGCCCTGGGCCATGAAGACGTCGAGAACACGAGATGTGTCGATGAGGTTGGCGTCCTCCTTAGCCAGAGCAGTTGCGAACTCGGCACCCTTCTCAGGGTTGACTCTAACTATGTGCTGAAGAAGAGCGTTAAAGTCGGGTGTGTAGCCAGCTTCCTTGGAGTATGAAAGAATTTGGTCGAAGTTGCCCGACTCTGCCATTGCAGCGATGACCTTCTGAGGGCATCCGGCCTCCCTGTAGATCTGCATGGCCAGGTTCAGGTCGTGCAGGCGGACAATATCACCCAACTGCTCAGAGCAACCAAGCTTGCCCTCGCTCATCCACTTCTCGAGAAGGTGCTTGCGGTTTTGCTGCAGAACGGGTCTTGCCAGCTCGAGAGTTTCGTGCTGATTGAGCTTGCCCTTGTCGAGCAGCATACCGAAGTATTGGAGAATGACAGAGAGTTGTCCAGGTTGGGCCTGCAGGGCCTTAAAGCGCTCGATGGTTTGAGGTGTGCGGAGGAAGCCATTGGGAGAGTTGGCAGCGGTCTTTGCGGCGTCGGCGTATTGACCGGAGGACAGAAGTTGTTCGAATCTCTGCTGGTATAGTTGGTCAGCACCAGGGAGGCCACCACGCGAGGCCAGCTTGTAAGCAAGCTCGGCGTTCTCGGGGCTCTGCAACAGGTAAGGAATGACGGTGTTCTCGTCAAGGCTGACAGACAGGACTTGACCCTTGCGATTAATTCCGACAATACCGGAAGACTCGCTGTCGGGACAAGTGGTGAAGACGGTCTCGCTCGAGATGCGGTTCATGAAGATGACGGTGCCGGTCTCCAAGTCGTACAGGTGGATGAAACCGTACTTGGTCACCAAATAAATGACCTTGTACTTCTCCGAGACCTGCATGGAGACGGGGAAGTCGCTGGCGGCTTCTTGCGGGAAGTAGACATCGACGGCTCTCTTGGGGAATACGGGGTTGCCTTGCTGGTGGTCGATCTCGACAACGTGGAGCTTGGCGCCGGTGGCAGTGCGATTGCAGAAGGTGAAGACCTTGGTGTCTGCGGGTGCACCCTCCAAGCGAATAGTACCGAAAGCAGCAGCGTGACCCTCGATTGCCTGACTGATACCACGGTCGCGAGAGTAGAGTTGCATGTTTCCAACGACGCGACCTCCTGCCGAGGAGATGGAGACAACAACCATCCACTTCTCGTCGTGGCTGACTCTGTAGTTGATGATCTGCGAGCCCAGATTTGAGTTGCGGTCAAACATCTTTACGGGAGCGGCCTGGCTGGGGTCGAAGATGTCCCAGTGGTAGACACTAGTTTCTGTGACTAGACCCAAGCTCTTGTCGCTGTACCACTTCCAGAAGACGACGTCCTCGTTCATGGTGGCCGACTTGAGCTTGGCCTTTGCGCCGAGGTCGAAGATCTGAAGTGTGCGCTGTTGGGCACGCAGGGCGATGATGTCCTTGGTCCAGTGCATGATTGCGTTATCCGCCTTGATAGGGCGGCGCACGACACTGTTGTTGTTCTTGAGGTTGACAATAACAACCTCGCCCGAAGCGGTGTCGCAAACACAGACATAGTGATCTGATTCTAATGTCTGCAGTATGTGTAAGTGGCTGTCGTAGCGCTTTTCGAAGTGAATGTCTTACACAAGAGTTGAAACCAAATGACTTGGGCTAGAGGATCGAGGTCAGTGATGTTTGGAGGGTTGGATCGCGGCGGGTAAACGAACGTCAATGTTGAGCGCTGTGAGCTGTCGATGTGTGTCAGTGATGGCCAATTCAGCAGTAGCAGAGAGCATACCTGGAGCAGCTCGGTGAACTTGATGGGTAGAGCAGCCATGGTTGTGATGTGTAGGCGGCTACCTCATCCGGCGGCGGGATCAGGAGCTTGTGTAGGAGCGTCGAGCCTTGGGGCAATGGCGGCCCTGCTAGTCGGAATAGGTAGAGGCTAACACTGAGATGCAAGGAAAGTCGTCAAGACGTCAAGCAAAAAAGGCAGGTGCGGCGAGAGAGAGGAAGGTGCGATGGTCGGGAGTGATATTAGGAAGGTGTTGATTGCTGGCTTGCTGCCATTGAAGCTGGCTTGGCTGGGCGCTGTTGTCGACGTATTGCGATCTCCCCGGAGTCTTGGCGTCAGTCACCCAAACGAGCAGCGAGTCACAGACAATCATCTTTTTTCCCGGGAGAGAACAATAATTGGCGCCCCTCCAACCGTCATCCCACCAAACACCACCTTGCAGTCACCCCTTCTGTCGCAACAAGGACCGCTATTCACTGCTTCTACGACGCACATCTTACTCTCACGTCTTCACCTCTTCTAAACAACCGCAATCATGGCAGGAAATTGGGGTATGTCGCACCCCACCACACCCGCGTGCCGATCGACTCTCGTACAACAATACTGACCCAACATCCAGATGACGAGGAGTCCAGTGGCTCTTCTCCCAGCTCTCCCCAAATCGTCGCACGTCGCGGCAAGTTTGACGACGAGGAGGAGGACGGCGATGTGAGTGCGACATCAAACTGTCTTGCTGCCCAACAGTCACTAACCCCACATACAGGTCCTTGATTCCTGGGATGCTGCCGAGGACTCGGAAGTCGAGAGAGAAAAAGGCAAAGAAGGCCGCCGAAGCAAAGACCAAGGCCGAAGAGGAGGCAAAGAAGAACCACAAGTCCAAGAGCCAGAGAATAGAGGAGAGAAGGCAAGAGAACATGCGCAAGAGAATGGAAGATCTCGATTTCGACAGCGAGGACGACGAGGACGAGGCCGAGCGCAAGGCTAGACTGCGCAGAGAGCAGAAAGAGTCCGACCTTAAGCACGCCGAGGATCTTTTCGAGGGTATCGGTGTCCCTGCCACCCGCAGCAACCCCAAGGCCATCACTGTCGCCGACGAGAAGCAACCCGGCAACGCCATCGATCTCTCAGCCATGCCTTTGTTCAACCCCACCACCAAGGACCAATTCGCCAAGCTCCGCGAGGTCCTTGCTCCTCTCCTGGTGTCAAACGTTAAGAAGGCTCAGTACACCATCTTCATGCAGGAGTTTGCCAAGGACATCGTCAAGGAACTCCCTAGCGACCAGATCAAGAAGATTGCCAGTGGCTTGACTACTCTCTCCAACGAGAAGATGAGAGAAGAGAAGGAAGCAGCAAAGGGAGGCAAGAAGTCCAAGGCCGCAAAGACCAAGACTACTCTTGCAGGTGCCAGAAACCTTGAGACTGACACGACTGCCTACGATGACGGTCTCGATGAGTACGTTGATTTGATATCCTCCGAGTGTGACAAAATGCTAACTTTCGACAGTGATGATTTCATGTAAACAATGACCGAAGACCGAAGTGAAGCCAAGTTCGAATACCAAGGCACCAGATTTTCTTTGCGGATAATGGATAGAGAGTACAGGAAGCATTTGCACAAGGCGTAAGGCACTGAATGCATGCTCCAACAAGTTTTCGATTTAGCAACATGGGCGTTCATTTGACTGTTAGACTAAAAGCTGCATGATTCCATCCATACTGACTGGCTTGACAATGCTCGTAGATTGTTTGCACTAGTAATGTGTTCATTGGTTTGAGGTAGTGCCCCTGCCTCCTTCCCATCTAGTACAGTATAGACCCCAAAAGGCAAGCACTTTTCTCTGGGTAGACTGCGTTTTGACCCTTTCATAATGTGCAAGCTGCATACGTCTCTATAGTCTCGTACAAGTAGTTGCCCTTTGATGCAGACTTACAGAGTATGTGCTTTTTACGGATCGTCAATCTACTCAAGATCAGGTGCATTTGCATAATTACAGCGTGACAAACTTTTGCAACGGAGAGGCAGCCGAAGCCGAGTCGAACTTGTGGAGCGGCGCGAAACTCAGACATCCGACCAAATTTATTTTATCCGTGGATTTTTTGATCGTCTTCACCAACATCCTTTCATCGGGTCGATTTACGCATTATGATTTGAGTCGCATCTTCCTCATAGTAATCCGCAGTCACAACCTCTTTTTTCGCCATGGCCTCGCGTCCAGAGGATCCCGTCGCCGCAGCGGCCAAAGTGATCCGTATCATTCACGACAACCACGCCGCCCAGAGCAGATATTTGCATTCATTGAAGGTCACTCCTGGTGAGAGCCATTTGGAGACCAAGAGTGTTCTGCAATGCATGGAACAGGAAGAATACCAGGACGTTCTCACCGACCTCGAACCGCCTCAAAAGGCTGTCTTCTTTGACAAGGTGGCTGCCATGAGCGAGAAACCTTCTGAGAACTCTTCGTCTCTGGACAAGGAGACTATCAAACTCTACTTCGAGGCCCTGGATATGGAGGCCAAAGCACTGAGCTTCAAGGATGTTCGCGCAGAGGTCAACAAGCGTCCGGCTATTACTACTTCAACTCCGGCCAAGTCGACTGCTGCTCCCGAGCTCCCTTCCACTCCCACTACCTCGAAGCCCTATCGCGAGACCAAGATTGAGGTCAAGGAACTGAAGGACAAGCCCGCTCAGAAAGCCGTCAAGCCCGCTCCTCCCGTAGCCCCAAAGGCACCTGTCGCGCCTGCGCCTAAACAGCAGAATGAGGAGAAGGATAACAAGGACAAAAAGAACAAAAAGAGAAAGAGAGAGGACGATGCACTGAAGGTGTCGAAGAAGCCAAAGACTGAACTCGAAGCATCAGTTGGTGGTTCGAAGAAGAGACAAAAGCGTCGGGAGAAGCAGAAGTTGCTCCTTGGAAAGGTTGCAGCAGGTGAGGTACCCTCAGTCTCAAAGCCTGCTGCCGACGAGGCACCCAAGACGGAGACAATCCTTCCTGTGGCGCAATCGAGCGCTAGCAAGGAACAGCCCTCTGTGGATGGGAACATGCAGCTGGAGAGCTCCGAACCTGCTTCATTGGAGGTCTCTGAGCCTGCTCCGTCGGAAAGCACCGTGCAAGCCAACTCTAAGTCTAAGAAGGTTAGGAGGAGTAGGCACAAGTCTGAGAAGACGAAGTCGAAGCCCGTAGAAACCGAACAACCCATTCAACCATCTGCTCCGGAGCCTTCAACCATTCCCGAGACTGAAATTTCTGCGCAACTTGAAGGCAGCAAGAAGTCGCGTAAAAGGAGAGCACGAAAGGCGAAGGCTGCCGAGATTCCTGTGACCATTCCGCCTCCTCCGGTTGCTCGTGAAGACTCGGTTCCTGCTGAAGACTTAGCTCCCACAGAAGATGCTTCAACAAGCTCTTCTGACGAAGACGATAACGAGGATGACTTACCGGCCAAAGAAGGTACAATGTCTGACTTCATACGTCGCACCACTTTACCAGTGCTGGGCAAGCCAACAATTTCAGCAACTGCTGACTCTTCCAGCGACGATGAAAACGAGGGAAATGAGCAAGCCATGACCTCTCCGAGCAATGAGCATATGGAAGCGACTGAAGGCAGGACCGTAACTGGTGAGGCTGACAAAAAGTCGAACCCAGAGGTAGCTGATGAACAAGCCGTTGTCGACCAGATACAGAGAGAAATCTCCTCGGATGTTCTACGTGCAGAGAGTCCTTCGCCTGCAACAAGAGAGACCAGTGTATCTTCACACGAGACAGTGCCAAGTCCTCCTCGTCAGCAAGAGCAAAAGAAGAGCAATCCGGTCGTCAAGAAGACAGAGCTTCCTAAAGCAGCACCTCCAAGCTTCTCATCTGCTCCTTCACAGAGGCCCCAGCTCTTCAACTCTTTCAGCAAACCGCAATCATCGTTCACCTCGACAAGATCACTATCTATCCCATCCACTAACACCAACACCAACACAAAAAGTCTGTGACCGACTCCTTCGCTGAGTTTTCTGCATTCGTTGCTGGAAAGAAACTGGGCTACGATAGTAGCGACGATGACGACGACAGCAGCAGCAGTAGCAGTGACAGCGACGACGAGAGACCAGCTCCTGCTCAGGCTCGCAAGCCAAGTCCTGTACGACTTCAGCCATACAAAGCACCTTCAATCGGCCCTATCGTTGCACCTGAACCCGAGACTGAGCCGTCAGCCATGGATATTGATACTGAAGTCGGCGCTACACAGGAACAGATAGACCCTGTCATACCGGCGATCGATGTCGTCATGACTGACGAACAAGAAAACATCAGTTCTCCCATGGAATATAACGACTCTCAAACATCAGTTCAAGGAGAAACAGATAAAGTCGCTGAAGAAGCCACGGAGGAGAATTCTGCCGCCTTTCAATCGTTTCACGAGAGTTCTGTACCAAGGGATGCTCCTCTTGCCCGGGTCCCTCTTCCCGAAATCCCAAGCCCTGAGGCTTTGATGGAGTTTGGTGGATATCAGCCATCAACAACTGAAGCGAAGGAGGAGATCCAAGAAGTAGCTCCTGTCACCGCTGAAGAACAAGTACAGGCCAGTGAGCCTATCAATCGTGAAAACGAAGAAGGTCCTGAAGTTGTAGACGATATCGAGTCAGAAGTGGAGCCTGAAGTCAACGACAAAGCTTTGGATGAACTACCGGGAGCTGATGAGCAAGCAAGTTCTTCTTCGGAAGCTGAGCAAAGTCCAGAGCCTGCTGTGGCATTAGATTCTCTCGAAAACAAAGACGCCGAGATTGAGGGAACTGCCCAGCAGTCTGAGTCGGGTTCTGAAACTGAAGAGCCTGTCGTAGACGAGCAAGTGTCAGAGGCTGCCGAAGAAGTGGATGAGCCCGAGAACCAAGAGGGAGAGACCAAGGACATTGCACACTCATCTCATTCGGATTCTGAGCCGGAAGAACCTGCCGAAGCCTTTACGAATTCTATGAAAGATTTCCTCGCAGCTTGGGAAGAAGAAGTCGACAATTTCGAAAATAGAATTGAGGAACTGCGACAATTACTGGTGGAAGACGGTGACGGCAGTGCCGAGGACAACAAGGACATTCTGGAGAAGTTGATGAATGAAGTCGATTTTGAAGAGGGCAACTACAAGAAAAAGACAACGACTGCACGCAACGCCTTGGGCAAACTTGAACGACTGGCTCGAATCAAGATTCTCGAAGTACTCGATCGTGCAGATTCAAGCTTCGAGCAACGAGTGCTGGTGGTCAAAGACAAACTCAGAGAGGAGCACAACGGCGAATCTGCCAGAAGTCAACTTTCACCTGACACAGAGGAGTCAGACGTCCAGATGAAGGACGTCCCTGAACTCGAGGCCGAGCCTAATATTGGAGATGGAGATTCCGACGACGAACAAGTCGATTCACCAGCGGAACCCGTTTTCTCCTGCGCCTTCCTCTCTCGGCTGGGCACCAAGCGAAGATGAAGGCCTGACGGAAAGCGCGAAGAAGGAAACAAATGTCAAGACACGCAAGCCACGCAAATCGACTGGCGCAACTTCCGAACACTTCACACCATCGCCGAAGAAGAAACGTGTGCCAGCTGGTACATCCGCCGTTCCTTTCCCAAAACTCTCAGCACTTCGCTTCGGCTTGATCCAAGAAAGACTTGCAAGCGATCCCTTTCGCCTACTGATCGCCGTCACCTTCCTTAACAAGACTGCCGGTAGGGCAGCAGTACCTATCTTTGAGGATGTGATGGAAACTTACCCTACGCCAGCAGATCTGGCTGCAGCCGATGTCAGTGAACTCAGCGAGATGATCCACAGTCTGGGCTTCCAAAACCAGCGTGCGAGAAAACTGATCAAGATTGCCGAGACTTGGATTGAGCAGCCACCGCAGAAAGGAAAGCTTCATCGCACCATGGACTATCCCAACAAAGGCAATGGCCGTCACCTCAAGCCCAAGGAAACCGTCGACGAGGATGTTGAGGACTGTATTGAAGCCGGCGCTCTTGAAATCGCACATATCTACGGTCTTGGACCTTATGCTTGGGACTCTTGGAGAATTTTCTGTCGTGACGTATTCCGCGGTGTGGCAGATGGCTACAATGGCGAAGGCGTCACCGGCTACAAGCCTGCCTCACAAGCTGGCAACGAGTCTGATTTCGAGCCAGAGTGGAAGCGTGTAGTACCCTTGGATAAAGAGCTGCGAGCATGTCTACGCTGGATGTGGCTGCGCGAAGGCTGGGAATGGGATCCTCTCACCGGCAACAAGAAAAAGGCAGCTCCTGCCCTCATGCGCGAAGCATCAGATGGTGTGGCCACCTGGAACGAACCCGTAGCTCTCAACCCGCACGACGATACAACCGCCAAAGAAGAGCTCGAAGGACCCAAGGGCCCTGAAGCATTGGTCCCTGGGGTCAAAGCCGAAGATGCGGCACCAGCACCCAAGCGACGCACCAGAAGAGGTAGAAACTCATCAGGTGCTGCTGCGAAGAGCCGTGCAATTACTCCCCCTCCTGCCGCGCCCAAGGAAGCTGCCACCCCAACTGTACCGGCCAGTGCAAAACGCCTCAATGCAGACCCTGAGATTATGACGTCTAGATTGAGACCTAGAGCTGGCCGTACGGATGTCATTGTTTCTATTCCTGTACCTCCTACGCCTAGCCGCCGTCGTACTGCACGCAAGTAAAGAGCTAAGTAGTCTTTGGTGTTGAAGGAACTATTGAGGATATTACCTGTAGGATCAGATCGATTGTCGGTCTTTGGTCCAAGTTGTTCTGTAGCAATATCAAATTATTGACACAAGAACCATAACCATCCATCTACCCGGCAGTCGTCATGGTCTATAGCATGAGTCCAAGTTTGATTAATTCTCTATTTTTTTACAACGCATCCAATCATACAATGCGGCACATCTATCAATGCAGATGATAGCAATTGCTGAGAATCTGTTGCACCGAGCAACTCAATCCCTCGTCTCTGTAACTTCTATTTAGATAGAGTTCCTCAGGAGGTGGGGAAATGCAGTGCTCCAGACTTTACCCTCAAACGCTTTCCAACAAACTGCAGTGTAATAATAAAGCCAGTTGCAAACCCGACGATAGCAGCTTGAGTACCAAAGCTCGCTTTCGTACCCACAGCGTGAGCCCAAGTGACCTGAAAGTAACTGACGATAAAGCCACCAAGNTGCTGTTCCGATAGATTAGCAAAGGCTTCAGAGCAAACAAACAATGTCCAAAACTTACTCCTTGCAAAGTTCAGCCAAGCGGCCACTTCACCAGATGCTTCTGGGTAGCTGTCGAGATTGTATGCGTTGAGGGCGACAGTGGTAATCATGATGCCAAACACATAAAGACCCCAAAACAGCGCAGTTATCATGTAATGGTACCCATCCTCGAGTGAAAATCCAAGGCCGATTAGTCCAGCGATCATGAAAGGTGTGCTAAGCCAGATGGCACGCAGTCTAACTTCAGGCTCAAAGTGTCCCTTGTGGGAGTGGATATAGCTCTTTGCTATCCAGTCATGTAACCAATGGCCTGCGACTTCTCCGATGAGAGCTGCTACAACGGGTGTGAAGTAGAAATATCCAATCTGCAAGGGTCCGAATTTGTAGAGTGGTGTCAGGAAGATTGAGAGGGTGGTGTTGATGCCGACCACCCATGCGAAAGTCAAAGTATAGTATAAACTCGATAGAAAGACGGTAGGTTTGATGATGACACGGAATGGCCGGGAGCATGCTTGACCAAACGAGTTGCGGAGATGGCGTGAGCGGTATTGAGAGATGCCGAGGATCTGTTGGAGTCGCGTGCCCTTAGGTGGCTGGTCCGAGGGGGCTATGCGCCGGTCGTAGAAGGTTTCTTCCACAAACAGACAGGTACAGATAAGAGCCAGAGCAGTNCTGTGGGAAAGGATGTCAACTACTGAACAGTGGTCGGATCAAGAGAGTGGCTTTACCATAATAAAGTATACCCAAAAGGCAATGGGCCATTTCTGTGTCGTGATCATAAAGGCCGTGAGCATAGGACCCATATATGGAGATAGGATGATGAATGCAGCCCAGATGTTGATCTTCCTCGCTCTCTCATGAAAGAAGAACATGTCAAAAATGAACATGAGACCACCACCTTGAGCGACGGTACTGAAGAAGCCGTTGAGGATGCGGGCGGCCATGAAGCTCTCAAATGTAGTCGCTGCTGCACACCATGCTGCAGTGGCAGTAGCAAGGACGAGGAAGTAGAACAAGACAGGGAGTCTGCCAGCCCAGGCGGAAAGAGCAACGACGAAGATGCCGCCAGCACCAAGCATGAAGACATTGCCAACCTGCGAATGATTGACGGTATCTGGGCTCATGTTCCACTCNGCTGACCGGGCACGTCGTCAGAGGGACACATTTCTAACAATTGAAGTTCGCTACAAGACTTACGCTGCCTGAGGGATCAAAGTGACAGCACCGGTAGCACTGCCATAGTCTGGTAGTAGTGCGGCAAAGCTGACTACTAACAATACAACGTGCTTCTTGACTTTGCTCCAGTTCAAAGTGTCTTGGGGCGCATCAGAAGGCTGGGGAATGAGCACAACATGACCATCTTTTGTGGTTTTGATGGGCTGAGCTTGTGCGTCGTGGGTGTTGACTTCGGCAAGATAGCCTTCAGAGTCATCATATCCGTGAAGATCTCGTTTCGTTTCGCTGATCTCTGATAGCTCGACGCCTTGCTTGTCCATGTTCAAGTCTTTGAGAGTATCGGAAAGAAAGACTCTCGGCGCAGATGGATCATGAGAGGAACGGAGGATGTGGAATGACAGGAGACCCAGTGGTTTGGGGCCCCGCTTTATCCATCAGTAGCGCCTGATAGTCGGGCCAACAGGTTGATGAGAAAGTACTCGAGTAGTGGTCGACTCGACTTCCGATTTCCGCATTTCCTGGACCACATATAACTCCATTTTCCGGGGCCCCACAGCAGGGACCCCATGATATCCTATCCGTGGAGGAATTCTCCAACCTGTGCCTAGTTCGTGTCGTTACGCCCACCTATGATGAGCTAGCATAGCTTAACACGTCGTTTCGTTCTTGGGATCCTCTTCTGAGTGAGAAGTGTGATGCGATGGCCGCCGATGACAGATTGCCGCCATATGCTGATAATTGAAGCTTGTTGCTTAAGAACAGCGTTGAGCTCGACGGTCTTCACAAAAAAGCTGGAAATTTGAACGAGGCAGACACACTCACATCCCGAATCAACTACGGACACACCAAGTCAAGTGGGAAAGGAGCAAAAGATGGAGCAAAACGTACAGCAGCAGGGATTCCCACGTGGTCACCCACCGTAGTACTAATCTGCCGTTCAACTGCTTATGTATGGCAGAGCGGACGGGATGCCCAGTTTTCAGCTGACTGTGGCCGTACGTGATGAAAGTGTTATCTAATTCATACACATAATCTTCTGGTTTCCTGCGAAGCCATCTACAGTAACTATGGTTGAGGCTGAGTCAGGCCGGCCGACATATTTATTCGTTTTCTTCTCCATACAATTAATTGCACCCGAGGCTGGCGTCAAACACAGGTAAATTTGCCGAGGCCTGAGGAATCAACATCCAGCTGTCGAGCTGACAGTCTCCTTGCATCCACACACAATTTCCCTACTGGAGAACTCTCATCACCGTCCAAATCATGACGACTCTCAAGGAGATCCTCGCGCTCGAGCAAGTGGAGCAAAACAGTTAGTAGAGCGATTGAGACCAGCTTGCCAAAGCTTCATGCTGATCCCGACCCGCTGAAAATAGGCNNTTCAAGAGCATATCAAACCCACCTCGCATGGGAAACATCTTGCCCATTGCATTCGGGGGCTACACCATCGGCGTGGCTACTCAAGCCGCCTGTACCGATGTTCCTCCAACCCACCGTCTCTATGCCTTGAATGGAAATTTTCTGGGTCCGGCATTGACAGATCGACCCGTGTTTGTCAACACAAAAGTATACCGATCTACAAAAACTTTTACCACGAAACTCGTAGAGGTTTTGCAAAAACAGGATGATGACAAGGAGAGAGTATGTCTGGTTGCCTTGGCAGACTTTCACGTCGTGGAGCCAGAGTCTTTTATGATATACTCTGCACCACCCACCAAACAATATTCACCAGTCACCGAGTCCTGGACACCAACCGAGCGCAAGAAGACCATGGTCGAGGAAAAGATCTTGACGCAAGCAGATGTGGACAGACACGACAAACTATTCAGCATGATGAGCGACCTGATCGAAATGAGGTTCCCACCCCAAAGCATCCACGGACAAACCCTGCAAGGCTTTGCCAAAGGGTACAAGACCACGCAAGAACATCTTCCCCTAACCGAACGCTCATCAGCAGATTGGCTGCGTGTGCGCGAAAAGGTCTCTACCCACGCTGAAAACGTGACCAGTTTGGGTTTCCTGCTTGACGCAAGCATCTCTTTCCAGCCATTGGTGTTGCAAAGCATGCCTCTCACCGAATCCGGGGCTTGCTCGACGCTGGAGTTTTCGCTCAGGTTCTTGACGCCCGAAATCAACATCAATGATTTCCATATGCGTGAGTGGAAGACGTATGCCGGAGATGCGGCAAGAACCTTCTCAGAAGCAAGGCTTTGGGATGGCAAGGGCAAGATGGTGGCTAGTATGTCACAGACTTGTATACTGAGACCTCCCAAGAAGCAGGCTGTGAAGAAGTCGAAGATCTAGATGGAAAGGACTATGTGGACTATAAAAGGGAAGAAAAGTTTACAATCAGAAAAGTGTGGATTCATCTCAAAAGGATAATTAGGTCTACTATGACTGAAGCCATTCCGATAATTCTCTGACCATCTCTGATGCTGCAGCATCTGTCATGCCCAAGCCATCGAAAGTGGTAAAATCGGGTGCTGGCACTGTTCTAGCCATTTCATCAGCCCTAGATTCACAACTGGCATTCTGCAGAGCCGTCATGGTGGCCTCTGTCAAAGCATCAAACTCGTCGCGGAACTTTCTGATCCAAGGCGCACGCTCGCCCATGATTGCCAGTACACAGCTAGCTGCACGTATGTCGTTGCTTATGCTGAATGACCAGGTGCTTCCTTTCCAGAGCGCATAGAGAAGAGTAATTCCTGATACGAAGACGGTATGCACAGCAATGAAACTGTGTCCGTATTCTGGAGTCTGGTGCAGACGTTTGTGTATCTGACAGACTTGTCCTGCTGCATCGACACATCTCTGAAAAAGCTCTGAGCTTGGTTCTAGAGTAGACAAGAAGGGTTGCAGGAGAAGCCGCACATCGCGGTGAAAGTGCAGCATGAGACGTTCGCGTTCACTGGACTGTAAGGTCAGTGGGATGTTTTGCCGCCAGGAATCGAGCTCTGATATCAAGCGATGCATTTTTGGTTGCAGGGCACTCGTTGTCCGATCGACCCGGTAGATTGTGCGCTGTATGCGAGCTTCAAAAGTCCGAAGCTGCGACAGCAGGATGAACTGACTCAAGTTTGTAGATGGACACGCCTCTTGGCCTGGTATAGAAGAAACGGACGCGTTATTGAGGCTTTGTTCTTGCATGCGGTCGCTGTCGTTGATGCTCAGTGGTAACGGCTGATCGATGTCGCAGTCAGACAAACTTATGGGTCTTCCTAGGGCGCCAGCAAGGATACTCTCGAGAGCGTACACGGACCAGAATAAACGACGTCGAAGCTGTGTTTCTAGAGGAGGCAAGGCTCGTGTTGATGCTTCTCGATGCAAACCAATGTCTGTCACAGTTCGCATAGCTAACCCCGTCAGATGCCAAAGTCCATTCCGTGACTCCGAACGCAAGTGATACAGAATGAGAAGCACCAATGCTTGGAGATTGTCGATCGGTGATGCTTCCCTCACACTTGCGACATGTTGCATTGCAAAGATGTAAAATTGCTCCGGCGACACGTCTCTGTAGTTCTGATCTGTGAGACGCAGATTCAGTGCACCGACAGCATACACTATGTTTATCACGAAGAGCGCGTATCCGTCTTTGTTGTATGATCGAGAAGAGAAGCTGCTAGAGCTTTCAAGCACGCTGCGACCCCTCGGAGTCTCGGCCGTGCTGATAATGTTTTTATGACGGTGGATCTCCCAAAGATCGGCGGGGAATAGAAAGGGAAATCTTGGGTGTATACGAACAAGATATGTCGTGATTAGTCGAGAACCCAGAGCGTCAGATATTGATGTTCGTTGTTTCGACTGTAATTCTTGAAGAGTGATCTTTCTCGTATCGGCATCTGACGAGCGTCTCTCGGTCCCAGATTCAGAAGGAGTAGGTAGCCATAGAGCCTTGTTCCAGACTGTCGCATGGACCATACGCCCTAGATCGTTCGCCAATGCATAGCCCGAAGACGATCCAACATATTCGGCATTACCATTACCAAGGGACAACAAGCCTACAGCGCCTGCAACGTTGGTGTCGTGACGGAGAGGCGATGCGAGTCCGCGAATACTGCTAGCCTCATTACTCAGGATGTTCGATGTCAACGCATGGTCCACCTGTACAGGAGAAGATGAATGGGTTGCGATTGATGTTGGTGGTAGCTGCTGCTGCTGATTCTCCATAACCATGAGGCGTTTCTCGAGATGGGCGACCTGGTCCTCAAGAGCCCGTACGTATGAGCCGCTCGAGGCGTCAGTCTCTGGCGGTTTGTTGCAAACTTTGCCGGCCTTTTCACAATTGGAGCATCGCGGGTATGCATCATCACACTATTACAGACACATGAGTGGCAGAAGGCGAAGCAAGCGAACCTGTCTTTCTACCTTTTGTTTCCTATCTTTGCACCTATCGCAAGCGGTTCGCTGCCTCTTTCGGGAATTTTTGGCAACATCAGTATTAGGCGAGAGGGCAGATTCCAGAGTGGTGATATTTAAAGACAGCGTATGATGGGCCATTTTGTGCGGCAGCGACAGGTGAGTTGTTTCGTCATTGGAGCGACATGAAGACAAGTCATTATAAAGTACTTCTCGGCAGCGACGACAAATCTGTTATCAGTGCCTGTCAGGGAAGGAAGCAACCACCCGTAAGCTTGTGATAAGGCTTTGCGCAGACATGGCCGGAAGTGGTCATGACTTCTGGCCAGTTTGACTGTAAGCCACGGCAACCTCATAATTCGGCTCCAAAGCTCGAAATCGTACGAACATGAAAGTCAATCCATACCTCTTTCGCATGCGTTCGCAAAGAAGCCCTACCGATGATAGGAACATTATAACTGTGATGGGTAGTATAGTATTGTGTGTGAGGTCTGTCTACTGATAGAGAGTAAGTTTGACACCAAGCATCATCAGCTACCACCAGTCTTTGAACCTGGCCTATAAGGAAACTTCTCCCGGTAGTGGTTCGCTATGTCCCTGCGCGTGGTCACCCACACACCTTCTTTCTTTGAGATGTATTTCATGAATCTCCGAAGACTTTCCGACCTGCCTGGCTTTCCAACGATTCTACTATGCATTGGGATCGTCATCATCTTTCCACCCTCTCGGTATAGGCAGTCGAACGCATCCTTGAGATACTGCTCATAAGTCGCTCCGCTCGAGCTGACAAAACCTGGGCTCATGTGGAACTTTCCGTCATTNGCCTGGAGGTATCCATCAGTTTCCATCATCGAACCAGGAATACGATACTCACAGTCGTAGTTGTATGGGACCATCAGCATGCCTTCTTTTTCGGCATCCGGAAGCTGCATTTCCCATGGAAGATCGATCCAATACGGCGAATCCTCGTTGTATACCTCAGATGTGTAGAGCAACTTGTGGCCCATTTCTTTCCACATCAGTGGCAACAGAGATGCAGTGTTCGGAGTACCTCTGCCAAAATAAGCTCCGCTTGGAAATTCTCCTGTGGCCGCCTCAAGAGTCTTGCAACTTTTCTTAATGTAGGCTTTGTCGTCTTCAAAGGAATAGTCCCAGATGTCGAGCCATCTGTAGCCGTGCGCGCCGATCTCATGACCATCACGTACGCAAGCCTTTGCGAAGGAAGGGTTCCTCTCCATAGCGACGGAGACGGCCCACAGAGTCATCTTCCAACCGAACTCTTTCATGAGTCGATGGATACGCCAGGCACCGCATCGACTTCCATATTCAAAGTCCTGCTCGCCGTTCAGATGGCGATTTTCTCTGCCGCCTCCAGATGGCCCTTTCTCCCAGAGATATGCCTCGCTGGTCCCATCACCATCTAGGACATTTCTCTCGCCACCTTCTTCGTAGTTCAGGACAAACGATACAGCTATGCGAGCACCGTTAGGCCATCGAGGATCATGGCCTTCTTCACCAAAGCCNTTGATTTGTTGTCAGTCTTCGTTCAAGTGAGTGTACTGGCTGTCGCTCTGACCTTCAAAATCTCTTGGCAATTGCAAAGATTCTTCAACGTGAACCATAATGAAGAATCTACTTCTGCTGCTGATGATATTATTGCACTCAGGGTTGGTTCAAGTCGAATACAGGAAGAACGCTAGGTCAAGCTCCAGCTTATAACTATGCACGCTACGAGTACAGGTTCGTTTTGAATCTGTCTGATCCACCAACCCGTTACACACGAGTCAGCGTCACCGATAACCAACACAACATATTGTGGTACATCTATCTCCTTCTTGTTCCGACTATGATTTGGCCTATCAAATGGGCAGTGTCATACAGCGGAGTGAGGAAGGTGGGGTGTTCTTATCGGATGCTTATCGGACCCTCTGACCCCACCTCTATACAACCAGCCTTCGCCTATTCTATCGGACCTCCGATGCCTTGTCTCCCCATCTTTATCTGATGGCTGATATGACAGAGATCTTTGGTAGACCAGAGTTATCGGATGAATCACGCGATATGTGTCTGTCTATGATTGGGGACCAGCGTGACCGCGCAAGGTCCCCTGTTGGTCCCCGCATATAGGACCACTCACTCAATCTGCCAGTCTTCTGAACTTGGTCGTAGGCTTACTTCTTCTGACAAAGCAAAACAATGTCCGTCTTCTCTCTCGATGCCAGACAGGGAAACCCTGTGACCACAGAAACACTTGATGGGCTATGCTCTCAGTTGGGAGTTCAGATCAAAGAGGATGAGAAAGAAGACTATCGTCGTCTGTTGGCTGTCTTTCACGATGCCAGCGAACAGTTGATGGACATGGAAGGTCAGGAACACATAAGTCAAATTCCGAGCTGTCAAGCTGATCAACTATTAGACTATATCCCTGCGGTGGATGAGGACAGGTTCTCCCGGGACAATATCCACTTTCCGGAGAGGCAAGACAATCCGTATGGTGCTTGGGCCTGGAAATGCACAGTCGTCGACAAGCAGTGTAAAGGCGGCAAGCTTCACGGCAAAACGTTTGTTCTAAAAGACAATGTTGCTTTGAAGGGAGTTCCTATGCTTCTAGGTACCAACTTCATCAAAGATTACGTACCCGACTGCGATGCTACTGTAGCGACACGCATCCTGGAAGCTGGCGGCATGATTACCGGAAAAGCTGTTTGCGAGAACATGTGCCACAGTGCTACGAGTCATTCTTCTGGCACTGGTGTGGTGGAGAACCCAATCGCCAAAGGTTATAGCTCTGGTGGCAGTTCGAGCGGATCTGGCGTTCTTGTTGCTCTTGGTGAATGCGATGGAGCTATTGGAGCAGACCAAGGTGGCAGTATCCGCGTTCCTGCGGCCAACTGTGGCATCGTCGGTCTAAAGCCAACATTCGGCTTAATACCGTATACCGGCAGCGGCTCGAACGAACCTACCAATGATCATCTTGGGCCGATGACTCGGACCGTTCTCGAAAACGCCGTCTTTTTGGAGGCTATTGCGGGCAGTGACAACATCGACGATCGTTCATCTGCAGCACCGCCTCCTTCCAAGATACCTGCGTATAGTCTGATAGCTAGTCTTCCCACGGACAGACCACTGTCGGGCCAAAGACTCGCCATTATCACAGAATCTCTATCTCTTCCAGCCCTGGACAACCGCGTCATCGACACTTTCAAAACCGCTGTCGCCAGATTCGAGGCACTCGGTGCGACTGTCGATGAAATCTCCATCCCGATTCATTCCAAAGGATCCGCCATTTGGACCGGCATATCAAAAGTAGGAGGCTATCTCGCAAAGACATCCGGCTCATTCGGTAGGCGCAGTCACCAGATGTTGACCCTCAATTCAAAACTCCACCCCATGGGTCAAGAACACTGGGACAACGCATACGTGTCGACCAAAAACATCTACCTTAATGGTCTCTATGCTGTCCAAAACTTCCCGCTGCTTTTGGCAAAGGCAACGAATCTGTCACGTCAACTACGGGATGCTTATGATAAGGCACTAGAAACCTATGATGTCTTGCTTACTCCAACACTGCCATATGTAGCGACCAGTCACGCCTTTGCGGACGCTACTCCAATTGAACAGATCACGAAGCAGATTGGACTGACGACGAACACGGCACCATTCAACCAGAGCGGACACCCTGTTTTGGCTTTGCCTATCGGTATGCTAGAGGTCCTGGAAGGACCAGGTGTAGAGGCCAAGGTGAAATTGCCGGTCAGTATGCAAGTTGTAGGAAAGTGGTGGGATGAGATGTCTGTGTATGAAGTAGCGTATGCTTGGGAAAGGGCGAATGACTGGAGAGTGATGTGATCGATCTTGCCACGTTATTGGCTTGGACAAAGCATCCTCAATACATTCCAAATTCTATCTAGAGCGCTGCGGAGCTCACCAGCAGAAGCACAATGTCCTCCATTTTCTTGAATCTTGGAATATTCTCAACGCCATGATTCACGTACAGAAATTCTGGGCTTCTGGCTGGAAGGAGAAAACGAACGGCGTATATGTTTTGTGTACAATGGAGCAGTATCCTTCGCACAAGATTGCGATGTGGCAACTTCCACCTCAATCTTACAGCTGTCGCTGTTCTGGTATATGAAGACTTTCCACATCTTCAGCCATATTTGGCTCTGAAGCTCCATAGGCGGAATGCAAAACACCACTCGTCTTGTTCTCACAACTCTTTTCCACCATGTTGTGCCCATCTTCGCTGAGATCAGTTTGTTTTACCTCATCAGGACGCTGTAGCCCACGATCCTTGATGAGAATGCAACCAATGAGGCAGAGTCCCATGAATGGTACATTCATGATAAAGACCGTTCTACTTGCGGTAGCATAGGCCCGTAGTACATCTTGTATCTGCTCCGGCGAAGCTCCCAAGGCTCCAAAATCTGGAGTGTCGTAAGAAGAGAGGTACGAGGCGAATTGGGGAGGCATAGCTTTCCTCAAGGAGTTCTGGAGTGCAGCGGCAGAGATTGCAAGGCCTACAGCACCACCCAGACTGCGCAGGAAGTTGCGATTGGATATTACCACCGCGCGCTGCTCTTTAGAGCAATGGGCTTGTAGTGCGACCAGCGTTGGCTGAAATATCAGGCCCACTCCCGCCCCTTGGACAAGCAAGATGATCACGATGGCAGCTATCGGTGTGTTAAGGTCGAAGATACAAGTGAGACCGACTCCAAGTGTCCAGAGAAAGAAGCCTAGCCAGATGACTTCGCCGTAACGCTCGCGTCGAGATATATACTGGCCTGAGAGAATTGACAGAGTCATTTGTGCAGCGGTGATCGGCAACACGAGGGCGGCTGATGTGACTGGGGACATGCGTCGTGCGTTCTGGAAGAAGAGCGGAAGATAATAGAGCTGTGAGTAGTAGACAATACCAAAGAGGAAGTTCTGTAGAAGCAGCACACAGACCGGTGGATTCTTGAACAATGACACTGTTTGATTTAGCTCTGATATCGGTGAGTTTTCCGTGAAGTTCAGGAACTTACAAGGCATCATAGGAAGTACGGCGACTCTGTGTTCAATAAAAAGGAACGCTAGAGCACAACTACCCCCAATGGCCAACATCGAGATGACAAGAGGACTGTTCCAAGAAAAATAGCTTCCACCTCCAGATACGGGGATCAATATGAGCACTATCGCCGCCGAACCAAACAGAATACCCCAGTAATCAATCTTCTTTGTGACGACCTTGAAGTTCGGATTTGAAGAACTTTTCGAGGCAGGAAGAATGAAGAAGCATATCAAGCAACAGAGTGCTGCGAGCGGACTGACTAGCCAGAAAAGACCTCGCCAGGTGGAGTGCTGTGCAAATGCTGCTGCGATGAAAGGGCCTACCATGTTGCCTAGCCCAACGCAGGCACCCAGGATGCCTTGATACTTGCCTCGCTCCTTGAGTGTCACAATGTCGCTCACTATCATCATGGACAAGCTTGTAATACCGCCATTGGCAACACCAGCGAATCCACGAAAGACGTAAAGCATAGTGGCATCTTGTGAGAGACCACAGAGGAGATCACAGATTGCAAGCAAGACTAGTGCTGAGAGGAGGACGACCTTTCTTCCTNNATAACCATCTGTCAATGAATGGTCATGCGCAGGTACGACTCACTGACCGAAAAGATCCGATAGTCGTCCGAAAAGAACCTGGAAGACTGTGTTCGCGATGAGAGCTGATGTGCCAGCCCAGGATATGGTATCGGCGGCGTCAAGGTCCCGAGATATGGTTGGCAGTATGACACCAATGCCATTCTGATCAACAAAACATATGAACAGCGAAATCGCTAGTACGCCAAAGACGACGAGCAGTTGTCTCTTCGGGAGCAGATTGGTTTGGTCGATAATAGACGCCTCCGCGGCAGCCTGTTTTTTTCCATGGTAGTCAGATAGTTCGTATACGAGATAGCCTTGTCGCAACTTGGTCATCAGCCACTGAGAACACTGTTGCCCTGATGGCCAAGTATCACAGCAATACATGTACGTATGTCTGCTTGATGTTCGGAGGGCCTGCGCTAGTTCCGTTAGGCCCGTGTATTGCGAAGAGATCATGGCGGTGGCAAGTCATTATCATCGGAGCTCCTATCGACTGGTTGGATGTATGCGGGCGAGTAATTGCGGAAGGTGTCTGCGATTGCGGTTGCCTATCGGTTCTTGCAATCAAAGACGCTGTCGGATCTCCGATGAGGTGGGGCTCCTTCCTTATCAGCTAATCTTTCTCATGACTTGTGCACACGTTTTTGGTGCCTGCTGTTATCCGTTCGACAATGACTTCGAGCCAAGCTTGTCTCATGCAGACCAGAATGGGCTATCTTCGACGGGATGCCATTGCATATATGTCCTCAAATAGGTGCCACAATCTTCACTGTGAAGATCTCGCATCTCCGCAACCATGCCACAACTTTTACAGCAGATGAAAGCTGCTAATCACTCTCCCAAGTCGTTGAAGCAGTTGTTGCAAATCCATACCATTGATGGCCCTGTCCGGTACAACAAAGATCTGCTCCCAAGTCCTCCAGGTCTGATGCTCAATATGCTTCATCAAATCAATACTGACACCCTGCAGNAGGACAGGAAATGGCGATGGCAACACTACTTCGCCTACTACCTTACCATGACTTTTAGTCCAAGCAGCTACAATCTCGGAGCCTCGCTTGTGTCCATCGGGTTGCTTTGGTGGCACGGCATGATCGCGGCGGTCATTGGTTCTGGGATACTGACTGTCCTAGTCGTGCTCAATTCGAGGGGTGCGATAAAGTACTTTGTGGGTTTTCCAGTTTATGTCCGTGTCGCAGCCGGCGTCAGAGGCTCTTCACTGTACATTCTCGTTAGAGCTATCGTCGCGATCATTTATTTCGCTACGCAGACATACTATGGTGGACGCATCACGTCCGTGTTCATGCGTGGAATCTTTGGCAATGGGTACCACAACATCCCCAATCATCTGCCGGCGAGCGCTGGTATCACCTCTCGAGATCTTCTGAGCTTTTTCATCTTCTGGATGGTGAGTCTCTCATCTTTGCTGTATCAGACCATACACTGATCAGAACAGATCCAAATGCCCGTCATGTTCATTCATCCAAGGGTTCTCCGACACCTGTTCGTTGTTAAAGCAGTCTACACAACAATCTCTCTGCTCGGTGTGCTTGGCTGGACCATCAGCGCGAATGGGGGCAAGATTGGCGACTTCAAATATACCACCAAACAGACCCAACTGTCCGGGCATGACCTAGTCTGGCCTATGATCTCTGCCATCAATTCTGTGATGGGAGCTCTAGCACCTGTCTTGATCAATCAGCCGGACATCGCTCGTTATGGCCATTCATACGGCGATGTAACTTGGAGTCAAGGTGTTGGGATCTTGATCTCAAAGGTCCTGGTCATGTTCATTAGCACAGCTACCACAGCCGCTGCGACCAACGTGCTAGGCAAGTCGTTCTGGAACGTTTGGGACCTCTGTAAGCTCTTTTCAGTAATCTCTGCTGTTCGACACCTTGCTAATTGTATCTTGTAGATGGCGNCCATTCTCGACCAATACTGGAGTCCGGGTGCGCGTGCGGGTATGGTGTTTGCAAGCTTCGGCATGATGCTAGCCGTGCTGGTTACGAATGCCGGAAGCAATTCACTGCCTGTTGGCGCCGATCTAACGGGTATCTGGCCGCGCTGGCTGACGATCGTGCGAGGACAAGTCATCTGCGCACTGCTGGCGCCTCTTCTGGTCCCTTGGAAGATTATCGCCTCAGCAACCTCATTTCTCACATTCCTAGGCTCTTATACCGTGTTTCTTATGCCTATCTGTGCATGCATGGTAGTCGACTATTGGGTCGTGAGGAAGGGCAACATACATGTACCCTCCTTGTATGTATATTCGCCCGAGAGCCCCTACATTTACTACAAAGGATGGAACTTGCGCATGCTCACTGCTTGGGTGGCAGGTGTAGCCTTCGTCATTCACGGTATAGCCGGGTCATTGGATCCTGACTCTGTGAACGAGGCGTCCAAGAACATGTATAAGCTGGGCTTCCTTTTGTCTTTTTGCATGGGCGGCCTGGTTTACTACACGCTCTGCTTGATCTGGCCAGTCCAGGTACTACCGCGAGGGTCGGAGAAGTCGCTCGTGTTCGAGGAGCTCGCAGCGAACGAGGGTTTCTTCGACCACGAGAACGTCGGTACAATCACTGGCGTACTAGAGGGAGAAGAAGCCGATAGCGTGTCCACTCAACACTACGTCGCCGAAGGGAAAGACAGCAAAGTCTGAAGGAGGGCAACCATAGCCGTGCGACATCCATGATTAGTTCAACTTGTATTCAAACAACTGTGTTCCCAGCTCTTGTTTCTGTTCTGTGCTGGACCACCACATTGGTCACACTGTTGGTCCGTCGTGGTCCGTCTTGTATTGCAGTGGAAGAAGACGTGTAGCAGGCACTGTTCGGGTGCCTTGTCCATCGACGCAAGAGGCAATGCAGACGCGCCGAAGATCCCAGAGACGCGTTATAATGTGATGTTTCACATTGTCGAGTGATAAGCGTGCGGGATCAGGTACGCAGACTCGTGAGTATTCTGTTGCAGGCCAGTTTCCTATGTCGTTGTCGCCTGTTAGATGACATGTTGCGTTCGTGGAGGTGCTAAAGTAAGTAGGTAGGCGTCTTTCGCGTGGAGGGTGATTAGCCCTCAGGCTTTGCCGAGGCTGGACAACATACTCGATGTTAGGCACTTACTTGGATCGTCCTTCATACAGATAGAATGGCAAGCGGAGTATCATACAGGAGTAATTCGTCTGGGCATACTTGAACTACTACATGCAGCTCGTTTCTTTCTTTACTTGGATTGACGATTTGCGTAGAGGCACACAAAGCTGAATTGGATTCTGCTCGAGCTGATGGTAAAATGATGCAAATGCTCAACACAACCCAAAACTCATCTGGGAGCTTATCAAAAGCTGCATGCCTCTTGCGTATGACTATGAAAGCCTGTCTGTCATCTTCAACCACTGCCCTGATGTTTCTGAGGCATGGTTTTACAACTTTACCGCGAGAACAGGGTCACGGGCATGGCATCCATACAACGACTTTTGGCCATCGTGATGTCGACCCTTCCTTTTTTGCGCATGACGTGGGCGGCTGCGCGTCATTGCGAGAGCGTTGAGACGACCATTCTGCAAACCACAACCTCGCCGAGTAACTGCACTTCAGCGTCTCTCTGAGGCACATTGAAAATGCCATTATGGTCGAGAACTATTATCATGCAGCGGCCATCATCTCGAGCGACCAAGCGAACCCCGTTGTTGCTTGAGCAGTCTTGTCGTTGGAGATGGCTGCTTCTTGTTTTCGTGGCTTGCGGCTATAATCTGATAAGATCTCTAGCGTAGCCGAACAACCGCGGCCTTTGACATCCTTCAATTGTTTGACACCGGCTTTTGTGAGTGATGTATTGACGGGAGAATAGTCGTGCTATGTCGTCTGCAGAAGGTGCTGTTTGAGATTCCTGGGGTCTGCTGGGGTATGGTGCAAAGCGAGGCATCAATCGAGTGAGCTGTGAATAGTCCCTTCCTTTACCGACCCACCAAAGCCCTTGACGGTCGATCCTCAGCGCCTTTCGACCTCACGCCCACCGCGCGCCGGATCTTCCAATGTTTCGCCCGTTCAGTACCCACAAAAAGAACATTCGCCTTAGACTCTGAACCTACGCGATCTCGGCAGACGTGTAATCGCTCATGGCAGATAAAATTCGTGCACCCCATCTTATCAATCTCTCATCTTTTTACACAACGTCCCTTTTGACTCTTATGTTTGACTGCGACCATTCGCCATCATGGGTTTCCTGAAAGCGCTAGATAGGCCGTACATTAATCCTTTCTACCACTCGCAAGAGGACGAAGAGCCCGATGACGTCGTCAAGGAAGAAAATGGATTGACCTCATCCGACAGTCCAAGTGAGCAGTCTCCAGATTATCAGGAAAGATACCCTTACCAGGAAAGATATGGTCCGAGTAAACATGCCGCCTCTGAAACTGGCGCTGGACCCGGCGCTGCATACGATGGTGAAAAAGTCGACCCAGACTATCAGATTGGAGTGCAGAAAGCTGAGGGTGTCACTCTTGCTTGGAACAAGCGAGCACTCTGGTTGACTTACATTTGGTATACAACATCATTACACGGCATAACGATAGTCCACTAACGAATGGCAGGANTTTATGTCGTGTACTTCGAAATCGCTCTTATGTCGACCATTACTGGTTATTTGGGCAACTACGCCAACGCCGATTTCAGCACGTCACAGCTTTTATCAGTCAGCTCTGTAATGAGTTCCATCATTGGAGGCGTGTTGCGCTTGCCGACTGCCAAAATCATTGATATCTGGGGACGTGCCGAGGGTTTCTTCGTCACCATGTGTATCACCATCATTGGATTAATCATCTTCGCCGCCTCGAACAACGTTCAGACATACGCCGCTGCCTCGGTCATCTACTACATTGGTTACGATGGCATGTACTATGTCATGACTGTCTTCATCGCCGACACCACCAGGTTGAAGCACAGAATCCTTATGCTGGCCATCTCCCAGACACCGTTCATCTGCACCGCTTTCACTACCCCTTATGCTGTCTCGAATTTCGTCAACGGAGCTGGCTGGAGATGGGGATATGGAACATTCGCCATTGTCACTCCCGTGGCCTGTCTTCCTCTTTGCGGAGTCTTCCTCTACTATCAGCGAAAAGCTGAAAAGATGGGACTCTACAAGAAAACCGAAAGACCCGCTCGTGGCTGGTACCAAACCATTACGCATTACTGGGTGGAGTTTGACGTAGTCGGTGTCTTCTTGCTCGTTGCAGGATTCGTCTTGTTCCTGCTGCCATTCTCTCTCGCGACTTCGGTTGCCGGGCAATGGAAGAGTGCGAGCATCATCTCCATGCTGGTCATCGGCTTTGTCATCCTCTGCTTGTTCCCTGTATGGGAGCGCTTTGGTGCTAGCAAGCCTTTCCTGCCGTGGGAGAGACTCAAGGATCGCACTGTATTCGGTTCGGTTCTTTGCATTTCTAGTCTCTACGCCGCTTTCTATTGCTGGAACCTTTACTACTACACATTCAACCAGGTAAGCAGAACGAAGCCGACCAGTATGCAACACATGCTAACAGCAATCAACNAGGTGGTCCTCAACCTCAATACTACCGATGCTACATACATGGGAGAGATCTACACCGTAGGCTCTTGCTTCTTTGGTGTTATTACAGNNGGTAAGAATCTTTCCCCATACCGCTTTCGAAAGAATGTTACTAATTGCGATGATAGCATTCTGGTCAAATGGACCAAACGCTACAAGTGGATTGCCCTCGTCTCTGTCCCACTCTACATGATCGGTACCGGCTTGATGATATACTTCAGACAACCCGGCGTGGCCCCCAGATACGTCGTCTGCGCACAAATCTTTGTCGCATACGCCGGCGGCACACTGGTGCCTTGCCATCAGGTCGCCGCTCTCGCCGCCGGAACCCACGCAGACTTCGCAACTACACTTGCCCTGCTGTACCTGGCTTCCTCCGTTGGCGGTGCAATCGGCGATTCCATCGCTGGTGGTATCTGGACGAATGTCTATCCTAAAGAGCTGAACAAGCGTCTCCCCGCCGACGTCGCAACATCAGTTTACACGAGCTATCTTAATGCGCTCAAGTATCCCGCTGGCAGTCCGACGAGAGATGCTATCGGCGTCGCATTTGGTATCGCTCAGAGGGATATGTGCATTGCAGCTACTTCCATTACTGCACTTACCTTTATTGCTGTCTGGATTTGGCGCGATATCAATCTCGGCAACAAGAAGCAGATTACAGGTGTTGTTGTTTGAAGGCTTACATCATGCATCCTCATACAAAAAAAGCACAAGTGGCTTTTTTTTTCTCTTCACGAGAAGAAATCAGCAGCGTCACGCATATCACGAAACCTCATTGATTAGATACAGCTCATTGCTCATTACTCGTTACCTGTACATCTAGAAGATAGACAAAAACCATAAAAGTCGTTTCCTTTTTCATCACAACACCTTGATTCTCCAACTCCTTTGCGGCAATGTAAAGTGTATATCTAGATCAATAAGGCTCTGCCAAGTATCTCGACTCTAGTGAATCAGTTTAAACTGCTTCGCATACCAAGCAGACCCGCCAACAAACGCAGTTATTCCCGTCATCACCAGCAACGAACCATATCCAGTTCCAAAAGCATAAGGCGCATTCGAGCGAAAGCTATCCGACGCAAGAATAGCTTCACTCATAGGTCCAGACACTACAGCACCAATTCCTTTACCACAGCTAAACAGCGAAATGATCATTCCAGTCTCGGCGCCGGGATACCCATTCTCGCGTACTGTTTTTGCCACACCGGACCATGTTGTCGAGTAGCCTCCTGCATAGACACCGTAGAGGAAGGCAAAGACGAAAAGCATGGGTTTTATGGTGGCGAAGGTCCAGAAGGCAAAGACGGCGACGACGCTGCCGATGCTGCAGACCAGTATGCCGGTTGTGACGTGGCATCGATCGCCGAGGTATCCGATAAACATGGCTCCGACGATTTGTGCGCCGTTGATCAGGGCAATGGCCAGTGTACCGTCCACAGCTGTAAATCCGACTGCTTGTGCAAAAGACGACAAGTATACGCTCGGCAAGAAGAATCCCAGTCCTTGGATGATGCTGGCGCTCTGCAAAATCCAGAATGTTCTGCTCTTCAAGTATCCAAACTCGACTCTTTGGGGTCCAACGTTAGTGTGGTGCCTGACCGGGAGTCTGGGCTTCATGAAGAAGATCGCCGGTACAGTGAGTATCACGGCAACGACAGCCCAAGTCCTCAATGCAGTGCGGAAACCATATGTTCGAAGCACCCAATCCAGAGCAAAAGGGATGATGACACCTCCAGCGCCGCAAGATGCGCAAATACACCCAAAGGCAAAGTTACGCCTCAATACGAACCACTCATCCAGGTAGATGAATAGTGGGTAGTAGTGCATAGAGGCGCCGACAGCGTACATGACACCTTGGGTTGCGATGAGCTGGCTGACCGATTTTGCAAAAGATGCACCGATTAGCGAGGCTATCATGATGACAAAGCCAACAAAGACACTCGGCCTTCGGTATTTTGGATTCATCTTCAAGGCAATAAACCAGAAGGGGGCTGACACATATAGCAGACCAGTCGCTGTAGTACCGATTGCGGCAACGCTCGAGCCATTGCCTGCAAAATGTTGTTCATAGTACGATTGGAAGACACCAAAACTGAAAGGAAAGCCNTGGTGATTATAGTCAGTAAAGCATTCATTGCAAAGCGTGTTGAGTGAGAAGAAAGCGAGGAACTGAAAAATCGTGCTGTGTCTTATGCAAGAACATAAAAGACTCACAAACAACTTACCCCAAGAGACAGCCTCGAATATCACACAGCTAGCCAGAAACAGCCATGCATCTTTTCCACCATCGGCCGGAGGCAGAGAAAAGACCTCGCCATCTTCGGCTCTACCGAAAACGTTTGATATCTCAAGATCTTGAGATTGTTGATCCTCGTTTGGCACAGCGACAGTCGAGAGCTCAATGTCTCCAGTTCGATTGTCAATGCCCATCTCAACGATTCCTTGATAAAGAGTTGATGGGAAAAAGTATCAGCTCGCAAAAAAGTGATGGTTGAGCTGATGATTTAACCCCATCAGAAGAACATCTTTAAACTTTCCGCCCCGCATTGCCGACGCCCTTATTTCGACACCGCACCTTCCCGTCGGGAAAACCTGTTTGCTTCAGCGGGAACCATGAGCCACTTTCGTTCTTTGTAGAAAGCTTGTAAGTTACTGCTTACACGCCTCACAAAGTACCAGATGACAGCGCATGCATGGCATTCCCGCATGATCGTTCGGCTTGATGCCAATAGTCAGCTACGCGACTTGGGGATTCTGCATGAAACGACACCCGGAAAGGCGTGGATGCAGAACGGGAGCTAGTATGCTCAGAGGCAAGTTCTAGACCTTGGAGGGGTAGGTACAATACTACTTTCAAGGCATCGTACCTTCTGCGACATGCAGAGTCATCTTCTCGTAGTATCGTATTTTACTATATGGCGACATCGAAGATACAAGGTCAAGGAAAGGAGTCCGGTGGTTGTAGCAAGCCTATCATGATATGGACATGATATAGTTGACATGTTACGTTTTGCATGCTCGTCGCGTCGGGAAGAGGAAAGGTCTGGGAGCAGGTCAAAGCATATACAAGGTACTACCTACAAAGAGCCCAAACAGGTCATATTCGTCCACACCGTTAAATCATATACGTCCATAAACACATTCTTGCAATCAAATCGCGTAAGCCCACTCACTCCTGCTTGACAAGAGTCTCTCCGTCTTCAGCATAGACGTTGACGTTGAACTTCTTGAACTCGCGCGTCTTGACCTTGTTCGCAAACAACACATCCAACTCTTCATAAGTACGGTCCTTGCACTCGGGAAGTCTGAAGAATGTCCAGATGAAGAATATGAGAGAGGTGCCGGCCCAGAAGAATCCAGTCTTGCCCTTGAGGTTCAGTGCGGTAGGGTTCAAGAAGTAAGGGTTGATTGCACCACAGATGATGTTGGCAATGTAGTATGCGATTCTGGCCAAGCAGACACTCTTGTTTCGGAGACGAGTTGCGGAGGTCTCGCCAACAATGGCGTAGCAGATCGGTCCAACGGTGAGATAGTAGATGAAGAGCCACATGAGCATCATGACAGCTTGAGCATAGTTGCCGGCTACACTTGCAGCGTTTGCAGCGCTGATAGCACCGGTTGTGGTGAGGACGACAGTGAGGAGACCCAGGCCCCAGAGATAGAGTGTGCGGCGGCCAAAAGCGGACAGAAGGTACCATGAGATGATGGTGCCAACAGAAGCCATCGCAAGTCCACCTACAGTCATCTTGAAGGAGATGGATGTCGGGAGACCAGCTTGAATGAAGAAGTAAGTAGGTGTTCCACCCATGGCACTACCACAGAATGGTTGAGCAGCGAAGACNCTGTCGAGCGTCAATAATTGTGTTCTCAGAAACCTGGTTGTACACTCGCTACTTACCATACAGACAATCTCGGTACGGCGACGATCGATGCCCTTGAAGCAGTCCCAGTATGAAGTGCCAGCACTGATGTCCATCTCCAACTGATTTGTGTGTTGCATCATTGCAAGCTGAGCTCTATGTTCGCTCTCTGATTTGGACGGAGACAATCGCTTGATTGAGCGCAGAGCATTCTCATTGTCGCCAATGCGGATCAGATGCCAGGGCGACTCTGGAGCGAAGAAGGCCAACAGAGCAATCGGAATAGGCCAGACCCATTGGATCGCAAAAGGAATCCTGTATGCCCACTCTGTTGTGATACCGCTGACTGCGGACTGTACACCAGCGCCTACCAGCTGGCCAAAGGCCCACGTAAGGTTGACATAGACTGTAAGGTATCCACGTAGTACGGTCGGGCAGACTTCGGACGCATATGCTGGTGCCATCGTGGCAAACACACCCCATGGGATTCTGTGATAGAAGGTCAGAACTGTGGAAGAACCAGCATGATAGACTGTCACTTACCCGCAAAGGATCTGGCCGATCAAGATGACTTCAACTGAAGGAGCGAAGAAAGGGATAAAGATGAATGCGAGCAGAGAGAGGAGGGACGCAATCATGACCTTGCGGTAGCCAAACTTGTGAGTGAGATAACCGTTGAGGAAGGCGCCAATGACGGTGCCGATCTGTGTGCCATTGCCGAGACCTGCTTGCCAGGCGGCCGAAAGACTGTACTTTCCAGTCGCAGCATCGTATTCACCGTACTTCTTGACGAAGGCTGGCTGTCCAAAGAAGGAGTAGATCAGAACGATATCGTAGCCTTCCATGATGATGGCAGTCGATATGGCGATGGACCAGAAACAAGCTTGAGGATACTTCTTCAAGGCTTGCATCAGAGTCAAGTTGTGTTCTTCGTCTGTCGCAGCAGCAGCCAGGCCATGGTCAACCTTTTCGTCGCCGACGAAGGAGCCGGCTCGATCCTCGATGTGGACCATGTCGTTCTTCTCATCTGCCATGTTGGATGTGTCTGTTAGGGCGCGGTCTTATTGTGTTGTGGTATAGTATGGGGAAGGGGGTAGCAGCCACTAGGTGGTGATGAATCCTGGGGAGTAGTGTATCGCTATACGACGATCATGGGAATAGTTATATATACATACGAGTCCACTAGATGTTAATCCCGCACCCCATGGGGTAGGGCGACAGAGGATGGAGGGGGTGAAGAGGCCGGAGATCCTGCACAGTGTAAAGTTTAACGCGGAGTTCCATGTCGGTACGTTACTTTCACGTTCTTCACGTGAGAGTCTGCGTGCCACCGCCGGACACTTCGATTTGAGATGTTTCGGACCGTGCGGGATTGCCCGATTGAGCATGTTTGCCCCTCCGGGGGAACGATAGCCCCGTCGGATTGCTTGGCTGCGTCGGCATAGTCGGTATCAAAGTTAGGGCTTGGCCATCACTCGGTCTCAGCGACTGGCAAGAACGATGCACACATGCTCCTTTGGGAAAGGGCATCATGCAAGGAACAAGATTCCAGCTTTCTGGGAGCCGTTTCAAGCCGGGCATTTTTCGCTGGACAGCTGTGGGAAGGTGTAATGTTCTACACAGCTCGTACATCGAAAATTGCTTCGACTCCACTGCAACGGATGCAGTGAACACTAACACGATCAGGTGATTGGTTCCTACCGATCTCCAAGAGGGTCTCATGGGGCAGTGCGCTCAAGGGATAGTCTGCTGTCATGTACTTTACGTTCATACAGACTCCAAAAGGTAGCTCAATCTGCTTCATGAAGCTCGGGTAAACATCCATTCCTCCTTACAGTCTGAAGTCCGTAACAGCTAGTCCACAAGAAGATAAAAGCTCGCCTTGATTTTATACCCATGACATGCTTGGTGCTTCTATGAAGTCCTCGCCGATACCTGAGCGCAATGAAGAAGCAGATTCTCGTATGTCTTGGAGATCGGCCATGCAGAGCATCGATTCTTGATCAGTCTTGCACCAACCTTGAGCACACCGAGCGCTCCACCGGGCTGGCAGATATTCCCTACGCCCAACATGTGCGGCTGCATGGAGTTTCCTCTGCGAATGAATATTTGAATGAGCTCATCGTCGCAAGGCCGATCAATCTGTATCATCTTCGGGTCGTATTCCTCATCCGTGTCCACACGAGAAGTTGCAGGATGATGTTCGTCGGTCGAGGCTTGCAAAAGGGGCACGAAAGAACCGTAAGCCCACAATATGACGCTAGACATGAAGAGACTGGTAGGCTCAAGAATGTTGCCTGTACCGTGGTGCCGAATGTACCAAAACATAGCTCCAGCGTGCACAATAGCTAGTCTGGATTTGTAATGATCTTTGGAGATCCACAACCAAATCTTGGCTACAAGATCTTCTCGTCGCGAGCGAGAGTTACCACCATGAGCGAATGATGAACTGTTGCCGTGTGATGAGACGACTTCGGACATTAGATCATAAACGTCTTGGTAAGGAACCAGCAGGACCAATCGCGACAGATGCAAGTGCAAGACTGCCGGTGGCTCGAGACCTTGGAGGCGAGCTATGACACCGTGCGTTCCCCAGTGTAAGGTGTCCAGACAATCCAGAGCTTTGTTGCGCCACTTTTGGTACTCCGGATCCGAGGGCAGCCAATAGATGTCTCTAACGGACTCGCCGCGCTGTTGTTGCCCCGCGTCAAGGCCGGCCAACGGATCGAGGATGTGGGATCCCACTTCCATTGTCCGCCGGCAGACTGCATGGACGGCGATCGTCTGTGCGAAGTCACCGAGCTCCTGGGAAAGCGGCTGCTGCTGATAGATCGACGTTAGCAAGGGGGTCAAGCCCATCGGCTGTTTGTGCGTTGCCTTGAGATTCATCCATTCTCCCAGCGATGTCGCCACCCACAAAGCTTCATGAACAGGCAGGTTTGTCTGAACATCGCCAAGGGAGAAGTTTGCAGAGAGATTTTTGCCAGATGTCAAAAAGTACCAACTGTCAAGCTGCCATGCACAGTATGCCACTCTTCGCTGACTTTCGCGATGGGCCCATGCTTTCCAATTTTCTTCTGTCCAAGTGTCGTCCCAAAGTGGCTCGTGCAAATTCAGCCAACGAGATCTCTTGACGTTGGTGCAGTGATCTGAGAATGATCGAGTGCCAGCCAAGGCCTCTTCATTGATGTTATGCTGTAAATGAAGCTCTAGTACATCATAGATGATACAAGCCTGCATGAAAGAAAGCTCTGGCACGCTTCTGGTGCGTTCAACGAACATGTTTCGTGTGATGATGGCTCGCTGCAGGAAGGTCCTCAAGGCCTCAGCATTGGTCACCAATGGTACAGACGATGACGTGGCAGCACCCATGGCAGCCAACGCCAAACAAAGAATCCAGTCGCTCTCGCCCTCTAGTGTTGCTGTTGCCTGGTGGACAACCTGAAATATCGTGCTGGTGTTTTCAAAGTAAGACTCGATACATGTTTCCAGAGCTTGGCGAGAAGGAAAGCGGTCAGATCGGAATCTCTCGAAAAAAAGGACTAGGTTTTCAGTCATGCATAAGTCGTCGAAGCGTTCCAGTATGCGGTTGTAAGTGTGGTGTGGAATGATTGGCCGAAAAGAAGTTTCTGTGTTTAGCGGTTCTGTTTCGATAGGACTGAAGTCAAGTCCATTTCCCATGATACCTATGTGTGAGATTTCGGCGTTGCGGTGTCTTGCCAGTCGGCTCACTTCTCCGTCAGCATAGAATGTTCCATGCCGTTTTGAAGATGTCGCAGAGTTGGTAATAGACACCGCAGGAGATTCTTCTGCAACAGACCCCTTACTCCCACCTTCAGGACTCGTGTTGGTATTGATGTTGTTATTGTCCAGAGGATTGCCACTGGTGGGCGACCAGATAGTAGATTGGTGCATTCCCATGATTGGAGAGAAGTTGTTTAACGCCTGAGTCATATAAAAGTCGAAGTCCCAATCCATTCCGTTAGTATACGGCAGCCAGTTTGTCGCTGGTAGCGAAGGCGGATCTCTTCCAACATAAGGTGCAACCATTCTCTGATCATGGTAATTGTAGGGCGACACTGATGCAGGATCTTGCGCTACCCAGCTGGTATTCATCAAAGACCTGTCCTCAGCCCTCGTGGCCTGTGAGTCTGGAGCTGGCAAGACTGATGCGGTACTCTCGCCTGCTGCCGCTTGTACTTGCTGGACCATATGTTCTGCGTCGTCATCCATGATAGCCGAGCGATCCTGAGCCAGGCTGGGAGCTTCCTCATGAGGTTGAACTGATATCATGCTGGCTTCTTGAACTGATACTATGCTTGCTTCTTGGTCTGCCTCGGGCTCGGCTCTTTGGTCCTGCTCCTCATAGACACATTGAAGTCGTCTCGAGTGGCATCGTTCGCACGGATTCTGTCTCGTACATCGGACTCGAGCAGTAGCACAAGCCCGGCAAGCTCGAGGGGAGAGATTATCGGCAGATCCCAGATGGCTCCCAATGGAGCTTGTGCGATGTGTTATTTGATGCCGATGAAGGGTGTCCCTAAGGTTTGTGTCAACTCCAAGTACGAAGGACGGGCTAGANAGCAATAGGACGACAGAGGGCCAGGGCTTCAACGCAGTAGATGCGTGTCACTGTTGTTGGCATCCCCAACGTATAATATCGATGAGATTAAGAAGCGCAAAGGGAGCTACGGACCTTCTAACAAAGCTCTTTCCACATTGTGAGCATACAAACCGCTTGTCTTGAGTATGCGTCAACATATGGCGTCGTAAGTGTGTTGATCTCTGAAAAACAATGTTGCAGGTCGAGCATTTTCGTTGTGTATCATCACGGTTTGTATAAGGTTCGTTCTCAGGCATTGTACGCGAGATATGGCGCTCTTGATAATGACGGTGTTGAGGTGTACGTGACGACTCCCTGACTCGGCACTTCTGTCTCGCCAAGCTCAAGCTCCGCCGCGGCTAAACCGCTGGCTAATCTCGGAGGCCAAGCTGGAAGGTGCAGCCTCCTGAAGCTTGTCACCATGCCAATTACATCAACAGTCTGGATATTAGACAAAGGCTTCCTCGTCAGCGAACACACAAGAGCGCCAGAAACATGTATGATGTTATCGAACAGCGTCAGGACAGCGCAACGAGACCGCTTGTAGCCCGTTCGCGCGGACGTGCGACGCGAAGCGTTGTTCATTAAAGATCGACAGCTCTCAGGCCACTCTGCTCAATCCTGATGCATTGCATTTCTTGATATTCAACTGTGACGTGTAGTCTTTTCGTCAATATGACGACGCTCGACTGGTGTAACGCAATTGTTAAATTGACAGGCAAGCCTTTATATACTAACGTTTCTATCTACAAACAAGTGCAAGAAAAGGCATTCTCGCAAAATGACTAGCGCGTCGGAGAGCATCTAAGTCTATTGCTTTACGAAGACAGGCATCATGTCCATAGGACAATCGACCTCAATCTCGCGACCACCCTCATAAACCTCGCCGCCCTCGAAAGGCTTCCAAGTTGCACCAGCAGGGAGATAGACCGTGCGCTTACGTTGGCCTGGGTTGAAGATAGGCGACACCAGGTATTTGGGGCCATACATCTGCTGGTCTTCAACTGACCACGCCTTCTTGTCCTGAGGGAAATCATAAAAGATGGGGCGGATGACTGGAGAACCATTCTCATGGGCCTCCGTCATGAGGCTTCGCGTGTACTCCCTCATATCTTCTCTGATCTTCATGTACTTCTTGCAAATCTCATAGACTTCAGGACCGTATGACCAGACCTCGTTCGGGGCTCCAGACAGACATGTTGCACCACCGGTGGTGCCATGCTGAGGTTGATGAGGTTCACGGTCTCCATGCAGGCGCATTACTGGGCAGAACGCTCCATATTGGAACCATCTTGTGAACAGCTCACGGAAGGCTTCGTCATCCGGGTTGCCACCATGGAAACCACCAATGTCAGTTGTCCACCAACTGATGCCTGCCATACCCATATTGAGTCCGGCAGCAAATTGGTTCTTCAGACTGTACCAAGATGAGGCAATGTCACCGCTCCACACCAGAGCACCATATTTCTGGCTGCCAGCCCATGCGCATCGCAGAAGGTTGACAATGTTCTGTTGACCCTCGGCTTCCTGGCCCTCATAGAAGGCACGAGCGTACTCTCGAGGGTAGATGTTGCCGATGCTGACGTTTGATCCTTGCCAATATCTCCAGTTGTCGAAATGGTAGATAGAATACTCCGGCTCGGCTTCATCCAGCCAGAAAGCCTTGATTCCCTTCGAGAAGTAGTTTTGCTTGGCCTTGTTCCAAACATATGCTCTGGACTCGGGGTTGGTGGCATCGAAGTGTACAGTGTTTCCCTCGAAGTCGAGAGAGATTCTTGTACCACGGTCGCATCTGATCAACAGACCTTTCTCCACCATCTCTTCGTAGTTCTCGCATCTTCGGTCCACGGTAGGCCAAATCGAGACCATCAGCTCAATGTTCATCTCCTTCAACTCCTTCACCATGGCGTCGGGGTCCGGCCAGTAGGTAGGGTCGAACTTCCATTCACCCTGCAAGGGCCAATGGAAGAAATCGATCACGATGAGGTCGATGGGCAACTGGCGAGCTTTGTATTCTCTTGCAACGCCGAGTAGCTCTTCCTGTGTCTGGTAGCGGAGTTTGCATTGCCAGAAGCCGAGACCATACTAGGCACAGATTAGTATTGGGTATGTCTCCCGCAAGAAGACAACACTGGTGACGTGTGTCTGTGTACACACCTCTGGCATCATAGGGGCAGTGCCCGTAACTCCAGCGTAAGCCTGAACAATTTCGGCAGGTGTCTCTCCAGCCACAAGCCAACAATCCAAGACAGTAGAGCTCAATGCCTCAAAGGACATGATGTTCTTGCCAAAGACAGCTCTTCCAATACCAGGGTTGTTCCAGAGGAGACCGTATCCCAAGGAAGAGACGGCAAAGGGCACACTGGCTTGCGAGTTTCTGTGTGCAAGTTCGAGGTCGAGGCCCTTGAGATCGAGGTAGGGCTGCTGGTACTGGCCCATACCATAGATCTTTTCATCCTTGTCCAGCGATTCCAGGCGCCAGACAATGTGGTAGTCGTTCGTGGCGGGGATGGCCTGGAACTCGCGAGCTTCTCTATCGATTGCGCTGCACTTGGGGTCCAAGACGTCACGGCGGTTTCGAACAGCTTCGTCGAGGATGATCTTGCCGCCATGACCATAGACAGTCAACTTGCCCTTGGCTGTGATCACTGCCTTGATCTCTCCGTTGGTCAAGGAGCTTGACTTTTCGCCAATCTCAATGACGGCGGAGGGACCTGCTGATCCTTCGAGAGCCCAATTCTCCGAAGGCATCTGGTTCAGCTGAGTCGCACGAATGCGGAGGGCGTTCTTGCCCCAGGGCTCGATCCAGAGCTTGTCAGCATCATAGCTAAAGATAAGGCGATTGTCCTGTTTGGCGAACATGGTGGACTGCGTCGGAAGAGCTGGGGAGTCGATGCTTGAACAGGTACTCGGGTACCCGAGTGGTATAAGTAGAACATGGTGAAATCGCTCCTGAGAAAGAGAGTCACCGGGAGCCCCTCGCACTCGCACTGATACCGTCCGTCTTCTCAGGCTGCCAGCAAACGTCCGTTGCGTGAAGCTTCCTTCGTGCCCCTCATGTTACCCCACACGACATGGAGAGCTTCAGCGCCAACTGCCGGTCCCGTCATTCATGCGCCACCGGAGCCCCGCCGCGACTCTTCGAAGGGCCACTTTGTCCCGAACACCGAAGAAGCTTTTGGTTCCAGACGACGAGTGTGCGCGACTGCTATGTTTGAAACCGACAGCCAGTACTGAAAGTGGACGAAACAGACAATGAAGCTCCAAAGTCATCTGGAGCAAGTGGAGTTGGAATACGGGGTCAGCTTTACGGAGCTATGGAGTCTCGCTTGAATGAACCTCCATTCCATTCGCTTTGGCTGGGCTGAACTACGCAAGATTGGACTGAACTCACTTGCACTGGATCAACCTAGGCAAATTGCCAATAGTCGACATTGAACAGGTATCCGCTGCCGCCAGTGAACTTCAAGTAAAGATCTTTGGTCCCAGTCGCCCCACTGATAGCACACGAAACCATCTGCCATGTCTGCCATCCGTTTGTGCCAGGTACAGTACAAGTGCCTACCACAGTGCCAGTGGCAGTGCCCACACGAAGCTCAATTTTCCCACCACTAGTGGCCGAAGCGACACGAGCAGAGAAGGTCTTTGCCCCTTTGCCAAAAGCGACACCCTCAACCTTGACATAGTCACCGTTTTCGATGTTGATGATTGCGAGTCCACCGTCACTCGTAGGTTGAGTTTGGACGCCGGAGGAGAATGCCATGGTTTCGGCTTCAACACGAGTGTACGGGTTCAGGGTTCCGACCTGCGGGGCACCCGCGTTGGTCATGGTGAGAAGCGGTATTGAGCCATCCGAGTTGTAAGTGAAAGGCTCCACCGCGATAGAGCGCGTGTAGCCGCTGCCGCCGGGTAAAGCACCGTTGTGGTAGAAAAAGTAGGACTTGCCCTTGAAGTCAATGACGGCTGGGTGATTGGTAAAGGACTTTCCTGCCGATGCCATAACAACACCACGATAAGTCCAAGGACCCGTGATTGAAGGACCAGTAGAGTATCTTATATCTTCAGAACAGCAGTTGGCAGCATACACCAAGTAGTACAGGTTGTTGCGCTTGTAGATCCAAGGACCTTCAGCGAAAGTAGTGCCATCCGGTTCGCGTCCACTGCCAAAGGTAGCGATGCTTGTAGGGACCTGAAAAATGCTGCCAGAATAAGACACCATGTCAGCATTGAGTTTGACGTAGAACAAGCCCGGGTTGGCAAAGTAAAGGTAAGCTTGGCCGTTATCATCAATCCAAACAGTAGGGTCAATACGGCCATTCTCCAGAAGTGGTTTGCCGATTGCGTCTTTCCAGGGCCCAGTAATGGAGTCCGCAACTGCAACACCAATAGCCATGTTGCCTCCACGGCGACGCATAGGGAGATACATGTAGTACTTGTTGTTGCGGGCGATGATCTGACCCGCCCAGGCATTCAAGTCGGCCCATGGGAATGTAGTAGCTATGGAAGCAATGACACCGTGATCTTGCCAGTTCGCCATATCCNNTTGTAAGAATGTTAGCGAAACTTGTCGTAGGTCGTAGGTCGTAGGGCTTGTACTGACTGCAGTGGAAAAGAGACGCCAGTCCTTCATGTTATAAGTTGTCGAACCATCTTCATCGTGATCAGCGAGGAGATAGACTCTATCGCCGACTACAATGGGAGCAGGGTCGGCAGTGTAGATGGATTGGATGATCGGATTATCTGCCTGAACCAGATCGAGGGTGCTTAGGACGACGCCCAGGGCCAGCAGCAGTCTTGCACACAATGAGTACATCTTGTCCGAGGAGCGATAGTCGTAACACCGGGACAGTCGCGGAAGGGTTATATGCTCGTGGCCAGAGCGGCCTTCCCCTTACGATTGTTGGAAGCGAGCATACATGGTGAGGGGTCTCGTCGATGACATTAGCCAAAAAGCTGTCTCGTTAAGAAATATTTGCAGAAGCGAGCATACAAAGAGCCAACACGCTATACACGTTTGGGAAGTTTCCCCGCGTTCAAATCATTGTTCCATTGGTCAATGAACATGCTATTTGAAGATCATCCCTATATATGAAACCGCACGTGTTGTTCAAGGCTCAGTAGCCGAGCAAGGTGAACAGTTAGATGCAGGCATTGGCTCATAAACGTCCGCATCCTTATTCGTGGTTACGAAGCTCGTGAGTCGAAACTAACCAGAACTCGCCTAGCATATTTGGGAAGGCCTTGCTAAATTAAAGAGAGACACGCAGCTCATCTATCATGCCGAAGATTCGCTTGTGCTCATATTTTCTGCTGCCTCGCTTCATCTTGTCGCGTTGGCCTTGTTATCCCCAATCTGGAAATGGGCTAATCAAGTTGCCGTAGCCCATCAGCACAGGAGGAATCCCAACATTCGCAACCATGAGCCTGTCATACAGACTCCTCTCGACCGCAAAGCTAGAGTGAAGCACAGCTGTACGCAAGAGTAGAGTCAACGCCCGTTTCTCAAACATGATCCCTCTTCGCTGTCATGTGCAATGCAATGATACACCCTTGTTGTTGCTCGATGGACAAGACTCGGTGAAAAGACCATTTTCTTGAAGGGGCGTCGAGATGGTGATTGAAGCGACACATATCGTCTCACAAGCTCAACAAGGCCTGATAACGTTGGGAGGGATGATGTTCTTCGCTCCGATCCGAGAGGTGCCCAGCGCGAGCGGCTTGGAAAGTCATTATCACATCAAGACTATCGAACATTGCGTGTAGGTTCAGTGTTGCCGTTGGGGGGTCTTCAATGGTATCCAGCTGAGTGGTGAGCAAGGCTTCGGCAGCTCCGGCCATCCACGCCGGTATATGGCGTATAATGTTGCGCCTCCAGGAGGACGAGGCATCTTGAAATGAGGATTTGGCGCGGTTGTCTCGACATTCTAGTGTAGCCGGTCGAAGCAGCAGTAGGCTGTCGCTAAGACTTGCAGTCTGCTGGAAGGGACTTGGTGGAGATAGAATTGGCAGTACCTGCATGATGTGCTACGGTTGATCAAACGCGAGTTTTCAGCTCACTCAAAAAGTACATAGAGGTGTATCTCGTTCTCGAACATCGTTAGACACTCAGCTCCTCTATTCTCCAAGGATCGGGCTCTGAATTCACCTACTGGCCAGGTAGGGTTGCGAGCCGGTGCCGGTTGCGGCTACCGTTGCGTCCTTAGTCGGGGACCGAACGAGAGTTACTGCCTTGTGCGTAAGGACGACCGTTTATATCGCAGCCGCTTGGGTGGACATTGATGGGTACACCTCGTTTGGAAAGTGTCTTGAAACCTGAAAGTGCCTCTGGACGTGCGAGTCCCAAAGAATTCTCGAAAAGGTGGATAATCGACTTTGCCGTAGCCCTGGGAACATTCACAAGGCAGGACCGTGTGCTGAGTTCTGTGTTATGGATAATGCCAACAGGGAGTCTTTCTTGTACCGAGCAAGAAAGAGGCTACAATAGTCATGCATGAGCTGAACCTCTGGAGTGTACAACGGCAGGGACTTCCCTCTACGATGTCCACCGGCTGCAGGGGAGCACGGTGTCAGATTGGACAGCGATCCAACAGGGCGGTCCATGTGGAACAATGGAGCACGCAAGTGTCTGCATGTCCGACGAACAAAGGCGAGAAACAAGATACCGGGCCCGTCACGGATCTGCTCGGTCTAACGGCGCCTTCAGGTGTCGATGGAAAAACAGAAGCTGAGGTTCTTCCTATCAGCTATAGAGGCAGGGGTTGACCAATCAGAAGGTCGTGGCACTCTTGGCACAATACTGTGTTGTTACTAACAAGTGCGCGGCTCCAACGTTGGCACTGGGGTAAAGCCTGCTTGAGAGCGTCTGTTTGACAGCTTCTGTATAGCTCGACGCGCGCCGAGAACGGTTGTTCATTAACATTAAACTTGACAATGCGAAAGTCATCAAACTGATTAGATGCTCAAGATGCTACTGTCGTGGGTATGTCGGGTCTAGCTCGAGCAGAGCCTTGCCCCTGGCTGTGACTTTGATGTACTGTACAGATTGTTAGTTGCTCGAACGAAAGGGGTCTCTAAGCATGGATTCCCTCAATCTGGACGCGTTTCAACACCTGGGCTTCAAAGTATTCATTGATCCCACCTCTGCTTTCTGTATATCAACGTCCAACGTTATACCTTTTCCCATCGGACGCTACACCATAACGGCACCACGAACAGACTCAGCATTCTCAGCTCCCTACCCTAGAGACACATTCTACAACCGTTATATCTCTTGACTGCACCATTATTTGATGCTGTACACGCGACCAATAGACCAGTATGCAGCTGAGGAGTGGCTCCCTGGCAGTTTCCTGTTGACCGAGTTGGGCCTCTGTAACAACACATCAAAGCGATCGCAACCTTTCTTCCTGGCCTGAGTTTGCTATAAGTAGTACTGCAATGCCTCCTACATTATTCAGATTCAACTCACTCAATCCCTTTGTTCTACAAGTCTAATACTAATCTAGGCCCATCTATACAAGATGCGTGCCGTCTCTTTCATCTCGGCGCTTGCTGTCCTTCCGGCAGCTTTCGCTTCTCCTATCGACTTTGAGCTCGATGCACGTACAGCGAGTAAGTTGAATGAACGTTCTATCAACAAACTCAACTGATGGATATTAGCTTGTAATGGCAACGATATGAACCTTGTCGAGGTAGCCGTTGTGACCAACACTGCCTTTTTCTGCGAGTACTACAACCTTGTTGGCGGTGCCTCGCCCATCGCCGCTTTGAGCTCGAACGCCTTGTCCAAAGCCTGCAACTGTATCATCGCCATCTCCAGCGTCAAAAAAATTCCCAACACGGATCCCACTGCCAATGCAAATTCGAAGACCTGCACCGCTGCCAGCCTCAAGGCTGTCAACGCTCAGTTCTCCGACCCTGTAAGGTTCTGTACCTCATACGGCAAGACAAGATACTCCGCTGTCATTGGTCTCACATCTCAGGAACTCTACGATGCTTGTCAATGTGTTCTGGGCAAGGCGACTGTTACTGCCACGAGTTCCAAGATGACTTCTTCGTCGACCAAGAAGGCCAGCTCATCTTCTTCGATCCGATCTTCGTCCAAGATAGTCTCTAAGTCATCGTCGTCGTCTACAAAGGTCTCGTCCTCAAGCAAGTCCAGCTCTGTCAAGCCTGTCTCGAGGTCCTCATCTTCAAGCAAGATTACAAGCAGTTCGGTCAAGCCTGTCTCGAAGTCTTCGTCTTCTGTCAAGAGCTCCAGTAGCTCTGTCAAGCCTGTCTCGAAGTCTTCATCTTCGAGCAAGGTCACAAGCAGTTCGGCAAAACCTGTCTCGAAGTCTTCGTCCTCGGTCAAGAGCTCGAGTAGCTCTGTTAAGCCTGTCTCGAAGTCCTCGTCGTCAGTCAAGAGCTCTAGCAGCTCTGTCAAACCTGTCTCGAAGTCCTCATCCTCGTCCACAACAAAGATTTCCAGCAGTTCTGGTGTTTCCAAGTCAGCTTCAGTATCCAGCAAGGTTGTTAGCAGCTCGGGAACCAAGGTTTCGTCCTCCAGTGCTAAGCCTGTTCTCACTTTCTCATCCAAGGTTTCCAGCAGCTCATCCAAGGTTTCCAGCAGCTCATCCAAGGTTTCCAGCACCTCATCCAAGGTTCCCAGCAGCTCATCCAAGGCTCTTGTTAGCAGCAGCTCTTCCAAGATTTCTAGCAGCTCATCAAAGGCTTCGGTCACGAGTAGCAGTTCATCAAAGGCTTCGGTCGTGAGCAGCAGTTCGTCCAAGGCTTCGGTCTTGAGTAGCAGCTCGTCCAAGGCTCCAGTCACTAGCAGCAGTTCATCAAAGGCTTCGGTCGTGAGCAGCAGTTCGGTAAAGGCTTCGGTCTTGAGTAGCAGCTCGTCCAAGGCCCCAGTCACTAGCAGCAGTTCATCAAAGTCTTCGGTCTTGAGTAGCAGCTCGTCCAAGGCTTCGGTCTTGAGTAGCAGCTCGTCCAAGGCTTCGGTCTTGAGTGGCAGCTCGTCCAAGGCCCCAGTCACTAGCAGCAGTTCATCAAAGCCTTCGGTCTTGAGTAGCAGCTCGTCCAAGGCCCCAGTCACTAGCAGCAGTTCATCAAAGTCTTCGGTCGTGAGCAGTAGCTCATCCAAGGCTTCAGTCGTCAGTAGCAGTACATCGAAGGTCGTTGTTAGCAGTAGCTCATCTCAGGCTCCTGTTAGCGGCAGCTCTTCAAAGGCTCCTGTCAGCAGTAGCTCTTCCTCCAAGGATGTTACTCCAAGCTCTGTTTCTTCAAAGACCGCTGTAACAAGCTCGACAATTGTCACCAGCAAGAACAGCTCTCAATCTTCATCATCCCTGGTTTCCTCGTCATCATCCCTGATCTCTTCGTCTTCATCCCTGGTTCCTTCGTCTTCGTCCCTGGTGTCTTCATCTTCCTCTCTGGTGTCGTCTTCTACCAGCTTCCCTGTTCAAGAGCAGAGTGCCACTACGTCCACCTCCACCTCGGTGACCGATGCTCCTGTATCCAGTCCGACAACTGAAACTCGCGATGGTGATGCCAGTACAACTACCAGTTCGGTCGTTCAGTCCGAGACAACGAGCACTGTTACTGACGCCGAGCCTACGACTTTGAGCTCCTCCATCGAGCCTGAAGTCACAAACACCGCAGCCGCTAGCTCTGCCAGCGAGACCGGTGCCGACGTTACCAGCTCTTCTGCTGCGGTTGACAGCACTACAGGCTCATCTACAGACTCTCAAGCTACTTCGTCCTCTATTCAGGTTGATGTTACGAGCACAAGTTCTTATCTTTCTTCTGCAACCACAACGACACCCACAGCGGGACCCAGGTATAGCGACGGCGCTACTCCTGAAGTTCAAGGCGTCAAATTCGACATCCAGACGGACGTTACCTATAACGGTATTATCCTGACTCTGTCCAAGAAGAGAGATACAGCCTACATCGGCAGAATGTTCGCTCGCGCTAGGGGAGGTCTTCGTGCAAGAGACGGCGACTCCAGCATCGTTGACTGTCTCAACGTTTGTGCTGCTAGCACTCAGTGTGTCGGTACCTCGTATACTGCTGATTCCTTGGCCTGTGTCTACTTCGGCAGTATCTTACCTAGTGCAGTGCCTGCCCTAGGAACCGACTTCGCAACGGTGATTTCTCGTGAAAGCTCTGCCACAAGCTCTACAAGCTCGAGCATCGAGCCCGATGTCACTACAACCACCAGCTCTGCCAGCGAGACCGGTGCCGACGTAACCAGCTCTTCTGTTGCGGTTGACAGCACTACAAGCTCATCTGCAGAGTCCCACGCCACTTCGTCCTCTGTTCAGGTTGATGTTACGAGCACAAGTTCTTCGATTGAGCCTGAGGGCACCTCGTCCTCCGTCGATGACTCTACAAGCTCATCAGTCAACCCTGACATCACTACATCCTCTGTAGACGCTGGAATTACCAGCTCTGCTACTGAAAACACTGTAACCAGCTCATCTTCTGCATCCGAGGTCACGTCTTCTTCCACAGGCATCGAGACTACACTCACAAGTGTTTCCGATGACTCTGAGACTTCCACAAGCTCGACCAGCGAATCACAGACTGCCTCATCAACCGTGGATGCTCAAATCACGAGCTCTAGTTCGTCTATGGACCCCCAGATTACTTCAAGCGCCTCGGACGCTAGCACTTTATCTGATGAGAGCGTGACTTCCACAAGCACCGACTCTGACTCGGGCTCTTCAGAAACACAGTCTGCCTCTAGTTCAGCCGCTGAATCCACCTCGAGTGAAAATGTGACCTCCTCCACTGAGAGTGCAAGCTCCACAAGCTCTGCCGTATCTTACTCTGGTTCTTCATCGACGGTCTCTGCAACCCCTGCGCCTGATTCCTCGTCATCCAGCGTGTCTGTGGCTGATTCGTCGTCGAGCTCTACCTCAGTCGATTCCTCTTCGTCCAGCGTGTCTGTGACTGGTTCATCTTCAAGCTCTACCTCGATCGATTCCACTTCATCCGAAAGCGCTACTGTTTCGAGCAGCGAGGTGTCATCTTCATCTGTTTCGGCCACATCGACACCCGACTCGTCCTCCTCCTCGGTCAGCACCTCGACGAGCGAGACATCATCGACATTAAGCGACACTGTCATATCATCATCATCATCATCGGCCGCCTCCGATCCTGCAATACCCGCTTCCACTCCTGCTTCAGTTGGAGCCTCCTCGACCCAATCATCAACGAGCGCACCAACCGACACATCTTCTTCCGCGACCTCGTCTACCTCGAGCGATGTTTCCTCGTCCACCCAATCGTCATCAACTGAGAGCATTACCTCGACAAGTAGCGGCGTGTCTTCGTCCACCCAATCGTCATCGACCGACAGCGCCACATCCACAAGCAGTGATGTATCGCCAACTCAGTCGTCATCAACTGAGAGCGTTACCTCGACAAGCAGCGATGTTTCCTCGTCCACCCAATCGTCATCAACTGAGAGCATTACCTCGACAAGTAGCGACGTGTCTTCGTCCACCCAATCGTCATCGACTGAGAGCATTACCTCGACAAGCAGCGATGTTTCCTCGTCCACTCAATCTTCATCGACTGAGAGCGCCACCTCGACAAGCAGCGATATTTCTTCGTCCTCTCAATCGTCATCGACCGACAGCGCCACATCCACAAGCAGTGATGTATCGCCAACTCAGTCGTCATCAACTGAGAGCGTTACCTCGACCAGCAGCGATGTTACCTCGTCTTCTCAATCGGCAACGGTCACTCCCACTACAATGATCACCATGACTTCATCCACCGATCCATCCGGCAGCACTTCGTCCGCCGAGCCTTCTAGCAGCACTTCGTCCACAGAGTCTACCAGCACTTCATCTACAGAGTCTTCCAGCAGTGCCTCGTCGACAGAGTCTACCAGCAGTAGTACCTCATCCACAGAATCTTCTAGCAGTGCCTCGGCTACTGCTTCTGCGCCTGCTGATCCCACGACCAACGATTCTACTTCAGGAGGCAGCTCGCCAACCGATCTCCTCAGTCAAGTTACCGGGACGATCTAGTTCTCAAGAACAAAATAATAGTCTTTGAAGACACACTGATTGTTCTTGCTTCATTGGTATTGCTTACTTTTTAAGTAATAGTGGTTTTCTTTACATATTTCGTTTGTAGCGGCGGTTGGCAAACATGCCTTCAAGTAGTAACAATAATATCAACGTATCCGTCGTATCACACTTCGCACTCCATCTATCTCCTGTGACTAGATATAAGAGTATTGCAGGCTGTATCAAAGATCTGGCAAGGACAAAGCACTATGATGGCGATACAACAGACTACTATTGCATACGAAGGCCTTATCCATGACAAAGTGAGTACGCTGAACTGGAGTCGTGCTTGATTGTATGAAGTACCTCTCCAATTCACGCTCGACCGAGTCGAGTATCCCTCCAACCACCAGCACTAGACCGAGAGGGATTCCATCCTTGAACGGTGGTCGTTGCGCCTATCGTTCTGACCGACTTGTGATGTGACAGCGGATGCCACAATATTGGAGACAGGTACAGGCCGAGTGATCGAAATGGCCAGGACGGCAGCGTGGCCAGCAACGGGGACGGTGTTGTTAGAATTTGGAAGGAACGTGTCCAACAAGAGCAGCGATGGCTCAGCGGTTAGAGCGCCTCGCCAATGTGTCTTGCAAACACAAGCTTGTCTAGTCGCACCGCCATATGATGTGCTCATCATAGGTCTCCCAACTTGTTCTCAAGAACATATGAGGTGTTTGACTTTGGCACTGAGGAGATCGTGGGTTCGATCCCTACTCGCTGCGTATAGTGTTTCTTTTTGTAGAGAGTTTCTTCATGTACCTTTGATGAACAAGGGATGAGACGCTTCGAGCTTATCGCATGCCCATAGACAGGTCTACCACCCGAATGACTCCTCAAAATATTCCACACCATGACATCCACGTTTCAGAGATCGATGGACAGCGAGTCTAGCTTCGTCAGCCATGGCAGGCGGCCCGCAAACCAATACTGCCACTCTCGTTCCTGTCATCTCAGCTCTTGTGGCAGCTTTTGCAATGGCAGCTGCGATGTCTGGTCGTCCATACTGCAATTCTGAAATCGCTAGATCATTACTTCCATCTCTGAGCTCTTCCTCACCATATTTTGGTCCTTCACTTTGTCGTGTGAAGAACAGATCGGCCGAAAAATCTTCCCTCTGTGCAACAGTGTACAGTTCTCGAGCAAAGACTTCGTGGATAAAAGACGCTTGCCGTGCTGTCCAGAGCAGATGTATGCGTGTAGTGTTTGTCCTGCCTGCTTTGGACAGTGACATGTGTTCCAGAATATACGGTACTGCAGATGCGATACCAGTACCGCCTGCAATCAGCAGCACAGAATCGAAAGACGATATCTGACAATGATGCCCAAAAGGGCCCTCGAGGAGGATTGTTGGATTCGTGATTTGCGTAGGTTTCCTGAGACACTCGTCTCGCAAACGTTTTGTCCAGCCATCGTAGGGACGGATCCAGAAGGTCAGGGTTTGGATGGTAGCTTGATTCTTTTGACCACAATCGTCCTCATCCAACTCGTGTTGTGTGTCAGTATGTTGGAGGAGAGAGCTACCAACCTCACCGGACACAGTAGATTGCAGAGACCACGCTCCTAATGTAAAAGGATGATTCTCATAGCCTTGCCATGTACTAGGCTGGTAGAGATAGTAGAACTGTCCAGCAGTGGGTCGAGTAAGAAATGACTCCGTCCTTATGTCGAGTCTAACCACATCAGACGCTTTACTGTATGTGGCAGTTGAGTGTGTGCAGTGAATGAATTGCTTGCCAAAGCGGACTTGAATATTGCAAGATATGAGGCGCAGCAGTCGAAGCGTACGATCTAGCACCCATACGATCACGATCGGCCATAAGTATGCATCATATCTCGCATCGAAGATCGAAGTGTGTCTATGCAAATTAGCACAAGATAGGCAACGCAGCAACGGCAGACCTTACAAGAAGCAACCCACGAGAGTGATCACAGAAAGTGCGATATGGAGGACTAAAAAGAACTCGTAAAACTTGATACGAAGCCACGATACAGAGAATAGCAACAAAAGGCTCATTGTAACTGTCGCCTACACCAGATTGGTTAGTGAATGACTGGAATCGTCTATCGTGAATCTTACCACCACACCAAGTAGGAGCCAGAGCTGGGTGAACTCTCTCCTGAACATACCCCATCCTTCTGCAACTTATTAGCCCGTTTCGAGGAAAGGAGACGGCAGAAACATACCAAACTCGACAAACAGCCAAGTGTACGCAACTGAATGTACGATAGCCAGTATTGTACCAGCTCGGGCAATATGTCGGTGATAAATGTTGAACGCTTGATATGAGAGACCAGTAGCCCACATGAAGACGTTGTTTCTACCAGCGAATATCCATATCCAAGGAAGGGTAGCGTAAGCCATGATACCTGTACGATCAGCGACGTATCGCCAAAGTTGTTGAGAGCTGTCATCCCAGNNCTGAGAAAGTCAGCTACCTCTAATACGAAAACGGATTTTCCAAGCTTACTAGATGTTGTTGGATATCAGACGATAGTGAGATACAGATAGATACGTCGTAAACAGATAAAAAGCTGTCACAATGACGGTCTCCATACGTGTTGGAATAGTACACCAGTACAGCAAACGCTGATGGTGCGAACCAAATGCTGGCGGAATGACCAAATTTACCCGTATCCAGATCCATGTTGACTGTATCAGTCGTGCTATCCTGCCTCTCTGCATGTCAAGTGAGTTGAATGTCCTATTGTTGATCTTGAGAAGATGAATGAGTGATGCGACACCCAGAATGACACCCCAGAATGCATACAGAGCGAAGCCTGATTGGTGGTGCCAATTCATCTCGTACTCCCAAGTCATNCTGTAGAAATCAGTTGCTGAACATGAACGGCAATAAAACGAACATACAAGAGTATTCCCAACGCGTTGGAAGAATGATTTGGAAAGTCTAACAGGCTGCGTGACATTCGTTCCAGCAGGTATCTCATCAAAATCGATGACCCTCATCGCAGCAATATCGTCGTCTGTGATGTCGGCAACAATTTGCCGCCAGTCCAAAAACTCATATTCGTCGTTCTGACAGTCCCTGCGAATTTTCTCAAATCCGACCTGAATCTCTTCATCTGTGCAAAGTGTCTTTCCAGACGCATATGTGGATATCGTCCGTAAAGGGTTCAAACATTTGGGTCCGTAATATGTGTCGTATCCTTCTCCAGCAAAAGTGATGTAGTTATATGAAACCGAGACAGAGTTGAGGCAGTATTCGTTGCTCGGCATCAAAGTGCTCTGAATGGTCGCTATACATATCCCAACTCCGTATAGCAATCCAAGCAATACTGTTGTATTGAATACGAGAGAAGCCACCGAGATCCATGACCAGTCAATCCATGGTCGGGTGTGAGGTGATGTGCTCTTTGGGATGGCAAATAGCCTTTGATTCAGCGGACCTCGAGAGTTTTGGCCCTCCAGTAATGGAGAAGAAGAAGAAGTCAGCATCTTCGAGGGACAGATGGTAATGTTCCGGCAGGCGATGAGTTTCGGTTGCTTATCAATCTAATCAGATGACGCGAATGGTCGACTGGTTGGTCAAGAAGCTGGGCACCAATCGAAGCAATCGAGCATATTAGACATCCCACAACATCTCGCAGTAGACTCGAAACGTGAGATGGAATGTATCAGGGAAGTGCAAAGATGAACAATCAAGCTGGCAAGAGCACGAACGAAAAGTGCTGAGTTCTCCGAGGCTCGGCAGGGGAGCTTGGCGATAAGATAATCTGAATCGCGGATCTAATCAAAAAGCCTGATATAATTTTCGAGGTCTTCTTCTGTACCACTCAAAGGCGGAAGGATGAAATATTAAGGCGGGTATATACAGTTATTTTATTACGGACTCTCAAGTCCAATCAACCTTACCACAACTATCCAGAGCGTTCGCAAGCCAATCCTCTATGGCTGCTGTCTTCCATCCAGAAACCCACATGTGAATGTTGGTTGCGTTCTTCTCATCGACCCAGGACTCTTCTGGTCTGTGGTTGCCAAAACGGAAGACGCTGCTCAGATAACAGATGCCGCCACTGTGTTGCTTCTTCTCTTCGACAGTAGTGAAGTTCAAATGCGCCCATTGGAAACATGTACCCACAACCTCACAAGCAGCATTGCATGCATCAGGCGAGGAATTTGGGTCTTTCTCTACAGTGGGTTCACCGACACGCTCGTCTGGCTTCTCCTTTGCCTGAACCTTTGTGCGAGGAGCCTTGATTGTGTATGTGTTGTCCTGCGACATGTTGTCCCACTCGGACCGAAGTTCGGGGAACTTGACCCCAGAGAGTACGTCTCTGAAGAGGTGTGAAAAGCGCAGATAGGGTGGAGTGTTTGAAGATGAATTTGTGTAAAAGTCATCTTCTAGCATCCACAAAGTCTGAACTTCCTCAGATCGCAGGTGGTGTTGAGTGATGACGGGGCGACACCAGATGCCAGCGCCAATGGGCAAGTTTATGGGCTTGTGCCCGCTGAACATGGGTGCGGCCGAGGTCAGGTTGAGATCGAGCTCTTCTTTCAGAGCTTTTGCCACGACGTAATCGCCAAACCACAAGTCGGGTATTCTGGCATCCCATCGACTCGCGAGCCCCTTTTTGGTAACACAAAAGTCGTACATGGCGGCACGCGACAGCACAAAGCCACTTCCGCCATGTGCAAAGAAGAAGCCGTCTCCCTCTTCTTTCTTCATGGGCTCACCACGGCCGAGATATAGTGGCTCGCTTGGGTCAAATCTCTCGAGCCATTTCACGAGGTTGTGCCACACGATATAAGTGTCGGTCTCGGCAAAGACGTACCACTCCTTGTCTGGCTGTAGCTCCCAGGCTCTTTCTATCATGTGCAGGAATTTGTACTTGTCCAAGGCCCAGGCGGCATTGTGTCCGGCGGTTCGCCAGTCGGAGTTGGAGTCTTTCATTGTGCTCAGTGTCTGAATGTCGCGGCCCTCGGCCTGGTATTCTTTTTGCTTGCGATAGAGCTCGAAGTCGGCGTGGTGCTCAAGAAACTCGGGATCGTAGCGAGAGAGCACGTCGTGTATGTGGAGCGAATGGATGTTTTGCTCCAAGTCGGAGAAGAGGAGGAGCGTGTCTGCGCATTGCAGGATGGTGAGTAGCTGCGTCGGTAGCTTGTCAAAGGCTTCGGTGGCGCCGGTCTTGATGGACAGAACGATGTCGCTGATTGCTGACGATGGCGGACATTGAGAGAGCTGTGATGCCTGTGTAGAGGCTTTGATGGACAGAAGGTGGGGACCTGAGCCCAGGGAGGAATGAAGGTAGAGATAGATCAGAAGAAAGACAGCCGAGACAGCGGCCAGCCCTGCCGGCAATGGCGCTCGAGGAAATGTCAAGAGCATTACGCCGACCTGCACGAAATCGACATGGGAAGGCACGACCTACCTGTGGTTGTTTGCCTATTTCTCAACATTCGCAACCCACGCGTCAGGGGCTGTCTGGAAAGTTCGCCGTTTCTTCTCAGCTGAGACGACTTTGACCGAAGCCGAGCCCGCTAGCATAGGATATCCTCCTCCATCTTCACGTCGGCACACCAAATCGATTGACCATAGTAGCCACAGACTCGGTAATAGAGCTGATTGGTTTCCTCAGATCCTTGTTGCCAACGAATCGAATTGCATCGCGACGGATGGAGGAGCAACGGTCAGAGTCCATTACTAAATCCGGCCCGGAGTTTACAGTGCCATCTTGACCTTTGGCCGGCGAGACATGCGACCATGAGTGGCTTTTTTCACATACGGGTACGGAATTTGTTATGCACTGGTATCGCCGGCGCGCTTCTCTTCGCTGTATGCCAGAGCTCAACTCAGTATAAGATGAGACGGGTCCTAGGCCTGAAGATCCATCCAAACTGATCAAGCAGATTTCACGACCCATACTCACGTCTACAATCAAACACCAAAAGCCATGTCTCCTCCTTCTCAAGCACACCGTCCCTATTCGGAACAGCACCAAGATCCAGCTGGACCTGACGACGCCCGCCCTACAGCTATTCAGATCGTCCAGGACTTGGGCCTAGAGGGCAAGCTTGAAGACACGACAGTCCTGATCACTGGCTGCAGTGCAGGACTTGGAGTCCAGACTGCCAAAGCCTTGTACTTGACTGGCGCCAAAATCTACATTACTGTCCGTGATGAGCAGAAGGGTCAGAAAGCCATCGAGGCCATCACCAAGGACGCACCCCAAGGCCAAGCCATTGAGGTAGTGTACATGGATCTTGGAGATTTCGACAGCGTGCGTGCTGCAGCAAAGGACTTTATGAGCAGAAGCAACAAACTCAATATTCTGATCAACAACGCTGGTAAGTTTCGATACGTGCCAACCCCTTCGTTCTGACTAATCGAGCCATACANNGGTGTCATGAACACTCCCAAAGGCAGAACTGTCAGTAGTTTCGAGACTCAAATGGGCAGCAACCACTTTGGCCATTTCCTCCTGTTCCAGCTCCTCAGGCCTCTTTTGCTTTCCTCGTCGACACTTACCCAGACCTCTCGTGTCGTCACCTTGTCCAGCTATGGCCACACCTTCTCACCCATCCGCTTTGACGACATGAACTTCGAAAAGTCCGACTACAACGCATGGGCAGCTTACGGTCAAAGCAAGACTGCGAACATTTACATGGCTAACAGCATTGATCGTCTCTACGGATCTCAAGGCCTGCGCGCAGTTTCTGTGCACCCAGGTCTCATCTTCAATACTGAGTTGATGCGTCACAGCTCCAAAGACGCCTTCGACGACTTTGGAGGTGCAGATATCTTTGGCAAGCTCGAGAAAACTCCCGAGCAAGGTGCGGCAACCACTGTCTGGGCTGCGCTGACACCTCACTTCAACGACAAGGGTGGTGTGTACTGTGCTGATTGCGGAGAATCTGTCGAAGCTGGAGAGAATGCGCCGACCGGTGGTCCCGAGTATGTCAGTCATGCTTATGACGAAGAGGCCGAGGATCGTCTGTGGGAGCTTAGTTGCAAAGCCGTTGGTGCATAAGCCATATGTTGGACGTTTAGCGTGTGAAAGTACTGTGGTCTATGATTCTGGTATCTCAAAAAACAGCCTGACCTAACTCCGCATCCCTTGCGCTCCTTCATTCCCCCATCTTACAATCACAATTGCGTGTACCCGTCTTTCTTGTTCTTCAGAGTCTCGAGCCTCCAGTTTGAGGGCTGCCGGCGCACTTGACTTTGCTGTGGTCGCTCGTGTGTTTTGTCATCGAAGCTGATAAGTCTTAGCCCTTGTTGTGTATGTGGTTGTGTATTCTTTTGTCCGATATTGTAACTTGCTTCTTGCATTCATCGCCTGCTTACCATCAGCATCTCGTGGAGCATTTGACAAAGAAGGAAATAGAGCTAACAAAGGAAAGATGAGATTAAAGATGCAAAGACTTACGTGTTAGACTCGAAGGGGCGAGGGTCCAGGTTTTCCTTCAGCACTGTTTTGCCATCAATTATGCGAATACGAGGGGTCCCCGGGGAGTGATACTGTTGAAGGACTTCGGGCGCTGTGCCATTGACACGCGGCGAGCGCGTCGATGTCGCACGCTGGCGCTCCAAGTCCGCAGGGTTGGGGCCTGAACGTGCCATACCGCTGAACGGGCATCTGCTCATGCCATCGCCAAGGTGTGTGGCTTCTTCGATCGGACGACCCAGTGATGTTTTTCCGCTGTCGGTGCTCTTGCCGCTGCTGCCTGTGCGGCTTGTGTTGATAGACGAGCCGTCGTCGCCGAGGACTTTNTTGCCGTGGAGATAGCCTTCGCGCTCCTCCTCTTGGATTTGCCCTAGCAGCGTGTCGGCTTCTTCTTCGATGAACTCGGAGCCGTCGGTGTTGTGCCATCGTTCGATGAGGTCGTTTTGGATCCAGATGACTTTGCCGAGGGCTTTGACGATGGCGATTTTGCGGTGCATTTCGAGGCGGGGGTGGGAGAGGATGGCTTCGAAGAGGGAGTCTTGGATGAAGCCTAGACATGCGCCTAGGAAGACATAGTCGACATGGAGGGGGTTCTGGCGACCTCTGCCTACGTGCATCAANGCTGTTGGAGAAGTGTGAGTGGATGACGTTCGAAGTTTGGATATGGCTGGATTATCGGATTGGCAAACAACGTACCCGACTTTGTCAAGATATTCCTAGAGAATGTTAGCAAAATTCAACATACGGCAACGATTGGTAGTTACCCAGTAGTCCATTCGCGTGCAGTCTGAGTTGAGTTTTGTGAGGTACCATCTAAGAAACTGTAGAGAGTCAGATATAGATGAACACGGTTGCTGACATCCTAGACTTGCCATCTTTCTGTGCTCGATCTGGGCACTGTCTTCCGTAGGCCAACTCTCGACTGGACCTTCATCTTTGCTGTCCCTTGTGACAAAGACACGAGCTGTGATGTCGTATTTGAGAAGCTTCTTATACACGATATTGACGATAGCGGGAATGACTGCTTTGATGTACTTTTGACCAGATATCAAAGCTTGCACGTCATCNTATAACATGTCTGTGTTAGAGCCGTCAGGTAGACATTACCAATATGACTGACCAGTTCCGAACTCCAGGAACGAATGCAACCATTGGACTCTAGCTGGCAACGATGTGAAGATGTCGCGACGGCTTACGCGCTCCATTGATCTCGGCGGGTCTGCATACATGATGATCGTGGTGTGATTAGAGTTGGTAGTGTATCCGCCAGAAGAAGGGGTGGTTATGGACGATCAGATCTAAACGGCGTATGATGCTAAAAGTCGAGAGGTAACGAAGCGGCGTAGAACCAAGGTCACGGAGCTAACAGGTTTAAGAGAAGCAGGGGAGAGGCAGGCAAGTGTGAAAAAGGATTGATTGATCATTGCGCTATCAGCTCGACCATGGACACATCCGGAGCGAGAAATTGGCACCTCTCACTGACCAAGCCGAACTGTCGCATGACAGCATGGTGCAAGTATTCCCGATGCGACGGGTCGATAGGCACAAGAGACCCAGTCTGTCGTGTTTAGCGCAACCCTGATTGGCACATGGCACTGATGATGCAGGTCGAAGGGAGTGTTAAAGAAAGCTCGCCGGTCTTCGTGGTTGACCTTGTTCCGCACGGACGTCCAATTTTGGAGACAAGGGTCCAAGCACCTCACCTGATATCCTGTCTATTCCATGAGTCTGCTGTTTCCAAGCACGCCACTCGCGACCTATATTCGTTGTTAGGGTCGAAAAGTCGCGAGTATTGAGGTTGCTAGGATTCGCCGTAGCCCTAGCCCAATCCTCCGACAATGATGCAACACCATCGGTGAAGATACTAAAAGCATGAGCCAGGAAACAAGCGATGCAGGGGAGCGAAAAAGAACTGTCGAGTCCATTTTGACCAGGTCACTGGTGCGGACGGGACCATCTTCAGATTGCCGCTTGTGCTTCTACGCTGGCCAAATCCAATCTTTTGACAATCGATCTTCCGCTGAGCGGTGAAACTACTGCACCGAGCTCTCTAGCCCGTCCGCTGGCGTCTTGACTCTTGACAGGCGGGCTCCACCCTTGCATGCAAGTAACAACTGAAACATGATCGAGCAATTTGGCCTAAGCACCACATGGCTCATACAAGGGTATCTGCATGCTACTTCGAAAGAAACACCGCCGGCCGCAGGTGTGGCCGCCATCTTCTCTGGATACGAACAAGACCATGCTCGAAGGCACAGAATCAGGGGTAGACCACTTCTGCATTCGTCAAGCTGCAGGCAAGAAACACACGGGTCAAGCTCGCGCAGAGGAAAAAGCAGATTTGAGTCGACAACCGCACTTGTTGACTCGCCAAGATTGGAGCCCGTATCTCACGACTCTGCAAGATTGCGACCTGCTCGGAGTGTAGGATCCTGCATCTCGGAAAGTTGCAATATTACTGATCCTGCCACTGTGTCTGTTTCCACGCTGCTCTCGCTAGCAGAGGCCAAAACGTGTTCCAAAGTCGTGGACATCGACAAAGGTGCAGATGTAATCTCCAGACAAAGTTGTCTAGCCTGGACCAGATCATACCATCTATCTGGCACAAGGCATGGAACAAGTTGTGCAAGCGAGATGGTATACAATACCGCTGAATCGATACGAGAGTTTGATCAATATCGTGGCGATTGCGTGATTAGTGTTATACTCCAACATGATATAACCATGCCCTATGTTGTTACTGTGATTGATCTGCTGATGCCCTCATGTGTGATGCCTCGACGCGAGGCTTCGACAATTCTTCTGGAACGAAAGAATCCGGCGTGCGGCGTGCCTACGGGAAGGCGGAAGCTGCCTCCCGTGTATTAAGTAGATCAGTCCAAGGGGTCATTATGCAAGGCACAAAAACATCTTCTTCGTCTCAATCCTACCCAATACTTTCGAGCGACTGGCCAACACTCTCTCTAAGAAGAAGCCTTTCCTTGTCGAAGTGCTGGGTTGGGCTGTGGTTTGGACCCTGGAGCAAAAGTTGATTCTGGCTGCTTGGTGCAGTCCATGGCTCGACGCAAAGAAGATGTTCCGGTGCGGGGAATCGAACCCCGACCTCCTCGGTGAAAGCGAGAAATCCTAGCCGTTAGACCACACCGGATTCGTGAAGAACATGCTAGTGAAAGACAATATGTTCTCGTGTCCCTCGGGCAATTCTCCTCACTAATCACGCTCTCCGTGTCGAAGGCACAGGTAGAAGTCTTGCAGCTGGAACACCTCGGAATCCATGCGAACTACGTTGGGCTGAGAAGAATGAGTGAAGGAACGTCTAGTGGAGAAATGTTGAAATGCGAAAATGGAGACGTGGCAGGTCCGTCGATGCTTCGAACCAAGTACGGAGCACGATCTGAGGTTAATTCTCATCGTTGCCCGTGGAGTCAATGATGCTGCTGGGAATAAGCTGGGAACAAAGAGAGAGAGAGAAGGTACCTCGCCTCAACTTTGGCCATGAAGATGGCCTTGGTGCCTGACAATCACAGCAGAACACACCGATTGGTACTGGTGTCTGTCACAATCACATGCAGGTGTAGCATACATGCTGATTGACATGCCTCGATGAATGTGGTGTTCCCGGGTTTCCCCAGCGAACAAAGGAAGCTTGGACGTGTGATGCGGCGTCACATGAAGAAAAATATGGAGATGCTAAGTGGAGTAGTAGACAATCATCAATGGCAATGCAGAGTCTGCTGTACCTCAATTCCTTTGTTTCCCGTCGTGCGCTGTCCTGAGTATCGACACCTATTGCTCCCATCACCAAAGACTTCCTAGTATATATACCGTCAGCATTCCTTTTGGCGATTGGAAGCTATAGTCATTCCTGAACGGCCAAGCTTGGATAGTCACACAGACGGGTACTCACATTGACCATGCCACCCACATACGCGCCCACCTTTGGCCCCGACGATGCTTCGGACGACGACAGCGAGTACGAAGTCGATACTAGAAGCGAAGTCGACAGCGACATAGTGGCCGACGATAACAACGACGACCCAACCCTCGCCATGGTGGCATCCAGGACTCTCTCGGACAAGGCACCCGACATGACGGCCAGCATGCTCTTGGAGCGCGAGGAAGAGCCCGAAGGCATGTTGCCCAGAGACAAGCAGCGTCGCACAACCCACTACAACTCGTCGCTCGAGAAGGCTATGAGCCACTCCGAGGCAAAGCAGTTCTACCAACGACAACGCGCCGAGAAGCTCGACAGTCCCACCATGGGCAAGCCGCGAACCCTCAGCTCCCACATCGCCGCCGATGCCTCAGCCAGCTCTCCGCTTAACCCGCTGAGAGCTACTAAGAGCAACGCCAGCCTGCAAGCAAACGACACTGCATACAAATCCGCATTGCCTGTTGGCATTGCCAATGCTGCGAAGCTTCCTACCAGCGCCGAAGTTCAGACTCCTGGCCTCGGCCACTTCGATACCGCCCGCCACTCCTTCTCCCAACAGAACGACGCTCCTTCACCCTTGATACAGGCCGACCGAGAAGCTCGCGCTCACACACATCACCCCAATCTCCCTCATGAGCAGAAGCCGTTCCTGGAGCAGCAGGGTCTACATGGTGCAGGAGCTGGTGTGGGTATGGGAAGTGGCTCCGGAGGCTTTGCAGTAGACGACTCCAAGGTTACTGCTGAGCTGACAGCCATTTACAGCAACATCCAGAAGGTGTTGGATCTGAGACACAAGTACATGCGCTTGTCGCTCCAGGGCGCTACAGACAATCCCAAGGACGAGCCCGGCTGGACCATATATCCTCCTCATCCCGATCCTTCGTGGCAAGAGTACGAGCAGAACATGACAGAGAGTCAAGACCTCAAGACACCACGCAGACGACCGCGCAAGATGGGCCAGAACATCGGTGAAGATTTCGAACTCGAAGATCTGATGCCTCTGCCGGGCCCTGGTGAGATGGCCTTCCGTCTCGATTCAAACGGCGTCTACCAAGTCTATGAGAACAACAAAGCCGCCGATGTCGACACCCCCATTGTTCACATTCCCACCATTCGCGAGTTCTACATGGATCTCGACGCCATCTTGACCGTTTCATCCGATGGCCCTAGCAAGAGTTTTGCTTTCCGTCGTCTGCAGTATCTTGAAGGCAAGTTCAACTTGTACATCTTGCTCAACGAGTATCAGGAGATTGCAGACACCAAGGCTGTGCCGCACAGAGACTTCTACAATGTCCGAAAGGTCGACACTCACGTACACCATTCCGCTTGCATGAATCAGAAGCATTTGCTGCGTTTCATCAAGAGCAAGATGAAGAAGAGCCCCAACGAGGTTGTCCTGTTCCGTGACGGCAAGCACTTGACTCTGCGGGAGGTCTTTGAGAGTATCAATCTGACTGCATACGACCTCTCTATCGACACTCTCGATATGCACGCTCACACCGACTCTTTCCATCGTTTCGACAAATTCAACCTCAAGTATAATCCTGTCGGCGAGTCTCGCCTGCGCACCATCTTCCTGAAGACGGACAACTACATCCACGGCAGATACTTGGCAGAGATCACAAAGGAGGTCATTGCCGATCTCGAGGCCAGCAAGTACCAGATGGTCGAATGGCGCATCTCGATTTACGGTCGTGACCTCGAAGAATGGGACAAGCTCGCAGCCTGGGTCGTGGACAACAAGCTTTATTCGCCTAACGTGCGATGGCTGATCCAAATTCCCCGCCTATATGATGTCTACAAGAACTCCAGCCTGATGGAGAACTTTGAGCAAGTCATTCAGAACGTCTTCCAGCCTCTCTTCGAGGTGACGCAAGACCCTGCCTCGCATCCCAAGCTGCACATCTTCCTGCAGCGAGTCATTGGCTTCGATTCGGTTGATGATGAGAGTAAGACAGAGCGCAGAATCTACCGCAAGTTCCCCTTGCCCAATGAATGGAACACAGCACAAAACCCGCCCTACTCGTATTGGATCTACTATCTGTTTGCAAATATCTCGTCACTCAACGTTTGGCGCAAGCAGCGTGGTTTCAACACTTTCCTTCTGAGACCCCACTGTGGTGAGGCAGGAGACACTGACCATCTTGCTGCTGCTGTTTTGTGCTGTCACAGCATCTCGCACGGTCTGCTGTTGCGCAAAGTACCATTGCTGCAATACATTTTCTATCTCGAGCAAATCGGCGTCGCAATGTCGCCCCTGTCCAACAATGCATTGTTCCTCGCTTACGAGCGCAACCCTTTCCTATTATACTTCCGCCGCGGTCTGAACGTCTCCCTCTCGACCGACGATCCTCTGCAATTCGCCTTCACGAAGGAGCCCCTCATCGAAGAGTACGCAGTGGCCGCCCAGATCTACAAGCTCAGCGCAGTCGACATGTGCGAGCTCGCCAAGCACTCCGTCCTCCAAAGTGGATTCGAACACTCGGTCAAGCAACGCTGGCTCGGCCACAACTACCACCTCCCCGGCGTGGCAGGAAACGACATGGCAAAGGTCAACGTGCCAAACATCCGCGAGGCATTCCGCCACGAGACTTGGTTGCAAGAACTTGCCATGTATGCTAATCTCCCCAGCGGGCGACATTCACCCACGTTTACTGATTTTCCACTCTAGGNNATTGACCGCTATACCGCAGCGAGCGACCCGTCGCGCAAACTGTCCATATCAAACCTCAAGCCCAACCATCCCTTCTCTGCCAACCTCACAGCACCGGGCTCGCCCACCGCGCATTCGATGCAGACGAACCCTTCGGCCACGAATCCCCTCAATCACTCCGAGTACTTCCAGACGAGAAATGCGCGAGATGGCAATTTCCAGCTTCCTGCCCCGGCTGCTCATCACCACTACATCCCCAACGCGCAAGCTGCCCGAATTTCTCAGTCACCTAGCATGGTCAGTCTGCCGGGCCACAAGCACACGCGTTCGTCCAGTATGGTTGGTCACGGTTCGCCAGCTGGTGGCCCCGCACCTACCTCCATCCCACCGGACATGGCACCCATGCCCATGTCGTCGCTCGACGCATCTGAGCCCCGCTTGTTCCCTGGCGTTGTGAGTAAGAGTCGCAAGGGTAGTATGGTGACGAGCAGATCTGGTGTCGATGTTGGTAGCGAGGACAACAATGTCCCTGATCACATGACGCAGAGTCTGCCTGCTATCGCGCTGGGTAGACCTAGACCTGGCGAGCATGATGCAGCGGTTGTCGAGGATGAGGACGAAGTCGAGGAGACTGCTTGAGTATTGTGCTCGTGAGCATGAGTTTATGGTTTACCTACATTTCTTTGTCATGTATTGTTATGCCTTTGTTGTATTGTGGGTCGGGCGAAAGAGTGCCCTTGCCATTGATATCACATTGCGGTTGGGTATGTGGTTGCATGGGACAACACTCCACCCGAAAGGACAGGGTGGCTGTTGAATGAAGAACGAACAGGAAGTCTCTAAATGTAGAAATTATCTCTATACTATTGATCTTTTTTTGCAATAAGCTCTTGCACACCATTTGATCGCGAACGACGCCCACAATCCTCTACACACTGGCAGGGAAGCTATACTGAGCAATAGTAATCTTGTCGACCTTGAAAGTCTTGTTGTCCTTGGTGACAAGATTACCAGTAGCACCATTCTTCACCAGGGTAGAAGCGAATTGGGGGTCTGCAGCGGCAAGAACCACAGTCGTGTTGACGTAAGAATGCTCATAAACCACACCCTTGAACTTGTTCTGCGCTTCTTCGGCTGTGCCAAAGCCAATGGCCTTGCCAGATTTGGTCGTCAGGGTGGAAACGGTCTTGCCTTCGACGCTGACGGTCTGAATGGTGTTGCCTGAGGCTTGATCGTATTTGTCTGTTTCTTTCATCAGTGGTTTGAGATGGTAGAGAGGGTTTGTTTGCACAACTTACAGNTGGATCTTGACACCCTGGTTCGAGTTTACGGCAAAAGTGTTGCCTTGGAGTTGTACGCCGTTCTGCAGGGCGCTGGCGAATGCACACCATTGTCCGTTTACGTGCGGCTTACCACCACACTGTGCGCCTTGGGCATCTGTAGAGCCCAGGACAATTGCTTGGATGAGCTGGCCTTGATCGGTTCCCATACCGGGCCAGAGAGCCAGACGAGGGGTATCGCCGCTCTGGGTCTTGCCGGTGTAGAGAGTGGTTTCTGCCTCGATGATGTAGGAATTTGTGGCGCCGAGAGAGAATGCATTGCCGAAGCGTATGTTCTCCGAGCCAGAATCTTGGGCAAAGGCGCCTGTTGCGGCAGCAGCGAGGACGCCGAGAAGAAAATTGCGGTTGAGCATTTTAGATGCTGGTATGTGCGAAGAGAATGCAGATAATCACGGCCCGCGTGAGAGGTTCGAAGGAAGAAGGAGAGAAGGTAAAACGAAAGTGCTTGGATATGCGAAAAGGCAGAAGCAAAGGATGAGGATGAGTGAACATATATTCTTCTGCCTTGAGTACAAAGCTGGAGTATTCCATGTCTCTGAAACATCTGGTGATTGTGGTTAGCGAAGACCTGTATAGGGCAGCATACAACCTGAAACACGTCGTCTGGAGACGCGAGCAAGCCCTCGTCAGATGCAGATCATAAAGCTTGTTCCACCAGTTAAGAGTAAGCATTCTGACAGGCGCAACTACAGGGCTGCATTTGATGTCGTTTCACCATAAGATATATCACCAGTGTTTATAGATGCCAACCCACACTGCACGCAGCCGTCAAATTCGCATAGTGGTATAGTCACGGTTTGTAAGGAACAGCGTAACAATGTCGACTACCGAGAGTTCGAATTTGATGCGTGTTGTCTAGGGCAGAACTCGGCATCATTGATCGTATTACCAATTCATATAGCAGGAGGAGGCTGAGGGAGGAGGTTGGGGCATCGAGTGGTGTAGTTGTCATCGTGTAGGGTAGTATCGATACGCTGCTTCGCCGCTCGAGGTTGCCGTTCACCATGTCAAGAGAACATACTATATTGATCAGTGCTAACAAAAGAAGAGAAGGGACGAGTGGCTTGTCGACGCTTCCCCAAGCGGAAATGTGCAACAGCCGGGGTTCAGCCAGACCTCGGCCGAGCTCTCCAGTTCTCACGCCTCCTTCTCCTGTGACAGGCGCCTTCTATGCATCAATCGATGCGAACCACTTCTTGGTCCTGGATATGAAACGGTATGCGAACTGTCACCTCAAAGGGACATTAGAGCTGTATCGGCATGTGACGGGGTGATGAGGTGGATCAAATACCGTCGGCATTCAACGGATGATCGACCGTCTGGCAATTACAGCGGGGTCATTGTTGCCGGCCATGCGTGCCGACTCCCTGTTCGTGTGTACAGTCGGCAATCGACGGTGGACCATGCCTGACCTCCTGTGTCCAGTATCATACGTGAGTTGCTCTTAAAACTGACATCTAGGTCGGCTATCGAGAGCACTTGTATCAACATCAATTCAGATCATTTAGTTAGTATCTCGATATGCATACCACAAACGACTATCCCCCAGTCGAAGTCGACAATGAGATCAAGGGAAGATTGGCCTTGATCACTGGAGCTTCTGGAGGTATTGGAGCCGCATGTGCACGACAACTCGCAGCTCAGGGTGTGCATCTCGCACTTACTTACGCATCAAATCTGAAGTCATGTCAAAGACTTGCTGATGAGCTCAAGAGTGAGCCAGCAAATGCGGATCTCAAGATTACTATCCACAAAGCAGATCTCGCCAGCATTGAAGAGACCACAGCACTTTGCCCAGAGGTTGTCAAGCAACACGGACGAGTAATCGATATTCTGGTATCCAATGCTGGATATGGTGTCAGGATCCAGAACGTGTGGGAGATTCCTTTGGAAGAATTCGAGCACACCATCAACGTCAATCTCAGAGCTACATTCTTGCTTGTAAAGGGTGTTGTCGAAGGCATGAGAGATCAGAGATGGGGCAGAATGATCTTCATTTCCAGTATCGCAGCCTATGGTGCTGGTATCAATGGATGCCGTAAGTCGAGCTTCCTCACACCAACGATACTGTTGTCTGACTGTTCAACCCAGATTNACGCTGCTTCCAAGGGTGGATTGCAATCAATGATGAAGAATCTCTCTTCTCGCTTGGCACCTTACAACATCTCGGTCAATGATGTTAGTCCTGCAATGGTGGGAAGTACTGGTCTGTTACCTTCTGCCGACAGCGTTCCTGGAGTCGTCGACAATATCCCACTGCAGCGTCTCTGTGCCCCTGAAGAGGTTGCAAATGTTGTTTCTATGTACTGCAAGACTGGATTTGCCACTGTAAGTAAACAACTTGACGTCTCGTGCTGTTACTACTGCTCACACTCATTAGNNGGTCAGTCATTGGTGGTCGGCGGAGGGCTACGATAAGAGGTGTGTTTGTAGCACGGCACGTCAAGGCATTTGGTATGAACTTTCACAATCTAGTGTTCTTGATAGAGCAATCTGGTTTTACGAAACATTATTACATATCTTTGCCATTTGGTGAACTTGCAGAAATTATGCTTTCTCGAATGGCAGTTCGTCTAAGGGTGACAGTTCAAACTTATGAATTGAGCCTTGCTTCAGTTGAGCGGCGACACACAAGGAACAGGTGCTCATTGGCCAGTTATGTGAGTTGTGGGACGAACTTCGACTCGAATCAATCGTTGACTTCTATCCAAGCTTGTCGCAATCAACGCCCATGCCCTTCAATAAAGCGCCTTTGACTGAAGGTGCAATCTTCGCGAGCCAAAACCTTGTCTCGTTCAGCAAGAACAGTTCCCCACTGCGGCCAAAGCAGAAGTTTGCCACACCACCAGGGACCAGAATCTTGCCGATCAGAGTGCCTCCGGCATTCCAGACGTTCAGACCATCTCCACATCCCGAATAGACATTTCCAACCGTATCGCACTTGATACCATCTGGGATGCCGGTGTCTGCCATGGCGAAGAGCCGACGATTGGCCAGGAAATCCGCCCCTGAACGTCGAATCACATCGAACGCATAGCTGCCGAGCCGTCAACATGTTTGCCTTTAGGGGTCGAGAGTGTCGACTTACATGGAAGATGCACGAGTATCGTCTATGGTTCCGTCACCATGGATCCACTCTGTGTCTGTCACATAGAGTGTCTGTTCATCGGGAGAGAAGCACAATCCGTTCGGTCGCCCAAATCCATCGGCGACTGCTCTGATACCNCCGGTTTCTGGCTCGAATCGGTACAGCTGGTTTGGCAGCTGCGGCTTCGGGCAGAAGCCTTGCTCTGAGCCGTAGATCGGATCGGTGAACCATACTGCCCCGTCTGACTTGATCACGACATCGTTGACTGAGTTGAACCTTCGCCCATGATAGCTGTCCACGAGCATCTGGACACTGTAGGGNGCCTCAGCTTCCATGAGAACGAGACCGCCCTTGGACGAGTGGTCTCCCNNCTGAGCGCAGAATAGGACGCCGGACTGGTAGTTGACGCCACCGTTTGCCATCATTATGTCGGTCTCGATCCTCTCCTTTGTCCAGATACCTTCGCGCTCTCTTTTGAGCTTGTGAACCATGATACAATCCTTATCAGACTGGTCCGACTTGCACCTGTTACTGGTGACAAATAGCGAGTCTTGGTCAGGGAAGTATACACCAGCTTCATGTGCAAATGGCAAATCATCCTCAAGGACACAACCCAAAGTTGCGGAAGGGCCAATGATCTTCTTGAATGAGTTGTCGTAGATGAGATATCCATGTCCGCTCGCGGATGCTATGTCATGTTGCCCTTGTAGCGCTTTCTCATGTGGAGTCAACTCCTATTTCCTTGTCAGCATGAGAACAAAGCTTTGGATAAACAAACATCGTACCCTCAACGCTGTCAACTTGCTAGCCATTTCCTGGGCACTACTGTATGATCCGGCAATCGCAGGCGATTTTTATCTTCTCTCAATTTCGGCTTCGCAAAGACTTCGGTGGCTTCACATATACTACGATGCCGACAATAATCGGCTTCTGCTGTAAAGCCGACTCGATCGAAGACGACACTGAACGAAAGCTTCTTCCGGTACAAAATTTGTCCAAGGTCTGCTGACAGCTAACAAAGCCGATTATGGGCACAGATAGACGACGGAGTCTGACGGCTTTTGGCGCTCCAGGTCAATAGACGTCGTTCGATCATGAGTTCGTAAACGAAAGCATGTCTGAGTATATCGGTGATTGACGGTTGGATGTTGGAAGTCGTGATCATGTGTTTACAAGGAATAAAGATCTAGACTTCCGGCTTCTGACGGAAATGGGCGGTCTGCATCACAAGCTCAACGGTAGGAAGTTGCGATGCAAAACCTTGCTCACCTCGAACCCCAGGTCCTCTTTCCCCAGACCCCATACCACGCGTTCGCCTTTGTCAAGGCCCCGCATGCGCTCGACCGGATCTCAGGGAAGCCTCATCGATTAAAGTGCCATCGGTGTTTGATCTGATCTATATATTCTCCACGCTTTCGCCTCTAGGGATCCTCCATAGCTCAAGGTCAACAACTCAACCGTTTTCTCATCATGGCGATTCAACTCGAGGGCAACTCCCTTCTCTATACCGTCACCACTCTGACATGTCTTGGATTCCTCCTCATTGGCTTCGACAATGGTTTGATGGGCGGTTTCATCAATGGTAAATCCTTTACCGAAACCTTTGGCATTGACACCAACACCAACTATGGTACCAATATCATCGCATTGATTGTATCAATCTACGAGATTGGTTGTTTCATCGGAGCTGTCACGACCAGTTTCATTGGTGAAAAGTTGGGTAGACGCAAATCAGTTCTGATTGGTGTGGTCATTATGATTGTTGGTAAGAACATGAGTTCAAACTGCAGTCGGCCCAGATCACTGACATAAACAGGCGCACTCTTGCAGGCCACCGCTTACCAAGTCGCTCACATGATTGTCGGAAGAATCGTCAGTGGTATCGGCATGGGATTCATCAACTCGACAGTGCCAGTCATGCAAGCTGAATTTTCGCCCAAAGCAACTCGCGGCAGATATGTATGCGCACAGCTGTCGACCCTCAACTTTGGTGAGTCTGATCGAGCATATTGCCGGCTTCTCTTCCAGCTGCTGACCGCTACCANNGGTATCATGATGGTGTATTGGATCGACTACGCGTTCTCGAAGTCGGACAATGGACGTGCCAGCAGCTATATCTGGCGTGTACCCACCATTCTTCAGTGTATCTTCCTGATCCCCATGATCTTCATCATCTGGGTCATCCCAGAGACTCCTCGCTGGCTCGCCGCCAGAGACCGCAATGAAGAGGCTCTCGAGGTTCTGACCCGTTTGAACAAGGGCAAGATGAGCCAGGAGGAGATTCAGAGCATCCACACTGATATCGTCCGCACTGTGGCCATCGAGAAGTCCATCGGCGCTGGCTCCTGGAGCGACCTTCTGAAGAGCGACAGCATCCAGAGTAGACGCAGATTCCTTATTGCCTGCGCAATCCAGGCATTCCAACAGCTTGGCGGCATCAACGCTCTGGTTTACTACTCGGGAACTCTCTTCCAAAAGAGTCTAGGCTTTGATGCGAACCTCTCTGGACTCATGTCTGGATTCTTGAACACGTGGTTCTTCTTGGCCTCCTTCATTCCTTGGTTCCTGATTGACAGAGTCGGTCGTCGTCCTCTTTTGTTGTCTATGATCAGCTTGATGGCAGCCGTGATGGCTGTTCAAACAGGTCTCGTCTACCAGACTCAAAACAAGACATCTATTGCCCGTAAGTTCTAGTAATCCCACCCTCAACCATAAAATGACTAACAATCAAGCAGATNNGGTGCCGGTATTGGTGCCGCAGCAATGCTCTTCATCTTCCAAGGCGCCTTCACCATCGGCTTCCAGGCCACCGTCTGGGTCTACCCCTCCGAGATCCTCCCTCTCCGTCTGCGTCAAAGAGGTTCTTCCATCTCCACAGCCTGCAACTGGATCCTCAACTTTGTTATTGTCTACATCACTCCCCCTGCCATCAGAAACATCGGCTGGAAGACCTACATCATCTTTGCAGTGCTTAATGCAGCATGGGTACCCATCATCGTGAGTTTCTCAAGGATCTATCCTGTTATTACACGACGTCTAACAGCTTGTTACAGTNACATGTTCTTCCCCGAGACCAAAGGGCTTGCATTGGAAGATGTGGACAGGCTGTTCGTCAAGGAAGGATTCGAAGAGGGGTTTGACGCCGCGATGAACGAGAAGGCTGTCGAATACCGAACCGACATGATCGAGAAGGTCTGAAGGTTGTCGAGTCTGCCTTTTAAGCGTAATGATTCGAGGGTTATCTAGCCAGAACACAGATCTGTATGAGTTATGTCAATTTACTTTTCTTATTCTTCGAGATATGAGACTACGAATCTACTATAACGGCAACATGTTTCGGGACTGATTTTTGCGCATCTATACACAACACCATAAACTCAAAGGTCACATTGGAAACAATTGGCAGGGTGACTGTCAAAAGGCCGGAGGGAAGAAACGATCAGGATGTACACAAAGCTTTGATATGTGGTTTGCATTTTCGAATGGCTAGCATCTTATGGTACGTGACGGTGCAGCTAGTAAAGTTCTCGAGATGTTTCTTTGGCAATGATGTACAAGTTTGTGTGCGTGTTGCGTCGCTGACGACCGGAATTTCATCGAGAGTGTATCTTGTTCTACACTCCGTTGCATCTCCTCCCCAAGGCACCAAGGTTTGCATACCGAGGTTTCTCGTGGCGAAGGTGTGATATGTAAAGTGGCAGATGAAATGTCGAGTATGAAGAAGCAAGTGATGGTCATTGTTGTGGTTGAGAAGCTGTTAGGAGAGGGAGTATGTTGTTGTGTAGCTCTGCTTCCTGTTCGGGTGTTGATTAAGATGTCAAATCCCTTGCCGGATTCTTTCTCCACCAGTGCTGAGAACGGCAGTCCCCGCCATCCAGCAAGCAACTACTCGTACTTTCTATCATCTCTTGCATGCTATCCACGAATACTGAAGGCAGTAGTAACCCACAAGGATGAATCCAAAAATCGGTCATGTTCGAGAAGTTTTTGAGGCAGCAAACGATTTGCTGGTAGTCGTCTACCGTTCCTTCATGAGTACGCCATCCGAGAAAGATATCGACTCTCTTGACGACGTTGAGAATACCCGAGGCGTCCAACATTTGCTCGCATAGCGAGAGCTTTCTGCGACGGTCACCACGCTGTATTCGTCGATGAAGAGCCCGCGGAACAAATAGCGCGCAGCATACGACCGACACTTCTTGCTGACGAGGCTGAGACTTTCGAAAGTGTTGTAACACTGGTTTCCATAAGCTTGAGTTTTTCCACAACCTTGACTTTGGTCGATGAACTCGTAGACGCTGATCAATATCTCTGCGGGGAGGGTTTCGAGTCGAGACACCATCTTGAACCGCGGTTGCCTCCACGGAACAGATGGCTTTTGTGGCGTGGCAGGAAAGAAGAGGGGAGATGATTCGAAGAAGCCACTTAATGCGGTGAAAGGTGTAAACCACGCTCGTCGGATGTGAAGATGAAGCTGTGTATGTTGACTTGTGAATCTTGGAGGTGTGTTTGAAGACGACGTTGTTGGATCGTGACTGTCTACTTTGGAGTTCAAGCTCTGTCCCTGAGATCTGCACTGGAAGGTACTGCTTGCCAGGGAAAGTGCGGCTTGCAGGATGAAGTAGTGCGCGGAGTTGGATTGAAAAGTGTAGGAGAGCTTGCAAGCAAGAGAAGGCGCAAGCCGAGATAGAAAGGGATGTTTGTTGGTGACGAACAAACAAGAAGTGAAGCGATAATCTCGATGCAGGAATCAATGTGATGAGGAGAATACCAAGGATGAGACTCGAGTTCGAGACACACGATCGAGGGCTATCACACGCAAACACTCCACTTCACTCACCTATCATTATATACTCAGAAAGTGGCCCTTCTCACATCCCACTTGTAAGACACAAACGTGAGTTTGGCGTAGTGGGAGATCCCCTGCTTTAACAAGTCGGGAGTAGAGGGGCTATGCCCCAAAAGTTTTGTTTACAAGATTGAGGGTTCGACTCTGGGGGCGGAGATTCTGATTTGGTGTTGATCTTTTGGTTGTGGTCAACAGAGACACGAACGTGGATATGGCTACTTCTCTACCATCCTCCTGGGATCAAGTGTCTACTCACATCATCAGTCTTCCCAGAAGCGTCAGGCATGGGTGTGCTGTCATAAAAACTGTGTATTTTGTTTCGTGTCATGCAATAGGGGGTGAGGATAGATCCGTGGATGGAAAAGATAAGAAAAAGAAACACACATCCCTTCTCGTCCTCAGCGCCTCAAGACACCCCGATCTAATGCCCACAGCCAAGCATGCATCCGGCACAAACACGCCTCACACAGGTAAAAAAAGCGTGATGCGTTCATACAAATCCAACTTTTGATCGTCCTCTCCATATCGAAACCTCTACGTGTCATCCCCACAAGATCTAGATTGGCGATCTTGTATGTGTGGGTATCGGTGTAAGTCGTTGGTGATATATCAACCAGTCGTTGTTCACTCGATGGTGGGCTCAAGAGTAGAACCGGCAAGGATGGTGGCCNNCTGTTTGACGTTAGTACATGTTTCGAAGGCTGCAATGAAGTTCACTTACCATCCAATAAGACGCCAATGCTTCTCGATTCTGCGAGAAAGAGCAACCTTCTCACCGATCTCGGTACAGGCAGGGCTGGTGAGCTGCAGTCTGGCGGCATCGGCCTTGACGGCGACAACCTTGGCACCAGTGGCGGTAGAACCAATGTTGACCATGAGGACTTCGTTCTTTGCGAGCTTGGCAACCTTGGCCTGCTTGCCGTCGGCGGTCTTGACACCGAGCAGACGACGGAGCAGGAAGTAGTTGACCTCGATCTCGGTGTAGATGGCGGGGAGCTGGCCACGAAGACCAAGGACGAAACCGACCAGACGATCGGCACGGCAGAGGGTGGGGTCGACACGGGTACCGACACCAATAAGACCACCGGGGACGGCGAACTTCAAGTCGTTGTTCTCGGCGAACAGCGTGACAACTCTCGAGAAGATGGGCTTGCACTGAATCTTGCCCTGCTCATCCTTGCTCACGATACCGGGTCTGATCTCAATCTCGTCACCGAGCTTCAACACACCAGTCAAGATACTGCCACCAGCAACACCACCCTTGAGGTCCTCAATCTCGGCACCAGGCTTGTTGACATCGAAAGATCTGATAACAATCATGTGCGGTGCGGCGGTGAAGTCTCTTGGGGGCACGGGGATCTTGGAGACGAGGTACTCGTTGATGGCATCGATGTTGAACTTCAGCTGGGCACTGATGGGGATGATGGGGCTGCCGTCAGCGACGGTACCGCGGATGAACTTCAGGATAGACTCGTGGTGTTGGCCAGCAGCCTCCTCACGCATCAGGTCGACCTTGTTTTGGAGGATGATGATGTGGTTCAGCTTCATGATCTCAATGGCGGCCAAATGCTCAGAGGTCTGGGGTTGAGGGCAGGTTTCGTTTCCGGCAATCAGGAGGAGGGCGGCGTCCATGACGGCGGCGCCAGACAACATGGTGCTCATGAGAATATCGTGACCGGGGCAGTCGACGAAGCTANNGGAGAGTGTCAGATACAGCTAGCAAGTGAGGGTATGCGTGTTGACTCACGAAACATGTCTAAGCAGACGGTATGTACCAGCGCATCCGTCTCTCTCACATGGAGGGTCGACCTCCTTGTCACTCTTGTAACTCCTGTAGCAGGTGGGGCGCGGGCACTCGTCGTTGTCGCACTTGTAGACCTTTGCGTTTGCGTAACCGAGCTTGATGGTAATGTTTCTCTCCAACTCGTTCTTGAAACGGACAGTCTGGACACCAGAGATGGCCTTGACGACGGTCGACTTTCCGTGGGCGACGTGACCAATGGTACCGATGTTGATGGTGGCCTGGCGCGAGATGATCTCGGGGGACAGAGGGTTCAGGGCCTTGACATCGATCGTTGACGGGTCGGGCTGCTCGGCGATGAAGGGCTTCTGGACGGCGGGAGCGGGAGCAGACTTCTTCAGGGCCGACTTGGGCTTCTGCTCAGGAAGCTCATCTTCCGACTCGGACTGGTCTTGCTGGGGGTTCAAGGTGGGCGAGGCGGGTGGTGAGACGTCCTCGGGGTATTCGCCGTTCGAGGCCATGATTGCGGAGGGTGCGCGGTAGGACTCGGGGTGGTGTAGTCGGGGAGCGCAAGGGCGAGCGAGGGCGAAATTGGCTATGAGTCTTGCGGGCTCTCGCTGTGACGTGCAAAGTCTCCAAACTCTCAAATTCTGGGAGCGACCGAAGAGTGAAGATGGCCAAAAGTGATTGCGGCGACACTTTCGACCGACTGTCCGGCTTGTCGACGTCGGCCAATCAGATGGCCGGTACGCCGTCAGCACGATTCTTGTTCTTGCCATCCGCACCTGTGTTCGACGTCCACGCTCCTCTATCCACCCTCTCCCCTCGATCCGACACCGTCAATCGCAGACATGTTGGCCAGATCCAGCCTGCGATCCGCGCGCATTGCCGCTGCAGCTCGCAACACCGCAACCCGCCAGTCCACGGTACGCTTGACACCTCTACACACGTCCGCACCTTCAACCACCCCCGACCGCCGGACCGCCCAGTGAATTATCCCAGCTGACGTCTCAATCCTCCAGCGCGCTGCCTCTTCCTCCTCCGGTGCCGAGTCATCCCAATGGGCAACCACCGCCACTGCCTCTGCTGCCACCGTCTTCGCCGTCGGTTCCGCCGCATGGTACTACTACCAGTTCGGTCGTGAGGCCCACGCCATGACCCCCGCCGAGGAGGNNGGTATGTCCCCCACCGCCTACAAACACCTTCGACCATATAGCGCTGACCATTGGCCCCACAGTCTTCACGCCACCAAGTACCCTTGGGAGCACGAGAAGCTCTACAAGACCTTCGACCACCAGTCTCTCCGCAGAGGTTTCCAGGTCTACCAGGAGGTCTGCGCTTCCTGCCACTCTCTCAAGCGCATTGCCTACCGCAACCTTGTCGGTAACTTCATGACCGTCGACGAGGCTAAGGCCCTTGCCGAGGAGAACGAGTTCGATACCGAGCCCAACGACGAGGGTGAGATCGATAAGCGCCCCGGAAAGCTCTCCGACTACCTCCCCAGCCCCTACAAGAACGACGAGGCCGCTCGTGCTGCCAACAACGGTGCTCTTCCCCCGGATCTTTCGCTCATGGTCAAGGCCCGCCACGGTGGCTGCAACTACATCTTCTCTCTTCTTACTGGTTACCCCGAGGAGCCCCCAGCTGGTGCCGTTGTCCCGGAGGGTCTCAACTTCAACCCCTACTTCCCCGGTACCGGTATCGCCATGGCCCGTGTCCTCTACGACGGTCTCGTCGAGTACGACGACAAGACCCCCGCCACCACCTCGCAGATGGCCAAGGATGTCGTCGAGTTCCTGAACTGGACTGCCGAGCCCGAGATGGACGACCGCAAGAAGATGGGCTGGAAGGTCATGGCTGTTGCCGGTACTCTCTTTGCTCTCTCCGTCTGGGTCAAGAGGTGAGTCGCGCCGAATATTGATACGGGACTATCAACAAATGCTGACTTTGTGCTGTNNAGATACAAGTGGACTGTCGTCAAGACCAGAAAGCTCGTGTACAACCCTCCCACCACCAAGGCCGTTCGCAACCCTTCATCTCCCCGCGCTGAGGTCCACACCGAGGGCCAAGGATTCCTCAAGTAGACGATTTCTTTGATAGGAATCTGGTAATTATATATTAGAGGGAAAATCTAGGCGATTGTCTGGACAGCTGACGGGTGACTGCAAGAGGTCAAATGCCAGTTTCCAGACAAGGGTTGTCCGTTGAGGGAGAAAATTCCGGTCCTGTACAGCATCTTTGCGTCCTAGAGTAGAACGCAAGGGTGGACCTTTCTTTTCTATCTTCAATTTTTTTTTTCTTTGTCGTCTGTACTATGAGCCCGGAAAATTCGAAATGCTTGCATGTTCTACCTAGACCGCATATTCTACCCAAACACTTTACGACTTTGTTATCCCAAAATGCGGCTCTTGGTAGACTTTGGATGTAATGATCATAGATTGCCACCAGCCTCAGGCATCAACACGACTGTAGGTGTCTGCGCAGCACAACTTATTTCAGGTAAGAGGTAGGCGACCTCGGTCATTCTGGAATTGGTTTTGTTAAAGTATCATCGCTTTCTTCGCATGCATATCTAGGAAAATAGGTCACAAGTGTTGTGGAAAAGGGTCTGTATACAGCAGCACGACGGTTTTCAAAACGAGCTGGTCGCGATGAGCTCTCCTAGCGAAGGTCAGCTTGGTTTATGCCATGTTAGTCTGTTCCAATAATATCTAAATCGTCGTTGGTCAACTCTCAGCGGTGTCATTTGATCTTAGCTATGGAAACGCATCCTCGTAGAGGCATAGTAGATTGTTCAACTAACCCATCTACTTATGTTTTCCGTACAAATATGCTCTCGTTCTAGATCTATTCGTTTTGACGACCCTGAAGATGATGGTCGAGGTTGTAGTTAATTGTGCAAGCTTCTGATGTGCACTAGTGGCACAAGTCGGCAAGGCGGTGAATCGGGTCATGGCAGAATTTCCAAGCATGCATGAACTTTTTTCGAGAGTTGGATTGTCGCATAAACACACATCNNACAGATATATACAGCAACATGTCGACGTCGCAAGTGAGAATTCAGCTCAGCACGAGGAGTCCGGATATCGAGCTGCCCGAGGACACTGGGCCGATCCTCGTCTCGACCGGTAAGCACCACCTCGAAGTCGCTGCTTTGCGCCAGCGCCATGGCGCGCAGACGGATAGCTGACGATTGTCGCAGNAGCTCCGCAGATACCAGCTCTCAACTCTTGTCAACCGTCTGCTCGAGACCGAACAACCCGTCCCCTTCGAGTTCCTGATCAACGGCCAATTCCTCCGAACGTCGATCGATGAATTCCTTACCGCCAACGGCATCTCTGCCGAAACGACCTTGAACGTCGAATACGTCCGCGCTCTGGTGCCGCCGTCGCACGTCGCCTCGTTCGAACATGACGACTGGGTCAGCAGTATCGATCTTCTCTCGACCACTTCGGCAGCTGGAAGATGGGCGGGCAAGAACTTTGCTGGTGCTGGGAATGAGCGTCTGGTGTCGGCGAGTTACGATGGACTGTTGAGGCTTTGGAACCAGAGCAAAGAGATTTTGGCAACAAGTGGAGATGGTGGACACAGTGGACCTGTCAAGAGTGTCAAATTCTTGGATCACTCGCGTCTGGTCTCATCGAGTGTGGATCGCAGTGTCAGAATCTGGAACTACAACGACAGAGAGATTACGCCCAAGGTTGAGCTGTTGGGACACACGGCCTCCGTGGATAGACTGGCCGTACACACGCCCTCTCAGCGCATCTTGACCGCCTCGCAAGATCACACTGTCGGCATCTTCAGCAGCGACATCAAGAGCAACCCCTCAGCACCCGCACATCTCCTCCCCAACCCCTCAAACAAGCGAAGGAAACCCAGCGTCACCGTGCCCCAGCGCGGTGCACTCGCTCTCCTGGCCGGCCACAATGCACCAGTCTCGGACGTCACCTTCAAGCCCGACGATGCCACAGTCGCCTACTCGACCTCCTGGGACCACACACTCAAGACCTGGGATCTGGCCACCCACAGCTGTGTCGACACACGCGCAACCTCTCACCCTCTGGTTTCGGTCGCTGCTCTGCCTCAGTTGAACTTGGTTGCTGCAGGTACCACTGCCCGTCACATTTCTCTCATCGACCCTCGCGCTTCTGCAACCTCGATTGTCGCCATGACACTCCGTGGTCACAACAATGCTGTTGTGTCACTCACACCTTCGCCCGACAACGGCTTTGTATTCGCCTCTGGTGGCCACGACGGCAGCGTCCGCGTCTGGGATGTCCGTAATGCCAAAGCTGGTAATGGCGGTGTCACCGAAGGCGGCATGACCGGCGAAAGCATCTTTGTTCTCGAGCGCGACGGCCAAGGCGAGAAGAAGCCGGTCGGTGGTGAGGGTATCAAGGTCTTCGGTGTGCAATGGGACGAAGCATGGGGTATTGTCAGTTGTGGCGAAGACAAGAAGGTGCAGGTTAATCAGCCCAGGTAAATTGCCAAAACCCAAAAGCATGAAAGTGTTTTATTTTATACCCTTTTCAACTGTCTCGCTTTCTTTGTTCGGTTCGTAAGTGTCAGTGAGGGTGCTAGCAGAACAAGAGCAAAAAATGACTGCAGCGAGTAGGAGTCGAACCTACGATCTCCTCGATGAGGATGTGGTGGAAGTATACAAAGCATACGTAGTCATCAGCTTGTGTTTGCAAGACGTGTTCTCAAAGGCGCTCTAACCACTGAGCCACCGCTGCTGTTTGTTGTTTGAATGTAGACGATGGCTCGATATATAGGATCCGGGGGTATTTGAGGAGGAAACTGAAGAAGGATGGAAGGGAAGGTATGACTGTAACTTCATTGCTTCTATGGACTACCTGGAAGTATCTTATTCATGGTTTCAGGGTGTAGACATGTGCAATACTATCTAGATGGGCGAGTATCATGATTGGCCCCGAGTGTTTGGGTTGCTTTGCTGCAAGCGCCCATGGCGTTTTCGTATCAAACGAGCCTCTCACCAACACCAACGCAGAAGGCATTTTCACTCTTGGACCTAATCCCACTTCTTGTCGAGAAGTCTCGGTTTCCTTGTCTTCCCCAACTCCAGAAACCTATCGATCCATCATGAATATCCTGAACATCTTCCTGCCTTGCTGTCTCGGCTCCAGCAACCATGAAGTCTCCAACAATATCGCTGATCCTGGCGCCGAGAAGTTCACCACATACACCGACGTTCCCTCTGTTGCCGAAGTTCGTTCCGCAGTCGAGATGACCAGCAACAAGCTTCTACACTTCATCACCACGACCGATTCATTCAACACACCCGCTTGCAATGTACAGATCCAAGACATCATCAAGTTCGACCAACCCATCACTGTCCAATCATCCTGGTGGATCCAAGCAGTCCTCAAGAAACTCTACAAAGCCATGATGGAGCTCGTCCTCAAAGTCGAGGATCACAGTCAGGATCTCAGTCATGCGATGCACAAGCTCTTGATTGAAGCCGACACCCTCGCCCAAGAGTTCGTGAAGCTCACGACTGATCACCCTTACATCACCTTCTTCGTCGAGACTGTTGCGTTAGCTCTCTTGATTCAACTGTTGACCCCTGTCTTGCTTGAGGCCCTTGGCTTTGGCGCCGAAGGTGTGATCGTAGGTGAATAGATTGCTGTCCATGATATCATTTTCCGTCGCTAATTCGAGACTAATAGACNNAGTCTCGCCGCTAGATTCCAGTCTCTGTATCCTAATGTTCCCTATGGCTCACTGTTCTCAAAGCTGCAGAGTTTCGCTGCCAGATATGGAAAGAGATTGATCAAGCACTGATTTCGTTCGGAGGGCCGTGTGGTATGGGTCGGTTGCAAACACGGTAAATCCTGTGCTAAGGGTTTCCCCCTCCTAAGATGGCGCACAGTGCTATGTTTGACTACAGAATTGCACAATACTTCTCCTACACACATGTTATCGTGAGATAGCCTGAGGTGATGGTCTCTCCGTGGACACAATCTCTTTCCGGAGAGCGTTGTGCCATTTTCTTAGCTACACTATGATCATGTTCAGCACACAGGGAGAAGAACGGTTGTCGAGAAAGGGGAACAGGGGTTTGACCACTTGTTCACGATGGTTCACGGCATGTTTGCTAAGGGGGTCATCTTTGAACAACAATGAAGCGATAGGCATCTCAATCCTGCTTGGAGACTGACATACAAGTGTATCAATGTACTTATTCAAAGACTGATGCTCTTTGTATCCTCCTTGAACTCCATCTCCTCACCCTTGCCTTTTGCATCAGCCTTCTCTGTCATCATCGGCTCCCGATCTCCATACAAGAGAGCCGTGAGACCAATGTCCCTCTCGATCTTCGCCTTGAGTGCCAGATCGGCCTCTGCGAACCCAGCATCTCCAAACAGTTCATCCATCTCTTCCAAAGTCAGACCCTTGGTTTCCGGCAGAAGGAAGTAGACCCAGAGCGCAGCGACGACGGTCACGCAGCCGAAGAAGATAAAAGCGCCGAACTGAGACGTGTTGATGAAAGGCGAGGTCGAGATTCCCACAGCAAAGTTGTTTAGCCAGTTGGCACTGCCACCGAGAGAAACGCCCTTGGCGCGCATGCTGAGGGGGAAGACTTCAGATACCACGATCCAGGACACGGGTCCCCAACTANNGAATCTTTTGTCAGTTCGAATATCACCGATTCAATTCCAAAGAGTATCTCACCTGTAGGCGAAGTTTCCAATAAACACCCACACGAAAACGATGCAGACCCAACCAGCGGCGACGTGGCTCGGCCAGTCATCTGAGTAGGAACCGATGAGACCGGCAACAATGAAATGACATGTGGCCATTCCGATCGCTCCAGCAAGGAGGATTGACTTGCGACCGAATTTGTCGACATATAGGACAGCAGGGATGGTGAGGAGGAACTCGATCACGCCAACAACGCCGGTCGCCAGTAGAGCCAGAGTGTTGCCGTCGAAACCGAACCCTCTGAAGATGAAGGGAGCACTAAGAAGGTTGAGTCAGTGATGATCTGATGTTGATTTCAACTCAAGCCTTACTAGNTAGTTGATGGCGTTGATACCGTTCCACTGCTGGAAAGTCATCGTCAAGCATGCTGCCATTGTTCTTCTACGCAACGACGGGTTGGTGATCAAAGAAGCGTAATCATGGAAACCAATCAAGAAGTTGCTCTTGAAGCTCCCATCCTGATACTGAGGATACTTCTTACGTGCGGTCTCGACTTCAAAGTCGCGGAGAGCCTTGATTTCGAGGTATTCAACGCGCACGCCCATATCCTCGGTGGTCTTGTTTCTCAAACGGGCCAATGTTGTGAGTGCCTCTTCCTCCCGGTCTTTGTTCATCAGGTGACGTGGCGACTCGGGCATAAACATCATCATACCTGCTCCGAGGATGAGAGCAGGAAGGATCTGGATACAGATTGGTACCAGCCAAGCGGCGTCTGATTGCGAATCACCAGTACCTCCGATGAAGTTTGTTCCNTGCCGGCTGTCAATTGTGGAGCTGCAAGTTTCTTGTATCGGTATGCACCCACCATAACCAATCCAGAAGGAGATCATGATGCCGAAAGTTATGGCAAGCTGTTGCACTGCTACCAAAGATCCTCGGATCTCAGGGGGCGAGAGCTCGGCGTTGTACAGCGGAACAACCATCGATAGAGATCCGACACCAAGACCAGTAACGAAACGGCCAGCAAGGACGTAGTCCTTGTTGACAGTGCAGGCTTGAACGATAACACCGATGGTGAAAACGCAGCAGGCGATCAGTGCACACCAACGTCGTCCGACAGCATCGGCCAGATAGCCATTGATGAGGGTTCCAACCCACGCACCAAGTTCCAGTATCGAAGTCAGCAGACCCTGGGCAAGACCTGTACCTTTGGCGTAACCATTTGTNCTAAGGTATTGGTTAGGAGGTTGTAAAGACATGTTCTCGAAGCTCCAACTACTTACCGCTCTGATAAAAGAGTTCATGGTCAAGACCTGGGCGAACATGCCCTGATTGTAACCATATACGAAACCACCAAGCGAGGCAAAGAATGCAATACCAGTGGTCTTTCCTGACGCTATGATACCCTTGATGCCTGGTGGGCCTGAGAGCCGAGCTCTCGCGGCGGAAAGGGGAGCGCCTCCATCTACGGGAGCCATGATTGAAAGTGTGTACAAAGGATGTTTGTGGAGGAGGTATGGGGAACGGTTCCCTCCATGTGGAGAGAAGTGTCGAGCCTTTTAATACATGATAACAGTGGGTCCTACTAGGTAGGATCGATCAGCAATGTTGTTCCAGAGATGACCAGCCTCGTTGTTGCATTTTGCCTGAAGACGATTGCCCTTCGATAGCATGCGTTTCAACATGGTTCCGATAATCTGCGGGCACAGCGCAACAACTTGAATGCTGAGGCCACCGACGTATCGTCAGTGCCTCAAGGGGAGTCTTGGATAAATCGCTCGAGTCCGCAATTGTCAATTTAGCCAGATCCCGAAGCCCGGGGCTCCACTCAAGTCTCCAGTTGAGTTGGAGATATGGAGGAGGGAGACCCACACTGTTCATGTCTTCGCATAGAGTTTTAGACACAACAAGCTGCTCTCCAAAGTCTGTCTTCCGAACTTGCCGCAGGATGCGACCAAATTGCAAACTGATAGCTTGGCAACCAGTGCCGTCGGTGTGGCGGTGACGCTTCATGCAGCCTGAAAGCCACCAAACGCTTTCCGCCCTCGTGTTATTCGCTCATCTGTGTTGCCGGCATTGCTTGGTAGCGGACAAGGCGGCATGGCTTGAGGTCGGCGGCGTTGTCGTTGTCTCAAGACTTTACGGCACTTCGGCAGTAAATACCCTTTGTCAGTGCATCAAACCATCTCACAACGTCAACTGGTGTCTTGTACTTGAATATGTGCATCTGTACGGAAAGCCGCTGAGGAGGCAGGTCGAAGCGGTCTGGTAGGTTCGATCCTTTCGGTGATCTATACCGCACGTGGTGTGCCTCGAGGTCTAATGTGCAGTAGAAACATGGCCACGGAAGCTTTCTTAGCCGGGACAGTATTGCAACCTCTGAACCACATTTTTAGCAGTTCTCAATCCTCCTTGCAGCTTGTGATTGTTGCCGGCAAGCTCGGAGTGCTCGCTACTAGGTGCAGTGTGATTTACCCGCCCGATTTCCCGTACGCGTGGAACATGTGAACGGACTTAGGTGTGACTTATGCTAAACTCCGCTCTTTAATGTTGACCACAACAGGTCAGCATAGGTGATCTCTGAGTACTGGAAGAATTCTCTGAACTCCAACATCGTGGTAGTCTCCCATAGTATCTGGTAGACACGTTATTCGATTGTATACATGACTGAGGTTTGACGAAAGTCGCTGGTCTCGTTCCCATGTAGTGCAAGCCCAGTTGCAGGAATTCGAATCATGTTTTATGATTTTCGGCCATCTGGCTCGGCACAACAGATATAGTTGAATTTCACATCGTTCAAGAGCTTCAGCAACCTTCTAAACATCAACACATTGATCTAAATGCATTGATTTCATTGCGGTTGCGCTGCTACATGCACGTCGGTCTGAAGATTGGTTGTCAGCAGTAGCACCCTGCCCGTGTCCTGGTGACGTCAATGCATAGATTTATGCATACTTCCGCCAGACTGGAACGCGTCGACTTTCGCGTCGTTGGTGCAGTTTCTCCACCTTGACAGCAGCTAAACAAGATCAGATCCTGATGCTCGACAACAAAACTCCTTGTGTTGTGCAAAGAGATGATTTGACGGATGACTCAAAGCGGGGATGTCAGGCGCCTCCTTTCCTCCGCATTTCACATCTTACGAGACAGCAACTGTTGATCTCGTAAGCAGCACTGCACCAGAGACCATCCCCTCAGTCATATTGTAGCAACCGGACGCGTGTGAGCTCTTACCAGTCCATACACTGACCATTCAACCGTGTATTGCCGCTCTGCAAACATGACTTTCTACCAGGCAATGAACTTCCACGAAGGCGAGAAGTTGATGCAGAAGAAGCTACGTGTACCCGAAATGGATAATCCAACCATTCCAATGCTTTCACCACAGCTGTCTACTATGCTTCAACGAGCACCATTGTTGGCGTTCGGCACTCTAGATCCTGAAGGACGCCCTTGGACGACCGTATGGGGCGGCCGCAAGGGATTTTCCCAACCTCTTGGAAACAGCATGATCGGTGTTCGAACCTCGGTGGCATCCAAGCTAGATCCGGTGGTAGAGGTATTGGTGGGTCTAGATGCCAAGGGTGAAATTGTGAAGGAAGAGGGAGAAGGAAGATTGCTCAGCGGACTGGCCATTGACTTGGATACTAGGAAGAGGGTCAAGCTTGCTGGAAGAATGGTTGCAGGCACTCTTGGTAGTACTGACGTAGAAGATGGTACAGATGCGAATGTACAACAAGGTGTACTGCAACTAGTCGCACGTATTGACGAAAGCTTAGGTAGGTTCGACTCTCTGCTACTAATCATAACGAGCTAACGCAGCAAAANNGGAAACTGTCCAAAGTATCTCAACAGACGTGAAATATCACCAGCGACCACCAATCCTAGACTCGTCTCAGACTCTGTTCCTTTAGATGAAGAAGCTGTTGAGCTCATCCATAAAGTCGACCTCATGTTCCTCAGCACAAGCAGCGGATCTAGCATGGACACCAATCATCGAGGCGGCCCTCCAGGCTTTGTACGCTGCGTGTCACAGGACGGCGGCTGTACACAATTTGTCTATCCTGAGCTCTCGGGCAACCGTCTCTACCAAAGTTTAGGCAATATGATGATTGAACCGAAAGCTGGATTCTGCTTCCCAGACTTCGAAACTGGTAATTGTCTCTTCGTGACCGGTCACACAGAAGTTCTCTTTGGAAAGGATGCGGCAGTGGTCATGCCTCGCTCAAACTTGGCAGTCCGAGTAACCATCACAGCGGCTCGCTTAGTAGCATCAGTGCTTCCGTTCCGTGGCAACACCGGCGAGTTCTCTCCATACAATCCAGTTGTGAGATTTCTGGCCAGCGAACAAGCAAGTACAAGGACTGAGGTACAAGATAAAAACCAGAATACTGCAAAGCTGTTGACCCAGACACCGCTTACTCCGACAATCTCGCGCTTCAGATTCAGCTTGTCGAATGCAGCTACCTACACCGCGGGCCAGTATGTTACCATTGATGCTTCAGAGCATATGGACTTCGGATACAGCCATATGCGTGATGATGACCCCAGAAGCCTGAATGACGATTTTGTTCGCACATTCACTGTGTCCTCTCCGCCTGGTCTGCCACCTCATCCAAGCAAACGTCTTGGAGACGACGAGTTTGAAATCACGATACGCAAGGTCGGAGTCGTGACTGACTTCTTGTTCAAACATGGGCTAGATGCCCGAGCAAAAGGGTCAGAGCTGGAAGTTGGGATCAAAGGCTTCGGAGGCTCGTTCATGGTGGAGCAGACCGAGGAAAAACCAGCTATTGCATTCATTGCTGCTGGAGTAGGCATCACGCCATTGATGCCCTGTCTACACTCGCTCAAGCTGGATTCTCTCCGACTATTCTGGACATTGCGGGCGGTCGATCTAGGTCTTGCTATGGATATGCTTGAGGGACTGCAAAATCTGGCACCGAGTCTTACTCTCTTCGTCACAGGCATATTTCCCGAGAGCGAAGAACAAAAGTCAGGAATTGACAAGCTCAGTGGCTACGGTGTACAAGTTGCACATCGTCGTATGGAGAAGAGCGACCTTGAGGGTCTGATGCCGGAGATTCAAAGATGGTTTGTTTGTACAGGTACGAGTCAGAGGAGCACTATCCTGCAATGGATGAGTGGCCAGGAGGTGGTCTATGAGGATTATAACTTCTGAACTGTTCGAGCTACCATCCCTATAGCGCTGGTTTGACAAACACTGTCAGGAAGAATATCATATGCAGTGCGGTTTGACTATATCGAGATTCCGAAAAGTGACCCAATGAACATGGTAATTGTGCCAGCTGGGTCCCCCGTGGTCAAGAAACCACGTGCTACATGTAATACATTCGTTCGGCCGAACATAGGAACAGGAAGATGGCACAATATGAGCCAAGAGCCGGGCATGCATGGTAGGGTAGTACTCATCGGTGCTCCTTCACATTGAGTCAGATACCAATGACACGATTCAGTGCGGAGACAGATGTATTGGAGCGGAGAATTGACGGTGAAGAATGAGCCCTGCGTCCAGACGGTGAAGGGCATTCTGGTGGATTACCATCGCGTTTTGTGTCTTGATCCGGACGAGCGAGAGCCGCAAGACAGATCGCATATAGCCAGAAACTCTGACCAATATTCTTTTGCTCGATGAGAAGGATTCTCGGTCTCGGTGTGATGCCCTGCAAGAATGTCACTTAAGACGATATAGAACGCACGAGATTATCATCACAAACATATGCGCTCGAGTCTTGGTGATTAGTGGTCAGCTACATTACATAGCGAACGCAATACGATTCTTCTGCATCACCAGCGCTCTAACCTCAACAAGAAGCATTCCCCGACAACACACCTCTTGCCCTGTGCAAGGTGCCGACTCGCTATTATTCTGCGACCGTTTAGATTGCTTGTGCGCTTGTCCGAGCCCTCTCGTACGAAACACCCACAGCTGGCAATGTAACATCGCAATGCGCTGGCTGGCTGGAACCGCGTGGTTGTCCCGAGACGGGATATGTTTCGTACGTACGACAAGCAGAGTTCACGATGGTGTTGTCGGGTTATGATTCTCAGCTGGTCGTTACAGGTGCGAGCCGCTGTACTGCCGTGTAGGTGAATTGGTATATACGGTGCTTCGCTCCTTCCTCTTCTCCCTGCGATCGTCTCTCGTGCTGTTTTTCTTCCTCAATACCGCAACACCCTTAACACGCCCACATGAGTACCCTGTCCCAAGTTCCAGAAGCTATACCCCTGCCTCGTGCGCCGCCTTTTGAATCACCCCAGGTGGATACCGCGACCGATATGACGAGGCTGGCTCCCGAATATGGCACAAGGTTGTTGCCCACTCTCATCGATGCTATTGCTACGACTACTCCAAATCGTGTCTATGCTTCCATACCACGAGACGATGCAGACATGTCCAGAGGATTCAAAGACATCACATACGCCGACTTTGCACTAGCAATAGATGCACTATCCTGGTGGCTGGACGAAACTCTTGGAAAAGCCGATGGCACATTTCCTACGTTCGCATACTTCGGACCCAGAGATCTTGGTTATGCTGCTGTAGTAGTGGCAGCTGCAAAAGTAGGCAGAAAAGTACTGCTGGCTTCTCACCTTGCATCACCAGATGCTCACCTTTTCCTTCTGGACTCGCTGTCATGCACTGCTGTGATATATGCTTCTGAGATGGCCGCGTTGGCACAGTCCTTGCAAGCAAAATTTCCAGGAGCCAAATATATCAGCACTACGTCTTTGGGCGACTTCTTGACCGAGCCGACTCTTTCGGCCAGAAGCGATCGATACGGATACTCGAAACCATATTCTATAGCACTTTCAGACCCTGTGATGGTGGTACATACATCTGGAACGACAGGACTGCCCAAGCCAGTGATTTGGACCAACGATATGCTGTGTTCGGTCGACAGACTACATACTTTGCCAGGTAGTGTAGCAACACAAATGGCGGGCCAGAGCGTCTATTGCGCGTTACCTGTGTTCCATACGTCTGGCATGACGGCCAGTCTTCTCACACCCGTGTTCCTCAGCACGATTATCATCTTGGGACCTGCTGGAATTCGACCAGACAAACAGACTGTACTCGATGTGTTGCGGAATGCACCCGTCAGCGCAGCATCTTTTCCTCCCAGCCTATTGGAAGAACTCATCGCAGATCCGGTATGCCGGAAAGCTCTCAAACGACTCAAGAAAATCGTATATGGTGGGGCTCCCGTATCCGCATGGGCAAACCGTATCATAGCTTCCGAGTTCAATGGCACCGTGTCATCAGCACTAGGCAGCACAGAAGGAGGTCTCTGGCTCACAGGCTCGTCACCCGATCCAGCAGACCAAGGCTACTTCCTTATACATCCATTCATGGCACCCGATTTCCAGCACACAGACGTAGATCTCTACGAACTTGTCATAAAGCGTACACCACAGTCAGAGGCCTATACAAACTTCTTTCGCTGTATCGACAGTACGCCACCACATCTGGCAGCACATTTTGGCTTTGACAATAAAGAATCTATCAACGAGTTCAAGACGAAAGACCTGTTTTCACCACACCCAAGTAAACCGGGACTGTGGAAGTACAGATGTCGAAAGGACGATCTGGTGCTCCTAAGCGGTGAGGTCAAGATGTACGCTGGCGCCATCGAAGAGGCTATTTCAGCACATCCAGCAATCGGTGCTGTCCTAGTAGGCGGCCAATATCGCAGCAGACCATTCCTACTGGTCGAGCCTGCCACGCCGATCACTACCAATGAGCAGAAAGTAGAGTTTGTGGAGAATATATGGCCGGCAGTGGAAGCTGAAAATGGGAAACATCATGCATCTGCAAGATTGCAGAAAGAGCTGGTGGTCATTTTGGGTTCTGAAAAGGAGGTGACACGAACGCCAAAAGGGACTGTGGATCGCAAGGCAACGTTGTCGGCGTTTGAAAGTGAGATTGACGAGTTGTACAAATCTTGGTCAAAGTTGTAGATACCCACATGATGAATCAATAATAACCGCAATCAGTTTCACGATGTCGTAAGTTAGCAGAACGATCCTAGAATTGGTGGAATGGTCTTTGATTCTCTATGGACCCCATCCATCTTGTAAGCCAACGCCGCGCGCCATGCATCAAAAGCCGTGCCTGATATGATTAAAATACAACCATCTTCTTTTCCCGATCCCGACTGAAAGGGCGGGAGATAATTCCTTCGTCGTAAACACATGTAAAAACGCAAGAGAGCCGTACAGGGAAACGCTCTAATCTTGCTTGAGAGGCACATATCTCTCTTCGATGCCGTTCTTTGTGATGATCATCATTTGAAGACCGTCACCGACCTCAATGTGTCTCTCGACGGCACTGGTGAAGGCATCCATGACCACCTCTTCGACATCCTTTTGAGGCAGGGGCTCGGGAACGCGAGCTTGCAGAGCGTGGCCCTCTCCTGAGCCGGGAATGTACTGGTTCTTGAAGTTGACCTGGTTGTCGAGGAAGGGCATGATCAAGCTCGAGGCGGCACCAGCAGCGCGGCACTGCTCTCTCTCATAACTGCCTACAGGATCGTACGAGTACAGGGCACCCTTGCCCTCCTCATCGATTCCACCGAGGATGGCGTGGACATAGTAGGGGAAGAAACGCTTGTTGTAGAGGATGTGGGAGAGACGCTGGGCGCAGGCGGAGACGGTCATGGGCTTGTTGTGGCGGTAGTGGTACATTTTGACGATGGTGTCGAGTTGCTCGGCCAGGGCGTTGCCGTCGGCGGCGAAACCAACGACGGACAGGACGATGCGGGCACCCTGCTTCTCGGGACCCTCGCCGCCGATGCGGAAGAGCTTGGGGGCGTAACGGGTGTTGATGTTGTAGCCGGAGGTGTGGCGGGTGTCGCCTGCCATGATGGTGAAGTCGGCGCCTGAGATTCCGAGGGTGCTACCACCGTTGTCGGTGTATCTGCGACATGGATTAGAAGATGGCTAGATGGCGCAAGATTAATGGTATGCGTACGGGTAGAAACCGGCATGTTGGCGAGGCCCTGAGTTGACGGTGACTTGAGGCGCTTGGGAGAAGGAGTAGCCAGGCTGGCCGTTGGGAATTGCGACTGTCACTGAGGATGCCATGGTTGTTGATGTGATGGGGGGGGGGGGAGAAAGTGGTTGATGTCTTGTCAAGCTGGTGGTAGCTGTATGCTGCCTGCACCTCGGGAGCTTGGAGTGACGATGCAGCACCAGCACAGTCGGCGCGCTCCATCGGCTGTGCCAAGACGCCCGAAGAGCCGCGTCCCGCTCTCCGTCATCGCTGATGCAAAACATGGCTAAAATTTGGTTGACACTCTGCATCCAGTGCTGAATAGCATCATGTTCCTCTTGTCTTCAATAACATTGGACAGCTATGGACCTGTGTAGTATAGTCAGCAACCTAGATAATCATTCTCAACATAGTCGAACCAAAGTTGTGGCTACGAGACAGAAAACAAGAGATCGAGTGCAAAGCACCGACTGCCCCACGTGTATAGCGCTTTCCGTTTCTCATCAGTCATAATACCGAGAGCCCTCGATTGCGCCTTCTCCCATCTTGTGCCCAATTCTTTCCTGCAACCACACTCTCGTCGCCCAAGTCTCTCGTTCGCCATGGATCTCGTCAACCAGTATGTCAATGCGACTCTGCACTCTCCCTCAACTCCGTCCTGACGCGACTCTCTCAGCCTCACCGACCGTCTCTTGTTCGCCGTCCCCAAGAGTAATTGGCCCCTCATTGCCCCTCTATACCCCAGAATGCACCATCCTAACTCTTACTCGCAGAGGNGACGCCTTCACCAAGCATGTATCGAGCTGCTCCACGGTTCCGACATCCAATTCCACAGACACTCGCGTCTCGACATTGCTCTCGTCAAGAACTTCCCAATCGCTCTCGTCTTCCTTCCCGCCTCCGATATCCCCACCTTCGTGTCCGAGGGACGTTGTGATCTTGGAATCACCGGTCGCGACCAGGTCGCAGAGTACGAGGTCACCGAGCCCCCAACCGAGTCCACTGGTGTCGAAGAGGTCCTTGATCTTGACTTTGGCCGCTGCAAGCTTCAGATTCAGGTCCCCGAGGTGGGAGAGTTCGAGGATGCAAAGTCATTGGTCGGAAAGAACATTTGCACCAGTTTCACCAACCTCGCCGAGGTCTACTTCAGAGAGCTCGAGGGCAAGAAGGCAGGAGAGAAGCTCGACACCCACATCAAGTATGTCGGTGGCAGTGTAGAGGCTGCTTGTGCGCTGGGCGTCGCAGACGGCATTGTCGATCTTGTTGGTGAGTTTGGATGTCTGTTCATGAGAAGATACAACACTAACACAGCGNTAGAATCCGGCGAGACGATGCGTGCAGCAGGCCTCAAGGCCATCTCGACTGTTCTCGAGACCACCGCCATCTTGATCCGCTCCAAGAACCCCACCAACCCCGATCTCGTCAACCTGATCGCAACGAGAATTCGTGGTGTCATCAGTACGCTTGACAATATCCTGCGTTGGTGAAGCTTAGAAATGCTAACATTGCTCGACAGCCNNGCCCAAAAATACGTCCTCTGCACATACAACGTCGAGCGCAACAACCTCGACCAAGCCTCCAAGATCACCCCTGGCAAGCGAGCACCTACCGTCAACAGTCTGGAAGAGAGCGGTTGGGTCGCTGTTTCGGCCATGGTTTTGCGCAAGAACGTTTCCAACGCCATGGACGAGCTGACCGCCATTGGCGCCACCGACATCCTCGTCACCAAGATTGAGAACTCGAGAACCATCTAGACCGATCAATAGATTGTGAAGATACATGCAAGACCAGGAAAGGGTAAACCTCTGGTCCAAAGGCACGTAGGATATATACATGGTGTTGGGACAAGAAACCAGCATCGGCACTGGAATGAAATTAGTTTACGAACATGATATCAAATCTCCACTCGTAAAGGTCCATGTGACGGACTCGGAAAAATAGACTTTTGCACGAATAGTCCAAGTGTGTAGCATGTCGAGAGAAACAAGAATACGATTTTGATAGACACAAAAGCCCCTTGACGCTGAACGCAGCAGTAAAAAACCCCCAAAACTATGCCAGGAAATGGATCTTGTAGAAACAGGAACAGGAAGGAAAGAGAAGCCAAGAAGAACGACCAGACTACTCGCTCTCCTCGGCAACCTCCTCCTTGTGCTTCTTTGACTTTTTCTTCTTCTTTTCCGACACGTCCTCGTCTCCCTCTTCGGTGTCCTTGTGCTTTCTCTTCTTCTTTTCCTTCTTTTCTTTCTTTTCCTTTTCCTCGCCGGGCTCGTCGGGGGCAATGTAGTCTTGTTGTCTGGCCAGTCTCTTTTCCTCCATCTTTTCGCGCATGGCGTCTTCTCTCCTTTGCTTTTCCTGTCTCTCCTTTGCTTGCTTGGAGAGGAAGTACTCTCCGACTCGNATTTGCAAATCGACCTTGCTCTTTTCCTGGGCGGGCGGGAAAGGTGTATATGTCTTTTTGGTCTTGTCGGTGACGACGTGGGGCACGCGTCTCTTGCTCAAGTTGCGCTTCTTGAAGTGAGGGAGGAAGCGGTCCCAGTTTTCGTTTGCGAGTTCCGGGTCCTTGGCTAGTTCGCGCTTGATCATGAGTTCCTTGATGTGGTAGATGGGGTGGATGTTGTTCATGCAGTCCATGATTACACGGCGGACTTCCTTGAGGCCCTTGTAGCCGCCCATGGCCGAAACGGTGTTTCCTTGGACCAGAATGTAGCAGGATGTGAGCAGCTCGAGGGCTTTGAGGGTGCTGCCGTTGGGACCGAGGATGCGTTGTCTGCGCTTGACGAAGCGCTCTTTGTTGCGCACCAGGCCTCTGATCTTGATGACGTCGCAAGCCATGTCGTCCTGCAGGATCTTGACGGCTTGGGGTGCGGGCACGCTACGCGAGAGCAGTTTGATGAGGTCGCGGGCTTTGAGGACGGCGGCGGGATCATATGTCTTTCGTGTCGTCTTGACGGTCATGCTACCCTCGACCAAATCCAGAGTGCAGGCCACGCCCATCTTCTCCAGCGAGCGGGTGATCAGCGGCCATGATGCCTTGAGGTATGTTTCGCGGTATTTGGGGAAGAGGACGGAGAAGGAAGATTCCTCGCTAAAGGTGCCGCCGATGTTGTCTTCGGGCTTGAACTCGTCGATNCTGCGCCGAGGAGAAGAAGAAAGTCAGCTTTGATGTTTTCTTCAAGGAAAGAGAAGGTCGCAAAGCGCGTGGCATACCTTCCACTTGTCGATGTCGTCCGTATCCCAGGGTTTCTCTGTGTTATGTGTTGAGGGCATATCTGCGGTTGTGTGTGATGAACGGCGTGAAAGAGAAAGGACGATCCCAGAATATTTTGTCGCCGCAAATTCCAGAAGACGCCAAACCATCGACTTGCGCTCGGCCTTGGCGCGTCACATGCGGGGAAATCACTTTCACCCCCGAAGCCTCATGAGCATCGCCGCATCTTTACCAGATCATTGCTCGTGAGTTGGTAGACGGTCATTGAATGTGGGATCAGTGCATGGCAAAATCTGCATAGGTATCTTTATGGCCCTAAACCCTCCTTCCTATAATCCAAAATACTCCATGCTCCCCGTATCTTTTGCGGTATACCTTTTCCAGCCCCCTCCTGTATAGCTACTTTTGCGCCTTCTCATCTAACCATCACAATCGAGCTCTTCGAATCATGTGTGGGTTTGTTCAAAGGTCAAACAGCTTCTTCAGCTCGGCAGCAGTGTCTTCGGGTGTCTTGACGCTGTGACCGATGGTGCGAGGGTCCTCGTAGATCTCGTAGTCGTTGCCACCCTTGTATGTCTTGTCGCCGAAGAAGTGGATGGTCGTGTATTCGGTACCGTGCTGCTTCTCGGCCTCGACGTGCTGCAAGCAGTATGTCTTGTCCCAGCCTCTGGGGAACACGTCGAATGAGATTTGTCCACCGATCGAGTAGCTGCAGGTACCGTTAGCTTCATTTGTGTCATCTAGAGTGAATCAGGAGGGAACTCACGTCAAGCCAAGGTCGGGGAAAGCAGCCTGGATGTCTCCGACAAACTTCTTGCGAATGCCGTTCTCGAGATCGTACTTCTCGTACTCGTTGCGCTCCTCGATGCTGGCGTTACGACCGATGGGGCTGACGTTGATCATGCCGTTGCGGAACTCGATAAAAGTACCGCGCTTCTTGGGGATCTCGAGGTCGGCAATGTAGTGCAGAATGAACTTGACGAGCTTCTGGTAGGGCTCCTCGCCAATCCACTTGATGAACGACGCCGATGCGAGGGGGACACCCATGCGGTATGCGGTCAGACCGTTCTCGGCGAAGCAGAAGTCGAAGAGGCTGGTGACGGGAACTGAAGCAGTGCCCAGCTGCTCTTGCTGCTTGACGAGATCGCTACCACCGACGAAACCAATGGCGACCTTGTGACGGAGCTGCGACAGGAGAGCGAGCATCTCGGGGAAACCGTCTGCATACATGTCAGTCTCCTTCTTTTGCAGATCTTTTGATTGGTGTATACACACTCTACGGGCAGGGGTAAGGGTGCCATCGACGTCGAACAGGCAGATGGTGTTCTTGACCGGACGCTGGTCGAGCGCCGGGATGACTGATGCTGCTACGGCTGCCATTGTGATTGAGGTGGATGTGAGACGTGTTGAAAGGACAACAAGCAATGGGAGATGTCTGCTTTTTGGTTGCGATTCAGGGGAAGCTTGGAGTCTCGATCAAGAAAGACCCTGAACACGTTGCGGAATGCGGAGAGGTCGTCGTGCACTGTCAGCTCAGAGTCGATCAGATCCGTCTTTTGCTTGTGACCTTCTCTCCTCTTATACACTGCTATACCAACAAAGACAGGTGTTGGTGTCATTCCTTTCCTACGTGTCCTAATTAATGCGCGTCATCCAAAACTTGGCGCCTCAGCCTCCATTGCAACGGGATGCATTCTGATCTGCGCAACGGCCAGTAACCATCAACCACCTGTTCTCTTCACGTTTCAACCTCTACCAAGTGACTCACGAACACGCGTCCTCGTCACAAGCATTTCTTGAAAAGACACTTGTCAGTAAGCGTTCATTTATGCTGTCCAGCTTGAATTGGAACTGCTGTTCATGTCCTTGACGAGCTGCCCGTTCTGTTCCTTCCATTGATGAACTGCAATGCATGATAACTTAGAACTCTACCGACGAGCGATGCTTCAACCACAAAGGTCAAGGGCATGTGTGAGAACACCCAAGGATGATGTTTGCGGTTGGTATGTGGGCTTGGTCAGGTAAACCTGAACCATGTCCCTGTAGATTTCAAGTCGGTCGAAGTAGGTAATATTGCATAGAGGTGAAGTGTCCTTGATTTGGTAGTCTCTGCTTTCTTTCGTGCACCTTCTCAGCTTTTCGGGCGCTCTATCACATGAAAGCCCCTTCACTCGTTGCATCAGCGCGCACACAAGACGTCAAATCAAAGGCGGCAGTTCTTCTCACATTGGAATTTCCTCTTTCTTCCACAACCACCATCCACCTTCTCATCTCCTCATTTCTATCCTGCGTCCACTTCAGCATGTCTGATAGAGCAGACTTCCTCGCTGGCATCGCCGCCAGTGGTTGCGGTGCTATCTATGGGATCCATGGCGACTTTGGCACGTTCGATTCCCCTTATCCAGACCCATCTCCTCCCGGCCGCGTCTTCGGTGCACACGATCACGACATGTCAGACGACTACTATCCACCACACGATGAGAATCACTCCAACGACAAGGCCCCCGACTCAGAAGAAGCGCAAGCAAAAGAAACCCAAGCACAACCTAATGAAAGCTGCACCTAAACAGAAAATCAGAGAGGAAAGAAAATACAACTGTCGTGCTGAGAGAAAGGCCAAGACCAGAGAACACATCAAAAAGATCGAAGAGTCTAGGAATCGTCTGATCTCTACCTACCTGGGCAAAGACGTCAGCAAAGATTTCAGCAAGCTTTCAGAAGAGTCGAAGCAGAATCTCGTTCGCATCTCTTTTGAGGCGCGTACTCAGACCGGTGAGTCTACGGAGAAGCAGCTCAAGCATCTCAAATGGGCAGCCACGACTTTCAGTACTGCTGCTCTGTCTTACTACGTCCGTGTCTTCAAGATCGACAAACGCATGCGGAAACAGATGAACCAACCAGAACAAGAGGAAGAGCCGGTCAAGGAGGAGCTAAGCGAGGCGGCCAAAATTGAATCGATCGAAACCTTGGACCAGCGCAGAAGGTTCCAGGTATTGATCCAACTGGCGGAGGAGAAGAAGCACGAGGACAAGGACGCGCGAGAGAGCTTCAACAGATGGTCTCTGGCCCAGCTAGATGGACTGTGGGGCCCTAGGTTCACCAAGGTGATCCAGAACCAGCCATACAGGGATCAGAAGAAGAAGCTGCGTGCATTGCTGAACAGACCACTTTCAGAGGTGCCTTTCAACGCAACCGAACGTAGGCTTGTGCAAGAACTTCTGTCTTTACTCATGCGTATTTCGGAGTCCATCGCCCGTCAACCCTGGCCCGAGAGACCAACGACATCGATTGACACACTCAACCCCGAACAGAGACGTGCCAGCCGAATTTTCTACAAGACAGGAAAGGTGATTGAGCAGCGAGGCGAGCCGATGTCATTGGAAGACCTGCAAGTACTCAGCCCTGAAGAAAAACTTGCGGTCCAAACTTTTCAAAAAGAATGGAAGGAGATGAAGCAAGAAGACAACCTCCTTGATGAACTTCGCAAGCGCATCGAGAAGAGCTGGCCACACGGATCCAGAGGTGGAGTCGAGAGACTTGGCATCGAGGAGCTGATCGATTACGTTCGACTCATCGACGAGAAGGTCATGGGTATCTCTTTGCTTCCTTCAACCGACTGCATCCATCACATCATCAAGATCAGCGAGAGAACGTGGCTCATGGAAAGCCGCTCCTCAGCCGACAACGGCTGCACTATGCCGGCTGAGCTTCTCAAGGAGTTCGATGACAACCTCTACATGAAGGACGTCTACGACCACTGGCGAGATACCAACCCTCCTGACTCGGAACGCCTGTTGGACTTTGTCATGGAGGACTAAGAGTGAAAGCACTACCAAACGCTCGAAACATGAATCGGTCTCTCTGGATCATCATCATCCGATCATGGTCTCCACTCCGCCCAAAGAAGTGACAAAACCAATCAACAAGTCAACTCGTCGCCTTGCCGTCTTCTCTTCTCTTCTTTTCTGTTCTCTTCTTTTCAGGTAAGTAACTCTGATCTCAGAACCACACATCTTTGCTGACCAGGGCCGCAGTAAATTTCACAGCAACCAAAACGGAAGAAACGAAACAAGAAGCATTTCCTTTGTACAAAGCTTGATACCCAAAACCTCTGCGTTCAGCCAGCCCACAATCGCTTTATCTGGCAAGAGTTTGCAGAGATCAATCATACCAGTGCACAAAGAATGGTTATCGAGGCAGACGTTTCATTTCGTAGAGAGAGTTATAACAAGAATCGATCCACTGCTTCTAAGATATCTGTGTTCTCCTATGCTGCTGTACGACCTCTGTTTGTATAAACATCTTGCTAGAACTCCTCCATGATTCTGATACCCAGAATGCCCTCAGACTGCTACTGCTCTGAAAATCTTGGTCTATCCAAAAGTATGCCTACTGCGGAGCACAATCTGGGTTCATCCGAGGCGGGGCCTTGGGCTCCTTCGACTGCTTCTCCTTCCAAGTGATGTAACGCTTCCTCGCCTCAATATGTTCATCGAACTTCGCGACAAACTGGAGCGACTCTCTGCTAGGTTCCTCCAGCGAAGGCACGGTGCCGGCAACAAGCTCAGCAATGTGCAGCTGACATTTCTTGTCCTTGGGTAGTAGAGGAGCGCCTAGGACCATCATCTCAACCTCTCTGACTTCCTCAATGACCTCTTCAAGACGCCAGCCTTCGAGCTTTGTGACCTTGGGTGGTGTGAAGCTGGGATCGATACGGCGGCGGAGCTCATCGACGGTGCGGACGTATCCTCTTCGCCCCTTCCTTATCACTTTGGGCAGACCTGGCTCATTCAGATCCTCAGCAATACTGTCTGTGAAACGTGCGATGGTGATTTGAAACTCGCTAACGAACTTGCGATCGACATCGTTGGAGATGTGAGCTGGCATTGATGATGCCGATGACGACTTTGATTCCGGTGCAGGAACTCTTGGGGTGGCCGAAGTCTTAGGAGCTGTAGGGGTTGCGTCTGAAGACCTGGTTGAGGTGTTCGTCTCGAGGGCAGGTCTGAGAAGAAGCTTCTTCTCATTGTCTGTCCAGTTGCGACCTGCTTGAACATAGTCTTGAACAGAGACGCCGGAAGTAACACATTCCCAGCTGTCGAGTCGCCAGATGTATGCCTTCCAGTCACCCTGTTGCATGGTATCGATCACATCGCTTCGAAGCCAGAACGAAGCCGTGCTGATCTCTGACGCCCATTTGAAGGTCGTAAGCACATGAATACCTGATTCTCGAATTCTCTTTGCCTGTCCGCTGCGATTGCCGTGTTCGTCGTCCAGTAGTGTGTTTCTCAACTTCACAGGCAGTGATCCCTGTTCATGGTCCCAGAAAACTAGCGTAAACGTGAGTATATCCAAGGAATCTCCAGCTGGCTCTGGGAACTTGATGCTGTAGTTGCGGACAGAATCAAGGCTTGGAATTAGGCTGTTGCTGAAGAGTAGACCGAAAGGAAGCAAGTCTTTCCAGATACTGACAAGGGTACTCAGCTCTGCAATCCAGGGTTTGATGCATGTCGAGATACTTAGATAGCTTCTGCGGGCCTCTTCAACCTTCAAGACTTGGTGACGAGGTGCTCTGGCATTAGTCGTGATGTTGCCTGTTAACAGATTGCCAAAAACATCGGAAAGCCAGTGTGCAGGGCACCCGTTCTTGTGGAAGTGATTGGCAAGCCTGAAGAGCATGGTCAGATTCAATGGAGACAGCACGACTGCATCGCTGATGTGCGCAGGGCGAGGATACGGTAGGCACACTTTCAGCAGATGTGCTTGAAAGTACTTCTCGTTTGCATCACGAGTCATGAACTTATCGCCACGCAACGGTATGGATGGACCTACAGTCCACAAAGTGTAGCCTTGCAGGTCGAACACTGGAAGCTCCATATCCTTGAACAATGGAGAATCTTCTCTCGCATCTACAGCCAGATACTCTGCTCTCGCCATCGCAGCGAAATATTCTTCTCTCAGCTTCACGGCAAAATACTTCTCGACGCTCTTCACGTCTGTGAGTAGGGTATACTCTGCCAGGAAGCGATTATACGTGCCGAAAGCAGACCAGTTCAGTGAGACACGAGACTTGATCGCGGAGCTCTCATCCGAAAACAAGATCGGGGCTGCGTAAAGGATTGTACTCAGATCACCGCCTACATAGTCGCTGCGACCAGTCAGTACGCTTGCTGGGGAGAAGGGTAGAGGAAGAACTTACGGAACATTGCTCATGTGGATGCGGTTGTAGGTCCTGGGAAAGAGTGCTGGTTCAAATTTGCCTTGCTTGTCGCCTCTCGAAGTCCACGCGTCGTGTTGTAGTCGTTCCAAGCAATCATTCATTTCTCCGAGAACAACTTCGACACACAATCGTTCGCGCAAAGTACCAATCGCCTGTGAAACACTGCGGAAGAACACGTTGGACCAACCCCAAAAACTGGTTATTCCGAAGCCCTCAGCGACCTCTTCACTCGGATTGAAGAGAGCTTTATGCACAGCAGGCGAATCAAAATGGAAGTCTGGAGGATCCGAATGTGGAGAGTCACTGTCCCGCACCGAGTCCCAATTGATGTCCACCAGTGTTACGTTCGGCTTCCAGGTGTTGTCAATGATGTTCAGTGCCTTCTCATCAGGTACTGAAGAGGGTGTGCTCAAGCCTGTACTGAGGATTGCGGCCAGGCCAGCCAGCTCTGTCTCACAGTTCGGTAGTTCTAGATCGTCCGGCATGAAGATACCATAAGTCCAGAACAGCATGTCATCATACTCACAGAATGTGAGTGGCTCTTCAGGCTCATCGAGAGTTTTCTTGCGGCGCGTCTTGCTGATGGTGGCATTCTTCAGGCTACTCTGGCGCAAGTTGCGAGTATTATACTTGCCATTCAGACTTGTCTTCCATGCATGCAGATGGTGTAAAATCGCCGGCCGTTGATGCTCTGCCAAGTAAACCCAGTCTTGAACAGGAGACTCTCTCTGGAGTCCGTCAATCAAAGCAGATATCGTCTGCTGAAGCTTTTCGTATGCGAAAGATGGCATCACGTAGGAGCCGAAAACGTAGATCATGCAAGCCAGTGCTTCTGTGTCATCGGTTTGGTCGAGCAAATGCAGCATTATGAGGACTCTGGCGATAGCGGTTGCATTGAGGTCGATCAGAGTGAAGTGAAAATGTCTGCTGCTGGGAGCCTCCCCTTTCTCTTCCGATGAAATCAGAGGAATCAAAGTTGCAAAAAAATTACGAGCGTCGCCGATGCCCGCGAACAACCAAGACAGATCCTGTCCTAGAGCACTCATGGGAGGATCCAGCTCTGGGTGCGAATTGCCATGCCCTACAGGGTAGAACTCCGAAACAGTTGTCCTAAAAGCATCAGCAAACAGCCTAGGTACCGTCACACAGATGACTCACAATGCTTGCCTATATCGAGGAAGTTCGTCCAGGACTGTGGACCAGCAGTTAGTGCCATGGCTCAACGAAGACAATGAAGCAATCGTGTCACGCAAGGGATCGCCGGGAGAGAGTTTCGAGACTGGACGAACTGCATCTTGCAATTGAAGAAGCCGAGCTTTGACTTGTCTCTGGAACAGCTTTTGTTTCTTCGGACTGGCGTCTGTCTCGTCTTGCAGAAGCTTGAGAGCCTTCTCGGCATAGAGGTCAGTTCCAGAGTAGTTGCCCAACTCGAACTGCACAGCCGAGAGATTCGACAGTGGTGCAGGGTCGTCGGGTGTCAAGGACATAGCCTCGAGATACGCTTTCGCTGCCCCATCGAACAGGCCTTTGTGGTACAGGTCATTGCCTCGATTGCGAGCATTGGTAGATTTCTGTCCAGGAGTTAACGGGACAGAGTCAGAAATGTCTACTGTCGTCTCAGTGCTCATCTGAGAGTGTGCTAGCGCTGCATCGTCTGGAGGACTATCAGGAGACTCATTCTGAGCTGTGTCCTTGGCTTGCTGCTCCATCTTGATCTCGTTTTCAGCGGTCCTCCACGTGAGCCTGAGATCATCTTCATCGGAGTCGGAGTCATCTGGAGAGTTGTCATCGTCGTCATCGTCATCATCTTCGTCTTCATCATCTTCATCGTCTTCGTCGTCTTCGTCGTCTTCGTCGTCTTCGTCGTCTTCGTCGTCTTCGTCGTCTTCGTCGTATTCGTCTTCGTCGCCAAAAAAGTCGAAAGGATCGAATCCCAGGGGCGGGACTCCAGACTCTTCGAGTATTGAACCAAAGCCGTTTGCTTCGAGACCATACATGAAGTCACCTAGAGCGCTATCACCAAAAGGCGACATGTCAATCGAAGGTGGCAACATTCGTCCAGGTCGTTGGCGATTTCGATTAGATGTGTTGCTGCGTTGGTTAGAATTGCGGATTGCAGAAGGACGAGGTTCAGAGTCATCAGTCTCCCAATCGGAGCCAGAATCTGAAGTGTCCGCCATCGATGGACTCATGAAACCGGTGTGATTCTCGTCAAGAAAGCACAATGGAAAGAGCGAAGGAGGTCTGCGTATCAAAAGTGCGTGTTTGTTTGCGGTTCGATTGCTGGTCTTGGCACTATATCCGGACCAGGTTGTAAACACAGTTAAGTCTTTTGAGGCAATACCTATTCGATAACCTCCGCAGTACTAGCATGGAAAACAACTAGAAACGATTTTGTCTCAACAACCAATCTACAGCCCGATCCACTCTCAAACCACTGCCCATATCTGTGATCCGTAGCGCCTCCTTTGCCTGTGCATTCGTAAATCCGATATCCATGATTTTGCCAATGGCCAATCCACTCGTGTCCTCGGCAAATCCCTCAAAGCTGAGCATACTCAGTCTGTTGAACGTGTCGACTCTATGTTCAATGATCGGGCTCACTTTCCTGGGCGACCAAGACATGGGCTGTGTTCTCCAGCCGTCTCCGGCATCTGTAAAAGGGGACCTGGGAGAAGTGGGGGTCGACAACCTCCTTGAGATTGGTTTCTTGTGTACCTCTGGAGCGAGCGCGCTGTCATGACGACTCAGAGCACATGATGGTTCTTCGATCTTCCTGCTTCCCAGGGACATCTGGCGATAAGCAAGGTTCATCTCCGCAGTCTGACGCTTTCGAAGCAATGTCTTGGTGACATCCTTTGACTGAGTACTAGCTGTGGAAGCAAGAAGCCGTTCTTCGTAAAGCTGAGAGACAGGTTCACGGAAGAATCTCCGCCGGGTCATACCAGAATGTGGAGGTGTCCAGTCGGTCCAGTCATTCAGGTGAGCAAAGTCGAGTCCGGCACTCGTGTCGTCAAATCTTGCGAGCTCCAAAACAACCGATGGCCCAAGAGACAAGATATAAGCTATCCATTCTTCGACAACCCGGCCTTGTATCTTCGGATCCATGAAACCACCGCCGGTATGGCGGAAGATGCCACAGCTTTGTGCTTTGCTTGTCTCCCCTTCGTAAGCTTGCATCAAAGCGAATAGACACTCCCAGATCTCTGACATATCGTAGAGCTGCTCAGCAGATAATCCAGAGCCATTTCCGACCGCAAAGTGTTCCGGAGCGTTGAGCAAGATTCCATCAATCTCGATTTCTGGACCAAAGCTCAGAGTGGCAGCACAGCCTTTCTGGTGTGCTAGAACACCACCCTTGAGCCAGTCAGTCTGGCCTTTGAGGTCATTTTCCCGGCCTCTGTCGCAACCGAACATCTTGCAGAAAGACCATACACGGTATATAGCGTCCTCGAATCTGGTGGATCCTTCCGTCATAAGACTAGAAACAGTCTCAGGACGGATGAACGACTGACACTTCGTAGCAATGACGCCCTTGAGTTCTCGGACGATTAGCCGGTCATGCACTGTACACGACATGTAGGCTGAAGGGGAAATTTCGGTGTCGTCGAGGAAGTCTGTAGGCATGAAATTGCCGAATGGAAATGGGGAGAGTTCCCTCAACTCCCATGCTGGTGGCGAAACGTTGAACAACGTGGATTTCATGAGTCTTAGCTTGTTGTTTTCAAAGCATTTCCTTGTTGTTTTGTTTACCATCGACAAGGATTTCAGGTCCTCAAAAGACGCCGAATAGGCCATGATCTTCAGACACAAAGCCTCGTGCTCAAACGTCAAAGCTGGTGATTTCTTTGCGGACGATACGCTCCAGGACAGCCACATAGATCCTATATCAGGTGACAATGAGCACCGTACGCTTGAGACTCTACGGACGTCGTCTTCGTGGTCGTGCGAACTCTGTTGCTTCCTGGGCGGTACTGATTGGCGGCGGACTGGTAGGTCTGTCACCGCAGGCAACGGTTGGGACGCACTCAAAAGGGCGGGCTTGACCCACTGGCGTTTACGTGACTTTTTGGGCAAGGTAGGTACCCGAGACATGTTGTCGATAACGGAGTCAAACTTGAACGGTTTGCAGACATTGTCATCATCTGATGGTGTTGCTGAGAGTCTTTCGGAAATCGTACTCAGTTGCTGTTGCAGATCGTAAACAGCTTCGCTGAATGTAGGACTCGGAGCGCGATGACTTGAATTGCTCGTGACCTGAAGGTACTGAGTCTCAGAAGTAGCACAAGTGATGTTACTATCTCCTGATGCTTCATCGAATATGCCCGCTTTGACAGGATCGGTGATGGAGAAAGCGGCACTTGCAGATCGCTTGGGCACATCCAAGTAGTTCCAGTGTGAGTGCTGTACCATTTCGTTTGGAGATTCTGCTTCTACACTTGTCATAGACGAGTGTCTGCTGTAGCAGGAAACGATGTCGAATATATCATCTTGGTTGCTCGAAACTGAAGATCTACTGTTGCCACGACTTGACATAGATTTGACCTCGCTTCTTTGCGTCTCTACCACAGGACTTGTAGTACGAAAAGCTGGATGGATAGAGCTTTGATCCAAGCTCGTGGTCTGGGATGATGATGATCTGCGGGAGGTGGTTGCGGTAGTGGTAGGAGTAACACGGGCAGGCTTCGACGGCTGAGGTGGTATAGGTGCGTCGTCCCCCAGGATCTGCCGTAATTTACTGTTTGGGATCCTTACAGATAGTCGTGGTCGGCAGGCTCTGTCTGCCTTTGGTGGTGATGGGGCGATGGTTGGGATTTGGAGTGTCGCTTCTGACTTCCTTTTGCCATTCTTCTCCACGTCCCATAGAGCCACTCCGTCACGCCAGACTCCGATTCTGCTATCGAAGACTCCTTGTGCACGACTGCCAGATCCAGATCCGGATGCGCAGTTGTTGAGAGGAGAAGCAGAAGGGCTTGTGCCAATAGAACTTTTTCTTCCCNNAATAGCTTGCAGAATCTCCTCATTTGGAGAGACAGCCATAGCAATATCCAGAGCCGACATTGAGTGTGCAGCCACGCGTGGCGGCACTGCGTGCAGAATCGTCCCCTCTTGGTTCCTTGAAGGATATCTCAGTTTGCTCAACCAAGAACTCTTCTTTGGGCTGGTAGGGGATGCTGTTTGCTTCGTTCTAGGGGTCAAGTCTGCCATGGTTCCATAGAGAGACAATGTCTTTGGTGTAGAAGTGATTGTTCCTCGCCTAGAGAAGATAGACACACTTCTTCTACACTCGTTGTCAATCTGGCAAGAAGCGCGGAAATTTGGTTGACGCTCCATAGTAAGGCTGACGAAGGATGATATCTGATGACCTGGCTAACTTGGTCGGACCTGACATGCAATCTGCTAGATTGAGCTCCAGACCCGGAGTGAAGATTCTTGTGAGACTGCCGGTATTATGTCTCTCAGCAATTGGAAAGGTATGACATGACCGACAAGCAAGGTGACACTGGGAGATACGGCAAGATAATGGAAGAGACGGGTGCGAATATGGAATGCTGTCCCGCCAATACGTCCACGAGCTTCCCGCAGACTGCAACATCCCGGCAGCCGAAGCAATCAAGCACCAACTAGGTTGACAGACATTGGACGATTCCGCAGCGTCGACAAACATGGAGGGTTGGAAGTACACGCAGAGTAAGCTGAGAGAATGGCCGAGGCCGATCTCCCCGCTGCTGCTCCGAAAATAGACTCTTGGGAGTGTTGCACCGGGCTCCCCACTCCGCTTGTGGACTCGGAGTTTTTGTGCGCCAATCTTTAAAAATCTCCTGGTGTCTTCTTGCGAATATTCGACGAGGTGCTCAAATACTTGGAAGAGGGTCCATACTATATTCATATACAGCGTAGAGTGAGACACGTAGAAGCTTACTGCAATATTCAATAGCAAGGCAGAGATAGCGTGAATCTCACATTTCCAGATCGGGCCGTGCATACACTCCTGCAGCTAACGGAACCTTCGTCCAGCTTGCATCCATAAGGCGGGTATTCGAAAATATTGATCAACGTTTGGGGGTCCCGGGAGCTGTATTTGGCAATAGGATCGGAATTGCAACGTGCATCCTTACTCCTTGCTGTTGTTCTTGTTGGTGTTGGTTTTGTCCTCTGATCCTAGGAGGACAAGCAACTTGTCAGCAGATAAGGCGCATAGTGTAGGGGCACCAACAGCTAACTTTCAGAGGCTGCTTACCACAGCCTGCTGCTCGACTTCTGACGCCTCGCCATTCGTCATTTGTGTTTCGGAGGACATGTAGAACGGTACCATGCACGAGCGGTTGGTGTAGTGGCAGCCTTTGAGCGCTGTTCGATAGAGAGTATCGACACTGCTGTTTTGCTAGAGAGAGAAAAAGCTCAGAGGTGTTCTGGGAGTGTTTTTCATGGGCTTTTCACTAGTGACCTGTAACAACGTCAAGTAGAACTGATCATTCCAATTATTATACATGAGCTATAGAACTGTGCTCCACTGCCTCAATCCTGCACATAGCCTTCATTACCAGCGAGGCAGTGTAACAGGCTTCTTCTCCAGATTGTGTTTTGCGTAATTTTCTATGGCCTGCAGATTATCCTCTTCGTCGCTATCGTCGCTTGATGAAGAACTGTCGTCAAGGTGCTGCTTGGAGAATTGCATGACAGGCTGCGTTGCTGGTCTGGGTATTGCGTTGTTCCTGACCGGTGATACTACCGACCGGTGGACTGGCTGGGTTGCAGACATGTCAGTAGTAAAGTCGTCGAGCATTTGAGTAGCTGCGTTCGGATTCTCTCTCTCCCTCTTTCGCTGACGTTTCTCGGCTGAACGTTTGACGCCTTGCTCAATCATATGGCTCAAGACTTGCTCTTCGTTCATGTTGACCAGATTTGATCGTTGCCAAAAATCTTCGGGGGCCATGTTTGCGGCATCGACCAGTCTCTGATCGGCCTGGCGAATAAGCTCGTCCGTGTCCTGCGCATTATCCCAATCAAACGCGTACGGGTTGATGGTTCGGCCCGCGTTTGCATTGCTGGCCGGCTGACTTGAAGCCACTTTGCCAGCCTTGGACATAGGAGCAGCTTTCTTAACAGGCTGGGTCAACGATGGCTGCTTAGTCTTGCCTTTCTGCGAAGTGGGAGTAGCTTGAGAGAGCGTCCCGAAGGCTTGACCCTTCTCCAGCATGTTCTTGGTGGCCTCGTCCAAGCCAAGGGACTGCCTTTTTGGTTTCGACTGCTTCTTTGATCCTTTGGTGGAGGCCTTGGTCTGGGAGCTGGAGGATGTATCCTTACTATTGTCGTGTTGCGGAGCGCCAGTCCCGTTCGTGAATTTGGCTGTAGTCCCACAACCAATTTTGAGTGCTCGTTCCGACGGGTATCTCAAGCCTGAGCCCCTCAAGATATCTGGAGGTGCAGTCGATGGTGGTGGCTTGAATAAATCTGCATCGGCCAATATACGACTGCTTTTTCTGCGCCCTTGTCCTCTACGTGCTTTTTTTGCTNNGCTCGATCCGACGTCTGGAGACTCTCCCGAGGAATGGATCGCAGGAGACGTGAGAGATTTGCTCTGAAGATCCTGCGATCTTGAAGGAGATCGCTGCGGAGGCGCTCCTGCGTTGGAGGCGGTAGGAACCACATTGAGGGCAGGTGAACTGATCTTCTCGACTGCTTGTTCTCCAATGATCTTTTCTTTCGGAGTGGCGGCGAGATTTTCGGTCTTTGGCTGAGCGTCTTTTCTAGGTTGAACAGCAGCATTCAAGTGGGTAGTACGCTTGATCTTGTACACTTTGAAAGGACCAAACGATCCATCCTCGCGACTCGGGAACGGCATCCCTCCATCAGACTTCTCACTAGGCCAGTCCTCGCCCTCGATCTCCCTGGAATCGCTTCTATAACACTCGATTTCCTCGACATCATCCTCGTCTGAGTGGACATGTGGTTGGTATTTCTCCTCGCCGTTGGTTACGTTGTTGGCGATGTTCTTTGCGGCTACTGATGGGATGAATACAGCTTCAGATTTTTCCGTTATGGGTTGTTTGAGGGCGTCGTCAACAGCTGCTGTTTCATTGGCAGTGTCTTGGTCCAACGAAGATACGCTAGCTATGTCCTGCGCTCCAATTGATGGACTTGAGCTTGGGAATACTGGGGTGGAATGAGTCGCATGTACGATCTGATCCTCGTCCGGCATGGAGACATCCTCTTCATTGTCGCTAAAAACGTTCTCAGCTGTGCTCATCTCGAATCCAGGCATTTTGTTTTCTTGTGGTGTGCTCAAAATTTCGCGCTCTGCGGGTATATCAAATATCTCTTGACGTTCACTGTTTATAGCACGAGTTGTCTCAGAGATTGGGATGGAAGGCATAGTCGACGCGAGAGGTGTGCCCATTTTTGTGGCACTTCGGAGAGCCGCACTCCCATGAAGGACCTTAGCTTTGAGGGTCGGCTGCATCGAAGCAACAGGCGGACTACTCCTCAAAGCGCTTGCACTAGGAGAAAACAACGTTTGCGAATTTTGCTGCAGACTGCTTTCTGCAGTATTCATCTGCGGACCTTTGACAGGACTGCTGCTGTGCATGGCTTCAGAACGCAGCATCTCTTCGTCTGTGATGTCCTTGTCATCATATGACGATTCTTCATCAGAAGAGATAAACAGACTGTCATCCATGGGAGCGTGTACACGTGGGGTGACAGAAGCAGTCGCCGGATTCCTGGCAGAGGCAGGTGTCGACTTTCTGAAAGAAGAAGGTGTCGACTTCCTTGCAGAGGTTGGTGACAATTGCTGACCGTTAACTAGAAAGGGGAGCTTCGATTGGCGCAAGCTCTTAGCTGTGGAGACGCCTGGCGAAGACAGATCGCGAACGGTCTTTTCTTTTGCGGACTTCCATGATGCGCTTGGTCCGACGGGTCGAGTTGCAGCCATCGATGCGAGGGCAGATTCAAGGTCAGTACCAGTCTTTTGAAGATGCGTCGTGCGTCCGAGTTTTGCCATAGCAGATCGTGCTATCACAGGAGGAGCAACTCGTTTCGGTGTTGAGATTTCTGGGGCCTTGTGGGCGCTAGCTGCCTTCACTTCGGATGGCTTAACTTGAGGGGTGGCTTCTGCAGTGACGGCGGTCTTTTGTTTCTTGGAGGAGGTGATGACGACCTGTACTTCAACATCGGATTGTCTCCGTTTCTTCGTGCCTTGATTGACCAGTGGTGTAGTATTTGGACCGGACTTTGAGGCTTTTGCAGCATTGTCCTTCTGGCTGGAGGCTGGAACTGGGGTCGATAAAATTTCTGTGCCAATGTTGCTTCCCAGTGGACGGGTGGGGCGTGGCCGAACTGCACGGCCGGCCTGCCTGTCAAGTGCTGCTTGCTCCCCCCAGGCGGCCAATTGCTGTTTGTAGTCGTCTTCGCGCTGAAGGTCATCATCGAGGCGGCGGCGCTTGACTCGTTCGTCTTGTTTTCGGGCTTCCTCGGAGGTTTCGAGCCGTTGTCTTTGGCTCTCTTCCTTTTCTCTTCGCTCCTCGGCGCGTTTCTTGTCGTTGCTGAGTAAGGACTTCTGGTGTGACATCTCTTCGAACTCCTTAGCTCTGGCACTACTCGATTTCTTCTTAAACTCCCTGGCTCTCTCTCGCTGGGCTTCGACTCTCTCGCGCGTCTCCGGGCTGTGCTCCCATAGGAAGTCGACAGAAGGAGATCTTCCAAGATTCAGAGGGGTTGCCTTGGCCGCTGCTCGCTTTGCGCTGTGGAACAGGCTACCAGCTCTGTTCGTAACTTGTTCCACAGGGCGACGAGGAAAGACTTCTTTAGCGACACGCTTTATCTCGACACCCTCGATACGACAAGCGAGAAGAAGATCATCCTCCTCTTGTGTGAACTTCTCATTGGGACCAGTCGAGGGCATTCCATCTTTCAGCTGCTCTCGATAGTGGACGCGAGCAGATTTGACCGTATCTTCCTCTTGCAGTCGTTTGCGTATCTCGACGTAGTGAACTTTGACACTATCGTCGGATCGGTCACGGAACCGATGGTCGTGTAGAGTCTTCCAGGTTTGGTTATTGCGTATGGCACGGACAAAGTATGCGTCTTCATCCTGGGTCCAGGAGACAGCCAAACTAGCTTGTCGCTTTTGAATGGCCAAGGGATTTCGCTTAGTGTACGCAGTCGCTTTCTTCCTGATACTATCAACACTTCTGTTTGGAAGATTGCGCTGCTTCATTTCCGCATGAGTAAGCCCTTTGGCAAGTCCTTCAACCAGTGACTCCAATTCTTCATCTGTCCAAGGATTGGAGAGGTTTTGTCTGTTGGTCTCGCGGCTTTCACTGCTGCCCAAGCTCTTTCTTTTGTTTGATCCCGATGAGCGCGCTGGTGTTCGAGTTATCGAGCTACTAAGGCGAGGTTGGGAATCCTCCGAGATGGGGTCGGCCAAGTCGAGTGCTGTTTCATTGTCTGCTGGTGCGGCCACAGGAGATCGGTCGTTGCTTAAAAGGGCAGCTGGGGGCTTCTGAGCACTGGGCACTGCATCAAGCGTGGAATACTGGGAAGCTGTGTTGGCTGCCGCAGGAGGAGTCTCGAGACGTGGAATGGCCGAGGGAACTTTTTGAGGCGAGCCGAGCTCCGGCGATTGGACAAGATGGTCTTCGTAGGAGACTTGTGAAAGCAGTTGCGAGCTTGGAGCGGTCTGACTGCTTGGCGGGACGTGGGCGCGAGGAGGACGATTAAGTCTTGCCGGAATAGCAAAGCCATCTTGGTCTATGCGTCTCTCAGTTGTGCTCTCATTGGATTCGACCGGATGATCTGGGTCGAGGTTGTCGAGAGTAGCACCGTAGCGACTGAATTCAAGGCGACGCCTGTCGATTTCTTGCTGTTCTTGGGCTGACGGAGGTACGATTGGAGGATGAAGGTGCGAGTCGAACGGCACAGTGTCGTCTCTACCAGTAGGTAACGTTTGGATCTGGACAATACGCTTCACAGGATCGGTGATCTCGCCGAAGATGTCGATAACGGTATCACGCATGTCGATATCAGCCCCGGTGCTATCCTGCAGTTTCTTGAGGTAGTAATCACTNAAAACTCCGTGTCAGCTCCTTGAAGCTGTAGCATATTTGTTCTTCACTCACTTTCTGCGGCCAGCGCTATAGTTTTCCCTATAGCGTTGCTGGACGAGGGTCCAGACACGTTGGAAGGTGGCATCCTGTTCAACGGAGAGAAAGAACTTGACAGGCTCTGCGGGAGGCCTGAGAACCCAGACCGTGATACGCATGGCTGCGGTGTTCGGTGGAAGAATAGGATGGAACAGCTGTGAGGTTGTACAGAAAAGTCGAAGGAATGGAACGAGAGACAGCTCCGGCTGAGTGACGCGCTCGCGACTCCGCCGGCACGCGTTTGAGTGGTCCAAGCACTTTGTAGAAGTGCCCTTCACTTTTCAACTTTCAACTTTCAACAGGCGTGGATCTTTGGAATACTGAAGATCACTGATTACTTCGCAGTATCGTCCGTGGTTGTTTAGTTGGAGGTGCTCTGATGCAGTGACTAAGACGCAAAGGCAGTGCATTTTAGGTTCACCATGCAAGTTAGATGGTGGAGGGAAAGCGTCTATTGACTGGCTTTCTATTCTACAGTACCTAAACACACTGAGCAAGACATGGCCGTCCGCTACTGCGCCGCAAGTTCAGTTTCTCCAATACCGCTTGCAGGCACTCAAAGATAGAGAGTCGTAGATCTCTGGGCATATTTGATCCATTCTGACTTAATCTCGTATTGTAGAACCTTTCCGCCAGTTTCGGGCGACCTTGACCCTGACCAGTTGATGGACGCCTTGACCAACCGTTCACGGCTCCTCAAAGATGTACCGTCCCGCATACCGAGTCGAAGGTTTTAACGTTTATGAGAAGCTGTTGGCATTGATTCATGAGAACTGAAAACGCTACTTACTGGTTCGTGCAAGTATACGGTCAGTCACATCTTTGGGCATACAGTAAATGGGATCGATCTTTTGCAGCCCTGGGTAATTCATCAGACTGAGACCGGCGATACCGAAGTGCGTGTGGAAAACGTCGACCATATCGCCTGCTCGGTCTGAAATGCCGCCCATGTTTGGGTCCTGGCACTTCAAAATGAACTCTGCCAGCTTTGTCTGATCGATCCAGTGGATCCTATCGATCATTGCCAGACTGCTCACAACCCACCAACTGTAGCACACATCTTCGAGCTTTTCTGGTCTGCCGTTGAGGCCACCATTAGGAAGTTGTCTCTCACTAAGCCAGCCACCGATTTTGTCGATGTCGACAAGGTCCAGGCGGCCTGCGATAGCGAGCGTCCCAACACATGTAAAGACTTGACCCGAATGAGACTCTGCTCCCGGGCCTGTGCCATAGCCGCCATCGAAGTTTGCGCAGGACTGTACATGTTCTATGGCCTTTTCGACATCGACCAGATGCATCAAGCCGAGCAGGGAGAGGGCATTGAACGCACCGTAAAGAAATCGTGTATCGGTCTCGCCCCATTCGTCACCAGAAAAAGTGCCGTTGTCGGGCTTCTGAAGGCCAGCGATGACTNNGTTGATTATCAGCCACGCAGACAAAGCGATTGCTCATAGAAACTGACAGCGACCTATGCGACCCTTCCCTCCAGGTACTCTTTGCTCTAGCTCTGCGAAGGCGTCTAGGGTGGCAAGTATTTGAACGGCACTGACGGTGTACAGCATGTGTGGATCGTGGCCGGGCGCGGCACCAAAGCCGCCGTTCTCGTGTAGGCAGGAGAGCACGAAGTCCAGCAAGCCAGATCTGGGCAAGGCATCGGGTTGGCCAAGCAGGTAGAGCGGAGTGATGCCCCAGTAGATGCCACTCATGCGCAAGTGCTCGGTGAGCCAGTATTCGAGTTCATCCTTCCGNCTGTTGCGGGCGTTAGTAAGGAGCACATGCGATCGGGGACAATGGCTGCGGACCGTGTCGAGGGACTGGATGTAATCGACGTGTTTCTGGGCGTAGAGCTGGAGTTCGGCAGGGAGGTCAGACAAGACTCCTCCACGTCCGGGACCAGCGACGAGAGACATGATGAGTGGATTGACAGCTGTGGATACGAAGCAGTGATGAATGTCAAGAAGACGACGCGGGGGTTTCCACAACCCGCGCGAAGCACAACGTTTGTATGTTGTAGTGAAATACCTACCAAGACTACAATAACTGCAAGGAATATCTACTTCGAAGGTCTAATAATGATCCTTATGTCTTCTGGTTGTTTTCAGTCGATAGGTCGTCGCTCTTCAGTGGATGTTGTCCTGTTTTTGGAAACCACTGTGCATTTTTATGGCTATAAGCATTACACATTTTCGCACATTGGACAGAGGGGTGCAAATGGCACGATTCGACAACCCTGGGCAGTGTCTCGAATCCTGTCACCGGAGATCGAACATTCATGCCATTACAAGGTTTCGTTCAAGATTGGGTCGTCATCTATTGAAAGCCTGTCGTCCCTCATAATAGGTAGGTCTTACCATTGCGCGAGATATGACCCCGTAGTCAATATTCATGACCCCTTGTTTTGGCACCCATCGAGTATACATAACCGAAGTGATCTTTGTAAAACGGGGGCATGCCAGTAGCAGCTTTTCGACCTTTTCATGGAGAGGTGACCTGCCTTGTTTGATAAGGAACCTTGCCGCGACGGGAGAGGTGACTCTTGAGATTTCGTGCGACGTCAAGACCTATGATTCTTTGACAAGACTTACGAGGACATCAATTAGCCCATTGTAGTACCAGTCGTGTCGAGAGTGGATTTGTAGCAGTCTTCATAACGGCAAATTGGCCAGCAATAGCGTGTTCATTGTGCATGCTCAGAGCTTCGGTAGCTTTCTGCCGTCAAAGTCGGAGGCTGAGTGCTGCGAGAGGGCTGGAGTAGCAGACCACTTTTGGAACAGTTCGGATGAGTAAGTTGTCAAGAGCCGAGAGACTCAGGGATGAGTGGATCGACGGTGTGGATACGAAGCAGCGGTGGAAAGAAGACGACGTGGGGGAATTGGACATTCCTCAAAGCAGAAGACGGCAACGGACGCGACGCTCTCCCCTCGAGTCAGACAAGCATTGGAAGTCGATTGTGACCGTCTCGTCTACAAAGCCAACACGCTCCTTTCTCCCTTCTTGTCGCCCATCTGCCTCTTCGCGCTCCCGTGGCACAGCAACAGCAATTGTTGCCGAGGCGTGCATTGAGCTGCATCGCTAGACAAAGACTAGCCGAGCAGCCCCCTTTGAAAGAAGCTACATCAAAGAAAAGCCCGCCGTTCGCTCACACCCAGGACGTTGATGGGTGAATCCGTTCACGCCGGCACGCAGCAGCAGTAGCAGCACCTCGAGACACGCCTCTGAACAGCTTTGCCCGTCTGCGCCGACCCGAGGAGACAATGGACAAGTCCCCCTCGACCATGGCCGACGCCCGCCCAAAACACATGAGCAGTCCCATTTCTCTTCATGGAATCGACATCTCTTCCCTGGATGCCCGCGACGTCTTTGGTTTGACCATGGGCAGCGACCTGGCCGCTCTCCCCGCCGCATCACCCGACCTCTCGCGCGCGCGTGAAGACGCCGACCGTCAGAGCTTCCGTTCGGCTCACAGTCCTTCTCTCTCTGCTGACCGCATTACCGACGACGGCCCTATCTCTCACTTTGACCCTCCGTCCGAGTCTCGCTCTCGCTCTGTCTCCACCTGGATCTACCCCTACCGCCCACCTCCAGGTTCCTCCCCTGCCTTGTCCATTCGTGCCAAAGACAGCGACGACGCTTCGGGTCAGTCAAATTGCTGCCTATTGTTGTGTCTCGTTACTGACGACAAGGCCTAANCAGCTGCTCCTATACCTGTCATTCCTTCGTTAGATTCAAGTCAGCGTCCTTTTACCGCCGCCGCTCCGCACCCCTCCCCAGCCGTTCACTCCACTTCGGCCTCGAACCTAAACTCGAATAATACCAAGCCCAAGCCGGGCAAAAAGCGTATGCCTGTTCTGGGCAGATCAAAGTCACTGCGCGCCGAAGATCAGCTCAACGACCTCACCGACACCAAGTCAAAGACAAAATCGCCTGTCATCAAGCAGTCCAAGCACGGCGTACACAGCAAGTCAACGCCAGCCATTGAAATGCCGCCCATGCAGAAGCCTCTGCCCGATAACAACCGCAAGTTTATGGGCATCATGCGCGACCGCTCTCAGGACAGGGCTGATGCCGAACCGGGAAACAAAGCAAAGGCCAAGAAGGAAAAGGGCCAGGACCGTGAGGGTCCCATGTACAAGAACAACAACACATCGGCCTTTTTCGACTTCCGTCAGAGTTCCTCACGCGCGACCGATGGTTTCACCAAGGCTAGCAAAGGCTTACTGAGCAAAATCACTCGTGGTGGCAGCAACCACGGCAAGCCTCACCCTGTCACTGACGATGGGGACTATGTTGTGCAAGTTCTGAACAAAGGCCTCATTGAGCAGACACGCCTTACACGAATTGCGCAATCGTATGACGACTGCAAGGATAAGACCGAGTTCTGGATGCCTGCTTTGCCGTGGCGCGCGATTGAGTACGTCTACCGATCTTTGATGCCTTTACTCGCTAATTGTTTGCAGTNNTATCTGAACGGCAAGTGTGAAGAAGAAGGGCTCTACAGAGTCTCTGGTGGTGTCGCCAACGTACGAAAGTGGAGGAGGCGCTTCGACACTGGTGAACACTTCCGCTTCTGATTTGTTTCGAACTTGCGCTGATTCGTATCCANNGAGCTTGACATCAACCTTTTAGACGAGTCGGAATTGTATGACGCCAGCATCATCGCCTCTCTCTTCAAGGAATGGATTCGTGAACTCCCCGAGGACATTTTCCCCAAGGATTCACAGCATCGCATCACCTCTCAACTACCTACCGAAATACCCGACAAAGGCTTTGTCCCTGAGATACTGCGCCGCGAGCTCCAGAATCTTCCGCCCTTCAACTACTATCTCCTCTTCGCCATCACCTGTCATCTTAGTCTGTTGCTCGAGTATCAGCACAAGAACAAGATGACTCTGGACAACCTGTATCGCTGCTTTAACCAATCGCTAAAACTCGATGGCCGTATCTTCTATACTTTGGTTGGAAATTGGCGTCTGTGCTGGGCTGGCTGTGTTACCGAGAACGACTACCTTGTTAAGGAGTATGATTATCTCAAGCACCCTTATCCTCAATTCATCCAGGACAGTCTGGCAGCCAACGAGCGTGCGATTTCATCGTCCGAAAGCAGTGCCCCCCCTGCCAACGGTAGCTTCACTCCCGAAGCTCAGCGCCCTGCAACATCACACACCGTCCTTTCGCAATCCAGTGAAAGCGATGAACCCTTTATCACTCCAGTCAAGAAGAACAAGCGCAGCTCTTCCGATGTCACCGGTCTCTCGCCGATGCGATTCAACTCTAGCCCTCTGTACCGGGGACCGACATCAAACCCCTGAAAAAGTTGATTGCATATTAACAAGACATCGCTGTCTTCTTCGAAGCGCTCGTGCGCATTTGCTTCGCCCTGTCACCACAAGACGAGAGATATGACCAGGCTGGACCTTGTTTTGTCTCACCCGGACTGGGCGGCTTCTTTCTTCTCCCTTTCATTCAACTCCTGGTTTTTGTTTTGGCTCTGCTCCTTTTCTTCGATTTTTGTATGTACGAGTTGATATACCCCTCAATGTTTTTTTGTGCTTTTCTCTTCTTTTCCTTTTGCTGGGCGTTCTCTGGATTGGCAATTTGGGACGAGATGACGAGGGATGGAAGGTGTCGAAAATCAAGAAGTGGACAAAAAAGGAGAAAACCGAATAGGGAGGTGGTGGACCTTCGTGTACGATCAAGTGGTTTCCCGAGAGATGAAGGAAGAGAGATAGGAAGGCATGGTGGCAGTCGAAATTAGCGACTGCTTGAATTTTCATGCAAGATGAGATATGAAACTTCTTTCTGAGTGCTCGTTTCTATCACTTCAATAATCTGATCGTTCTTCGACCCCGTCTTGCAGCGTTCGGCTAGAGTAGCTTTGTGACGATGCTTGGCAGGCGGCATTCCGATTGTTTTGGTTTGCAAACACAACGCCCAAAGGCGTACACTAGATTATCCCTCACCACTAGCAATGTAGATAGAGCGATCGCGCGTCTCTAGCAGAGAGTTATTCATCCACCGAGAAACCCTTCGATCTCTCACCCTCATCAGCCATGTCTGCTCCGACCTCTCGCTCTCCCTCGCCGGTCCAAGCACCTCCCGTTCAACAAACACCAGGGCCGCGCGCCGCCGCGCTGCAGAAGCTATACTCGGACGCCATATCGCACACCCTGCGCACATGCAGCTACTCCAACTTTGCCTCGTCCTTTCCGACTCCGGCCAGTCATGCGCCTGATGCCATGAAACGCCTACACACCGACTTTGTCGAGAAGTTGCACCGCACGTGCAAGCTCAACTTTGAGCAGATCCTACGCGATCGCGAAGTTGTCGCGTCGCTGAATGATCTGGATCGTCTGGTCGAGGACGCGAGAAAGAGGAAGAGTGCTGCTGAGCAAGCGACTGGTGGACAGGCTGTACAACCACCGCTCCCGTAGGTCTTTTGTCTCAGGTCATTGCATGTGGATAGCNATACTTACTTGACGTCCAGTCCTCACACCCTGCCAGCTTCGTCGCTGTATCTTTCGCATCTCGGACCGCTTCTATCCGAACAACATACTTCTTTATCGTCGAGATTGCAGACTGCCCAGTCAGAAAACGCCGATCTGGCTGACACGGTATTACAACAGCGAAGGGAAATCGAGCGATTGGTTTCGCAGCTGGAAACGACGATTGCCGATGTTGATGCTGCCAATAATGCCTTACCTATTGATGACATGGATGCCTTGACGGAGGAAGCTGTGGCACTGGACATGGATCAACGGACTTGAACTTCGCATCGTACACGAGCGAGGCGCATCCTTACTACTGCCACATCATCTGTACGACGAGCGGATGCATGCTCTCCCTATTTGCATTGCACGCGTCATGTCCATGACTGGTTGCAACACATCCCTGCCACATTATCGAGGCCCTGATGATTCTCCTGGAGATTCATAAAAATGTTACTCTAGAGCAGCCGCAAAAGTGAGGGAAGGGTACTGTGTTCAGTTTATCTCGCAGTGCCTTCATCTTTGCAGCTCCTCAGCGCCCAGCTGGAGGTATAGAGATGACGGCGGCAGTTGTGATACTTTGCACGACGAAACAGGCGTGGGCGTTGCGACTTGACATAGTTAAACCACAATAAGGGCGAGAAGAAATGAATTTGAAAGTTTGATAGAACAAAAATATCTCTTTTACACAATCGTGACTTTTGCGCCTCGTACTCTTTTCCAGAAGCGATAAAGCTGCTCTGACCACTCAACCAAATGCTTGTATTGGCTTTGGCTGTATTCGCCGTGTCCACCAGGTTCTGAACGCTGAGATAAGTTCGGCGCGTTACTTCGTGATGTTTGTATCGTCTTGGAGTACTTTCGGCAGGAACTACTGGGTAGATTCGTTGGAGTTTCGAACGTCGCATAAAAGTCTCAGCGACCACCAAAGCCTGGCGGGGGGAAACCTCTGCCCTGCCCCGGAGGAGGCTGGAAGCCAGGAGGCGCACCGAAACCAGCTGCGTGGGAATTAGTCGGATTGTACAGATAGATGGTCGATGACGCGGATTGACTTACGAGGACCACCACCAGGAGCACCAGGGAAACCGGGAGGAGGGCCTTGGAATCCGGCTAGAAAGCTGTGTAAGTAAAGATTTAATGACAGGAACGACTCAGAACATACGGGGACCACCTCTGCCACCAAAGCCTGGTGGAGGAGCGCCGGGGAAACCACCAGGAGCACCAGGGAAGCCGAAACCGGGAGCGGGACCGCCAACACCTGCAGCAGGACCAGTGAGACCGGTAGGGGGCAGACCTCTACCTGCTGGGCGAGTAATACCAGGGCCAGCAGTCATGGTAGGAGCACCAGGGCCTGCGGGACCATCCTTGGCCAGTCTCGCCGAGGGATCTGCGGGTGGAGGACCTTCGACAGTCGAGGCGACAATATGCGCACCGCGAACAATGGTAAGACCGAGGGTACGCTTCTCCTCTGTTTCGACGAATTGGGGCTCAGCCTGTCCAGGAGCTGCCGACTTTGTGGGCTTGCGCTTTACTCGTCTGAACTCTTCCGTATCGGCGAGGACGAGGTTCATGTGCTTGTCGAAGGCGAGCATCTGGCCGGCCATCTGACGACCGTCCATCATGGTGACGCGCAGACGGTAGTTGATCAGGCCCTGCATCTTGCCCTGCTTGTTTGCGGCGGCCATGCTAAAGGTCGATGCGCGCGGACGCGACTGGTGTATGCGAGAGTGGGGTGTCCTGGAGGGATGCGCGAGTGCTGCGGCGAGGACGAGAGGAGCAGCAGAAGGATGCGACGGGATTTTGCGAGGATGGATGGATGGCAGGAATTAGAGAGTCGGTCGCTCTTGCTCTTTCCAGAGGGCAGCTTGCGCTCGCACTCTGCGCCTGGCAAGTCTGTGCCAAGGAATCGCGCCGCCTTCTCCGCATCCACCACCGCGCAGAGAAGTTGGAAGCTCTCGTGCTCGCTGCTCCGCCAGTCCATTTCAATTTCATACACACACACACATACTGCCATGGCCGTCACAAAGATGCAAACGCCGTTGAGTCTTCTCAGAGCATCTGCTCCTCTCGGTCGCGCCGTCCACACATCCATCTTCCACAGCGCACAACGATCGCAAGCCTCGGCCCTCGTCCTCTTACGCCATGCGTCATCCGCTGCTTCGACCTCGACCACTTCCTCACAGTCGCAAACACCACAACTCACATGGGACGAGTTCCTCAAACTCCGCCGTACTCGCCGCTTCATCAACCTCGGCTCCTCTGCCCTCAGCGGTGCCGCCAGTGTCGCTGTTGCAGTGCCCGCTTTCGCCGAGTTCGAGATCGAGAACATTGGCGCGCAAATGACTGGTCTCGACCCCATGTTCATCATCGGTGGTAGCTTGATGGGTGTTGGTGCTGTTGGCTGGCTGCTCGGTCCCTTCCTGGGGACTGCCTTTTTCAACATTTGGAAGGGAAGCCTGAGGAAGGAGTTCGCCAGGGTAGGCCATGCTCCTGCTCGCTTTTGATCCAACTCTTGTGTACTGACCGTTCTCCATTACAGANAAGACAAGGATTTCTATTCGCACATCAAGAGATTCCGCGCCGATCCTGCCAGCTCATCCGTCAACAACCCCGTTCCGGACTACTATGGCGAGAAGATCAACAGCGTCGCCGACTACAGACGATGGCTAAAGGACCAGAGAGCCTTCACTAGAAAGAAGAACAAGAACCTGCTCTAAGCAGCCCAACCTTAACCTTACACATCTATATTACCACCATTTTGTTCAGCGCAGGAAGCTCGAGCTATTAGCGAATCCGTATTATTATCAACATTGATTTGTCCGTCTTCTGTGAGTAGTCCCGAGAGTTGATCAACGTTCCAAGTCTTGCAATTCCGCCTTCCGAACGAATAGAGATCTGCTCCTTCTCATGATGCCTAGTTTTGTATTTTATCAAAACTTAGCTCCCAGTTCTTTTTCCTTTCTGATCTGTTCCTCGTCAACTACAATGATTGCTTTGCCTTGGATCTTTCCTCCATGAACCAAATCAACCAGTTCCTCAATTTTGTCGAGACCATGGAATGGATTGGTCTTTACTTTGATGCCATGCTTTGCGACGAACTCGAGCATGCTTACACTCTGCTCTGGTGAACAGAGCAAAGAGCCTTTAACTCTAATATCGCGGAAAACAAACTCCGCAAAGGGAATGGTAACGTTGTCCGGCTGTGCAATCTGTACCATGGTACCGTGCATCTTAGTCAACGCGCAAGCCAGGCCAGCAGCATCGTCAGCATCGCTCAGGGTTATCGACGCATCAACACCGGCTCCTCCAGTCACCTATTGTTCGCAGTACGTTGATAAAGGACCTGATTCGCATACGACGGGAAGTCTCACCTTTTGTACAGCTGCAACCACGCTGTCTTTTCCTTCGCGTGCATCAACCACCACATCAGCGCCATTCTGCTTTGACATGGCAAGTCCTTCGTCTCTAGCATCGATACCAACCACGTTGAGGCCGAGTGCTTTTGCAAACTGGATGCCCAGATGGCCTAGACCACCTCCAGACCCGACCAGTGCGATCCACTCGCCGCTTTTGAGGTTGGCCTCCAATACGCCTTTCCAGATTGTTCTTCCTGCACATGCAAGCGGTGCTGCACTCTCAAGCGTGACCTCGTCTGGAATAGGAGTTGAGCTTCTGGAATCCACAAGTGCATATTCGGCGAAGAACCCGTTTCTGTGCACGCCAGAGTGTCCTGCGATGTTGGTGCAGTATTGCCGCCATGTCTCCGGTCCATAGCAGTCCTGGCAGCGGCCACAAGGATGATAGGGCAGTCCGCACATCACACGATCTCCGAGCTTGAAGTTCTTGACAGAACTTCCCACTGCGACAACAGTGCCAGCACCTTCGTGCGAAGCTGTGACAGGAAGTTTGGTTCCGAACGTGCCGTGTTGTACCATAGAATCTGTATGGCAGTTTGACGCGACACCAATCTTGACCAAAATGTCCTCAGGAGCAAGATCTTTGGGTACAGGAACGGTGTTGATCTTGTATGGTTTGTCAAACTAGGTTCTCATCTTAGTCTAGGGTCGATCGAACAGACATGAATTGTGTGATACCTCGACCACCTGGATGGCCTTCATCTCTTGAGGAATGTCTTTAAGATCCATGTTTGGTATTGTGCTTGGGTACTGTGGCTGACAGTATATAGAGAGTGCTGTCGAGAAGCAGAAGAGCAAGTCATTATATCAATGTAGAGAACGCTACGTCATGCGGGGGATGTTTTGTCTATCGGCGATAGCGACATTAACGCCGAAATGGTAAAGATAAATTGAAGCCTGTTGAAGCCTATCTCCCTATTCTTCCATATCAAATATGCACATCTACACGTTGCATTTTCAGCTTACAATAGCCACGTCGAGACGAGGTGCACGATATTCAGCGCTGCGGATCTTGATTGGCAATCCAGATCTGAACCAGTTGCTGTCCAGGGGTATGTCCTTGGAGAAACTACTACCAAAAGAAACATTATCAAAGAACGATGGCGTGCCTTACCTTGTTCTTGCTGTACGTGGAGCTAACATCAACCGGGGATACTGCTGGTGAGATGTTCTGTGAGGTAGCAATGCCTGTAATCTGTATAGGGTTCTATTGATGGTCATCTGCAACTCAAGCATTCAGTATCTACACTCTTCGGACCATCGCCACAAGCGACTCTCTGAGTTATGCCTAGTCTGCGAAACGTCAAATTCACCAAAGTATCGTCGATGCCGGACGTTGCTATCGCCGGTAGTTTGGCGGGTGCAAGAAGGTCCGGGCGGGTCATCGAGTGGCTCTTTCCGTGCAAGAGAAGGACCACCTTCCGCACCCAGATGCCTTGACAACAGCATCAACACTGGTACTCGGTATCAATTCACTCCTTCCCTTGACTTTGTTCATCCTCTCTCTTACTCTCCTTTTGGACTGCCATTGATGGAGATGCTAGCTCCTGCATCTAGCCAGGCGCAGACCAGGACCGTACCTCTCGTCTGCATAATATGCCCACGCAAGCCCAACTTCAGTGATCTGTCGCATCTCCTCACCCACATCAGCAGCAAGGCTCATCTGTCGACCTACTACAAGCTCAAGGTTCGCTCAGGCTCCGATGATGCTGCTCGTCAGTCCGTCGAGCGGTACGACATATGGTACGCCGAGAATGACATCGAGTCTTTCATGTCGGAGCGTATGAAGCACAAGGATGAACGCAAGAAGATCAAGATTGGTACTTACTTGCCTGTTTACAAGTGAATTTCCTTTACTGACCGATGTCTGTCAGAGCTCCATACCAACGTCAAGGTCATCAAGAAAGAGTCCCACTCGCCAACGTTCACTCCATCATCAGCATCCTACGACGACATTCCATCAGTCTACCCTCACCCGTACGCTGCCTACGCACCGATGTATACTTGGGCAGCACACCCTTACCTCACCCACAGACAAGACTCTGCATCCGTCGAGAATGATGATCAGCAGGCCCCAAGTGAAGTATCACTTATACCAAGAAAGCGAAAGGTCAAGCATGAGACACACCCTGTTGGAGATGTCGATGACGAGGACGAAAGCAGCAAGCTCAAGGGTATTGTTTGGCCAGGTATGGGCCTCTTTGACGCAGCTACTCCAGAGTTGAAGAAGAAGCGTAACCAGAAGAAAGACGTCTCTGTCAACGATCGTCTTGCCACCATGTCTGGAGGAATCATGAAGGAAGAGCTGATCTTCAGTGCATCTGGTACTCTGCTCAAAACTAGAATCATCTCTGGCCAGCCACAGCCCGAGGATCTGCTGCCTGGCGAGGAGTTGCCTCCCCGTCAACCCAAGGCCAAGCGCGCTCCCAGAAAGAAGCCTCTTGACGGCAAGAAACCTCTCGAGGACAAGAAGCCCTTGGGAGACAGAGATCTCGGCACCGCTACGAAGCCCAATCTTCGCGCCAAGCCCAAGGCCAGGAAGAACTCCCGTAAGCAGCGACCCGTTCTTGCTACCACTGCCGACACTCAGGAAGGTATTGACCCCAAGGATGCGGTGCCCCGGAAGACTACGCGCAACAAGCGCAAGAAAGCACCCTTCGACGAAGCTGAAGAGGAAGGCGAGACTCAGATTGAGATGGAAGAAGCCACATTCGAGCAGCCTGTTGTCATGACGCAGCTCAACTCTGGATATCAACATGCTCCGATGTACGTTGCAGCAGCACCCATGGGTTTCAGGGCTGCCGAGCCCACTTACATGAACATGACGGGTCAGAGTTACTACCAGTTCCCGGCTGGACAGGACAACCCGTTCTCGTACGACCCATCTCCCTTGACGACGTGGGATTACTTTGGGTACGGCGTGGGAAGCAGCGTCGTAAACCCTCTGTTCACAGGCATGTACGGAGGCAGCTTTGACGATGATGACGACGACGAGGACAACGAGGGGACCATCTCGGCGCCCATCTCGGAGTCGCAGTAGCGAAAGGATGGAATTGCACTAACCAAAAACGAAGGACTGTGAATATATATGGAGCATTTGCTTTTACAGACGATAATGGCGGAAAGGATGATGGCCGGCTGCAAACTGGAACGGACAAAAGTACTTGATTCTCTTTTCTATCTTAGCGACGACAGCACATGGAGCATGGAACGTACGATATATGATAGCTGCAGCATCTGCGCTTGCAAGTAATGCTAATTTTTGCACTGGTATACAAAGTCTTGTTTGCTTGCTTGTTGATCGATGCAAAAGGAAGGAGCGACGTGACGCGAGGAGGAGTCAAGTGAAGCCTCACCTTCGGACTTTGCGGAGTTTGCATGGCATGCGCCAGTGACGGCGTCCAAAATTTCTTGAACTTGTCGACGAAGAAAAACACAAAACACTTCAATACAGCAAATTGACATGGCGACACAACTCCNNCCCCCTCCGTCGAAGCGACAAAAGACAGCGGCGGCCGCGCGGGCCCGCGAGCAAGTCGAACCCGAGCAGATGCCCGATGGCATCCAGCGCATTCAGTTCATCGACGCCGACTCGGGCGAGTCTCAAGGTCCCGTCGTGACAGTGCCCTTGTCCGAATTGTCGCCCAAGAATCTCTCCTTGCTTTTGAACACCCTCCTCGGCCGCGAAGACCCTAGCGAGCGCCTTCCTTACCGCTTCTACGACCCCCTCGGCACCGGTGACTTCGACCAACAGGCCATCATTTCAGCCTTTCTGTCCGGCGACTCGACAACGGAAGTCCAACTGAATATTCCTTGTCGCGCAGAAGCAGTTTTCCGAGTAAAAGCTGTCACAAGATGTTCCGCCGCGATCAGCGGACACGGCGAGGCCATCCTCGCTGCACAATTCTCCCCATCCTCGTCTTCGCGTCTGGCGACCGGTAGCGGCGACAAGACTGCTCGTATCTGGGACTGTGATACTGGCACACCTATGCACACGCTCACTGGTCACACGGGATGGGTTCTTACTGTCAGCTTCTCACCCAACGGCGATATTCTGGCTACGGGCAGTATGGACAATACGATACGTTTGTGGGATGCTCAGACTGGCAAGCCTCTGGGTGGTCCCATGAAGGGTCACACCAAGTGGGTGACTTCGATGTCGTGGGAGCCTTATCACATGCAGCAAGTTGGAAGACCTCGGATTGCATCCGCTTCCAAGGACGCCACTGTTCGTATTTGGGATGTTACCAGCAAGCGCGCCGATCTGGCCTTGACTGGCCACAAGGGCAACGTTTCTTGCGTACGCTGGGGAGGTGCTGGCCTTATCTATACCGCTTCCCACGACAAGACCATCAAGGTCTGGTCTGCCGAAACTGGAACTCTTGTGCACACCCTCAACTCACACGTTCACTGGGTCAACCATCTTGCTCTTTCCACCGACTTCGCCCTTCGCACCGCCTTCTACGATCACACTGGCAAGAAGGGTGTCCCAGCCACACCTGAAGAAAAGCGTGCAAAGGCAAAAGAACGCTATGAGGCTGCTGCTGGTGTCAACAACCAGAAGAATGGCGGAAAGGCTGTTGAGAGACTGGTGTCAGCCAGTGATGACTGCACAATCTACCTATGGACACCCATGACTTCAACGAAACCGGTAACTCGTTTGTTGGGCCATCAGAAACAAGTCAACCACGTCACATTCTCTCCTGACGGTACTCTTCTCGCGTCTGCTGGATTCGACAATCTCATCAAGTTGTGGAACGCTGCTGATGGAACCTTCCTTTTCACCCTCAAGGGCCACGTTGGACCCGTATATCAGGTTGCGTTCAGTGCCGACAGCAGACTGCTTGTTAGTGGTAGCAAAGACACCACCCTGAAAGTCTGGGACGTCAAGACTGGAAAGCTCAAGGAAGATCTGCCAGGTCACAAGGATCAAGTCTTTGCCGTAGACTGGAGCCCCGATGGTGATAGAGTAGGCAGTGGAGGTCAGGACAAGCAGGTCCGTGTCTGGAGAAACTGATGTCGAGATTTTGATACCCAAACATATGAATTTCACTTCTTTTGCATTCATCTTCTATCGACAAGATAATCAAAGCATGTTCTTGATCGAATCCACCTCTTCTCCTACTGATCTCGCCAATACCACTTCCTAGGTGACGTAGAGGAAGTCCGGTCTCTTGTCTCCCAGCATTCTGATCTCGGATTCGTCCTTGCCCTCGATCCAGTGGTCGCGCTTGCCGGCTTGCCTCTTCTTGTTCTCGGCTTTCAGCAAAAGGTGTGTCATCAAACTTCCGCAGAACAAGAAGAGCGACAAGTACGCCAATACTACTCCATGACCGACGTAGTATTTTGGCTTGTCCTTGGCGCGATAAATGTTTGAGGACACGACGCCCTGAAGGTTACCCCATCCGATGACGATACCGATGGTCACACCTCTCTTGTAGGCGCCTTCGACGTTGTTCGAACACCATGTGACGCTGTTACTGATCAATNNCTACATGTCGACGTCGGTCAGCAATCAGATTCCCTACAATATCACATCCATCGAAACTTACGGGTAGATGCCCAGAGCACCGAGGAAGGTGCCGGCGTATTTGACATTGGGGTTTTGAGATCCGATGAGCATGCAGAAGCCTGTGATGCCAAGAAGAGAGACGCAGACGTTGATGAGACCTCTCTTCTGCGTTCTGTCGGCCAGCCAGCCAATGAAGACTGTGAAGACGGCAGCACAAGCATATGGAGGGACGGATAGCAGGTTTGCTGTGGTGCCGCTGTATCCAAGTGCATTAATGATGGTGGGCAAGAACAGTGAGAAGGCGTAGAGCGCGCCATCGGCTCCCATATAAATGACCGCGAAGCACCATGTCTTCCAGTCAGTGACACTCTGCCAGAAGTATGTCATTTTGAACTCCNNTGCAAACTGGTTAGCGTTGAACTATACTCTGACCAGCAGAAAACCCTCGGTCTGAATACGTACCTCGTGCTCGGCACTTGCTTGCTGGTCTTCCTTGAGTCTTCTGATGACTCTGGCACGATCGTCGACAGACAAGAACGTAGCCTCGTCAGGGAAGTCATGGACCATCCAGTACGAAACAATTCCAACAACCACAGTAACCAAGCCTTCAAGGATGAAAATCCAAGCCNNTGTTTGAAGAATTAGTATTACTTGAGAGTATGTAGAGTCCGCGTATCTTACCCAGCCAGGCTTGCCACCAACACCCTTCATCTGAGCGATACCTGCTGCCAGGAGACCACCAAAACTACCAGCCAAAGCTGCTGCGGAGAAGAAGATTGCTGCTCTAATACCGAGTTCCTTACGCTTGTANCCTGAATCTCTTGAGTATGTCTCCTGAGTTGCTTGAATGGAATACACTCACCAGCACGACAAGTAGTAGTTAACTCCAGGGAACAAACCTGCTTCAGCGAAGCCTAGCCACCAGCGTGCGGCTGCGAGGCCACTGAAATTATGACAAAGGCCCATCGTAACCATCACAATTCCCCAAAGTGTCATGATGACGGGAAGAAAGACGGAGGGTCGCCATTTCTTGAGCAGGACGTTTGTCAAGGGCTCAAAGACCGAGTAGGAGACGAAGAAGATGGAAAGTGTTGCGTTGTATTGGCCTGGTGTAAGGTGCAGGTCCTTGGCCAGACCATCTACTTTGGCATTTCCGATGTTTGTTCGATCGAGGAAGGAGATGAGGTATAGGAAGGAGAGCNNTGTTGTTCGGATGAGCCACGGATGACGTTTGCGAGGAGCGGCGATACTGACCCATGGGATGAGTTTGAAGTCGAGTTTTCGGACGAGAGCCTTGTCNCTAATCACAATATGAGGTTAGTCGACGTGCCTTGTCATGCTTGATGGAAGGGATGATATTACTATTCTTGCTCTCTCTTCATCACTGAGTCCAGCATCAGGGTCATAGAGGCCAGTATCGATGGTCTCCAGCTTGGAGACCCCAACCTTTTCTTCCATCGGGGAATGCGACATTGTTGCAAGATTCCAAACGACGGTGTCACAAGAAACAGAAACCAAGCGGAACAAGCGTGGGCAGACGATCTTGACTATGTACTGCGAGACGGTTGGCCCTGCTCGCGATTACCGGATGATCCTTCTAACCGAATCGTCCTTCCATGTGATCCGATATATACGTTCCCTGGGTCGCTTTCGTCCAACCATCTCCTTTGCTCGCATCTTCGCCAATCAAACACTGCGATTCAAGCAAGAACGTGCCGTGGCTGGATAAACGGGATGACGTTGAGCTTATCTCTCCACGCCTTTTGGTGGCTTTTGGTGCTTGTCGTCCAAGAAGGTTTTGGCAAAGGAAAGGTGCGGGTGGAGAAATGCTGGGGGTGCGGGGTAGACGATCGCCGAAATCGGGGTTCTTTCCGTTTTGATGCAATGGTATTTGACATCGATCTTTCTTTCTCCAACTGTCGTAGAGTCAATTGTGCAAAGGACTTCACTTCGAGTAACTTGAGCGCCTCGGGCACGGCAGACTCACAACTCCCAACCTTTGCGGAAGCACACGGATCTGGACAACTAAAATCAAGAGCATGTCGCGAGGCGAGTTGATATTTACCAGGGATACCAGACACTCTGTGTTCGATTTGCTTGACTCATCCCTTGTGACTTGGAATACTATATAGCCTCAGGACTTTCCTTCTGGTAAAGAACAATCTTGAAATACCTGGAATACTGTCCAGGCCTCTGTGTGGAAGTGCTCGGAGAAGAATCGCGGAACTGGAGATACATCGGATTTCCCAGAAGCCCCTGCCTCTCCAATGCTAAAGTATGTGACGCGTATAGCTATAGAAATGCACGGTGCTATCAAGAAACAGGGTAGTGTCCACTGAGAGCCGACGTCTTAGCGGCTCTCTTTGTTCCAGAAAAGTGTCCAGCAATATTCTTTCGCTATCCCAGGATGGAACATGGTATCTGATGTTTCCAATTGGTACAAAGACGTTTGATGACCTGCCGGATTTTCTCACGACTGGCTATAACATCGATTGTTTAGTTAGAGTACCAACTAAGTCAATCTTTGTTAGAAATCCTCTTGGGGGACATCGGACTCTCTGAAACCATAGAAATCTCAGTTCCCGCCTCCTTGACACTCTGGGAGATGTCAGTGTGTGACTCCTCGGCCATTATGGACTGCTTTTCTGAATTTCAACGATTCACGATCGTCGTGGTTGGTTTCCAGTACTCAGAGAGAGATCTGTCTTCGAGCTGTAGATACAGTAACTTTGATACCTTGTCAATCGTCGTGATTGATGTCCGGTGCTCGGAGACAGGGCTGTAGATGATTTTATGACCTTGTCGGTCGTCGTGGTTGACGTCCAGCATCTAGAGGGAGAAATTTGTCCTCGAGCTTCAGACCACTTTGACACCTTATCAATCGTCGTGGTGATTCAAAAGACTCGAGGTTCAGCGCTTTCGGCGTGATGTAGTGTTGTTGTCTGACGGGAAGACCAAGCGAGTCTCATAAGGTACTGGGACCATTGTATGAATGCAAAAATGCTTGCAGATTGAAATCAGGTCCATCGAGAGTGTATCATTGATACTCTTTCACTGTCAAGTTGCAGACTCCTTGATATGGCTATGCATTTTTATAGTACTATTTCCAACGTCGGTTGCTTGTGGAAGCTCTGTACTTCTTACCGTGATGGGTTTCTTGAGAACGTGTTTGACTTCCGCTCAAGACCACGGCCTGTATCGTGTCTACAGAAAGTCAGAAACTACTGTGAGCAAGGGTTGTGTCTACTAAGATCACATAAAGTCAATTGCTTCACTAGAAAGACGATAATGCCATGACATACCTTCAGTGTTTTGAATGAAAATATAGCAGAACGTCGGTTACAATGCTACGGCGTTGTCGATTCCGATTTCGAAAGTTCATCATAGCAGCTTATCATCAGGATCCCCATATGAGCAACTCCATATAGTACTCACTGCTTGGGAATTGAACCTTTCTACCGTTATACCGCTCTCACTTTTGAGCAAGTAGGACCGGAAGTTGGTGTTCTTTGAGGTGCAGACTCATCCACGGTATACATCTTTTCAAATTCACCTCGTTACCACACCTCACACCGACTGTCTCTCACATATCTCAATCCACTCTTCTCACATCTCGTAACCTCATCTAGTCTTCCGTGTCACTAACACCTCCTTCTGAGCTATATATCCACCATGTGGCAGTTACCAGTCTCTACCTTCTCTTCTCAACACAACTCTGTTGCACAACATCCTTCCTTCTCTCATCCTCCTCGACACACTCTTCCTCAACCTCACAACCTTCCACCGCCTCTTCTCAGCAACATGGCCTACACATCAAGAGATCCTCACATGGCCGAGCAGATAGAGATGGTCAAAAGGCTGGCAACACTGGAGACAGAGCTGAGAATCGAGAGACAACAGCATGCATTGGCACAGCAATGCGTCACTTACATGGCACGTCAACTCGCCTCTCAGAACCAACAATCTACAACCACAGCTCTCAGAAAAGAATCCCAGCCCCGCGGCAGAAGACTCGAGAGATGTGCAGCCAACCCCAGAAATCAAGCAGAGATTGAGCAAAAGCCAGAAGTGAGAGCAGATGGAGGAAGAGAGCTGATGGCAAAGCCACTGGCCGAGGAGGAGGATCTTCTCGCTTGTGACGACGTGGAACTGCCAGTGGACTCTGTGCACTCGCCTATCCTGGTACCTCTCAAAACACGACCTATACCCGCTGGTCCAAGATCCAAGCAGACATTCAAAACCAAATGTCTGGCTTTTCTGAAGCGCGATGAAGAAAAACATGAGCTAGTCGACACCGATAAGGACGCAGAAGGCACACTTTTCACCTTCGAGAACAGCGGCGATGGCTGCAGCAAAGATCCTCCTTCAAGCGACAACGACGACGCAAAACTCAATCCAGCTCCCGACGGACAGGATGCAAAGAAGCATGAACAGCCACTTACGCTCAAGAGTCTCTCGGATCGCTACAAGGACCGCAAGCCCACAGAGGATGGTCTCGACGCATCAGTATGGGCCGAGAGACCTTTCACTATATCCGGGCCGCTTGTCGAGAGACAGAGAGGCGTTCAAAGCGAAGCAGAGCAGAGAGCCGACACGGCAGAGGAGCAAGAGGATCTGATGCAGTTTCCTGGAACGGATACGGTTGAAGAGCTTATCTTGAGCGAGGAGCAAGAGGAAGAGGCCAAGCAAAAGCATGCAGCAGAACTCCGAAAAAACCAAGCACTGGTCATGTACGATCCATCTCTCAGCGAGGACGCTTTTCGCACAGTGCTGGTGACCGAAATACCGAAGGAACGTTCGGCTGCAGATGTGATGCGCATGGTCTCAGGAGGCATGATCGTCAAGGTTCAGTCCATGGATACGACACCCATCACAGGCAGCAGGACAATGATGATCACATTTCTGGACGGCCGTGACGCCCGCGACTTCTTGAGGTCGGTGAAGGGCAAGACGAAGCCAAGATTCAGTCTCCTCCAGACACCGACCTACCCTACTTTGCGGAACCTCGTCTACGACATGGAGTATAATGGTATCACACGTTGCTTGGCCATCCACGGTCTACACGAAGACATCACGTTGGAGGGACTTTGTGGGGCTACATGCCGACCAAAACACAAGCAAGACAGCGTGCTCGATGCCAGCAGAGACGAACAAGGAGTATGCCACCTCGAGTTTACATCTGTGACGGCAGCTACGGAAGGTCGCTGGGAGCTGAACAAAAAGCTCTTCAGACGCTTCACCAGAATATCGCATGAAGTGGATCCGTGCGACCGCAGAATTTCTGGCATCGATGAAGACGGAGAGGAGGAGGAACTTGGAAGTAGGGAAAACGAACAAAGCAATATTGTCGAATTGGGAGATGGAACCGAGACTGAGAGTGAGACGCAGGCAGGAGCCGAGACCGAGTCGAGGTCGTCTGCAGGAGAAAAGGATGCGGATGGATGGCCGATCGGAGGGTTGGATTACGATTGAGCCAGGCGAGTGCAGCAGTAGAGAAAAAGATTCGACAAGGATGAAAAAGCAGCGAAAGATCTTGAAAAGGCGATATCGGGAGAAGCTGGTCTCGAGCATTATATTCTCCTTATTCATTCGAGGGTATCTAGCCAGCAATAGGCACAATACCACCTCAAGTATTGACCCCATGACACTTGCGTATAATGACGACTCTTCGCATGTAACAGACGTATCGAAGTGGGTCTACGGCTCTGTGTTGTTCAATAGCAAGTCAATAGGCGGTTGAGCCGTTGTTGGTTCTTCACATGTTGAGTGTGCTCGCCATGGGTGTGTCTCGTGGACATGGTGGGAGCTGAACTGGGTGTTCTAGGCGTATGGCGTATATAGCCATGTGTCGTAGTGGCTCAGACTTTGAGACGTGATGGTCGCATCAACCCATTTGTTCGCTACAAAACAAGGTGTCAGCAAGATACAGAGATGATACGTGTTGAACAGGAGAGATCATACCCATAAGCCTGTTTGAGCTCTTTGATGGGCACAAGACTCAGGTAGGTGATCATGGTGGGCACGTTTCTGACGGCACTTCTCTGCTCAATCTTCTCGAAAGCTGCTTCGTCGTCGCTCATGGCATCTTGATTGGCCGCGTCCTTGGTGGCAGGCGCGGATTGCACCAGTTCGGAGCCAAGGGCATTGTATTGGTAGACCTTTAAACCATTCTCTTTCACGTCTCTCTTTGCGATCTCGACGACACTGATGAGCTTGTTGGCGAGAGGAGCTTTGGCGTGGAGAGCGACGATGGCGGGTTTGTTGTCGGCCGGCGTCGACTTGAGGTGCGCGATCAGGGACGTCGTTCGGTTGGAGATACTGCTCGACGAGATGACGCTGAGTTGCAGCACTGTATACTTGGCTGACAGGTCAGGAGGTGCTGGTGCCATGACTGTTTGGAGTGTTGACGACAAAAAGTCTCCAACCCAAGACACTCCGCAATCACCTTGATGATGGCCCGCCGCCAAGCTCTGAATCCACCTTGATTCCTTTGCGACCGACCAACTCTCTCTTCTACCACTCGTCCAGTCATGGCGCCGTCAGAAAAGGAGCATCCTGCTCAGTCGCTCCTCGCCCGCGCCCACGAACCCAACACGACCTCCCAGATTTTCCGCGAAAAGATCCAGAACCGCCCTCTGCTCCTCCGACCCTCCTCTCCCGATCCTCGCCAAAATGTCCGTTCTCAAAGACAGAAAGCAAGACTCGAAAAGCAAAGAGCAGGTCGCAAGTCGAAGAAGCCTCGCCCCTTGACTGCAAAGCAAAAGAGAATCCTCGGTGTCTACGACATTCCCCAAGACCAGCGCAAATACGACATCTACCTGCCCATCTGGAACCTGTGGTGCGCCTACATGCGCGAGATTCTCTCCATGGACAAGTCTCGCTACTTAAACGCTGCCGCTGTTGGTCCCCTGCTGGCTAGTGCGGATTACCACGGTGCCATGGTCGACGTTGTGAGATGTCGCTGTGTGGGAAGAGTCGGCATCAGAGGAATTGTCGTCAAGGATACAAAGTTTACCATGGAAATCATCACTCGCAAGAATGAGCTCAAAGGTATGGTTCCTCCACCCTTGTCGTTAGCATACCTCCTTGCTGACACTACAACAGTCGTGCCAAAGGAGTATACCGTCTTTAGATTCGAAGTGCCCTTTCCGGAAAAGGATGAGGACGGCGATAATCAAATGCTCGAGCCGCGCAAACCCTTCATCTTCGAACTCCATGGATCGCAATTCGAAAACAGACCTGCCGACCGTGCAAACAGAAAGTTCAAACAGCACATCGACCCTGATCTGTGAAGGTGACCGTACTCGATGGCATCCCAAAATCAAGCCCATCTTACTCCTAGAGACTGGAAGCAACCACACGCCTGATCTGGCAGTTTGCGGTCTGCCTTGGTGATAGGGCAAAATGCTGTTCCACTCTCGACGCATGCCTCTATGCAACCGCCAAATGCATCGATGTCTCACTTGGACCTATCTTCGGTCATTTGACAGCAAGACTAGGGAGAAAACTCCAAGTATGAAGATACCAGACTTCAATCATCGTACTCGATGGGAAGAGCCAGAAAGTGCCTAACAGCTCAGTCATTGACCGACAACGCAGAGATGACCAGCCGCGTCAGATGACTTCTCGGAAGGTACAGGCACATCAGTAGCTTTCCTGCGCCTCGAAAGAGCAGCAGAATACATTTGCTGCGAAGGGTGCTTGTTTTCAAGGTAGTTTGAAGAGAGAAGGTTGAGCACAAGATCATGCTCTAATGAGTTTTAGCCGCTACATAGCACACGAACGATACCCATGATACCCTCTCTTTTCTAGGATTTTATTCATCTTCCCACCATCTCATCCTGCCAATGTCTTCACAACCATCTGCACATGAAATCCTCATCACAATTGAACACAAAGAACAGGGCCACCAAAAAGACATGACCATCATCCACAATCCGCCAAGCCCGGACTTTCTTCTCCGCTTTCCTTCTCTCTCTCTCTCTCTTCCGCGCCGCCGCTCTCGACTTTCCCAGAAACCCGGAACTTTTTTTTTGTTACAACGACCACTCACCTTCTCATAACCCTGCGACCTTTCGCCTTTGCAGCCTCTCTCCGTGTCTATTCGAATCGATAGCTGAACACAATAATTCCGACACGCCGCGGCAGCAAAATACACCACGCGCCATCATGTCGTCCATGCGCAACGCAGTCCAAAGGCGCAACCACAAAGAGCGCGCCCAACCACTCGAACGCCAGAAATGGGGTCTCTTGGAAAAGCACAAGGTCCGTTGTTGTCTTCGTTTCGTTCAGCGATTGGATTCTTCTATGGAGAATTCATCTACGAGCTACAAGTCTGCAAAAAAGAAAGAAAAGGAATATTAACAAAAAAACTACAGGNACTACTCCCTCCGTGCAAAAGACCACAATGAAAAGAAACGCCGCCTCAAAGTCCTGCGCGAAAAGGCCGCCCAACGCAACCCCGACGAATTCGCTTTCGGCATGATCTCTAGAGCCACAAAAAAGGGCGTTCAACAATCGACAAGAGGAAAAGACAACGGCTCGCAAACGCCCATGAGCATGGATGTTGTAAAGTTGCTCAAGACACAAGACGCCGGTTACCTGCAGACCGTTCTGCAACAAACCCGTCGCGCCAGAGAAAAGATTGAGAAGCGAGCTGTCTTGATGACTACTGGGGTCGATGCGTCTAGCATAAGCAAGAGAAAGGTGTTTGATGACAACGGTGACTTGATTGAGGAGACCACGGCGCAGTCTGATTTTGACGACGATGACGATATGGATCTGGACCTCGACGATCTGGCAGACCTAGGCGACCTTGATGGACTCGATGATCTCGATGGTATTGGCGGAGATGGCAGTGGTAGCGAAGACGGCAAGAGCGAGGATGAAAAGAGCGACACCAAGGGCCTTTCAAAAGAAGATATCAGGCAGCGACGGAGAAAGAGACGCGCTCAGGAGGTGCTGCAAAACCATCTCGAAGCACTCAAAGACCGTGAGCGCGATCTGTCTGTAGCCCTGGGCCAGCTCCAGCATCAGCGGGCACGCATAAACAACACCGTCGGAGGCGTCAACAAAGAGGGTGTCAAGTTCAAGGTCAGAGAGAGGAAGCGTTGAAACTTGTGTTGAGTCTTCAGAAGGACGCCGAGCCAAAAAATTATTACATGTTCTGCGAGGGAGCGCCCGCGCTCTCACCAGGTTTCTTCGAGTTCTGCGCCTCATGTGTGCTGTTGGCGCCATCTTCGTCGTACAGCCCTTGTTCCTCAATGTATTTAACCACGGGCTCGGGTACCAAGTAACGGATACTCATGTCGCGTTTGCGGAACAGGCGGATCTTTGTGCTAGAAATGTCGTTCTGCACCAGTTGCTGTACGACGTGGATGTTCTCTTTCCATTGTTGTAGTGTTGACAAGGCTTCGTCAATATCGGTACCGGCTCTCNNTGTCTTGTGTTAGGAATCTATCGTCGTGAGGATCTAGGTATAGCAGCAACATACCTCGATAATAAAGGCGCCAAAATTGCTCAAAATGTAATCGATATCCTTCGGAGCCCAAACACCAGGAGCAGACATTGTTTGGATCAGATCTGCGCCAGCGAGCAAGGCAATCTTTGCCTTCTTAGGCCCCTGCGGGGTGTTGAATGGTCCACGGGATGTATTGATTTCATGCTCGAAGTGGTCGAGCACCTTTGCCGTCTCGAGGTAGTCTTCGTGAAGTGCCTCCCATGGGTCCACNTACAGAACCAGAGTCAGGAATTTGATAGCATAAACTCAACACAAGTGTCAAAACATACCACTAATCCAGCTGCTTTGCTCAACAGCAAGACTGCACATGTTGATTCGATGTTCGGCCTTGACGAGGCCACTCTTCTTGTATGCATCACCGACAGCACTGATATAAGCGCCAACGACCTCGAAGTTTGTGTTGAAGCGAGCGTAATCAGCAGCCATTTCGAACATTCTCAGATGCAGGAAGGTGATGGGACTGAAGGAACCGCAAGCCACGAGTACTAGCGGCGTCCTCGAGGGGTCTCTCAGTTGTGATTGCAGGCGCTCGGTGGGGAATGTGTAGTTGTTCATTGTCATGGTTCCGGTGGGTGCAGAAGACATGGCGACGAGGTTTGAGAGTGTGTGATATTGACGGTACTCCGGGAAGCGGCGGAACGACTGCGATTGCAGAGATTGGATAGAAGAAGTGCTCGAGAGGTGGTGGTAGATTGGGCGAAGGTTGTTGAGCGACTTCCTGTTGGTTACGAAAAGCGGTAGTTGCGACAGTCGCGGCGTTGCGCCGGCAGGACGGCGGGGTGGTGGCGTGGTGGGCGAGTGACGGTTGATAAGAGCGAGTCTTGTTTGCCTGAAAGACGCCGTTATGATGGTCGGAGTGGGTGAGAGTTGAGAAGCAAAAATACAGAGACGGAGATTGGCTGTCAAGATGGTGGGATTCGGAGCAGGTGCGATCGAGACTACTCGCTCGGAGGAAGGAGGGGTTGATGCCGTTCGTCCAGGCTCTTTTGCTGAAAAATCACGTGGAGCACGATGCTTTTAACTCCGGCTTCGCTGTCCAAGGCGAGAGATTGCGATGCAGCGCGTTGGGATCAATCGTGACCAACGTCGAGCTGTGGATTTATAGTCGGTGATGGATGAGACGATGGGTCAAGATTCAGGCAGGAGCGATGATTCGGTGCGACAAAGAGGAATTGGCTGAGGTCGCTGCTGCCTCTCCTCCAAATTACATTTGCGAAGACACACGATGACATCGCAGCCTGCCGTCTCACGCGTACGCCCGTCATACAAACTGTCTATCAATTATGCAGGAGCACGTGTACAAATATATAGATAAGACTGGCAATCAGTTCGTCTCACGGTTACGTGTATGCGGGTAATTGTTTTGGAAGGCTTCAAAGCTGAAGTCTGTCTCGGTGTCTTGGTGAAGGTCAGAGGCTCTGTGCCAGCCGCCTAACGTACAAGTAGCTCCCAAAGTTGCCAGAGCTAAGGTAGACAGTCAACTGACAACAACCTAACTATCTGTCTCGCAGTGCAAAAACAAAGTCTCGCGCTGTTGCCTGACCGTTGTGGGAATAGACAGTCAATCGACAAAAAGTATCCCTAGCGAGATTCGAACTCGCGACTTTCGCATTGCATAATCTGCTCCACTGGAGCAATTATAAGAACGACACGCTAGCCGCTGCGTCACAGGGATTAATGACAACGGTAAAAGTTTTACAGGATATAATCCTCCATTGACGCGATCTCGTCCTTGGAATCAGAACTCGCTTTGTCGTCGCGCTGTCGCTCCAACAATGGCGGTGTTGTGGACGTGATTGCACATGTCGAGAGCAGTTTCCAGCCAAAAGCCAAAGCTCAGTATCGCGTGTCGGGCTCAAGGCCTCAAGTGAGGTCCAGAGGGAAGAAAAAGAGAAAAACTTCATGGTCGCAAATTGGACAAAACTTTTGCTGTTCGCCTATATCCGAGGCTCTTAGCAAGCTTTTTTTCTCCTTCACTGTCCCTCAACCGGCACTTGTTTTTAGTCCTAATGGGAATAACGTCTGGATTTTTGGAGAACACAGATAACACAGCTACGAGAAGAGGTAAAGGAATTCGAATTAACAATGCGTCGGGCGCAAATGCACACCAGGGGATATCGATGCTAAAAGTTGTCCTCTATCACCATGCCGTGAATTACAAAGCTGTACAAATCTGAAATCATCAATCTAGTCTATGCTTTCTCGTTGACTCTTTTCTCGTAATGGATTGAGGCCGGTGTTAGAGGCCGTGAGAACAGAGACTGCAAACACAAGTCAGTACGAGGTCATTGAGAATTTCACAGCAGATCAAAACATACCGAGTAGTCAGTGTCAACAACACCCTCGCGACCGTTTAGGTTGCGGAACTTGAATGATTGAACCATGGTAACCAGAATGGTTTGCAACTGCACATAGGCAAATTGCTCACCAATGCAACGATGTCTGCCAGCACCGAAAGGAAGATAAGGCGAGCTGGCACCCTTGGAGACCAATCCATAACCGTAGTCGGTCTTCTCATCATCTTCGACATTGGCAGAAATGACAGGCTTGAGGCTTGTGTACTTGCCGGTGGCCTCAGCGTCCCAACGATGCGGCTCCCAAAGGTCGGGCTCCGGGAAATACTCAGAACACTTGGATGTAACACCAGGTGCGGCGAGCAGGACGTGAGTGGTGGGAATGACGTAGGGGGTACCTTCGACGGGCATGGGCGACTTGACAGCACGCATGATGCTGTGGATAGGGCTGTGAAGACGCAGAGTCTCCTTGACAACTTGAGAGTGAAGAGGCAGGCGGGAGAGATCCTCGAAAGTCAACTCGGGCAGGTCGGCACCAAGAACGGCCTTTTGTTCGGCAAGTAACTCCTCGACAATGTCGGGGCGAGAAGCCAGACGAAGCAGAATCCACGAGATGGAAGCAGAAGAACTGTGCTGGCCAGCCATGAGCAGAGCAATCATCATGTGAGCAATCTCCTTGTCAGGAATCATCTGGCCAGTCTTGTATTCGCAGTTCATCAGGTTCCAAATCATGTCCGTCTCGCCATCTTCGGGCTTTGTCTTGCCGCTGTCGCGTCTGGCCTTGATAATCTCCATGTATGTTTCGGTCATCTTGCGTTGAGCAGCGTCGCGCTTACGGTTCTGTGGGAGAGGAGCCCAGGGAAGCATGAAGTTGATAGGGGTGAAGCCCATGTCGAGGTCGTGGTACAGGTCGGCGAAGGTGCTGTCGAACTTTGCGCGAACTTCCTTGCCCTGGAGCGAACGACTGGCGGTGTAGATTGTCAACTCGGCCATGGCCTTGGGGACGTTGAGCTCGCCGGCATTGCCCTTGAACCAGTTGGAGTTTGCGAAGAAGTCCTTTGTCTCGGCGGCGATGACGGATACGTAGGAGCGGAGGGCGTCGGTGGTCAGGCCGAACTTGACGAACTTCTTCTGCTCCATGAGCTTGGAGTTGGGGCAATCGTAGACGACATCGGTGCCGAAGACGGGGGTGGTCAGGGGGCTGTAGATTTCTTCGGCATTGACATCCTTGAGCTTGCCGTTGAGGATGAAGTCGTTGCCCTTGGTGCCGAGGCAGACAGTGGTCTTCTTGCCGAGCAAGATGAAGGTGAAGACGTCGCCGTACTGCGATCGNAGAGAGTCAGTTGGGAGGCATGCGAGTTGGGCTTGTCGGACACGACAACAGACCTGGGCGCGGCAGTTGAAGAAGAACTTGTAGGGATCAATGCCGTAGGTGACGGTGCTGCCAATGAAGGGCACCCAGTGGAAGACGAGTGGCGGCTCGGAGCCCTTGCGACGGACGGGCAGCAGTTGCGAGAGAACATTGAGGACAATGGCGAGAACGAAAGCCGCGCCGCCGACGATTGAGACGGCGAGCCACAGAGGCTTGTCGCCCAAATGCGCCGAGACGGCGTCAGTAACAGTGGCCAAGACTCCCATTGTTCGTTGACTGAGGTTCGAGGAGAAAGATCAAGTCGCAGGCAACAATTGGGTGTTATTGTTGTCCCCAATAAAATTATGGTCTGATCATCCCGCCAGAGTTGCGGGCCGCCGCCCCCTGCCCAGCAAAAGCCACTCGAAACACGTACGATAGGTAGGTCATCATGCCATTGCTTCATCTTGCAAAGCGACCGACTTTTTTCATACAGACGTGTGAATAATTATCGTACCATCGTCTTCTATGCGTTAGGCCTTTGGCTCCTCGGCCTTCGCCTTCTCTTTCGCAATTTCTTCCTCTCCGTAGAGCGTTTCGTCTCCCTTGCCTCCCATCTTGACAAACTCGTCCGGGTTTCTGTCGTGCGCCGGTGCCTCTTCCTTGACGTTCGTCTTCTTGTCTTGGTCCTTGTTCTGTTCCCAGACCTTGACGTCTCGATCGTCCTTCTCTGTCGCCTGTGTCTTGAAAAAGGTTGCATCGTTGATGGAGCTGAGCAGTGTCCTCTCGCGGACTGGCTTTCGCTTAGAGAAATCCAACTTGTCCATTGCCCCTGTCAGGCCATCTGTGCTCTCCATGCTTGCTCCAAAGCTCATCCCTGTGCGTCCAGTAGTCCACGGGTGCTCGAGGCATTCATCTATCGTGATTCTCTTCTCAACATCGACTGTAAGCATCTTGTCAATCAAGTCCAGTGCCGGATCGCCGACGCTGTCCCAGTAAGGACTTGGGTAATCAAATCGCCCCATCCTGATCTGCTGGCTAAGCGTGTACGGGTTCTCACGCGAGTAAAGCTCGTCGCTGAACGGTGGGAACCCACACAGACAGATGTACAGGACAACACCCAGCGACCATACATCCACAGCCCGTGTGTACCTGCGGCGATTGCCTTGCTCCAAAATCTCTGGCGCAACATACGATGGTGTACCGCAAAGGGTGGACGTAAACGACTCTTCTCCAATAATCTTGGCGAGTCCAAAGTCGGCAATCTTGATGTTCAAATCGCGGTCAATGAGAAGAATGTTTTCAGGTTTGATGTCGCGGTGAACAATGTTGCGTTCGTGCNNTGCAGGACACCCGTTAACAAGGAGAATTTTGGGATCATTCAAGCCACAACATACCAGATATTTGATGCCCTGGAAAAGCTGAACGAAGATTTTCCTGGTTTCAGTCTCACTGAGCTTGTGTTTGGCGACGATCCAGTTGAAGAGTTCGCCTTCAGGGGCAAGCTCGAGGATCAGGTACACGCCGTCGCTTTCATCGAACGTGTCCTTTAGACAGAGGACATTGGGATGCGAGACTCCCATTAGTACACCGATTTCTTGTTGCAAACCATCTACTCTGCTTCTCTCTTCGGCAGCCTGAGAGTTAGTCGTCGTCCGGCGCTTTTCGAACTTTTTCACAGCATAGCGAGCACCACTGCACTTCTCAGTACACAGGTAGACTGTCGCGAAGTGACCCTTTCCGAGCTGTCCTTGAATCGAGTATTGTTGACGGAAGCCATTGGTGTCGCGTATGCTGGGGTATCGGAAGATGAAGCGTGCCACATCCAGAATGGATAGTTCATCGCCATCGTAGAGGTCGCGTCGCTTGTTCCGACCCACAATGGCATTATTGACGTACGTGCCGTTGCCGGAAAGATCCTCGACGACAGCAATCTGGTCACTATCCTTGTTCTCGCAGAACAGCAGGCAATGGCGGTTGCTGACTGTGGGCGTCTTGATGATACGATCNTGGAAATTGGCTGTTAGTCTGGCACCTTGTCCGGACCAAGAATAACACTAACCACACTCGGGATGTCTTCCTATGAGATAACCGCCAGCAGGAATGCCCTTCTCTGCCTTCTCTTTCTCGTATGACTCCTCTTGGTTGAGGTACTCGTCGCGCGACACTGCACTCTTACCATCGGTGCGACCGACCTTTGTTTGGGGTACGGGGCATGCCGCACGGCGTCTCAAGACTAGAGGCTCTGAAACTCCATCAAGGGGGNNCACGAGGTAGCCCCAGACCCCTTCGGCTTCCTCATCTTCGACCTCGTAGCTGATAGGTGGTGGCGGCAAGAACTGGCTGTAGGGCTGGGTGTCGGATGGAGGCGAGTGCAAGCCGGCGGCAAAGGGAGGAGAGGCTTCGGGCTTCTCGGACAGCTGCGAGACACCAGTCGAGGCCGTCAATTGTCCCTCGGTCGAGTTTGAGGCTTTGCGCGTGACTGGCGATGGCAGATGGGTGGGTTGGACAAAGCGAGGCTTCTTTTGCGAGTCATTTTCGATCTCGTCTGTCGACGCCNNTGATGAATGTCAGTCAGCGAGTTGGATGGGTGAGAGAGAAGACACGGTATGTCAACACACCCTCGCTCTCTTTAGTAGAGTCTGGTTCTCTTCTGCGGCAGGGGCCATGGCGGGACTGCGATTCGTGCGATCCGATGCTAGGCGGTGCGAGAAGGTGAGATGGGGCAGGTCGACGAGCTGGAAACGAGGGGTTGTGGATGATCAGATCAATAAAAACAGGGATCAATACAAGTACAGCGGTCGTCGAAGGAGAGCTTGCTAAGAGTCTGACCAATGCAGCTCGTACCTTTTGGCTACTGCGATGATGGAATTGCCAAGGAAGCCCCGGATAACTTTATCGAGAGGCTCGATCTCTCTGGGTTTTGGACTTGTCGATGCAAATGGACAGCCATCTGCCCTCTGTCTTGGGCCAAGGCCATCCATACTCATCTGCAATGGACAAGGTGTCTGCCTTTCCCTTTCTCACATCCGACGAGTTCATCAAGGCCTGTGAACACATCCAGCCGCTGCTATCCGATAGCGCATTGTTCGTCGATGACTCTGCATGCTTGCGCATCACGCGGCGCTTGGCTGCGGCTTCCGTCGCTAACGCCGAAGGTCAGGAACATGTGGATTCGCATCTCGAAACAGCAGAGGATCATGATGAAGAAGCCATAGTCAAACACTCTCGGAATGATTCGTTTGTCACTGTTCATTATGACATCTTGCTCTCCCCCAGCTACAGAGTACCCGTGGTATACATGACCGCCAGCCCTCCGCTTCCCGTCTCCCATTTCTTTGACCTTGTTGTGCCGCACCACTTCCAAGACGCGATGCGCAAAACAGGCATCATGGGAGCCCTATCCATGACGGTAGTTGTTGATCTCGCAGAAGCAGCTTCTCCAGCTGACCAATGTACTGGCAGGNACCATCCTTTGAGGGGAATGCCAGCATATTTTGTGCACCCTTGTCGTACGGCAGACACGATGTGCGCCGCAGCATCTGAAGATATCCGTGTCCAGAATTATATGCTCCTCTGGCTAGGGATTGTCGGAGCAAGTGTAGGCTTGAATGTGTCGAGCACAGATTTGCACCGTGCATGATTAAAGTCGTCTATTCTTCGTCGCTCTCTTCCATGGCTTCATCATCCATGTCCATGGGAGCCTCTTCTTCTCTTCCGTCATCGCTTTCGTCTCTGGGTCGCTTTACACCAGCAGTTTGAGCAGGGACGCTAGCAGCCGAGTCAAGTGTGGGNGGCGGGGCTAATGGAGCGGTGGCCCCAGGAGCAGTAGAGGCGCCAGGAGCACCTGAGAATATTGATTGCTGGAGGCTGTTTGGCTGGGCGGCGGCAGGGGCCTCGGGTGGGGGGNNAGGCTGTTTGTAGGTGCCGTCGAGTTTGGCAAGTGTATCAGACTTTGTCGCCGAGTATGTGATTTTNCTAAAGCGCCGATTAGCTCGAAGCGATGGGCAAAGAAAAGAGATCGCGATCAAACATACCATCTCCTTGCCAAAGAACTCAAAGCCTTGTAGGGCGCGCATGGCCTGTGTGCTGGACGAGACGTCGCGGAACAAGACATGAGCCTGGCCGCGCATCTTGTTGGTCTTCATGGCGACAATGTCGAGGATGGAGCCATAGACGGAGAAGAGCATGTACAAGGCGCGCTTAAGATCATCCTTCTGGAGCTTGTCGGGCAGATTGGAGCAGTACAGGGTGTGGTTGGGGCGGACGCCGGTCGGTGGAGCAGCCTTGGAAGCCATTTGCGATTATGCGACACACGAAATCGGGACGTCAATGCGGATAAAGCAGTACAAGAGGTGGTCGAATGGCTCAAAAAGTAGCAGAAGAGGCACGTCGGCGTTGGCGTCGGCGTCGCTCGCAGCGGAGCGCCCGATGAAGCTTGGAGCCAGCCCTTTCCCCACCGTCGTCGTCACTGCCTTGTCTTTCGTGCTCTCCCCCAAACAACCCCTTCCATACCATATAACAAGGACAGTAGAGAGAAGCTCCTGTCACTCCAATCGCCATGGCAGCTCCTCAAGTCCATCACCTCTTCCACCACCCGATCGCCGACCACTCCTTCTCTGCCGACCGCAAGACTCTCGCCGTTGCTAGAGACAACACTGTCGAGCTGTACTCTTCCAATGGCTCCCGCTTCGCCTTGAATGACGAGCTGCGCGGCCACGACAAGCTCATTACCGGTGTCGACATTGCTCCCAACTCGGGCAAGATAGTCACCTGCTCTCAAGACCGCAACGCATACGTCTGGGAGCCTTCGAACGGCTCCTGGCGTCCCACTCTCGTCCTCCTCCGCATCAACAGAGCCGCCACATGCGTTCGATGGTCCCCCAACGAGGCCAAGTTCGCCGTCGGAAGCGGTGCCAGAGTTGCTGCCATCTGCTACTTTGAAGAGGAAAATGACTGGTGGGTGTCCAAGCACCTCAAGAAGCCCCTTCGTAGCACCGTCACCAGCGTCGCATGGCACCCCAACAGTGTCTTGGTTGCTTTGGGCAGCACCGACGGTCATGCTCGTGTTCTCAGTGCCTTCATCAAGGGTGTTGATGAGAGACCGGCACCTTCGGTCTGGGGCGAGCGTCTGCCCTTCAACACCATCTGTGGAGAGTTCTTGAACCAGACTGCTGGTATGTTTAATGCTCTCTCCATCTGTTACGACACAGACAGTCGGCTAATTTGTAACCCTTGTANNGGTTGGGTCAAGAGCGTTGCCTTCAGTCCTTCAGGAGATGCCGTGGCCTTTGTCAGTCACGATTCGACCATGACCATTGCTTACCCCGCCGGAGAAGGCCAGCCTCCTCAAGCAGTTATCAACATCAGCACGCAAGTCCTCCCCTTCGCCGACCTTCTTTGGATTGCAGAGGGCGAGATTGTTTGTGCCGGCTATGTAAGTAGCGACTGCTGTGTTTTCTATCGAGTGACTCGCTGAACTCTTCCAGNNGACTGTGAACCTTTCCGTTTCTCGGGCTCGGCATCCGGTTGGTCGCTTGTGGGATCGCTTGACAGCACTTCAAAGTCTGGCGCAGCAAACCAGCGTGACGAGTCTGCCCTCAACATGTTTAGACAGATGGACCTCCGCGGCAAGGTTATCGACGATACACAACTCAAGACCGTCCACCAAAACTCCATCAGTACTGTCCGCTCATATGCCGGTTCTCCCGATGCTGTCAGTCAAATCAGTACTAGTGGTGTCGATGGTCGTGTCGTTGTCTGGAACCTGTAAATACATCTACAACAACAATACAATAATGCCCATTTTACACGCTGCACGCCTTTGTCTTTCCGTCCTCCCAGGCCTTGGATTACATCTCACGATGCCACACTCTCAGAACATGTTCTCCATCCGCTCCGGGTCAGGGCTGAGGCCTCGGTCGCGCGGGTTTCTCTCTCTGTGCCGCTTGTAATACTTCTCAGACTTGGCTTGCTTCTCAACGGCTCTGAAGATTGAGCGGGCTGCCTCTGAAACTTGTTCCGACGACGCGTTTGTCCATCTCGCTTGTGCTCCACCCCTCGCCTGTTTTCGAGCTCTGCGATCCGCGTGTTCACGAACGACCATGGCCCTCCGACGTCGTTCATCCTCCTCTTTTTCCCCTTCCTCCTCTTCTTCTTCCTCCTCCTCCTCTTCCTGTTCCTCTTCTTCCTCCTCTTGAGCATGCGGGCCGGTTGCTTGCTTCTGCACAATCGCCTTCGCCCGCGCGTCAATAGCGAGCGGTTGCGGTTTGGCTAATTGCGAGACAGTGTGTTTAGAGACAGGGTGTTTAGCGTGCCTCCTTTCGGCCATTTCCATGAGGAAGATACGGCCGGATTCCTTGAACCCATTGAGTATAGGCGTCATACCCCTTGTTCTCTCATGGCGGCAGCGGTAGCGGTGCTCATAGTCAGGAAACACGCATTCGAGTTTATCGTTGGTTCTTCGCAGGATGCAATAAGGTAGCATGGTAAAACTTTCCGGTCTGCTCGAGACATTAGTCAGGCCCTTATTTTGAGCCATGGGTGACTTACCGATCTCAAGACAGGAGTGATCTTACAAGGTCTGAGATTCGGTGTCGGAAACTCTCCCTCGATGGACGCGGCACACAACGGTGCAGTCATGATGGATCTGATGACAAGGCAATTGACCTCCAGATCTCAGGTGGCTGGGAGGTGCATCATATCTCTATACCGCTTGCCATCGTCGGCAATCACTGCATGTCACTCCTCGTACTCACTTTATTATTTAATGGCGATGATGACTCGACGCGAGCGGGTGGGCCCTCAAGCTTGGGTGAGCGCAAGGTACGTGCACCAATGCAGGCAGCAAGAGCCGAAAGCTCAGAAGGTCGATGCAAACAATTCAGTCGTTTTTATCTTGTCCTCGACCACTACAATCTGTTGCTGGTGTCGTGTGAGCATTCGAAAGTTTCTAAATGAACAAGAAGTCGATGTGAAAAGACCCTGAAAGCTTTCTCCACGTGTTCGGGGTATGAATGACAGGAAACGGCCGACCTCGGACCGAGGCGGCTCCGGTACCTATTTTTCCAACTTCGCTCCGTGCTCGATCCAACTTTCACCTCCAGCATGAACAGACAGTGGATCTTTCATGCCTAGACTGATCTTTAGCCTGGACGATTAGTGGCAATCATTTGGTGCCTGCCACCAGAGCAATTCAACGGATCCGGCTTTCCTGCGCCGGAGCCCAATGTGACTGTGCGGCGCCTGTCTGTTCTGCCGGCACATTCTTGCGTCTGTTTGGCCCTTCTCGAGCCCAGCAAAGACACAGCCATTGTCAGTAGAACTCTCGGTATGTTGCATGAAGGAGCTGTAGAGGGTTTCCACTGCGAAAAAGCTGTATCCATCAGAGCTGGTATTCTCAACTCACCGTATAGAAGAGCGTTTCGAAACAGACATCGCATCAGCAGACGCTTTGACACGTTGTCAACACCTACTGCTGATAACTGCGTCGATCTACAGCCCCCTCGTTTCTTGCCCGGGGTCTGGTTCGAGCCGGCTCTGCTGATGATGACTAAGGGGCGCCGAACTGGTGTGGGAGAGAGCTCCGGGGTTCTTGTTGGAGGGAACCCTTTCGAGGAAGCTCACACCGACAGAGGCGACGTGGGTGGAGCTGAAAGCGTAAGCTGGAGGGTGTACAAGTATGGCCCTGATTGGCACGAAGAGATGTTCACAACTTGGTGCAGTTGATGCTTTGTTTGTGCACGGGATCAGGTAGGCAACATATGCAAGATTGGTATCCCCGCTACGTCCCCACGGACCATACAGGTAATCATCCTACCTGCCACACATTATTCAAGCGTTTCCTGGATAGAGAGTGTGATGCGCTCGCTCGATTCTCAGTAGTCGAGTCCTAGATAAGTAGGCTGTCTCGCTCCTGTCGTTTTTTCCTCGGTCAGTCCGCTTTCCGTCTTGCGAAAAACCGCAGTGGCTTTGTATTCCGCGTCTGCGTTCGCCGCGAGTTCACTTCACGACCGCCAAACCCCTCGCTCTTTCCCCTTCGCTCTGCCCCACCACAACCTTTTTGTCACCCTGATATCACCGCAGCGACTCAATCTACTGCCTCGGCCAAGTGACGCGCCCTCATTGACGCGTTCAAGATGGCTGCGCGAAGACCTGACCGTATACCTCCCTGGCAGGTAGTAGCAAAAGGCTACGAAAGCCCCACAGAATCGGTACGTTCTTCACAGTCTCCATTGATGTGCACAAAGCTGACAGTACAGACCTTCGAGGTGCTCAAGCATGTGTACACTCTGGACCAGTGGATCTCAATGTCCAACTAGAATGCCCAAAGAGCACCCGCACTTTTGGGCAGGAAGAACACAAGACTCGGCCTTCCAGAAGTTCGTTTCGAAATCTGGCCAGCAGAGGAAAGACACACCCACTTTCAGCTCAGGCAAATCTGGAAATTCTGCAACTTGAAGTGTCACGATTTGGCTCCATATGGTAAAGTTTATCTTCTCGAACAACTGCACTGTCGAGATTACCTGGCTAACAAGAGCAGCCTTCAGACCAGACCTTAGGCCCTATGCGGAGTACAAATGGGTCGTGTTCTCCACAAAGGTTCGATTCTCCGGGGACGATACAACCAGTGCTAATGCACATCGACCATCCCGAGCACAACCACTGCAAAATCATCAATCTGGATCTACCGCAGCCAAGATACCAGTCCGCATCGCCAGCAAACCAAAATCAGCTCCAGAGTCTTTATCCGGGCTCAGATCCGATGCCAGCCATCCTGACTCGCAGCCAGTCCACGCCCCTCGTCTACACGCATCCGCTCCGAATGCACTATCTCGTAACCCAGGTAAAGCTCCAGTGCGTTCTGCAGGGGCTTCTTTCCGTCCGCCCTCAACGACCCAAGCATCGAAATTTGCCAGATCCCGCACTTTGAGCACCACTTCTGCATCTAGTTCAAGCTCTGAGAGCGCTTCCGACATTTCGGATCGACCGGGAAAGGTTTATGTCGACAATTCCGGCAGTCCCGACACCACAAATCGGATCGAGGCATCTCGCACGCGCCTTGCACAAGCTTTTGAGAGCCGTCAGCCAATCATCAAGCCCGAACCCTCTCAGGCCTTGGAGAACCCACATTCCCATCCAGATCTGATGAGAGATAGTGAAGCTCCCTCGAGACCTGGAACCAGAAAGGTCAGAGCTCCGTACTCGCCTACTCCTGGCCCAGCTCAAAGTACGAAGCAAGTAGCGTCAAGTGAGCTTGGATCCCCATCTCTACAGTCCAATCACAGATACCTGCCTTCGGCTGCAACTACACAACTCTCGCGAGCAGTAGACAAGCAGCTGGCAAGATCAGTTCCATCTTCCGTTGGCCCAGCATCTCCTTCTAAACCACAAGCTCTGGTCGGGACGGATAGACATCTATGTGAGACGTGCAACAAGTTCCATCGTGGGGTTTGCATTCCGATCTGTAGCAACTGTTCCAGACGACACCCAGGCAAATGCCAATCCTGCGACCTCTGCTCGGGAACACATGTGGGGAACTGCCAATACTGCGATGCCTGCTCCAGACGACATGTTGGACAATGTCGCTTCTGCGAGGAATGTAAGTCGCGACACGTCGGTCAATGTCACCACTGTGACAAATGCGGATCTCGGCATGCATCAGAATGCCGTGAATGTGCGAAATGCAAGACGTGGCATATAGGTTCCTGCACTGTCTGTAACGTGTGTGGAAAGAGGCACAACGATGTCTGCAGGATGACTGCAAAGCCACAACAGACCAATGCAGCCCCGACTCTTTTATCAAAGGCAACAATCAACACCAAACCAGTCGAACTGCCCACTCCCAAGGCCGATCGTTGCAGGCATCTTTCAAAGGGCCAGGTATGTGTAAGATGTGAAGATGGATGTGGCAAATGTCACCCTCTCGGCAACATATGTCCGAAGAAAAAGGCTGCCGTGCAAACCCAAAAGTCTGCCGAAAAGCGAGACAAGACGCCTGCAGCAACCAGTCGGTCGATTGCAAGCACACCATCGCCGCGACAGATCGAGAACGAAGAAGTGGGCCGCAAGCGAAAGGCAATTGATCAAGATGTAGAGGCTGAGGTCTCTGTGAGTCAATCGCAGGCCGTCGTTCCAGGACTTAAGAAGAAGAGGAAGAGTCAGATCAAGATTGAGCGAGGCTTGGTGGGCTCGAAGTACAACCCAATCCCTCTGGAGGACTAGGTCAAAAGTGCTGGTGGAATGGACGAGGATTCAGCTGAGGTGGTTCTGCTGTACAGTAGTGTCTTCTTGCGAGGATACAATTCGCTGGGGTGGGTTCTCTGGTGTTTTGCTTTTTGGAATGGTTTGGCAGGAGAAGAAAGAGTGGCTATGAACGAGCAGAGAATGGGTCTACAGAGCTGTACAGAAGATGGCTCGGTGCGATGCCATAGCTACTCATATACAACGTACATAACAGCAGTACTGACCTTCTACCTAACGATCAAAAGCTTCAGTGTCGAAGGAAGAGCATTCTGCAGATACGATCAAAGTGCTGCGACAACTGCTGTCTTCTTCAAAACTTAGATGTAACGAATGTTTTGCTTTCAGAATCTATCCCTTCTGCTTCGATGCCACTATGGCAAAATGATACAAACTATCCCAAGTGGAGTCCTAACTAGGAGACGCAGACCAGCGTATGTATCATTTCCTTTGTTGCTTCGGGTCTGGCTTTGGGGACTGGGCCTCACACATCTGCCTTTCGCCGCCATGGCAAAACATTTTCAATGAGATTGCGTCCGCGGGAATTGCCTGTCCACAACATGAGCAGTGTGAAAGCCATCAGAAGCTAGCCAGCGGTAGAGAAACTTCTAGAGGGTCGACCGGCGATGGGCGATGCGGCGCTGATTGGCTGGCGGAGTACAGCCTGCGCAGGTGGCATGCACATCCTTGGTGCCGATGGTGGCATGGCGGGCATCTCTGGTCTGTTCTGAGCCTGAATGGAAAAGATGAAGGTCCTGTCCAGCTTCAAAACGTTCAATCCTCGTGGTAAGAAGTGTCAACGCCCATCTCTTCGCCGACTCTGCGAACAACGTGACGTAGGGCGTTGCATGCCGGGCTGTCGGGGAAGTTATCGAAGAAGCTCTCACCAAAGTCGCAGGCCATGCCAATGCGAGGATCCAGAGGGACTGCGCCGAGGAAAGGAATTGACATGTCCTGGGCCAAACGTCTGGCACCGCCAGTGGTCGCCTTGAAGATCTGACTCTCGTGGGTACACTTGGGACATACAAAGCCTGACATGTTCTCGACGATACCAAGCACCTTGATGCCGGCCTTGCGACAGAAATCAATCTCCTTGCGTACATCCAGCAGACTGACTTCCTGTGGCGTGGTGACAACAACGGCACCGTCAACTCCAGATTCCTTGAGGAAACTGTTGACACTGAGATGTTCGTCGCTAGTACCAGGAGGAGTGTCGACAACTAGATAGTCCAGCTCGCCCCATTCTACATCCTTGAGGAATTGTTTGATAAGGCCGTTCTTCTTGGGGCCGCGCCAGATGACGGCGTCGTCGCGATTGGGCAGCATGAACTGTACGCTCATGACACCAAGGTTCTCAGTGACCCAGACAGGGCTCCATCCAGCGTTGCTCACGTGGATAGTCTCTTGTTCTACGCCCATCATTTTTGGAATGCTGGGACCGCAGATGTCGGTGTCCATGATTCCAACCTGGGCATCGGGGTTGGCGGCGAAAGCGTGGGCCAGCATGGTGGTGAAGGTGGATTTGCCGACACCACCCTTGCCGCTGAGGACGAGGATCTTGTGCTTCACAGAGGCGAGACGGGCGGTGATGAGAGGAATGTCGGGATCGGGACCTTTGGGAGCGGTGGCGCAAATCTGCTGGTTCGGACAGCCGGCACAGGCATCGCCCTTACCAGCGCTCTGCGACTCGGGGCCAGGGCAGTGTTCTNNGCGATAGGCTGTTAGCAAGAGTAGACGGCAGACAGACGGCGAGCAGAAAGTACCAGGCTCGGGGGCAACTAGCTTCGGGGCGGCCTTGAGCGGGGCGTTGATGTCGGCATTGTCGTTGTCCTCGACCGAAGTGGCCCTTGAATCCACGCGTGCATCCATCGTCTGCGTCTTGTGCGACTTGTTCAGTCGAGAATGGCGATGGTTTCATTGCTTTCGTCGACCTGCGCTGCTGACCAATTCTCCGCCCCGCCATCGGCCATGACGCCAGCCCGGTTGCTCTCCTCCGCCATCCGCCTCCCGGGACAACCTCCTGACCACAGCCATATCAAACCACCTCTACTGATGAGTGTAGAGTTACAGAACAGAACAAATGACAACTTTTGATACCTATATTGCACAGCTATCCTATCAATTCTCCTTCAACAAACGAGCCAATGCTTTTACGAGGTCGCCAAGGACCTTGTCCTTCTCAGTCTTGATGCGCCGCATTGCCTCTCGACCTTCAATGTCCAGCTTCTTCTTGCCATCCCCACTGAGAATCCCGACATGATACTCGCCCAACTTCAAGAGTATCGCTGTCCTGAGCTCATCGGACGACTGGTTCCGTGTCTCGTCAGTGTTTCTCATGCCATAGTGGAACACTTGGGAGGTAGTAAGTCGCCACTGCTTCTTCTGCTTCTGGGTCTGAACCGAGCTGCTCGACAGAGCTGCACTGCTCGATGTAGCTGCACTGCTCGATGCAGCTGCACTGCTCGATGTAGCTGCACTGCTCGATGTAGCTGCACTGCTCGATGTAGCTGCACTGCTTGATGTAGCTGCACTGCTCGGTAGAGCTGCACTGCTTGATGTAGCTGCACCGCCTGACGGATCTGTACTACTCAACCCACTTGGACTGTCGGCCACAGCACCTGCCTTTGGGTGTCGGTATCGACGCCTGGGAAACCTTAGCGTCACCGGCGTTGGACATGCCGAATCAGTCTCCTCTACTGAACGGACAGCACTCGCAAACAGGTCACCTTCGTACTTTTTCCATGATTCCCACACCCTCTCACAGGTCCTCTCGTATGGCCTGCCACGCTTGCGGCCAAAGGCGTCGGGCAACCATCCATGGCGATCCCCAGGAGGAATGTACGACCATGCAATCAAAACGTGAATAAGCGGCGCGCCGCCAAAGAGCTGAGTCCGCCTCTTCAGGGTGAGTCGTTCTTCCACGGGGTGAAAAGGCTCGAATCTGGCGTACCAGCGCTTCAGCTTCTGCTGTATGTTAGCTTTCGCCAATGATGATCGACAGTACCGTGCCTGGTTGTACTTACCACCATATCATTTTCCGCTGGGAATTGCTCGGGCCATACATCTTCGTTCGTGGCATTGGCCGAATCGGCTCTGCAATTGCTATAATCGTCGTAGTCGTCCGGCTGCAGTTCGTAGTCACTTTCGTCGTCTGAGGTCGCAAAGCCGTCATCGCTCTCGAAACTTCCGTCTTCCTCGTAAGCCCCGTCGGCTGCGTAGTTCTCGTCGGCCTTGCCAGTCTCGTCGTCGTCGTCGTCGTCAGACTCCTTGTAAGTGATCGTCTTGCCACCGTACCTTGACCTGGTCGAATACGGTCCAGGTCGGCGCGCAGAGCTCTCATCCATGGTCTTGCCAAAGGTCGCGATATGACGAAGTTCAGCGCCGCTGATACATGCTTTGCCCATCGTGTGTTGTGAAGGTACACAGCCTCGGCAGAGACGTGGTGAACAACAGAAACAAATAAAGGAAGTAGCGATTGGATTGAATATCTGAAGCTCACAGGAGCGATTGTGTCTATTTGAATTTGTTCCTTGATCCATCAATTGAGCTCATGAAGAGGCTGGGAGTCCTCAGGTCCACTCCTCGAGAGGTTAGTGCTATAGCATACCAGGACAACCCAAGAACGCATTGACACGGCACTATGCCGATCACCGTGCTGTCATTCGAGTCATCCTCCGCGTCGAGAAAATTGTCAAATACGTGGTAAGTCTGATTCAACTCTTGCAATAGGAACTGGGTTGCTTGTACATCTCTACCTGACTTCAAACACTCGCACATGTGTTTCAATCTCATCACGATAGTTGAGCTGTTCAAGGTCTTGATCTCACCGCTCAATAATGATAGATTGCCGAGGATATTCTGTAGGGCGCAATACGAATTTTTGCGAGCAAGGAAAAAAGTATCGACGTGGCTGTGCTTTTCAGATATATTGCTTTCGCAGCCGAATTTTCCGGGTTGATGACACGAGGGAAGACTTGGTGACACTTCTGGAAACTCCTGGTTCTCTTCATGGCGACCAAAAAGAAGCCTGGTCTCCATGTTGTAGCTGTGTAGAAAATGTCAGATCCCCAGATCCTTGTCGAAAGGTGGAAGACTTTCTTGAAACGAGGGACATGTTTCGGGTCTTGCGGCCCGAACGGTGCCGCTATCTATTTCATGGCACCTGGGGTGCCCGCGGGTCAACGATGTCTATGCTCTCGTCTAGACCATTTCAACATTTTGGGCTGCCATCGCAACTTGTGTGAAGCAGGATCCTACAAGCTGCCTGTGGGCCCATGGACCACGGCTAGCGAGGATAGTGAGATCCGCGACTCCACAGCGAGTTGCGGCAATTCGACATTCGTGCCAGAGACGGACTCGAGTCGGGCGAAATAATCACTACAGGCTGGGGTTCTGCATCTGCTGAAAACATGTGGATAGTACTTGTCAAATGCTTTTAGGGAGGTACTGAGGTAGTTACTTGATGTGTACTCGGTATGCTGCAGTCCTTGTCATGAGCTAGCCTGAGAACTTGCTACGCATGACGAACATCAAGACAGCACGAGATGACTGGCAGTGCCACGGTTTCCATCCATACCATGCGACTTTGATTATCGTGTGCGCGCACAGAGCCAGTGCGAGCTGACAGAGGCCACTTGCGCACGACTGGTGATCGAAAGAGGAGAGAAGTTTGTGGAAAGTGAGCAGGATGGTTGGCCGAAGACGGCGAAGGAAAGACGGCAGTTGTGGTACAGTCATATTGTAAAGAGAACATCGAATGAGGCACTTGTTGGGCTCATACTCAAGGTGCTAGTCGTGAAGGGTTGTACTGAAAGGAGCCATGAGCATTCAAGCTCAATAGTGATGTTCTTGAGGATTACGAGCACATCACTACAAGTATACTTGAGAGGAATGGAGGATGCGGGACCGGATCATAGATGGACAAATCTTTGGTGGGGCTGGCTGAGCGACGGGACGATTTAAGCATTGGCAGGTGAAGTTATGGTCTGATTTGAGAGGGATGGCATGCTCATATCATGGCCATGGACCCGTGAAGGCAGCAGCTGAGGTCAACAGAAGCATGGGATGGCTAAAGTAAGCCGCCGTTTGATCCTTCCGAAAGTGAAAGAGCGATGAGCTCCATGAGTATGACGGCAACGGCGACCCCGCACTTTTGGCACGCGTCTTTCAAGAACTTGCGACGCGACTTTCTCTCTTCTTTTACTCTCTCTGGGCAATTCGTCAAGATTGTTCCCGGCAACCATGTTCATTCCTTCGTCGCCGCCGGTCCTCCCGGATGAGGTGTTCAACGAGCCGCCAAGCTCGCCGCCGCTGCCGCCGGCCGCCTTTCCATCTCGCAAGCGCCATGCACGGTGGGACTACGAAGATAGCAGCATGTCCAGTGATCCCATCTTCAGTGAGGACGCATCCGAAGAATCAGAAGTCACAGGGATCAAGCGCAAGCGGTTCGTGCGCGGTCCTTGGTACCAGCATGCTCAATCTCCGGCCGTGTCGCGTGTGCGAGGAGAGACACGCAAGCCCGACAGCGGTGTCTGGCTAGGTTCCGACAGTTCCACCAGTTCCACCGACAGCATCGGCAACCGTCGCATGCAGAGCCTGACCTTTAATGAGTACATGCACAAGGGCGCCCCTCTCACTCAGCGCCAGACCCCCACCAAGCACCAAACCCCCACCAAGCCGAAAGACTCGATCCAGGAACACGCCGCCAGTATCGTTTTCAGTTGCGTCGACAATTGCAGAGATTCGATCGACCTCTCGTGAGTGCTTGCTTGCCACCACTTGTCCCGCCGGCCTACTAACGTGTCTCTCGCANGTGATATGCACCTTGGCCGTATCGACAACGAAACCCTCAAACCGCTCCACCAGCTTATCCGCCTACCTGTCCCCATCAACGACACCCAGAAAATTACTGTCGACCATTTCGCCCCGCTCACTCCCAGCATCAAGTTGTTTCTCTCCAAGAACGACCTACAGCAGCTACCGTCTGAACTGTGGAACTTAGGCAATCTGGCTGTCCTCAGCTTGCGCTCAAACTCCTTGACTCAAATATCACCCTCAATCGGCCGCCTGCGCAACCTCCACGAACTTAATGTCGCTGGCAACCAGCTTCCCTTCCTTCCCTTCGAGCTACTTGCTCTGGTTGAGAACAAGCTTGTCCAGCTTTCCCTGAGCCCAAACCCATTCGTACAGCCTCTACCTCTGCCGGCTTCGACCATGCTCAGAAACGTTCCTTCCAAACGCGACGACTGTTTGCGCGAACTACAACGTCTACGCGTACGCTGTCCTGGGATCGACAAGACTCAGCCGTCGCATGAGGCTTTGCTGCACCGTCTCTATGCCTCTCGTCTCCACGCCGCTTCTCAGGGGCTCAAATCCACATCGACTTATGTCGCTTCATCCTCGACGTCTTTCTTCGAAATTGATGGTTCGGTTGTCCGTCCCCGCTTCCGCGCATATACCGCACATGCCAGACCAGATTATTCTGCTTCATTCAATTCCCCTTCACCACCTTCATCTGTGCGGTCTGCCGCACCTTCTCTTNTTGAATTGAGTGCACGCGCTTGTGCTCGCTCCCAATATGTGGGACAGCTGTCTACACTTCTCCCTGAAGATGCGTCTCCGCCTGTCAATACGGCAATCAGCAAGGTCATGGAAAGCAAGGAGATAGGTATGCAACACTGTTCTGTTTGCAACAAGCAGTTTCTTGTGCCCAGAGCACAATGGGTCGACTATTACTACGTTGGACCGGGTAGTGAGATGTGCTCCCCTAGTGAATTGTTCAGGCCGTTTTTGCGCAGGGCATGCTCTTGGATTTGCGTTGGTCGTTTGAACGAACAACGAGAGAAGCACTGGGAAGATTGCGAGAAACACATCCTGGAATTGGCACGGTTCGTGTAGATCGCTTTTTTTTTTCACGGCAGCAGGCCTGCTCCGTAGGTTCTTGGACTCGTACATACTCCACTGATTTTTTGAACCTCTTGATTGAATCTCTTGACTTGACAACAGCGATTTCCTGCGTGAGATCCTTTTGTAGTAGATAGAGGCCTGATCGTATAGGAATAATAATATCATTGGCGCCTTTATCTTATCTTTGCCCGGCTGGCACAATTGGTCAGCGCGTGAGACTTTTAAACATAGAGATCTCAAGGTTCAGAGTTCGAGCCTCTGGTCGGGCGATGTAGTTTTTGTTTTGTCAAAGCGCATCGTGTGTCATCTTCCTCTGGATCCCTCTTGCCTTGATCTGATCGACAGCAGTTGCCTACGTCGCTTGCGTCCTTTTATTTTCTTTGTACCCAGAGGCCGATACCCAGCGGATATCGTGTCTTGGCAGATGTCAGACAGGGTGTCACCAACAGCGTTGGAAAACTGGTCATCAAAGTTCTCATACCCGATTATATCCTCATATTCTTTCGCTGACTCGAATAGAAGCAGCTGTGGTCGAGGGATGATAGCTTGCGAATATTCCATATATATTGGTTTTGTACCAAAACATGTTTTTCTCCATGCTTCGCCCTATGTCATAGTGTAAAAGCACGAGATCTCAGTCGTATTCCAAGCAAATCACAACAACTCGGTCAATAACGATGATTTCAGCACCCATCCATATTTTTTCGATCAGCAACTGGTTTGAATCATAGGACTACCTATTTTGAACGACACACCCGGTGATAATGAGTTGGCGTTGCCGTACGAAAAGGCTGGATCTGATAGAGCAGGGTCATACCTGTAGCACCAAAATCGGCGTATGGGATTGACCAACGCACAAATAAGTGTTCCATCTTATCTGCCGATGCCTGAGACGTCGAATCATGTCTATAAGAACGCGCAGTACTTCCCGGAAGGGTGTAATGTCCGTTGACAATTGCTTTGCTCTCTCGCAGACTCGGGTTGCTTTTGCCAAAGTACTGTACGTTCGCAACAGTTGATACAGTGACAGAAGCATACATGAGCTTCATATAATTTGTGTAAGAGCTTATGCGCACTCTATTCGTTTGCTGCATGATCGACCCACTCCATGTCTCAAAATAGGATGTCGGCTACGTGCTCGACATTCGCCTACCCGCAGCAGTCTTGTCGTTAACGTAGCCTAAAACCACCGTGGCTGTATCGGATCATGCCTCCGGATTGAGATCAAGAAGCAGATAATACGTGTATCAGCATCATTATGCCCTTGCTCAGATACGTACAGAGACTCCGACCAGCATGTTTCCATGTAGATGAGGATCCTTTCAAACATCTCTTGATCAGCATCTAGCTATAAGGATACCGACGTGCCTTATCCGGGCGGCAAGATCGGCAGGAGTTGGGGGATTGCAACGAAATTGCGACGACATCGATCCGGAGCATGACTTGAGCAGTTTCAAAGACGGCAGTTCAATTGTTTTCACCACGACATACCTTCGCCAGGACGCCAAGGTCTTACATTCCTTGCAAGCGGCTCAACAAACATCCTACACGTCTCAGTCGCAAAGTTTACAGCGCAGTGCTCTTGGCCGCTTACATGGCTTCCCAGCATGCGTAGATGCTTCCACCGTGTGCGATACGGCGAGTTCGGCAGAGGACGTGGCTGTCAAAGGCGGTTCGCATGAAGGCTGCAGGAGCTCGGGGGTTTATTTTGGCTGAGATCTTGTGATTTGTGCAAGGGTCTGTGTGTTGACGGTCGATCAATTGACTTTGCGCCTTCCAACGGCCGGGGCCAACAAACATGCATGGGGAAATTTGATGATTTGGTTGTCCTTGATGGCATTCCCTAGCCAACACGCTGTGATTGGCAGAGTCGAGCTGACAGAAGAGCTTTACAGCCAGAGCGACAGTCGCTGGGATTATGCGTCCACGAGTGTCGAGTCGCAAGTGGTCTAATGAGCCATCTGCTAGATGATGGGCACAAGCAAGAGTCGGTCGGCATCTTCACTCTAGACTATCGGCAGCAGTTCACAACACACGCCACGAGCGGAGTAGTATGATACAATAAGCTCACTGGTGCGAGATTGCCTTGGCAGGCACGCGAACTTGCCTCCTTTGCGACAAGCCTTGAGGGAGGAAACGGCNNCAGGCTTCATTTTACATAGTTCATCGAAGGTCGTCCTTTCCACATCTCCCTCTCCTTCTTCTTCGACCTTTGCGCCGCCCATCTGCATGTTTTAGCAGCCGACACTCCTTCCCCGGACATCACTAACGACCCAGCAGAAGCATTTGCTTCTATCCACTCTTTGGAATCCCACGACAGTCACTCGCTTGCACCTCGACCACCGCATTCCTTCGCCGAAAAGCAACCCCAACTAACGACTCCGAATCGCATTCTTAACCGGACCAACAATGAAGTCTTCGCTTGTTGTGCTCTCGGCCGCCTTTGGCCTGGCCGCCGCTGTGCCTCGCCACAACCACCATGCTCACCACCAACACCATCAGGACATGAAGCGTGACGCTACCGCAACTGAGAACGTCGACGTCTTTGTCGCCGGTCCCACGGTTGTCATGTACTCGCTCAACGGCAACATCATCTCCGAGTCTGATGTTCTCGAGGGTATCAAGAACGGCACTCTGGTTTGGGCCAATGGCGCTCCCTCTCTGGCCGACCCCTCGTCCTCGGTTGTGTCCTCGACCTCTTCTGCCGTCGCCGCTGCCAGCACGACATTCTTCACTTCAACCTCGTCCAGCTCTTCGTCAGCCTCGAGCTCAACCAGCATCTCGATCAGCACTAGTGTTTCTTCATCCCAGCAGAGTGCCACGTCCTCTGCAGCTTCGTCGTCGTCGACCGGGCTCGACACTTCTTTCCCTGACGGAGAAATCGACTGCTCTGACTTCCCCTCCGACTACGGTGCTCTCTCTCTTGACTACCTCGGTCTCGGTGGCTGGACTGGTGTCCAATCGCCCGGTTTCGGAAGCTCCNTTCTCGGTCTCACCAACATCAAGACCGTGACCCACTCCAACTGTGGAGGAAGCGACTGCTGCGCCGAGGGCATGTACTGCTCTTACGCCTGCCCTGCAGGTTACCAAAAGGCTCACTGGCCCACTACCCAAGGCTTGACTGGTCAATCTGTTGGTGGCCTTCTCTGCAAGAACGGCAAGCTCTACAAGACCAACCCCAACCACGACACTCTTTGTATCACTGGTTCTTCCGAGGTCACCGTCCTTGTTCGCAACGAGATGTCCTCGAGCGCTGCTGTCTGCCGCACTGACTACCCTGGAACAGAGTCTGAGACAGTCCCCGTTACTGCCAACCCTGGCAGTGTTGCAAACCTGACTTGCCCCGATGCCACCTACTACCAGTGGACCGGCAAGACCACCTCTGCTCAGTACTATGTCAACCCTGCTGGAGTCTCGGCTGAGGATGGCTGCCAATGGGGTTCTCCTGCCAACCCTTGGGGTAACTATGCTCCTCTCAACCTTGGTGTTGGTTACTCCAACGGCGCTGCATGGCTTGCCATCTTCCAGAACGCTCCCACCACCGATGAAAAGCTCGACTTTACCATCACCATCGAGGGTGACAACATGAACGGTTACTGCAGATTCAAGGATGGACAGTACTGCAGCGGCAAGAACTACGACTCATGCAGCTCTACTTCTGGCTGCACTGTAAGTCTTGCTTCGTCTGTCTAAAACATGCTTTGATGCTGACATTCCAATAGGNTTTCCGTGACATCTGGAACTGCTTACTTTGTCTTCTCCAACTAAGGTTCTCATTATGACCATGAATTTTGTGGGCGCAGAACCCACGTTCTGCCAGTTTGAAGCCTTACGTTTTTGACTGCTGAGCCGTGCTCATGCAAGCTGTATCTACTATCTGGTCGCTGCCCAAATCTTTCATCGCCATCCCTGGAAGCTCTTGATGAACCCAGCCACGACCGGTCCCGCCAACTTTGTGCTATCGTTGTTTCGTCCTTGTGTTGCACCATGCCTGTCACTTGTTGATATATGGTAGCTTTTCGGCCGACGAGATATGTTGGTTTCTCTTCTACTTTTCAGCAATTTCGGGCCATGATCCCAGCTATCCTGCCTGGTATTGCTGTTTTCATTCTCTTCTTGCTCTCTTTTGTTGCCATCAACACTTTCCTGAGATGTCATATCTCATGGGCTCTTTCTTGTATATATTGTATCTTCTACCACTTTTTGTTAATGTTAAATATTCTCCCAAACCGTGTCCAATTTGGTAGTTCTATTGGAAAGCATCTGCATGTTCGATTGACTAGACGTTCCACTCATAGAATCTTGTGGCTCAGTCAAGAGAGATAGATGTGTGCCAAGTACGAAGAAGCACGCAGAAGCCTGATCACTGGTCATCGTGAAGCTCAAAACTCGAACGTCAGCTTGCGATTGTAAGGACTATGTCGTGCTTAATTGCGTTTGACATATAGGTCTACAAACAGCGAGAACATATTCATAGGCTGCCTTCAGAGTGGGACTGACCCTCTCTGCCAATGTACTCCAGCTTGTATGAGCTTCTAGCGATTCTAAAAGACTAACTTTCTGGACAAGCAATCTTGGGACCTACCAAAACAGCTAAACCCACACCCTAAAGACTCATGCCTCATCTTCTTATAGACAAAAGCAATTGCTAAGGAGCATGCAAAAGGGTCTCGCCGGGAATCGAACCCGGGACCACTCGCAATTGGCTTAGAGTTTTCAAGATGCTGTAGCACCTCCCTAAGCGAGTATCATACCGCTAGACCACGAGACCTGATCAGATTTTACTGAGGTTGTTGATCTAGCCTCACCTAGCTTGAATATATAGACTGGTTATTCCCGCAGTACCGTTTCTTACTCGAATAACCCTCCGGGACTGTAGCATACAGATTGCACACCATGCAATTCTACGGGACATCCCACTGGTCGTACCATCGCCCTGCCGACGATATGCGATCACCAGAAGCTCACGTAACCTCGACAGTTCTGTACCCGGTAATGTGATCATGCCTTGTGCAAGTCGTGCAAAAGCTGGTGCATCATCCACATGGCTCTGCGGCCTGCCACAGTCCGCTGCAGCTATGCCGATTATACTCAATTCTCCTTGTGTTGCACATTGAATACGACTCGGATTACACAGCGTATCAGTATACAATGTATACCGTCGTTGTACTTGATAGTGGGTTGAACCCGGGATGCCGTCCAGGATCATCCAAGAGCTTGGCCGTTTCATCTTGCCTTTCTGTTCTCCTGACTCCTGAGCCAAGACTCGTCCGATCAGTAGGTCTTTTTAAACTTGGCCTATTTTTAACAAGACGCTCAAATCGCACTCTACGTCGTGTCTCGGACACGACTGCACACATTGCTCCTCGCACTTGACCAACACGACCGAAGGCGCAAAGCACGATTCAAGGCAGATGCACGTCGGACACGCAGTATCCATCTTCATGACGTGCCGCAATGATGACAGACAGTCAGCTGCTGAGCAGTGAGCACCGCCGTCAGAACTTCGCATCTGACTCTGACCCCAATGCCTTTCGCGTGTGTTTCAGAAAACACGCCATGTCAAAATCGCGGTATCTGCGACAACGGATCACCGTGCCGGAATTGCAATAGGATGGCCTCGGACACATTGGGCCATCTCAGGCGCATGGACTCCTCAATGGATTCCTCGTCGCTTCGAATCTGGATCTTCCGCTGACGGCTGCCCTCAGCTCTTGGACGATCTGCCGGTCCCTTCGGCACGCTGTAGCAAAGTCAGATCATCTTTGTTGGCTACCCAAATCCCTGAATCCTGCAAACACAGCATCAGGTAGGTCAGGAGCAAGCAACAAGGCGACTCCACCACAAGGTCTGCAATACAGGCAATGCACACCTTTCGAGTGCCCGGTTGTCTTTCACATGATGAGTTCTCAATAGACCGAATCAGAAGAATCGCTTGGGACGGACTAAGCTCTGCCTTGTCCTTCAAATTTTGCTAGCTCGCTGTCACCGTCTCACCTGCGCGAACCATTTCAGAATCAGGCATGCTGTAACTGCCAAGGCGAACGATATGTGTGAGGCACAGCCTAATGTTGCTACGGCTTCTTTATTTTTGGGCAAACAATATAGCTTCGATCGCCAAACTGACTTTGTAGGACTAGCTATGTGGCTGGGCCGAAACTACTCAGCCATGCCACTCCTTCGAAACAGGTTATAAGTTCTTCCCAGGCGCAGGTTCCGATTGTCCTTTGCAGTTATTCTTTTGCCTTGTCACTGTTTCCTAATTCTAATCACACACTACAACAATGGCTCGGTTATCAAATTACCTTCTGACGCTGCTTGGAACCTTTGTCTTCACCCAAGGTACTCAAGCTTACGACTACCTTTCTCATGCCCGGTCTTCTTCCGATGCATTGATGCACTGGTACAATCAGGGCACTGGAGTGTTCAACGGCACAGGTTGGTGGAACAGTGCAGAGTGCATCACTGCACTGGCCGACATGCAAGGAATCGACCCGACATCCAACTTTCAAGATACTCTACGGAACACCTTGGAAATCAACAAGAATGTCATGACCACGAAGAGCGACTTCTACGACGACGAAGGCTGGTGGGCTCTGGCATGGATCAAAGCATACGACTTGACGCATGATCAGGACTATCTAAACACTGCAGAGCAGCTCTTCGACGACATGGCCAAAGGCTGGAGTATCGACTGCAAGGGCGGCATTTGGTGGGACAAGGACCATACCTATCTCAACAGTATTGCAAACGAACTCTTCTTGAGCGTAGCTGCTCATCTTGCCAGCCGAACTCGGAACATCAAGTACCTCGACTGGGCAATCAAGGAGTGGCAGTGGTTCGAGCAATCCGGATTGATTAGCAAGAACAACACCGTCAACGATGGACTGGACGGCTCTTGCAGAAACAATGGTTATACCGTATGGTCCTACAACCAAGGCGTCATTGTTGGAGGATTGGTCGAGCTGTCGAAAGCTAGCTTCGATGACTCTTACATTGTCATTGCCAGAGATATCGCGTGGGCTGCGATCGAGACTCTCACTGATAGCAATGGTGTTTTGCACGACAGCTGCGAAAGAGGCTGCGGAGGCGATGTGTCTCAGTTCAAAGGCATATTCAACCGCAATGTGGCCCAGTTATACACAGCGACCTCGGATCCTGGCCTCAAGAAGTTCTTGGAAACCAATGCCCAGAGCATATGGAAAAACGACCGCGACTCGCAAAACCGTCTCGGGCTCAAGTGGTCCGGACCATACGATAAAGCGGATGCATCGACACATAGCTCAGCGCTGATGGCTCTGATTGCTGCGGCATCTGTGCAAGGTAGCTGAACAACGAGGCCATCACAAAGTGAGGAGTTTGGAGTTTAGAGCTTGCAACAGGGCAGGCCACCGCCACGAGCTCAGTGTTTGTTTGACATGACGACTTTTTTGCTTTCTTATTTTTTCTTGTTCGAATGATACCAATCACCAGAGGTGCGAACTGCGACCTGTGCAGTATATTGTTAGGCATATAGAGGGCCATCAGAATTTCTAATGCAATGTTCCGTTGTGCCATCCTTCCTTATCGGGCTAGTGCGGGGTATGCTTGATCTGCGTCTTGGCTTCCACAGACGAACGCCGTGGGTTTTGACGCAAGACAGAGAGATTCACGTCCCGTTCAAGGCCTCTTCACTCTACCATTCTGTAACACCTGCGTACAGAGAATTGTTGTGCAGGATGCCTAGATCCGTTCCTTGGATGGCGCCGAATGGTGCAAAGCAAGGACAGGCATCCGATTCTTCGAAACGTAAACGTCCCAGCGAGGTGATTGACCTCACTGACAGTGCCGAGACGCGTCCGAATTCCAAAACGGCTCGTACCTCTCATTCCTCGGCACGTACGCCTTCACGGAGCTCTGCCGGCCAAAGCTCTGCTGCTGCTGGAAGTAGACAACTTGCTCGTACTCCTTCATGGACTCAACCAAGTCCCTCATCGCAAAGGAGTCGTACGGGCTACGTCCCGCCATGGACTCCACCCCAGCAACACAGCCAGGCCGAACGCGACGCTTGGCTTCAGGAAGAAGGCAACGATATCTTCGAAAATGTGGCTTCCTCGCAAAATCCTCCTGTGGCTCATGATCAGTATCAGAAGTATGGCTCTCTAGACACCAAAATTGTTGGTGTTCGCTTTTATACAGGCTTTGCAACTGTCGGCGAGAGGATTACCATAAAGCGCGAGCCGAGCAACCCTTACGATCCCAATGCCAGTAAGTCATCCAAGCATCAGCCTTACAAGTCGTCCGCTGACTCCAAAANNGTCCGAATCGATAACATGGCGAACGAACAGATCGGTCACGTCGGAAGGTCAGGCTCATTGACACAACCGATCCTTCTTGGAACCAAAACACTAAACAGGGAAATACNNAGAAACGTAGCGGCCAAGCTCGCAAGATATATCGACAACGGCTGGCTTCTCATGGAAGGATCTCTCTCCGGCGAGATTGGCCAATATGACTGTCCTGTTACATTCAATTTCTTCGGACCTCCTCTGAGCTCACCGTTGAGCGAAGAGGTGCGCGAACGTATGATGGTCGATAGGTTGCCCACTCAAGACATTAGTAGGTATGAGCGCGACCAGAAGAAGATACAGCAGACCGCCGAACGAAAGATAGCGGCCAACTCTCAATTCAAGGCTTCACAAGCACCTGGTCTTGGTGGGAGCTCGCAGGAACAGACCATGCAAGACATTATCAGTGGCAGCGAACACTTCAATCCGAGAGACGTTGGCCGAGCTGCAGAGCAGTTCGGTACTTCCGAAGACGACCTTGCAGCCATGGTCAAAGCCAAGCAACCTATGCGCCTTGCTACCGCCATGCTTCCGTACCAGCTACAGGCATTGGCGTGGATGCTCGACAGGGAGAATCCGAAGGTCCCGGCAAAGGGTTCCAAAGATTTCGTACAGCTCTGGCGCAGACACGAGCGCTATCCAAACGCATTCACAAACATTGCAACCAATTTCTCCATTAAGGACAAAGAACCTGTCCTCGCAAGTAGTGGCATCCTTGCAGACGATATGGGTCTGGGTAAAACATTGGAGATGATCTCACTATTGGTGTCGGATCATGGAGATTCTACTCCAAGCCAGGAAGGCGAACTGAACGCAACACTTATCGTTGCGCCTCTGTCTGTGATGTCGAACTGGAGCGACCAGGTATNNGCAACTTGCAGGCTGTAATTAAGGACACAATGCTGACCTATTTAGATTGGAAGACATGTACGCAAAGACCAGCCCTTACGTGTATACACCTACCATGGGGCTGGANAAAAGTCGATGAGCCCTAAGGACTTTTCTCAGTACGATGTTGTCATCACCACATACCAGACACTTGCAAGCGATTGGGCTTCGGGCGGACAACCCNCCAAATCGAAAGGTTTGTATTCGGTTCGTTGGCGACGTATCATTCTTGACGAAGGACACAATGTTCGAAATTCAAGTAGCAAAGGTGCCAGCGCCGTCACTGCTGTGCTTGCACGTTCACGCTGGGTACTGACTGGCACACCTATCATCAATTCACTCAAAGATCTTTACTCATTGCTACGCTTCATTGGCATCACCGGAGGCTTGGAGAAGCTGGAGGTGTTCAACAGTGTCCTTGATCGACCAGTCAAGGCAAACGACTCGAGTGCAATCGCCCTTCTGCAGGCAGTCATGTCTGCATTCACCCTGCGCCGTCGCAAGGAGATGAAGTTTGTTGATCTTAAGCTGCCAGAACTGTCCGAGTTTGTGCATCATATTGAATTTGCCAACAAGGAGAAGGAGAGATATATGGCACTATTCCAAGAAGCTCAAGGTACATTGTCGTCTTACCGTAAGGTCGAGGGTCAAAAGGCTTCCGAAACGTATCGATACTTGCTGGAGGTAAGGGATTATGCCTTCCACCCTTGTCGAAAGGGGTATTAACGTTTGATTCTAGNNATTCTGCTTCGCCTGCGTCAAGTATGCAACCATTGGCAGATGTGCTCCGAGCGTGTCACCAATCTGATGAAACAGATCCAAAAGCAGAAGGTTGTCGAATTGACTCCGGAAAACCTCAAGGCTTTGCAAGATATGCTCTCGTTGAGCATCCAATCCCAAGAGGAGTGTGCCATCTGCCTCGACGACTTGCACAGCCCCGTCATCACACCTTGCGCTCACGTCTTTGGCAGAGAGTGTATTGAGCGTGTCATCGATACACAGAAAAAGTGCCCGATGTGTCGCGCGGAGCTCAAGGATAAATCCATTCTTGTCCAGCCAGCCAATGACTTCGGTGACGAGGCCAAGGATGAATCCATCGATTTTGATGCTAGCAGTACCAAACTTGAAGCGCTCATCGAAATCCTCAAGGCATCCAAGGGTACAGGTAACAAGACCGTTGTCTTTTCTCAATGGGTACGTGATTCTGGAGCTATCAATGAATGTGCGACCGCTGACTCTGTTTGCGAAAGANCCAAGTTCCTTGATATCGTGCAGGCGAGACTCGACCGTGAAGGATGCAAGTATTGCAGACTCGACGGCACTATGTCCGTCAGACTTCGAGACCAAGCATTACATGCCCTCGAGGAAGACCCGGATTGCACAATTATGCTGGCGAGCTTGGGCGTGTGCAGCGTTGGCCTGAATCTCGTCGCTGCCAACCAGGTCATTCTTTCGGACAGTTGGTGGGCTCCTGCCATCGAAGATCAAGCTGTTGATCGTGTACACCGGCTAGGACAGACGAAGAAGACCAGTGTCTTCCGCCTCGTCATGGAGGGCAGCATCGAGGAACGCACACTGGACATTCAGGCCGAGAAGCGTAAACTCATGATGATGGCTTTCCAAGAAAAGGACAACAAGAGGNGCAAAACCAAGTCCTCAAGATTGGGTGATGTGGAGAAATTGCTAAGATGAGGGGTGAGTTAATTGCTGGGATTGAAGGACAAGATGTCTCACGACTGGAACGGTTTTGCTCTTCCTAAGAATGATTGCTCGTACTGTATACACGAACGTATCATTCCGCGGCTTACTGCTGGATGTTACGTTGTCGCTTTCATTCTATTGTCTTCCATCATCGTTGCCGGTTTACACTATGCTCCTGTCGGGTTACTTCCTTCAAGTGTGCTTGACAAGATACCGACCCTGTCTCATAATGTACACGTAATTCTTTCCGCTGGCTATTTGAGCGCGAACAGCAATCCTGGTGTGTTGTTTCGGAACGACAGATTGCTTGTACTACGTTTACGCCATCGTCTGGGATGAAGCGATTGACGAACCCATCCTGGCTTCACATCAACTTGCACACTTTTGTGCGATTTGATCCAATACTACAACTGTTAAACGAGAGACAGAACGAACCATAGGCTTTGTTCTGTCATTGGATGACAGCATTTGCTGCATGCTGGTTGAGTTATGTGTTTGTATCAGGTCAGTGGAAGCCTAAGTAGACTTGTTGATTGTTGGAAGAGACTCAATGGAGTGCTAGTCAAAGAGCTTTTGTGCCCATGAGTTGGAAGCATCTAGCTATTAGCAACAGCAAACATGGCTTTTGTATAGTCTCAGGCGTTGTAGCAGAGCAGATATATAGATCTAGCTCTTCTCTCTGTATGCCATCCAAATCTTACACCCACCTACTTTCCAACAGGTTATGAGCCCGGTCCAGCATGCCCCATCTTGCACGTAAGCATGGAAAAGTTGATCTGGTCAGATGAAGCTCGGTTGGAATAGACAAGGAAGAGCCAAAACTGCTTGTTCGCATGTACATACCTAGCATGATAGTAGGGAAAGTGTTTCTATTTGTTCCCCATGGTAGCTCACGCAAAATTGACTAGGGATATATATGCACTAACCAATTCTCGCTCCCATCTGTCAGCAGCCAGTTCACACAGTGGACTAGATCATCAGACCTGCCGGGGTAGCTCAATCGGTAGAGCGTGTGGCTCTTATCNNATTCGATATTCCAAACCTCAAGGTCGCGGGTTCGAGCCCCGCCTTCGGCTATTCCTACACAACGCTGTCAAAGATCTTTTTTTGCACTATCTCGTTGTGTCGAGAAGGGTGTGAAAGAGTGTGGTGAAAATTTCGGATTTTTTTTGGTGGTGAAGCCTCGCTTGGCGGACAGGGTCGGCGTTGAACATGAAAATTCGTCAACCAACCATATACGACAATCGCTTCTAATCTTCTGTTTTAAGTGTCTTATCTTGTCACCAACGTTCATTCAGAGCAGAGAGTCAATGATCTCAAGGTATAGGTAACTGCGATGTCCAGAATGCAGAACTATCTCTACATACCGAGTCGAACCAGCCGAAGACGCGGTTCAAACCAGATTGGTGAACTCACGGGTACAAGCCCCGTCTTCGGCATAAAATTGATGCACGAAATTGAAGACGGAAGTATATATGCACTCAGGATACAGAGCATGGAGCGAGTCAACGGCGACGACGAAGATGGTCACGATATATCGATTAATTGCAGCTGACTTGTGATTGCATTACACAACCAACCTCACTGTGTGCTAAAGGCAGTTATAGCTTGCGGTAGCCGGCTCTCTCCCTTGTAAACTATAGCGCTATCATAAGCTGTAGAAATGCACATTAGAATCTCGATATAGGGGTACCACCATGGAGATGCCTAAACACAACCTTCTCTCCGTGGACACCGCTCTGCTATACAAGAGATTGTGCATCTCTACAGCTACACTGTGACTGTCTACCGCACATGGGGAGGAGAAACCAGAATACGGCAAGAGCATAGCTTGTGCAGCCCGCTTCTCAAGAACCTCTTCCTCCTGCTCAACAGCCTAGGCAGCCTGCCTCGTAACTAGCACCCCCTCCCTAGCAGATTCGTGATTCGGGTTATACCGCTCACTTTTGAGCGAGTTCCAATTTGCGAGGCCCCGGGCTCAAATCCCGGCTGGGCCCGTCTTTTGCACCATTTACTATATCACAAAATGTATCGTACATGTAAGGCTAAGTCCTCAGAGGGAAGAGCTTTTCATACCATCTACATCTGGTATAGATGGGATGTGACAAACCCATCTTTCTTCAGCAAAGTGTGTCATTATCCAGCGGCTACCAACATGAAAGACTAGAAGTGTTTTTTTTTTTTAATTTTTTTAATGATTGTTACCAGTAATTCTTGGGTTACTGTTCTAATAGATGAAACCACATCCGCTCTATACTCCCAGCTGGTGCACAAAAGCAATGCATGAATTAGATGCCATCTTATCCTAACGCGAGAGAAGACACTTGTCATGTTCACTTCCAACAATATTCCTTGGGCTGACATTCAGCACAGCACCACCACTATCAGCAAATATTTCAAGGATACAGAGGAGCTCCAAGTGTACAGTAATTGTGTAGTTCAAGTAGAGAAGTTCACATAGTCACTGTTCCATCCGAAGAAGAAGAAGACTTTGAAGATATAGAAAAAGAAAAGAACTTTTTGATCATGGCTAGGAGTATTTGGCCGTACCTACAGGATTATTGTCTCAGACGGTTGCAACCTTGGGCTCAGCAAAGGGNGTCTCGGATCTTTCTGCGTTAATAGATTTGACCGAGGTGGTGGCCTTTGCTCTGAGAGCCTCGCGAATCTCCTCAAGACTTCTGCTCTGCCAACCTGCGAAACCAGTGGAGCTGAGGGGGTGTAGCACACGGTTGTTAGGAGCGTGTGCCCAATCTTCGACACGGGGAGGAGGAGTGCTGGTCAATACATCAATATCGGCAGCCAATTCGCGGCAGTAGTCGTCGAGGGGCAGGTCATTGACGTCGTTGCCAAAGGGGTTCTCGATCTCGGTGCCNGCTAGAGGAAGTCAGTTTCGAAAGGAGGTGTGAGAGAAGATAAGGAAAAAGACGCACATCTTAGAGAGACCGAGAATGATGTAGGCGGCGAGCATGGTACCAGGAATGGTGACCCAGTCCAAATACTTGTAAAGCTGGAAGGGCAAGACAAGGACGTAGGCCCAGGTGATCTGAGAGATGGAGATGGTGTATGCGATTGGCAGCGGAGTATTTAGCACACGTTCGGTTCCGGTGAGGACATCTGCCAGCGAGCCCAAGTTGTTCATTGACCACGTTTGATGGATGGGCCCTGTCATGAGCTTCTCTTGCATGACGTGTTCCATGTACGACGAAAGATAGGTCAGGATCTCGAGTGGTGGGTTGCCANNCTAGGAGGGAATCAGTCGCGGAAGAGTGTGCTAAGACAGGAAAAACAAGACGTACAGGTTGTCATTGGCACGCTTGATCAGTTTGCGGGGGTTGGACTCGGCGAAAGAGACACCCAGATACTCACCGGCGGATTTCCAGGGCGTAGGCTTCCTCTTGCGTAGGGCGACTTGGTCGGCCGTGCCAGCCATCAGGTTAAGATGGGCGATCAATGGCTCCAGGTCTGGGTAATCAAGGGCGGGCTCGAAGCGCAGACGATGTTTGAGGGCAACGGCGAAGGCATTGACGAGGTTGAGAGCACTCAGCTTATCCAAAAGGTCCCGCTTGCCCAGCTCCTCAGACTCATGGTGTCGCTCCTCGACGTGCACCCAGATCAGACGTGCCAGGTTGCGGGAAGTCAGCACCAATTGCGACCAGTATTTGCGGCCGTCGTTGTAGCGCTCATAGGCGGTTGACGAACGGAAGGACAAAGCAAGACCGACCACGAAACCCAGCACTGTCAACAGGAGCGAGTTGATGCCCAGGTCGGCACGAGTGTATTTCGAGATCAATGTGATTGCAGTCGCCCAGCCGCCAATGAAGAGTAGTGGAAGGAGCATCTTGGGCAGAACACTGCCGTGCAGGCGCATGAAAAAGGGCAACTTGGAGTGACGTGCCATATCTCTGGGGCCGGCGAAATAGTCCTCCATCTCGAGGTGGTGAGGTTGTGGTTTGCGAGACGAAGCATGAAAGCCCTGAGCCTTCCAAGTTGCTTCGCGAGAGACGTTAACTGACGGGGATCCCGTAGACATGGTGGCCGTGGTGCTTCCCGCAAAATCAGACGAGACCATGGCGTTCAATTCTCGATTCGGCAGCACTGTGTTGACTCGGACGAAGAGTTCTGTGAAATCAGAGAGGAGGGAGTGTCAAGCGGGTGAGCAAACAAGCAAGCAAGCAAGAAAGCAAGAAAGGAATGTATGTGAGGGTGAGCGAGCGAGTGAAGGCGATCGAAAGAGCAGAGTGCGTGTCGGACAACAAAGAAGATGGTTGTGTTTCATCATGTATCGGCATGCGTCAATCACGGCGCTACCAGGCCAAGGGCCCTCGTAATACGAAATACTAGCTGCGCAAACAGGCGACAAGTCAATCGAGGCAATGCGTGCGGTGCATTACATTCTGTTTGGGGCTGTGCAATGCAAGAAAAGAAAAGCTCATCAAAGAAGTCCCCTGAAGAGTGACAGTGCAGATCTCTCTCCACCACTCGTTCGAATCCGGGGTTTCTCTTGACACGCGACGTTTCGGCAGCGCCCGCCATCCCACGAACCCAACATTACTCATGCCCGGTCAACCAGCCCAACAAACTGCAGTCTGACCCGCTGTACCTTGATCTTGTCCATGTCGCCTGCTCGACGATATCCGCACAGTACCAGTCCAGGCCGTGCTACGGTGCGTCCGCAGCGTGTCAGAGCGACCTGAATGCCAAATTACCAGACCGAATCTCCGCTCGTTGTCCTCAGCCTCAACCATCCCCCTGACTCGCCAGAGAAGCCTTTCTTGGCTATTGTTTCGTCCTCGTCATCGCTTCCCTAAATCATGTCGTGGCCTTTGCATCTTTCATACCGTGTCTGACGATATCCTCTTGTCTACGCCAGAAACCACTTCAGCGAGACAAATGCCACACGAATGCCCCAACATGGCAGTGCCGGACTGTTCAACCACACAACACCGCTATCACCGTACCTCAACTCGCTGCTCTTTGCTCCCTCCGCCACTATCAATCACCTCCCCACCCTAGACCGCTCTCGTGACGACATGGCAAGCTTAAAAGAAGGATACAAAAGCACAAGCATCCACTAAAAGAATCACGTAACAGTTAGCACTGCCTGCCTTTCATAAACCTGGCATCTTCCTACAAGATCTCGCCGCTCCCCAAAACTCTTAAGCCAACTGCGAGTGGTCCCGTGTTCGATTTCAGGCGAGGCCCTTTTTGCATGCTACTTAGCAATTGCTTTTGTCTATAAGAAGAGGAGGCATGAGTCTTTAGGGTGTGGGTGCAGCTGTCTTGGTAAGTCCTAAGATTGTTTGTCCAGAAAGTCAGTCGTGTAGCATCGCTCGAAGCTGGTACAAGCTGGAGTGCGTTGGCGAAAAGGCCTTATCCCTCGAGTGCAAACCATATGAGGCCAATTGACTGGGACCGGCTCTACAAGGTTTGTTTCTATACTCGTGGCTGAAAAGAAATTCGTGCTCCCTAATCTGATGAGTATAAATAGACTACCTATTTCAAAGTTCGCCGCTTCAGATACAGTTCCAAATGTCTACGTCGCCTCGTGGGTCAATGCCACCATACTACTGGTCTCAACAAATCGCCAGGGTTGCCTCCAACAAGAATCCGCTCTGGAAAGGCGGATGAGCGAGCGGTCCGGAGTTCCCAGTGTGATGCTCAAGTCCAAAATCAAGGGATTTCCTTTCAAAGCCCTCGAAAGGACCCTGATTAGGCAAATCTTGGCGACTGTCGGCAGAACCTTCCCGAGCATCCGCTCCTTTTTCCCCAGGCTCAGCGGATCCACCCTAAAGGCCTCGACCAAGCTGTTTAACTCTCCTATTGCCAGTGCACTCCTGTCAATTTTCGGCAATCATTGGGTTGATTAAGATTGGAAATCATGGAATATCCTACTCGTCCTTCCTGTGCCTGCATTGGTACATTCTTCTTATATTTGCATGGCTGTCGTCCAGCCGTTGAGCGTGTACTCTAATTCTTGCTTTGCAGTTGCACTTGTGTGTAACCTATACCCGTTCATCCTGCTTTGATCTTGATACACCTATCATCTGCAAGTAAGTGGTTTCTTTATAGTTCAAGGCCGCTACGAAAAACTCGTCCTGATACCATTCCAATGGCAGAATCAAAGCAGCACATCTCATCATGTTGCTCGAAGACAAACCGAGACCTCTCTCCCAACATTCACGAGAAGTCTATGATGTTGTTGAGCTCTCCGAGACCGAAGACCAGCCCCTANTATGGCATTGGTGCACAACCTACCTACCTCATCTCATCGGTACACCACTTTCAATATTGTCATGGGCTTTCTCGCTTCGCTTTTTGCTGTTGCTTTGGCGAGCTCTCTGGGATGGGAACGACAAGCCAGGAGTTGTTGCTGCATGCTATTTCGGCACGCAAGTATCACTGCTGAGTATCAAGCACCAAGAACTCCTCTCCTTGAGCCAGCGCTAACACACAGATANNGTCGCACGAGTGGCCGATGACGGGTGGAGATTCCTTTGCACTAGTCCACGGTTACGTCCCCGAGTTCGACTCATCGGCCCAATGGTCCCACATGCGGATGTTATCATTACAACATGCGGAGAAGAGATTGATGTTGTCATGGACACTGTCCGAGCCGCGTGTGATCTTGACTATCCTGCAGACAGGTATAGGATACTGGTCGCTGATGACGCTGCGAATCAAGATCTGGAACTGCAGATAGCAGCACTGGCAACCAAGACTCCAGTCACACTCTTGTACTATGCAAGACAAACGAAAGGCGGCATGAAGGCCGGCAACATGAACTCCGCTCTCAACTATCTACACAGCCTTGGTGGGGCGGAATACTGCACCTTCTGTGATGTTGACATGATTTTCGAACCGGAATTCCTTCGCGCCACGCTCGCGCTTCTCGTCAACGATGATCAAGTCGGAGTTGCTGTTGTCCCGCAGGTGAGAATGTAGAAGTCCTGACACTCGTGGATCGAAGCTGACATTCCTCTTTATCNNCAGAGGTTCTACAACGTACCGACAAATGACCCTCTTTACCAAAGTCTCAACGTGGATGGCAAGTTCGACGAGATTCAACGCGATAGCATGAACTGTGCATGGGTGACCGGTCCCGGCGTCGTCTTCCGTTGCAGAGCGATCAGAGATATCGGAGGCTTCCCCGAAAACGCCCTGGCTGAAGACATCATGACTGGATTCACGCTTCAGGGTCGAGGATGGAAAGTGGTGTATTGCCGCGAGGAACTGCAGTTCGGTCTCGTTCCAGACACCTTCAAGGCTCACGTCACGCAACGGATGAAATGGGTAGGTGGTTCTGACATTTGCCTTGACTCGCCACGAAAGCTAACCGTTTCCAGTNTTGTCGGACGGCTACGCAACTCCCGCAAGCTCAACTGTGCTATAGCATCGCCGCTGGTTAAAGGCATGACCTGGAAGCAGCGGGTTTCCGCAATATGCCATTGCGCTTCACCAATCGCGTCCATGATGAACAGGCCGCTCTGTTCTTGGATCATTCTTCTGCTTGTTGCTTCTGGAAAGCCACTGGTTACTGCAAAGTCGAGTGAACTGCAGGATATACTGTTTGTATATGTTCTGGCTAGGATCACGGCTTTCGCAGAAGAATTGCTCGCAAGTACTGGTTGTGGCTATCTGGCGCTGCGCCGGAGAATCGAAGGCATGCACTGGCTGCACACCCACCTATTCTTCGCCCTTGCCAAAGACCTGTTCCCAAAATCGCTGGCGGGAAAGCGTCTTGGATTTATACCGACCGCGCTGGCGGAATCCAAGACCCAAGAACGCCATCTCGATCGCCGCCCCGGACTTTTCCAACGTCTGCGGGTGATGTTTCTCTACCAACATCTGTGGTATCACGTTGTTGTAGCTGCGGTCGTAGCAGCAGTCTTCAGCGTGGGACTTGTCAAAGCAGGCAACCATGAAAGTCTGCATTACCTCTTGACACATGTGCTGGTTCCTGGCGTTGCATGGAGCAGTTATTTCGCCTCGCTCAGACCCATTGCGTATGCCATTGCGCCTCCAACCATGCCAGAGCGACGAGAGATGATGGACCGGGATTTTGCCCGCCCAAGACCTGAGGGAAAGGGGAATGAGGACCGTCTTCAGTTGCACCTGGAGGATGAGTCTGACGGTTACGCATTTGAGGTCTGGCGGCCGAAGGCGGAGCAGAAGCTCGAGAAGTGGGATGCTTGGGCAATCTTGCCAGAAGTTCCTCGGAATGTCAGCCTTGTGTTTTGGGTTATCATTGGTATGGGACTATGGCAGTGATTTTTGCCATTATGACAGATGTCAATAGACGATAAATTGGACGCCTCGAGCACATAAAACGCTTTGCCGCCGAGCAAGTCCCCAGATGTGATTGAGAAAACGTGACGATGTACGGCGGATGCAACTGAAAAACTTCGACGTGTCGTACTGTTGACAGGCCTCCGGTCATGCTTGAAACACCGGTCGAGCAAAAGGGTGGTGAAGGAGAATCGAACCAAAGTATTGTCGCAGCCGTGAATCGAACACGGGGCTCGTGCATGGCAAGCACGAATTTTACCACTAAACCACTGCGACTTTAATGAAGGCATTTCGACTTTATCGACCCATGTTGACTCACAGCTGCGAGGGTCTGTTTTACCGGGTAGCCCACGCTGCTCTTGTCATCTGTCGGCAGTCGAGGTTCGTAGCAGCATGATCTCACAGACGGTAGCGATGTATCAAGGCTTCAGGCTCGCGATGTTTCACCCGAGCAAGGAGAATCATGGCTCGTAAGGGCGCCCCTCGGATGAAAAAGTGCGAAGGCACTTGGAAGGAGACGGTGCGCGCGGAGACCGAAAGACGAGACATGGTTGCCAGCAGTGATTTGGACCAGAGAGAAGTCCCCGCAAGCGCGAGCTATGACGATAGCAATGGGTGGTACTTATCATAATGCCGAGGAAGCTGACAGGATGCCATATGTTGATGGCTGGGTCTGGAATGTCTGAGCGGTTGCCGGCTTGTGGTCAGCAAATCCGGATGGCAGATGATTGGTTGCGGCAGGCGCGGAGGGCGAGCGTGGGCGGCGCGTTCAGCTGAGCACCGTTCGCGTGCTTTGACGACAGTTGGAATCCACTTCCAACATATATACAGCACTCGACGACCGCCCCGAGTGCCGGAGGCGCACGCCATCCGAGGAGAGAGTGTACTCATCGCTTCACGACTCGCTGTCGCGCGATCACCACCACAACCTTGTCCAAGAGCTGCTACCCCGCACACGCTGATAGGCCAATTCTCGCGCAAGAGAGCACCGTCGAGCACGCCATCAATCGACCTGCCATTGTCAGGCATTATCTACGTCCACCACGGCCACGACGCCTGCATCGGGAAGGAGCGCCGCCATGAATTATATACTCGTCTACTCGCTGTCTCTGCTGCTGTACCAGGGCCTCTGCACCGCCGAACAACACCGCCTACGACACTACCTCGACCTGCTCTCCAAGCCCATCAATCGTCTCGATCTGTCCCAGAACACTGCCCGTCGTGCCCGCAACCCTCATCCACACCATGGCTCCGACCGCCGTCCAATCGCCGCTTGATCTGCCTCAATCTACCTCGTACACGTATCAAACCCCTTCGTCCAAGGTCTTCCCCGACGGCGTCAAGACTGCCGGCCAGTTCGATCCTCTGTACAACCAGCTCGCCCCGTACTCGGCCTTTCCTAAAGAGATCACCGGCCCTACAGTATGGCAAGCTGAGGAGTACAAGAACAACCCTGAGCGCTGGACACACCCCTTCAGCAATGATGAGATTGCCGAGATCAGCAAGGCTGCCGACGACTTCATCGCCTCGTCGACCCCGCTGACCGGCATCACCAAAGAAAAGTTCNCCTTGCCCTCTGCAACCGGCCGCCTGCTACACTCGTTGCGTCACGAGCTGCTCAACGGCAAAGGCTTCATCCTCTTCAAGGGCTTTCCCGTCGAGCAATGGGGCCTGCACAAGTCGGCCGTTGCCTACATGGGTCTAGGCACATACCTTGGCTACTTTGTCAGCCAGAACAGCCGTGGTCACGTCTTGGGCCATGTCAAGGACGTTGGCGAGGACAGCAGCCAGATCGACAAGGTCCGCATCTACCGCACCAACGCCCGTCAGTTCTTCCATGCCGATGATAGCGACATTGTTGGTCTCCTCTGCATCGCTCGCGCCCTCGAGGGCGGCGAGTCTGACCTCGTATCGAGCCACGCCGTGTGGAACGCGCTGCAGAAGGAGAACCCCGACGTGGCCGAGCTGCTTACCCAGCCCATCTGGCACTTTGACCGCAAGGGCGAGAAGTCGGTCGGTCAGCAGGACTGGATCCGCACATCCGTCTTCTACCTCGAGCCCAAGCCGGACGGTCGCGTCTACTCCAAGTGGGACCCATACTACGTCAAGTCCCTCACACGCTTCAGCGACGCGGGCGCCATCCCGGCCCTTTCAGCCGAACAACTCCGCGCCGCTCAGATCCTCGAAGACACCTGCGTGCGCCTGTCTCTGCACATGATCCTCGAGATTGGCGATATCCAGTTCTTGAGCAACGAACACGTTCTGCACGCTCGCACAGCCTACAAGGACCACGCCCCTCCATTGCCGAGACGCCACCTCATGAGACTCTGGCTCGCCACCCCAGACACCGAGGGTGGTTGGACCCTGCCCTTCGAGGACAGTTCTCACAGAAAGCGTGGTGGCATCCAAGTCAACGATAACCCTCCTGTTGCTCCTCTTGACGCCGAGTAATGACCCTTATGATTCCATGTCAACAAATGTATTTATTATCAACTACTTAGATCGAATCAATGTCAATGCAATTCATGGTTGCTATCGAATATTTCCCCACCATGCCTCAAACTCCTACCCACGAGTCTTATTTCTTCTTCCAACCGAGTCGAGACTTTCTGACGTCCCATCCCGCGTGTCAATATTTGTGTCTGCTCATCAGAGGTGTTTACATTCTTCGCCTTCCAACAAAACAGCCAATGGTGCGAGACTCAGGAATGCAATGTGGGTCCATTCCAATTCCATTCCCCATACCCCATGTTTTGTTGTCTCGTTGACACAGGAATGCCACCCATGGCTTGCAAGAAAAAGACAAGATGTGGCTTGCTCCATCTTTCTGACGGCTTCCTGGACTCTGACCACACTCCTTTTTGTTGCCATGTTTGGACGCTCATTCGCATGTTGCCTTTTGCCACTGTCGGCCATCCTGGGTGATGCAGCCGCAGCCCTCCATCCTTTCAGGCATGAAGCTATCGAGGTTCGCCGCAGACAAGCTGATACCAGCAACGAAGCCCTATTTCAATCCAGCACTGCAGGCACGGTGTTGACATACATCGCTCCTTCTCCGGGTGCTTCACCTATCCCCGTCACACAGCAGAGCCAGCTGATATCTTCCAATGTGCCCATATTCACGCTATGTGCACTGCCACCAGAAGCTTTCTTTCCTGCCACGGCAACACCTACACAGACTACCGCTCCGTATCGAAACTACTCTATTTCCATACCCCCTGGACCCGGCACTTGCACTACAATCTACAGCCCAACGGTCACAATGGTATGCGCTACTACTTTGACCGGTATCGATCGCATGTACCCTGTGACTGCCTGTGGCCAAGACATTACCTTCTCAAGCGACTTTGGCTATGTGCTGGAAACGCCCAGTCCGACCTTGAGCAATGCAACGGACGCTAGCAATACAGCTGCACTCATCACTCCTGCCCCTACCGTGCAGCCATTGACTACATACTACGTCGCTCCTTGGACTGAGCTCACTAGTGCTGGCCCTCCTACGGATGTGGACAAGAAGATCTGTGCGACATATCCAAATGGAACAGAGGAGTGTGTTGTTGAGTACTATGTATGGAAAACCAGTCTCGTCACCATCCCAATGTCTACTGTCACCTCGATCAACCTGACCACAACTGTGGCTGGACCCTCGCAAATCATCGTCGAGACCTTCGTCGCCAACGTGACCGAGATGCTTACCACATTCTCCATGTCCACCACTATGAAATTGACCTACTCTGTCGAAACGGAGACAACCAACATAGCTACAAGGCCAACCGTTTCTACTGGACCTACCGTCACTCAGACCTACACTCTCAGTCAGAATTTGCTGNCCCACAATGTAAGACGATACGTGGAGATATATTTCACGAAAAATGGATCTGACATTCACTTCAGTAGCACAACGAGCACATCCACCCGACGCGTCACGAGGACCATCTACATATCTGGGGGAACCATGACGACCACAGTATCTGGCGTACACGTCACAACTGACCCAGCGGCCNGAGTAAGTCTTTCCACAACGTACTCTCCGGCATCGGTTGACATATTCTCCAGATCACAAGCATCTGCAGTCCCTTCACCTTCCCTTGACGTGGCGAGTATCTTGGGCATCGGCACTTGAGACAGAAGCGGCTAGTCTGTTCCTCGCCGTCCGGTTGGTACTTGGTTGATAAAAACAACCGCACGTTCTGTTTCATGTTTTTGTATGCTCAATACTGGATCGCGAAAGCCATGACTTGGGCTGTTATGTAAGCTTCGATGCTATACTGCTTTGCAACTCCTTTTGTGCTCCTTACCTGTTGAGTATCCATGATCAAAACAAATATAAGCAATTGTTCCCCAGTCGTCGGACGCCCGCATTTGACTCTTAGTCACCAGTATGCTTGTAAGGATCTGATCTGGGTACAGTTAAGCGGAACCGAAGCAAACGCAAAATAACACAACTTTCTGTAGCATCTAGCCACTTTGACCCCAAAGTAGAATGCATTGTCTAGAACACTTCGTGTCCAACAATGGAGTGATCAACATTTTGAGACAGATGTCCCAGATATTCTTTGTTTTGAGACTGCGATCAATACCTACACAAAGAAAACTGCAAGGAGAACTTTTGTTCCTTTGTTATCCTTTGACGGCCTTGTCTAAATCAAAGCATCTGTTGTTTTCCATAACGACAAAGATATAACACTCCCTACCTCCAAGCAATTTGACCCTTCTCGGAACCTCAAAAACTCATATAATCACTTAAACCATCAAAAAACACCTTCCAACAAACATGTCAGCAAACTCTCGCCTTGGCGGTCAGGAACCGTCAAAGAACACAAACTATCAAACCTTCACCAGATACCCTGTAGCAGAGGCAAAAGCGAACGTCGCTGGTAGACGTCGTGTAGCCCCTCGCGTGTCAAATATCAACACTCAGGCTTGCAACAATGTCCGAGACGAAGAGTTGCAATACACATATCTCTGCGATAAGATGCGTGGAAACCCGGATTTCAACAAGCCCCTTCCTCCTTTACCTGAAAAGAACCCTTCCTCGCGACCAGCCAGTCCCATGGATCGAGCTGCCCACTGGATGAAAAAGAAGGTTGCGACTCCTGTAAAGGAGTTCTTCAAGGCACCCGAGGTGGACGAGATGATTGGTCATACTTCACGGGAAACAGGCAATCAGTTTTCACCTCGTCCCTACGCAAGTTTTGTAGAGATGAGAACCCCGACCGAGCCGAAGAGACATACAAGAGGTAAATCGAGCGTTGACCGCCGTGAAGCCCCTCCAAGACGATCCGGAAGTATCTCATCGCGTGAGACTTTCCACAGCTCTCCAGCCACCCCAAGATCTCGTGATTCTGACAGCTCCATGACAAGTGGTGTTCGACATGCGATTGACACTGCACAGCAGGTTGGTAGCCGGCTTGGACTCAATCATGAAGCGGGAAGACTCGTCTTCTCTGACGCAGCACCAGCCGGCATGATGGACCCTTGCAGCGTCTGTCACAAAGAGCCCAAAGGAATCTTGTATCACGGACGTTGCCGTGCATGTAGGTAAATATCGCTTGACACTTATTGCCCTTGATGATTGATAGTTTGTTTGAAAGTTTTGTATTCCTCATCTCCTTTCCTGCCAAAGTTGTCTTTGTTTGCTGATCTCTCTATCTCGAATAAGCATTGCATCTGATCTGCTGCACAATGTTCACCTATGCCAATTCAATGATGACCTGCAGTCTCACGCGTGTATCGAATCCTAATCTTCCAGAGACGTTCTCGTGACATGTACTGTAGCATAAGTGCTCACACTGAGATACAGGTTTGAAAGCAGTCGTCTATAGCAATACGATGCAAGATCATGTCTTCGCCGGCGGCCCGTTGGTACTTTTCTTGTCCATGCCTATGGCCTTAGGTATCTAGCTCAAGTCTGTGCTCGTGACTATGCATCCTCGAACTGGCTCTCTTGTCTCGTTGGTATTGGTTGATAGTCGAATGCATGACTTGTCGACTTTCCTGACCTTTCTTTTTCCATCTCGGGTTGCATAGTCAATCTAGCAGCGACTGCACCTGCTAGCCCTTGTTGAGTGCAGTGATCTCTGATTAAACCTAAAGGAGCACCACACAAAAACAACCAGCCCAAGAAATCTCAAAATTGAGATGGCAGCAGATTTTCCACACCTCCAGATAGGTGTGGGTCTCCACTGTCTTCTAGCACCATCGAAGTGCACGTCCAGTGGCATTTTCAAACTCATGAGAGTTTGACCGCTCAGTGTATACCACGACAATTGATGTAGAGTAAATCAAGGCCGCAGGGTTGCTCTGTTAGCATAAAAAGTGAACCGTGCAGATGAGTACAGTCTTGGCAGTCGCAGAAACACGTTTGACACGCGACTTCGTAGGTCCCGCTCGTGCCTGCTCCCTTGTGCTCGAGAGACGTGCATACGGCGCACGAGCTACTTACCTCGCCTCTTACCTACAGATGAGTTGAGAGATTTCGTTCGTACGGTTCTGGCTGTTTGCGAAGTCGGCGGTCGTCTGGGTCTTTAGCGTGTCGTATCGAATTGAGATTGTGGGACGACATATAAGTTCAGTTGTTCAAGGAACAACCAGGGCGCAAATCGTCCGTTTGTGCCAATTGCGCGGTCGAGCTCGACAGGTTTGCTGCTCAATCTCTGCTTGGTTATCGTGCCTTCGCCATGCCGACAGATCGCGAGCTGTTGACCAGTAGTAGTGGAGGCGTGGACAAGGGACTGGGCAACAAGTGGCTCCGAGCATTTTGGTCCAAACAAAACAAGGAGGATGAAGGGTCTTCCAGCAAGAGAGGGGGCGATGCGAATGCCAGCGAAGAAGACGACAGCGGCGATGTAGAACAAATTCGCGAAGAGCTCTCGAACGTGATTGTGGAGGTTATGCGCAGCAACAGCCGCGATCATCGAGACACTGATCCGGGTATTTATGTGTTTGGAAGATTGTCAAGCAGTCGCAGTCGCAGTCGTCAGCCGTTCCCTTCTACGAGACCAAGCACGTTGTCTCGTGGAATGTCGGCTCCGGGACATGTCCCCCTTCCATCATCTCCTCCGGCCACGCTCACGATTCGTCGCAACCAGCCAATCAGAGGTAGGGCTCCATTGTCGACACGACCGCCAACTCGAAAATAACAAGCCAGCAGAAACGATTGAACACTCCCCAGAGTCGTCTGACGTCTCGCCTACCCTCCGATTTTCCAAGCCTCTCCTTCCTAGCAACGCCCTTTGTGAACGCCAACCCACTGACGAGGCACCCGTCAAATCAGAGTCCATTGCAGAAGACCACATTCGCGTCAAACCAATCCGCGTTATACCGAACTCGAGTGACCAAACGTCCATCAAATCAGAGTCAGTTGAACAAGCCATCATTGACCCAAACCTCACTCAACAAGCGCCGGGTGCACCACACCCTAGTGACGAAGCATCTGTCAAGTCCGAATCCGTTGAACCAGCCCTCGATACACGGAACCTCATTGAACAAGAATCTATCAAGTCAGAGTCCGTTGAACAAGCCCTCAATCTTGTCGAACCACACTTCATCAGACAAGGACCTCATCGTAGTGAGACTACTGACGAAGAATCCGTCAAATCAGAGTCTGCCGTAGGAGACCTTATCATCGAAGACGAGCTCGTAGAAGAAGAAAGCTCTAGGGAAGAAGACTCTAGTGACGACCAGGAAGATTCCAGTGAAGACGAATCGACTGAGGAGGACGTCGGTATGCAACTCTGGCGCGGGTTTTCACCTTTGGACACTAACTACTCGTGTAACAGGATTACCGTCTTGGCTTGGACGGTCTCCTTCTATCAACCTGTCATCTCGGATTGAACCACCTCCTCTTGAACCATCCATATCACCCAAGTCCGAGCCATCTTCTCCCGTTCAGCTGTTCCTGTCGCCTAGGACCAGACGGTCTAGACCATATCCGTCATTCTCACCCAAGACTGAATCGTCCTCTCCCGTGCCTATGGAAACTGAGCCATCCTTGAACACCGCTGCCATGGTACCTCCTTCTGGTCTCTCTTATGTGGAGCCAGCCTCTTCACCTCCTTTTTCCTTTACGGAATACACAGTGCTAGGGGATGAATATGATGTCGAGATTTATACTATTTGTCTTGAGGAATACCTCGACGAAATGGACGATGATCACGAAGCCTTAACAGCGACTTGGCTCGCAAAGGCTAGAGTCTACCAGCATCCTACCTTATTCCCACGATCCAGGAACAAGTATTCCACGAGAAACCGGGACAAGCCTAGGAAAGACCCATTTGCAAACATCAAACCCCAAAAGACTGGCCGCAAAATCACATTTACTGGAAAGGCTTTCTCACAGCTCAAGCCTAGAGGTGAAACAACCACTGCCTCCGCTCGTATCTCATCGTCGAAAGCAACCCTACCATCGAAGTTGATATCGACTGAGGTTCCAAATTACACCCACTACACCAAAATTCGTGCCAATGTACTAGGAACAAATACTCGACAGTTGCAAGTCTGGCCATACTTTGGGGAGGATGTCGATGACGATGGAACCATTCGTGAGAGGTTCGATGTCATCGTAGAGGACCGTCCACGTAAAGTTCTCATCGCGCAGCAAGTCAGTACTTATGGCCCTTACTTCGAAGCCTTTCTCGAAGAAGTTGATTGTCCAATGGATACCATTCTCAAATACCTACTCGAGGCATCAGAAGGGCCAGACGGGCTAATATCAAGAATGGCAAGCTTTTCCAACGATCACAAGCTAGCTAGAAAACTCGTACGCGCCAAGGACAAGTTTTGCAAAGAAGACTTTGATCGAACAAGCCAAAGATGGGTCTCGGTAGCATCTAGCCTGCCAGAGATTAATGATGAGATACTGTGGAAAGCTGCTGTCGTTTGCCACGCCTTCTGGATTCGGACCAACTTCAGCCCCTGGCAGATTGCACGAAAATATGCCAAATTCCCTAACCACAACATGATCGAAGGTCTTGTTACTTTCGAGAAGGCGAAGAATTATGCCAGCGTGGCCTGTACTATCTGCCAACTTCATGACTGCCCTTTTCACGGTACTATTCGCGAGAGACCAGACGTCAAAGAGGAGAGCGACGAAGAAGATGTGGACTCTGTCGACGCTCTCGACGTCGACTACCCACCACGCGTCAACTTCAAAGAGCAGGCCATAGCCCCATTTGAGCGGGAAATGTCAGAAGACATAGGCACACAAACCAAGAAACCCTTAAATTGGTGGATGATCGAGGCCAACAGTGTGACTTGGGATCACAGCCAGCGAGGCCCATTCTTCCCTTGCAGCCATATCGGTATATCGTGTGAGGACGCACGCTGTTCATGTTTCGAGGCAAAGGTCTGCTGTGAGAAGACTTGCGGATGCTCATCAAAGTGCAGCCGTCGCTTCTTAGGATGTTCATGCTCGAACCGATCAAAGTACTGCGCTCAAGACGATTCATGCGAGTGCTACAGGATGAACAGAGAGTGCGACCCAGACCTCTGTGCATCATGCGAGGCGGACGTCATTCTGGACCCAGTTAACAGGTACGATAACGATGACCTTCCTCGACGATGCCGGAATGTCGCCATTCAGCGTAGTGTGCCGAAACGAACACTTCTAGGCCGGAGTGTTGTCCATGGCTTTGGACTGTACTCTGGTGAATTGATTGCCAAAGATGAATTCGTTGGCGAATATCAAGGAGAGATCATTACCAGAGATGAGACTGAAAGACGAGGAGCGATCTACGACTTCCAGAAGTTGAGTTATATATTCGACTTGAACAGAGGCAAGAAGCCCTAAACTCTCTACTTTTGTGCTTTGCTAACAGGTTCTACTTGCACAGATCAGACGATCGACTCTCAACGAATGGGAAACAAGATCCGCTTCATCAACCATGCCGCGAAGCCCCATCTTCGCAATGTTTATCCAAAGATCATGCTCTGCAACCTGGCGCACAGGATTGGCATGTTTGCACACAGGGACATCAAGGTCGGCGAAGAGTTGTTCTTCGACTACGGCGGAAGCTATCACGACAAACTGTTCGGCGAGGAAGAGAAGGCTCGCAGGGAAAGGAACAAAGGAAAAGGGAAAGCTGTCATCACACACATCCGTCCATCAAGAAAGAGCTATCAAGCACAGCCAGCGGTTGTGGTGGAAGTGCTAGCGAAACCAAAAGAGCCCNGAACCAGAAGTGCCCAATCCAAAAGAGCCCGAAGAGCAATACCATGCCGACGTCAACAATGATAGCGACGACAGCGAAGACGACCGCCCGACCAAGCGCAGAAGACGATCGAGAATGCCTTCGCCGAAGAGACCGAGCATGCCTTCACCAAAGAGACCGAGAATGCCATCACCTAAGAGATTGAAACTATCTGCACTCAAGAAGCAGCCAGTCGCAAGATCAGCCGCCAGAAAGACCGAGGACCGATCTCGTGGACGCGGAGGCACCCAAGGCCCTGCAGTGATCAAGGCCAACCAGNNCCGGGCTTGAAGGCCGCCATGAAGTCTGCACCCGCCCCAAAGACATCTAGCCGTCGAGCTCCTATCTTGATAGAATCATCAGAGGAGGAAGCGGAAGAAGAAGACTCGGGATCGGATGAGATGGAACTGCCAAGACGTAGTAGTCGGCCGCGGATGGTGTCCAGAAAGCTCAGGGGGAATGATTGAGCACTCGTTTTCTAGCTCTAGGAGAGGATTTGTCAGTACTGTATTTCTATAGATCATCAATTCACCAAGTGTATGTTAGAAGAACAAGGGCGATGAGGTTCTCAGAGATTGTGACAAAGCGACCATGCTGGAAGCAGAAGGGACATGACTTTGCTCTGCTGATCTATGATTATATTCGATTATCAAGAGCTGTACAGAACAGGCAACACTGCAACCTTCCACCCCATGAAAACCTTCAGACTCTCTGGCAGTTCCGAGTTTTTCTGTTGTAGAACCTCATATAACAGCTTTTCCAAGATTGGCGGCAAAGTCAGCGTTTCAATCAAGAGATTGGCCGCCCGCAGCGTCTCGACATCTTGATCACCTTCTCTAGCTCTAAACAAGACCTTCATGGCTTGCTTGGGATCCGGGCATGCTGAAGACGAGTAGGCCAAGTTTGTCGAGAACACCCAGATCTCATAGGGGAGAGCAGGGAACACGAATTTGCGAACACCTTGGGTTTCTATCGCTTGGTTGAGGCAATAAGAGAACCAATCTGCTGCGTCGTAGGATTGTAGTGTGCTATCCTTCTTGGATGATAGAGCAAGATATGGTTTTTGTAAACGGACGCCCTCGGTTTGAGGATCGCGATAGCCTAGAAGCGTGTCACATGTCTTGCAATGGGCTTGATGGATGTTGTCGCTATTCTCAGATGACCGACACTAAGAAATTCGGTTAGTCTCTGTCAAGACAAAGTGAGAGGATGTGACGGGAATGTGCTCTTCTGATGTATCTTATCATGGCCAATGACTTTGAGCTACGACGATGATACGCAGGGGCAAGTCAAGATCGATACCATGAGCGACCCATCTAGCCAAGCCGAGGGTCTGCTCGCGGCATAGACATTGTCGTTCATCTAGGGTTTTTGTATCGGAGCGGGATCCCATTGAGATGACACAGTGTTCACAGAGCACTCCTTCTTGAAACCCGACGGGAATGGAGAACGGAAAAGGTGAATGGACAACAAGCAAAATGCACGACTTACCTCGACAGTGCAATCGTCTTCAAANAGAAGGAAACTCATCACGTCAACTAGACCAACACCAACCTGAGCCATGAGCTTGTTGCCAGCAGCATAGCCTTTCTTCGTCGGTGCTTCGTCGTGATTATGTTCGGGTTCATCAGGTTTGTGGCAATGCCATAGGTCCATCATCTCAGCCCAAGCTTCGGATGGAAGATTTTTCCAAACTTGGATCTTGTCGTCGGATACTAGCGCATCGCAGTGTTTGCAGTGCACTGTCGTTTGTGGATCAAGATGAGCCGCAGACCAGAGAACAAGGGGTTCTTGCTCGCCAAAAATGGGTTCTGCCGATATGCGATTCACACAATGCGACTCGCCTGCGTTCGGAAGCTGTAAATGTTGAGTCCCTTGGTCAGAAATCCTCGCTGGCAGCGCTATACTGTTAGTATGGTGGTCGTGCTCAAGAACAAGCTTTGCACGGTCGTCCGATAGCGACAGCGTAGTAAAGTCGTTCCTAGGGGTCTCTAGTACTGTCGTGATAGCCAGAGTCTTGATATTGGGCAGGTACTCGGCATAGAGATTGGGCATCCTGGTTGTCCCGGACTCGCGGTCGTCATCCTCATCATCCTTGGCCATGACGACATCCAAAGCTCTTGTTCCTAGCTCAACAGAATGCTCCAGGGCGGCCAGTTTAGCCATGGCGCTGATCAAACTTGGATCTTGGCTCTCGACCCTCACCTTCTCCTTGACCTTGACGTGGGCGCCACGATATGTGAAGACGTCCTCGGCTTCGTCGTGAGCAGGGGGTCGTGGACCGGCACCGAGTGCATGTGCAAGTCTGTCGCGGAGGCCGAAGCCAGTAAACGAAGGGGCGCCACCAAGAGGCGTGGAGGAACCTGTATTGGAAGCAGGTTCGAGAGTGCGGACGTGAAGGAGTAGAGCGGCGTCTGCTATGCTAAGATGGAAGGAGAGGTTCGGCGGAGGTGGGGGATCGAAAATCNNTGGGAATCATGTCAGCTCAGGGACAGATCAAGTTCCAGCGGCGTGGGGCACCTTGTCATCGAGAGGTTCAGAAGCCCAGGTCTTATCGGCTTCGTCGGCAGTAGGTGGGCCCTTGAGGGCAGCTTTCGCATCGCGGATGTTCTCGTGCAACAGAGTCAACTGGCCCGAGATGAAATTTGCGTCGCGCTTGTCGCCAGTCCATGTCGTGGCATCAACAACATCCAAGCTCGAGTTGATCAGAGTCCTGACTTCGGCGATCTGTTTCAGTCGGAGAGCAGGAGCGGAGGGAGAGGTCGAGATGGAGAGTTTGTAGCTCGTCTGGCCGCGTGGAGGCGGTAGCGAAGCGAGACGCAGCTGCATGTCGCCTTTGGTGATGTTGGAGCCGTTGCGCGTAATGAAGCCCTTGATGGCCTCGCTGCGGTGCGAGGAGACGACCAGGGTGCTGCCTTGTTCTTGTGGTGCCAGCAGAGCGCTANNCAGTCCTCGAGGCCGGACTTCAAGCTCGAGAGAGTCTCCTGGAGCGCGTCGAGCAGCCATGACAGTTCACGATGTCGAGTCTCTTCTGCGCGTCGGGCAAGTGACGAAGGCGAGGCGTCTGGCAATGGCGGCCATAGTATTGTTGACATGATGGCTCCCACAGCACATGGTTGTCATCGCCGACAAGCTTCATCATGCGCGCCCAATCACGTGTATGGAGCTTCACGTGGGGTGCAAGTGCTCGGGGTAATATGCGCCGAAGCTTCCAAACATGCGAAGTTGGGAACTGCCACGCTGACGATGGCTTCAGATGTCAACACGACTGATTACATGAGAGAGACCGGAATTTCGTACTTTTCATCCCAAGTCATCTAACCTNTCTACAAAAAATACTTATTGCTGCTGAGCAAACTCCTCCAGCCATTGTGCAAGCTTCTCGACCTTTTCCACACTGACAGCATTGTAGTTGCTGATTCTGCAGCCACCCACGCTGCGGTGACCCTTGCATCCAAGCAACAGTCTCTCATTTGCTCCAGCCAGGAACTTCTTCTCCTTGTCGTCTCTGTCATCCTCGCTGCCAATGCGGAAGCAGATGTTCATCTTGCTGCGAACTGACTTGTCGGGCACAACCTGGAAAACGGGGTATTTGTCAAGAATTCCGTAGAGCCGAGAAGCCTTGTGCTCTGATTCGCTCTGCTGCGTAGCAATCTTGGGTCCAGAGGTTGAGGCCTTGGAAATCAGAGATTGCATCACCTGGCCGGCGATCCAGACATCGAAGATGGGAAGCGTGTTGTAGAGAGAGTTGTTCTTTGCGATCGTGGGCCAGTCCAAGACTACAGGACCAACTGGCAGGTTCAATTTGCGGAGCAAATCGGGCTTTGCGAGCTGAGTGAGGAGAGAGTTTTTGATGATGGCGATGGTGATGCCTGTTGTGCCGACGTTCTTTTGTGCACCACCGAAGATGGCAGAGTATCTCTTGACGTCGACCTTGCGGCTGAGGAAGTTGGACGACATGTCGGCGATGACTTGGTACTTGTCCGAGTCGATCTTGGGGAAAGCAGGAAACTCGACTCCGTCGACCGTCTCGTTGTCGCAGAAGTAGATCATGCCGCTGTGAGCCGGGTCGGATGTCAATGACCACGAAGACTCGCCGGGGATGGTGCCGAATTTGCCATTGTTGTGCTTGCGGCTGTCAACAGCAACATTGACGTGGTTTGCGCCGACGAGTCTCGCGGCTTCTTGACTGGCCTTCAAGGACCAGCTGCCAGTGACCAGGTAGTCGAGCTTGAACTCGTCGTCCACCGCCTTTCTCAATGCCTCAAAGACCTTTGTCTCGTCTTCCTCTCCTAGCTCTTTTACAATCCGCTGTCTCCTCTTCTCGACCCACAGAGCAGTCATGTGGTACACCGAAGCACTGAATTCACCGGAACCGCCGCCTTGCAGGAAAATGATTTGGTAGCCATCGGGGCCTTCTTGGGTGGGAATGTCGAGCAATTGAGCCAATGCTGACTTTGTGTCTTCAAGAATCTTTGCTGCGTCGCCTGAACGGTGCGAGATTTCTGTGATGCCGATGCCGGAGTCGTTGTAGTTGAGGAGGACCTCAGAGGCCTTTTCCAGTACCGCTGTGGGCAGAGGGGCGGGGCCAGCGCCAAAGTAGGCAGTTGCTTCGCGGGAGGGCATATCGTATGTGGTGAGAGGGAAGAATACTGTAAAAGGAGAAAAAAGGTAGGGTCGGAGAGCTTTCGCGTGTTTCGATTGACTCGGATCAACAGCTTGAGTCATTGCCAATTTTCTCGTCATGCCGATGACGAATTGCAGCAATGCCAAGGTTTCCGCTCCGCTCCGCTAACCAGAAACTCCCATGCTCAGATCGCCGAGATGGTGAATACAGTGACTGTCGACAATGACCCTCGGATGGTTCACCTTATTCCTTAAAGGGGTTCCGCGTCAAGCATTCTGGAGGTCTGCGAGGCATTCGGCTCCTCCTGGTCCGACATATCGAGTTGATCGTAGAGCCGGACGTCAGGCGAGGTAGATCTGCATGTGAAACACTTGGAAGGTACACAGGAGTTCCCGTCAAGCATGCTTAGATCTCCAGACCTACTCGTACATTCTGCATCCTGGAAGCAAGCATCACAACATCTTTGTCCAGGTTGTAAAGAGATTCGTGAAGCCGGCGGATCAGCCCTGCACCCGGACAGACTCTCGGATGACCTACGTGCCGAAGCTTCCGCACGGCAGCCAACCTCTGTGCGCTTCCACCGACCATCTAAAAGCTCCCGAGCTCCCATACTCGGAATTCCTACTTTCTTGATCCATCCGATTTGACCACGATGATGCAAAAACCGTCCTGGCTTGCAGAAAATGCCAGAGATGTGCGATATTGCTTGATAAGCACGCTTGCAGTGGCTACATCTAGGTTGCAGCTTATATAAAGCCGATGCTTGACTTAGCCGTCCCTCATATCCATCATCATTCTGATTTTGATTCCACGAGCCAGCAAAACATACAATCACCAGCGCTGATCATGTCTCTCCCTACCAGCGCACGCGTTTTTCGTCGCACAGATGATGGCAAAGACATTGAGCTTTTGACCGAAGACCTTCCCAGAGAGCTCGCGCCTACCCAGGTCCTCATCCAGATCCATGCCGTCTCGCTCAACTTTCGCGACGTAGCGATGCTCAATGACAGATACCCTGCGCCCGCCGACCATCGTGGTATTCCCTGTTCTGATGCTGGTGCTACTGTCATTGCTGTTGGCAGTGAAGTCGCTGATTTCGCTGCTGGCGATCATGTCTCGCCTACTTTCCGCTGGACGACCGATGATGGCGTGATGAGAGCGCTGGGTGGAGATTTCGATGGCGTCTTGAGAGACTATGCCGTCTTCGAGTCCGAGGCCTTGATCAAGAATCCAGACTACTTGTCACCCGAAGAGGCCTCCACTATTCCCTGCGCCGGAGTCACAGCATGGACTTCACTGGCACAGGACGACTGGAAAAAGGCAGGCAAGATAAAGACAGCGTTGATGGAAGGAACTGGCGGTGTATCCCTTTTTGCCCTGCTCATCTGTCTCGCCGCAGACATCACACCCATCATAACGTCCTCATCTGACAAGAAGCTCGCTGGACTTCAAAAGTTTGCATCTCCAGGTAAGGAGATCCTCACTATCAACTATCGCAATACACCCGATTGGGCCGAAGAAGCGCTCAAGCTTACTAACGGCGGTGTCGATGTGCTTGTGAACAACGTGGGCGCAACTACCATGGACCAGAGTTTTGAAGCCCTGAAGCGCTTTGGCACAATCTCCTTGGTCGGATTCCTAGGTGGCACCNCCGACAAGATGCCTGATGTAACCATGCAGATCCTCACGAAGAGCGCTCATGTCCAGTAAGTCTTTTCACCTCTTCTCAACCGTCTTGCCACTCTTTTCTTCAATCACTCCAGGATTTTGGCTGATCTACGGACGAACAGGGGAATCGCGACAGGTACAAAGCAAGACCACCAAGACCTTTGCAACTTTTTGGGTGAANAAAGAGTCGATCTCAAACCCACAATCGACAGAGTCTTCGATTTTGAAAACTCCAGTGAAGCGTTCAAATATCTGTACTCTGGTGCCCACGTTGGCAAAGTGGTGATCAAGATCTGAGGGACGCAGATAGGCAAAGAATGGCACATGATGTACCGTTCCAAAGAACGCATAAAGTATTACAGAGAATGTGTGGTCAACTTCACCGAGTTTATGAGTGAACGTCAACATCTGGTTATCGAACAAGGGGCGGTTAGAGAACAAGTGGTGGTGTTCAATGAATGGTAGGTCGAAGCGAGAGGAAGATAGAATCCAGTTCCGCGTTTTGTTTCTGGAGACGAATGATGGACTTGGAAGACTCGAACCTCGCGTGTAATGATGGAAGCGACAAAGCTGGTGCCTGGTTTACTAGACACTGCTGTGGTCTCAGCATGTAGCAACAACCTTCGCGATGACACAGCATGTGCAAGTTATCGGTCAATTGTGTGAGATTTGATGTGAACAGCTGTGCAATCAGCACCTGGACGAAGCTATGCAAATGCGGTGGTGGTAGCAGCGACTGTTTGAACAATAGCCACTGGACAGTTGAGCAGCAAAGTATCCAATAGACAGCTTGAGGTTGTCAACAACGGAGCCTTCGAAGCGCAAAGTGGTCGCTACGCTCATTTGCAGAACTTCCCAGTCGGTCGTTGGCTCCACCGCCGAGAAGATTATCCATGCCGTATTGCTGTCTCAGTGGAGTACATGATCCACCTAATCGAGCTTACCATTGCAGCTTTGATTGAGCAATTGGCAATTTGATGTACACAAACCGTAACGTCCGGTGTGAAGTTTAGAGCCAACGAGAAAACCCAACCACCCGACCACCAAGCCAAGGTGCAAGCAGCGGCATAGCACCTGAGTAGCCAATAAGGGTTTCTTCTCCGGCGCCCAGCCAAGAAAGGCCAGTCAACACCGATGAAGGACAAACCAAAGGCCTATGCTCAGTATGTACGAACCTACAAAAGCACCTACGTGGGACTGTCGTCTACGCAAGTGTCTATACAGCGTATTAGGTGCAGACTTCCCCAGAGAGACGCGACACAATCAACCTTCGTTGCCCAAGTGCAAATGATCCGTACGATGCAGCAACCATCGTGAGCAGGCGCGTAGCCCGAAGTGACATGTGCCGGATGTGGCTGCCGACGAACACGCAAGGAACAGGCAGAACGACAAGCTTCGATGATGGAGCGTTTCTTCAGCAGACGGCATGCAACTGGTCGAGTGCCAGGTACAAGGTATATGGTACACGTTCAGTGCTCGGCCGGGCATAGCTGTCAAGCGAGTCGAGGTATCGAGGCAAAGCAATCATACGACCAGATCCCAAATCGGGTGAGGCGCTGATGTTTGGCCAGATTTGAGCAAGTTCAGACATTGTCCATCTCAGTCTCGTTGGTTTGTTTTCCCGGCTGGGGATTTGAGGCAGCGAATGCGGCCTTGCGCTTTGCCTTTTTCTGTTGACGCTGGACACCGACGGGGAACCTCTTCTCGGCGTGACAGTTCCGGCACTGGATGACAAGAACATCGGCACAAGACTTCTTTTCGGCTCTGCTCTTGTTTTCGATACTCGTTTCCGATGTAGTGTCTGGCAGTAGAGGGGTGCTGCAAACTTTGCAGATAGCGCGCTTCATGTCATGGGAAAGACGAATCTGAGCTTTCAGCGAAACTGCCTGCAGTTGGGCGGCGAGCAAAAGAGGCAGACCACGCTGTTGAAGATGCGGATCGACGTGCGATGAGTTGGTGTGCGTTATGGGTGGTCGTTGTAAGGCGAGATGGGTTGCGGCTTGGTGCAAATACGCGATGCGTGCATGCAGATGTTTATTGGGCACACTCTTTGCCTGGTTGGCGGAACCCTTGGCCATTGTGAGTGGGGCGATAGTTGTGGTGGCCGAATGGCTCTTTGAATGTTCCTCAAGTGAGAGAGAGGAAGGAGAAGACGGCAAGACGATAGTCGGTTGCTGAAGGCGGGAAGCGCGGCGTTGAAGGGTCGATGTGCGAGGTTGAAGACGGTGTTGGTCGGCGGATGGGAACAAGGCGAAGTCCAGAGAGGACCTTCGACTGATGAGCTCGCGCGGTCACGAACAGCAGCACTGCAGAGCTCCGAGCTCGTACGCGGAGGGTCTACTCAGAGAATGGCCTTTGTCGCGAGCTTGTGGAATGAGCAGTGACTACCTAGGGCAAACCCCTCAATGGCACTCGGTGTAGACAGCTGGCGATGGCTCCGCTCTCAGTGTCCTTGTGAGACGCTGGAAATTCCGACGCCGGCTTGCAGATGACTATGAACCCACGAGGGCGATGGCGACATCTACTGGCACAGCTCACCTGCAACCACAATTTGGTCTGACTCCCGTCAATCACGTGATCGCTAGCAGAATTTCTGACGCTGAGAATTGGCAACCCGTCGCACAGCGACAGTCAACATGGCCAACAGCGAGTAAGTCTAGATCTGCAAAGCGCTGGGTACCTGTGTGAGTCCCGATCTAATGAGAATGGTCCAAACATCAGGTTCGAATATGTGCGCAAATTCGAAGAGTGGGATGCACTTGCGCCCAGTAATTGGATTGTCGTGAGAATTGATGGCAGAGGCTTTAGCAAGTAAGTTCTGTTCGGTTACCTCGATGTCTTCAATCTCTTCATATTTTCAATCGTTTTGTGTTCTGGATCTCTTCACACCTGGATTGAGGGAATGCACAAGAGCTTGGCGTGGCGCGTGAGGTCTGCCTATGTTGAACGGTCATACATCGATACGAAGGAGCTGCAGTTGGAAAGATCTGAACAGTGTCCCTCGCAGTGGTCGAGACGGCCTTCTGACATTGCCACTTTTCGTTATGTGAACGAGCCATTGATATTACTCTCCAGATTTTCGAAACGCCAGGACTTCGCCAAACCCAACGACCGTCGCGCTATAGACCTCATGAATGCCGCCGCTGTCGATGTCGTAAAGCAATTTACCGACATTGTCATCGCCTACGGTCAGTCTGACGAATACAGCTTTGTACTCCACGAAGACTGCCAGCTTTTCGAACGACGAGCAGCAAAACTCGCCACAAGTATTTCGACAGCATTCTCGGTCGAGTATTGTATGCAATGGGATGAGCACTTTCCGGGACAGTCTTTGGAGAGGCCCTTTCCGACCTTTGATGGTAGATGTGTATTGTATCCCAAGAAGAAAATTCTGAGAGATTATCTGAGTTGGAGGCAGGCTGACTGTAAGTTGTACTTGCTTTTGAGTTTGCGGAGCTAGCGATATGCTAATCAGGCGTGACAGGTCNATGTAAACAACCTCTACAACACGACTTTCTGGAACATGGTCAAGGGAAACCCAGCTACGGACACACCGGCCATGACTCCTACAGAAGCTGAGTTGGCACTGAAGGTGAGCTTGAGGTCAGAATCTCGATTGCCCTCTGAGCTCTGCTCACACACACAAAACAGGNGGACTTTCTCGGCAGACAAGAATGAGATCCTTTTCAAAAGGTTCAACATCAACTACAACGCAGAAGACGAGATCTGGAAGAAGGGCAGCGTCGTTTACAGANAAAGTATGTTTCCTTCCTCTTTCATCTGCTTCCATACTGACGGAGATTGGCAGTTCGAGGACAAGCAATCAACCACAGAGAGACCGGCGGAAAAGCAACTCTTCAGACCAACAGATGACTCTGGGAAGAAGAAGACACTATCAAAAACACAACTGGAAAAGGAAAGGAAGAGAAAACAGAAGGCTAGGGTCGTGGTGGAGCATGTTGATATCATCAAGGATAGATTCTGGCTGGAGAACCCATGGATCTTGGAGTAGAGAGGAAGCGACGAGAAAGCGCGAAGATAGTCGTCACGACCTGTGTCTGGACGTACTGACACGGAACAGCGGCCATATCACGAGGGAGTCCGTGCGTCTCCATGTGGTGCGACCACGACCTGATCCCCTAGCTGCACGAATCCTGTTGGGTTTTATACATCGGAAACCAAAGACGCCTAACGGCACGAAAGCTGACTGTCAGTCTGCACCGTCATGGCCAGCTGTTGCCATCAATTGCGAAAATGGAGTCGCGGACAAAGCACTGGGTAAGCTCGACGCGTGCACAGAGACAAGCCGGGCTGAGGAACAATACTAAGCTATGGCCAACCTGCCACCTGAGACCGAACAGCATGCCCAACAACTTCATGTCGCAATTCTCACTCGGTGTATCCTGAAGACACACGTCCTCGAACTAGAAACTTGTCGAAGTGGCTGGCTTTCGGCCCCAGTAGTCACGATCACCCCAAGCGTACCCATGGCCCACATATGAGACAGGATATGCAGGATGGTCCTCATTACCATTTCCTTCTCCATTTGTCACCTCTCCTTTGTATTGTTCTTCCTTTCTACCTTTGTCCCCTGATTCTGATCTTCGCACACACCTCGTTTTATGCATACCCTTCAAGAACAATCACCTGCCAGCATATTCTCGGGATTCGTTGCTATTCTTTCTATCGTATTCTTCCCACCAGATTGTTGCTCCATGGTCATATCGACGACCGCCTTTGGTCCCGCCAACTGACTTCATACATCTCACTCGTCATACAACTCATCTCTTTTTCCTGCTCATCCTGCTTCCTTCAAGTCGTCGGTCCCTTCACCAATGGATTCCTCATCAGCAGGCCAGCCGATGAACAAGTCGGCCGTGTACAACCAATTCATTACTGTTACTGATCGTCATGGCGAACAGAACCAATTCCCATTGTGGTACGTCGACACTCTGATAGTGGATGCCGTCGTTCATGGCATCATTCCAGGGGTCCAATTCGGCGCCAGTCTGATCCTCTTTCTCGTACTGGTTCTTCTCTCCAAGCACGACAAGCGACGCTCGCCGGTCTTCATATTCAACACGGCTGCCTTGTTCTTCAACATCATCTACGCCCTGTTGCAATGTTGCATCGTGACGAGCAGTTGGTGGGACATTTATCCCGTCCTCGTGGGCGACTACGGTGTGGTGACGCCAGCAGCTCAACGTCTGACGACGGCTGTGGCGGTCTTCGTCGCGCTCGTTGCTTTGTGCATCGAGGTCTCGTTGGTCCTGCAAGTTCATGTGGTCAGCATCACGCTGCGGATGTGGCAGAAGCTGTCTATCCTGGCAGTCTCCTCGTTCGTTGCCGTCGTGGCTATGGGCTTTCGTATCGCCCAGTCAGTGGTCTCGGTCAGATGTAACAACAAAGCAGATGCATTCTGCAGCAGCACGACCTGGCTCGCAAAGGCAAAAGACATCAGCTTGACACTGAGCATCTGCTTCTTCAGCGCAATCTTTTGCGCCAAACTGGGATTGTCACTTCGCGAACGTCGCAAGCTTGGCATGAAACAGTTTGGCAGCATGCAAATCATCTTCATCGGAGGATTCCAGACCATGTTCATTCCTGGTATGCATTCTCTCGTTCCTTCCAGTCTTCGCATGATCGCTGATATTCTATAGNCAATCTTCTCGCTCGTTCAATTCATCAATGCGGAGAACATCCCCAATGTCGGCACAAACATCCTGACGGCGACTTGTATCTCGCTGCCACTGACGTCTATTTGGGCCGCCTCCCACGCTTCCTCGCCTTCCAAGGCCGCCCGTGGAAACGACTTTCATCGCAAGTTCCTAGTCGACTCAAGCACTGCCGACTCCACTCTTCGCAAGCCGAGCGACGCACCTCAGTGGTCGCCATCTCAAACAACATCACAACCAAGCGCAAGAGAAAGGCTGGGTGTGCTGAACAGTGTTGACAGTAGGTCTGATACCAGCAGCTGGACCAAGTACAGCCCAGGCCCAAGACCTACGATCGGGGTGAGAGATGTTGACCGTGATCTGGAGATGCAGGAATTGAAAGAGGGGGATTGAGCTTCATCAGCGAGCAGTGTGGGAGGAGGTAGTGCGAACTGTGATGCTGACATGAGGGTCTGGGGCAATACGAGAGGCTTCTCCGAACCAACATGATGAGATTAATTAATATTGATTGCTTTTGCAAAACACCATGTCGCATTTCTCGGCCCGAGCATTTGCACTTCTGCAGGATGAGCACGTGATTTTGCACAAGTTGAGATGTGCCGCGTGTTCAAACGCCAGCCGCACCTGAAACTTGATGGGACAAGAGATGACGTGCAAGGCGTCGTGGGGTTGGCAGGAACGGCGGCAGGGATGGTAATTGGCTTTTCGTCATGGCTGCGTTTTTGATGTCGAGCAGAGCCTCTCCACAATCTGGACTTGCCTTGGTTCCCAGCAGACATCGCAAGCACCATGTCAGAATCAACGACAGGCACAGGTGTCGTCTACCAGGACCTGCACCCCGTCAATCACCCTGCAGTGCAACAAGACACTCGCGATGCGCGCACCGCGACAGCCACGGACGCCGCCCAGAACTTGACTGAAGAGCCCACGGCCAGTCACGCCCTTGCCCAAGCCGACATTGATGAGAAGGGCGTCGCACAGCTCGCTCACAATGCTGATGTCAAGGATTTGGGTTGGAACGAGCCGTCGTCCAAGATCCCCGCTCCTCTGGTCGGTGGTATGGACAATGAAGAGCTCTGGGTCTTGGTCCGTCGCTTCAACAAGGTGAGTCCATAGCAGCCCCTGCCCGCCGATGCTCTCTGAGCTGACACGCACAGCNAAATGTACCATGTCAAAAGTTATCCCTACCCCGTCCCTGGCAATCTCGACTTGAACATCGCCGACGAAGACGAATTCTCGCCCGACAAGCTCCGCGCCACCATCGAACGCCTGTACATGACGGTCGGCCTGGGTATGATGGGCTTCATCAAGCAGGTCGGCCGTCTCAGATCATGGCGTGAACGCAATCGCACTGCCTATTTCTGCGCCGCATACTTTGTCGCATGGCTGCTCGACATGCTTGTCCCACTGTTTACCGTCACGCTGGTCGTCCTGATCGTCTATCCGCCCTCACGCGACGTCATGTTCCCTCCCGCTCCTCTGGCTCTCGTCGACGCTAAGACTGGCGGCGTGCAAAAGCCAAAGGCCGGCGTGCTAGGCAGCACAGACACAGCTACAGGAGCTCCAGAACAGCACAAGGGCGAGGCCGCCGAAGCAGAGGCGAGCAACTTTGTCAACAGCATCGCCTCGGTCGCTCTTGCAAGCGCCAGCGGCAAACATCCCCAGACCGAGCCCCCACCAGGACAGGGAGGCATCGCCGACAGCATCCCTGACCCCACCGCAGTTGCCATGAGCGCCAGCTCTGCAAAGACGTCTGCTGAAGGAAAAGTGACGGCACCCACACACGACAAGACAAAGGTGCCCATGGAGAATGCCATGTGGAGCAAGATGAGGCCTATCATGCATGGTCTCGCCGACGTGGCCGACACGTGGGAGCGTTTTGCAAATGCCCTGTCTCCCACTCCACCTTTTCCTCGTGACCTGTACCGCTTGCGTCTGGCCGCCGTCGTCGTACCTCTCATCGCCGTGTCTCTGCTGACCTCAGCCTACATGTTCACCAAGGGTGTCACTTTCGGTGTCGGCTTCGGCTTCTTCGGCGATCCCGTCATCCAGCCCGGTCTACGATGGCTCAACCGTACCTTCCCTCACTGGCAAAAGTTGCTCGAAATCCGAAACACTCTGCTCAAGGGTGTTCCTACCAACGCCCAGCTCACCATTACTCTTCTTCGAATTGGCGAAGCAAACAAGGCTCCTCTTCCGCCTCCGCCTAGCAGCAAAGAGCCTCCACCGGACGTTCCAGTCGAAATCACAGATGAACATTTGCGTGCGACTGGCGCCGACTGGCCTCTGAATGCCACTCAGGAGGAATTGGATGCAGCCATGGCTCACGACCCCACAACTGCTCACGAGACTGCCGGTGCTGATATTGACCACAGCAAAGACAGCAAGCACGGCAAGAAGGGTCACAAGCTCGTCTCATTCTTCAAGAGCACCGTCAAAGGTACTGTCGAGACTGCTCTTGGCGCCGACAAGCTCAAAGCAAAGGCAGGAAGCGAGCCGTCCAAGCAACGTCTCGGTGCTATCCCCAAGTCAAAAGACTACAATGTTGACGGCCCTGTCGACTTTGCTTGCCGTTTCCACGGAAAGAAAGGCCACACTGTCATTTCTACCAGGACAGCCATCCCTGCTGTCTCTTTCACTCTGGACAAGAAGGTCGCCGAAATCGGGTCTCTTGGTCGTGAGGAAGAGCTGCATCCCGTCTGGACCGTCCCCATAGCTGATATCAAAGAGTTGAAGAAGGTTGGCGGACTGGGATGGAAGGCGAAGCTGGTGGTAGGCTGGGCACTCGATCGCGAAGTTGCTGATGGTATGGAGATTGTGAGCAAGACTGGTGAAGTGTTCACCATCACTGCCATGCCCCTCAGGGACGAGTTGTTCAACCGGCTTGTTGCCATGGGCGGTCAGAAGTGGGAAGCTTGGTGAGAAAAATTCCATTCGACATGCACTTATATATAAAGAACGAAATTGCACGACAATCATGACAGATACTGAGTTTTGCGATCCGAGCCAGCCTTATACACCCTCGAGTGATTTCATGTTCCGTGAGCCATGTTCTACATGCATTTCTCATCCCCAGGGGTAGAGATAAGGGCATTCTTTTCCTCTAGCTCCTTTTTCAAGAGAGTATACTCTCTTAAAAGGGTAGCATAAGACATTGCCTTATTCTTGCTGCCAGGAGGGCGACCGGGACGCTTCTTAGTTTCCGACTTTCCAATAGCGGTCGGGATAGACGAGGTAGTAGGGGTGATAAGCTTAGAATAAGCCAACTTTTGCTTTCTAGAGTAATTAAGAGCAACAATTAGCCTTAATGGTTGCATAAGCTTTGAATAAACAACAAATACATACTTAGTCATAACTGGAATAACAACTTGTACTTTACAAGGCATGATAATAGTAGGATAAGGTAAAAATAGCCCTAAGGATAGGTAAGGGTAAAGGTAAAGGTTAAAGTGGTAGTAGGAATAGAGTAGGTATTTACTTTAGAGTATAAAGAGAAAAGAATGTAGTAATCGGGTAGGAAGGACACATGTTTATATATTCGAGGTACCTAAGTACCTAAAAAGGGGCAGAGAAGGCTAACCAAAAAGCAGGATAAAGGATTAAAGTATAGACAAGCCTATGTTAAGACCTTCCTATTAAGGCTATGCTAGTCTAGTATATTAAGGGTGATTTTTTAGGCTTACATAAATTTAAATAACTAGGTCTAATAGACTAAAGGCTAGATAGTACTATAGCTAAGGATTAGAGCAATATATATTTTGAAATATTACGTTTTTTTAAGATCCTAGATGGTAGGGCTCATATATATAACCTATTAATAGCAAAAACGTTCTAGATAGTAAATAGATAGATCTAGACAACTAGAGGGTAGTTAGTATTATATTATTCTAATTAGGCTTATAGATAGATAGAAAAGCTAAGAATCTTTTAGAAAACTATATTTCTACATATTTACTCTCTACTCTATACACTCTACATTATTAAGTTAAGCATAAAGTTTGACCCTATATTAATACTTGCCGGTATACTAAGCTTATATACTCAGTTAAGCTATTTTATATAACGTTACAAAATCGTGGATATATATATAATATATACAGATACATGGCTTTTTCCACTAGCTTTAGATATTTATTTCTAGAAGTTTTGTCTATTTAAGCAATTTAATTTGTTTTGCAACAATATAAGCTTTAAGCCATATAGTTAAAAGTAATACTATAGCTAAGCTACTACTAACTGTATTAAGCTAAATTATAAGACAGCTACTAACCATTGTTTACTATAGTGACTAAAATAGTTAGTATTGGACTAGTCTAGCAATTATTAGTATGCTACGACCACTTCTAATGTTAGTACTAGTAGTGACGGTTTTAATACTACCGCATTATCTCGTACCCGTACGGTAATTACAATAGTGAATGATTAGAAAAAGCTGCTACTGCTGTAGCTACAATCGAGTGTAAAACATTGCACAACCAGCTCGCCGGTTCCTTGTGCTAAGTCGAGTCATGGGAAGCCCTTTCTTGCTAATAGTCTATGTCGTATGAGTAGAGAAAAGCGGAAAGAAGATGGATGCCCTTTCGTACGCGTTGTTGCGCAGGGGTTAATAGTGGCATCTGCTGATGGCAAGAGCACCTGGACCTGGCTGCGGAAATCTATACAGGGGACGATGTTTTTGTGGTGCTGTCGTGTATAATGGTTGTTGATGGGCGAGAAAGGGAAACGCCTTGATTGGCCCGCCCCGCTTATCCGGAGCGCGGGGTTAATCACGCAACCTTCGAAGAGGAACTTGTCCCCTGCTCTCGCTTTCTTGTGCTGCTGTATCTTTCACTTCGACGACGTCTTCTACCCTTCGCCTTCCTCACACACCCTCACACATCATGCCTGCGCGCGTGTCACCACCACCGGCGGCCGACCTGAGCAGTGGCCTCACCAAGGAACAGCTCGACTTCTGGAACACAAATGGCTATCTGCTCATCCCCGACGCACTGAGTCCAGACACGACCAAGGCACTTCTCGAGGAAGCTTACACCATGCTCGACGATTTCTCTCTCGACGACCACCCCATGACCAAGTTCAGTACCGGCGAGAAGAGCGACCACGTTGGTGACGACTACTTTCTCGACTCTGGCGACAAGGTCCGCTTCTTCTTCGAGGAAGGCATGTATCACCGTCTCTGTCTCACTCACACGAACTAACACAAGACTANNGACGCCTTCGACGCCGACGGGCACCTCACCAAGCCCAAGGCTAAGGCCATCAACAAGATCGGCCACTACCTACACGGCCTCTCCCCTCTCTACCGTAGCGCCTCGCTCTCCTCGGCCAATGCCGCACTCGCAAAATCCCTCGGCTATCACGACCCAAGAATTCTCCAGTCAATGATCATC